ATTGCTCGAAAAGTAGTCAGAAAAGGGGTGAAAAAAGTACTAAACTGTAACAAAAATTTTTCCAAAAAATTTTGAAAAGTCATTTTTGGTGTTTTAGTTCCTCCCAAAGTTTCAAACTTGTATCTATTACAGGGAAAAAGTTGATTTTTTGTGCGTTATGCCTACTTATTGGAGGTACTGCCCGATCCCCAATATCGATGGAAAAATCGATTCGATTTCCGATCGCATTTTTAGGGAGCGTTTTACCGTATTTTGGCTAATTGCGGGTTTAGATGTAAATTAGAGTTTAATTGGTGCTACAAGTTTACAAGGCGCGTTCGGGCTTAACAAAGAGTACGTTTTGATAACATAACAATCAGCAACCATTTCATGTCGAATTTTCCAGCGGCCAATTTGGAGCCCGATAATGTCGAATCTTATCACTCATGAAATGAGCCCCTGCCGAGTTTAATAAAGCTCATTCCTTTCCTTTTTCGTTTTCTGATAACCTTTTTTAACAACCTTTTTTTTTGTCAAATTCCTTTTTTTTTGGCCCTTTTATCATTTGAAATTTCGGCGTTTTTTCTTTTTGTTATCAATGCCAGGTGCAGTAGCCGATGATAAAAAAATACATCCGGGAAAGTACCTGGGTCAACTAACCTTAAAGCCAGATTAAGCGGTAAAGACTTCCGTATTTATCCGATAAAAGTGTATCCCCCACAGCGCGAAGAAAGGAATATTATCGATTTAAGGGGGGTACACCCTTAGTAAAAGTGATGTTCGGTGCTCTTTTCTTTCATGTTGTAGATGAGGCTATTAAGAAGAAATAATAACATATAATTGCATATTTTACTCGTGTTTTTTCTCAAACGAAGACAATCGCGTTTCATGTTTTGCAAGATAATTATAAAGTTTTCGGCCAAAATACGGCTGTCCGAGTGTTGCGGAAATAGAAGACAAATTGGTGTTTATTGTTTAGCGCGCGGCCGGAATTTCTTCTATTAAGTTCATCAAAAAAGCAGATGTTTAGCCCAATACGCCATCATCAAAAAGCGCGGTGTTTGTTATTATCGTTGAAAAAATTGGAATTTCGCGTTTTTCGCGTTTTTTTATTCACGGAATTGCCACCTGGGCACACTCTTGACGCGCTGTAAATTTGCCCTGTCCAAATGTTCGATAAATTTCCGGCCATAATTACTAATAAGTGTCCACGGGAATGTACCCTTTCTTCTGGATCAAAGCCAGCGCTAGAATTTATTGCTTTGCGAACAATTTGAAATTGACAGTGGAGAAATGAAAAACTAGCAATAAATAAAAACACTTTGGGCCACTTTTTGAGAGTCCAAGAAGCCTCCTCTTGAGAGTAAATCCGCTCGGAGTCGAATAATCGAGGATAATGGGAGGCGACTTATGACTGTAGCTACTGATAACTGTAGCTATGGAATATGCAAGGATGATGATCCCCTTTCCGCGGCTGAACTTGGTGGCACTTCTTTTGGAGCCGCGCCAGCCTCTCAAAATGCGCCAGTAGCGAAAAAGGGAGAGGCACCACCACAAGTATTGTTATAATCACACGCTGTTTATAGAACACGGCTCGATTCGTGTAATACAATTTACGGAGTCGTATTAACAAAAGATTCGAAATCCCTCTCAAAAAGAGAAAAGTCCCTCTTTTTTGTTACAAATGATAATGACGCGGGCCAAAAAAGGGTTAGGGACCTTAGACACCTACTCGGACACGCGGTCATAATTATGGAGCGACAGGAGCAGAAGGAGCGGAGCTTATGAACCGCGCTGAGCGAGCCGCAGGGCTCTCGAACGCGAACATTAGGAAAAAATCAACTCGACTTGACTTTAACCTGTCCAGGACACCGGTGGACGAGATGGCTTCCTGAATGAATACAGTCCCTTTTTCGGTTGTTTGGACATTATTTCTAGTAAAAATTCAAAACCCCCGATTGTTGGAATTTGGAATTTTTCGCGCCGCTTGGGCCCTGCTTTTTCTTGACGCTCCCATCTTTTGTCCGATAAGAAGGCGACGCATATAGTTGTCATATCGCATTATATCGGTCGCCGTCAACATGCCAGCTTGGTGTATGAGGAGTGGCGATATTCACCCTTCATCGCAGGATTGAGCACGCCAGACGGGCGGAACCACGGACAGTTCAAGAAAGCGACTTTTGCTTTTTGGATTCAAGTAGTGTAAGAATTCGACTTTGGCGCAACCCGGATACCCTTACTTCTCCCCTCAGCAGGCTACTTCACCGGGCAAAGTGCGGATTAACCCACTAGAGCGCCAACAATTACAGTCTAAACAAGCCAGATGTTGGGTACTTGATCGAGCTGTTTTTGACCTTTTCCTTTTCCAATGTCTGAATTCCTACAGTAAGAGCGAGGCGAGGGGCAATCGCTCCCTGAGGCTATCGCCCTAAACCTTTTCTGACAGCATCAATCTTTGTAAAAATCAATGCTGTGGCGACATCTTATATTAATACATCGCCCTTTAGGGGGTCACCTGTCTTCCAAAATTAAATAATATTCCTCATTTGTCAAAACACGCCTAACACGTTAATTGATTGAGCCAAGCCAAGAAGTCAAAAAATAGCAAAACCAAAGATGCTAAAAATAGCTGTAAAGATCGAGTCCAATACTAAAATTGTCGAAGTCTTACGTGAACTATTATCATACAAAAAAAGTGTTTATTGAGCTAAAATTCTTAAGGATATACCCTCCGATAAGACTCAAGTGCTTTATTTGACAATATTACTGTATTGAAACTGAATATTATTCAAATAAATACAGTAATATCGTCAAAAAAGCATTTGAGGTTTATCAGAGGGTATATCCTTAAGAAATTCAGCTCAAAAACCACCCTTTTCCCCCTAAAAAGACGTCTGTTAAGCCTAACTAAGTGAGCTACTAAATACAGTACCAATTAAGCGGGACCTGCTAAAAGGCGCTTGAGAGTGTTTAATTTTTGAAAAATATTTTGCAAAACAGGCATTTGAGAATGATTTATGCAAACGAAGCAAGTGCTCTGCTGAATCGCCCGACCCCATCTGCCAGCCACAATTTATTATTTACGAGTCAATTACTAACACTCTTCAACAACTTTGTTCCCAAGTTAACTACATACAGTATCGGATATATAATTCGCAATATTATTCACTAGATATATCTAGGGCCGACGAGCAAAAATTCAACCCCAAGAACCCTTTGTGGTAAAGCCTTGAAACTTTGGGACAATATGTATTTGGGCCTAACTAAAAAATTGTTATTGAAAACTTTTGGTCTGACCACGTGATCACGGGTTACAGACCCTCGAAAAGCTAGAAAAGCTTGCCGAGCTTGATCCCCTTATGGCATCATCTTCTCGTTAGGCCAAAAGAAAGGTCTTGGTTTGTTCTAGTGGTTCAATCAAAAAATTCTTGGTGCCGTCTTTACGGGACACGCTAGAAGCTATATAAGAACTCAAAATTCGCTAAAATTGAGGTAAAAATCCAGGTTTTACGGGTTACTCAGGCCAAAATACATTGCAAAAAGGGCCATTTTGGACGCTTCACTTCCCTCTAGCGAGTCATGTGATCTTGCCACCAAAAATGTTTTGGATTCTATAGGAAGAACTTTTGTGCTCTTTCATGTGAGCTACATTATGATCACCTGCGGTTAGGGGATCGAGGTTGGCAAGCTTTTCTAGCTTTTCGAGGGTCCGTATCACATGATCACGTGATCATACCAAAAAATTTCAATTACAAATTTTTAAGATGGGCCAAAATACATATAGTCCCAAAGTTTCGGGCAATTACCTGAAGGGGTTTTAGGGGTTGATTTTTGCTCGTCGACCCTAGATATATCGGCCTAAGCTGCTTCTAAGGGCGATTATTTATTTATCCACGTCAAAAGTGAAAGAAGTGATATTACTATTGCTCCTCGAATATTACTTTTTAGACAGTAGAAAAGTGATTACAGTACCTTTTGAAGACTGAAATCATTGAAGACTAAAAATAAAAAAATTCAATATTTTTCAAAACTTTAATTTTTTCGACTTTAGCGACATTCTTGACATTGTTGACATTCACGACATTCCCGACAATCACGACATATAGTCAGAATGGTCCCAAAAATCATCCTCAAATCAACCTTCTCGCACAATGCGCCTCGAAACCCGTGTTTTTGAAATCTCGCCCCGGGCAAAAACTTGGCTCGCCTCTAGAATGCCCTGCGATTCGCGGTATTTTGAATGATGAGCTTCACACTACCAGAGATATTTAACCGGATATATTCGTATTTTATCTTTTTGCATAATCAACTCCTGTAACCTCCATGGCCGACTTGTACTCCCAGGCCAGTTTGACGAAAATTAGACCACTTTGAAATCCTTTAGCCGCCAAAAAAGGCTCCAAAACCGGGTGAAAATGCGTAACTTTGAAAGTCTACGACTATTTTTTTGTAATTTTCAAAAGGAAATCGCGCAGAGGAAATCGCACCGTGCTCACTTTTCAATTTTCCCGCTTTTGAACTTTTTTTATCAAGAAAAAGAGAATATTTTGAACATTAATTTTTCGAATTTCAAACAGAAAGTTTTCAGAAAAGAGAAGTTTCAAGGTAAAAGCACACTTTTTTCATCAATAAATTTTTCGTCATTCTGAAAAAGGACCCTCTTGAATCATTTTCCGCGCTGAGTATTCACGAGAACGCGGCGTTTTACCCATCTGGGCATGCGCTTCAAGAATCCGTGTCTACAGTTAGCATTGGCAGCGCTCACGCTTATCAACCCACCGCCCATGCTAGCCCCGATAGCCAGGGTTCCAAAATCCAAACAACTCTAGACTCTAGAGACTCTAATTTTCAAATCATTCGAACCCTGGTTTCAGCACTGCTCCTCCTAACTTTGCTCCCTCCGCTATGCTCATGTCTCAATGTGCCCAAAGTGGCAACCAGGCCATCCAATGGGTGCCGGTCACCACGCCCCAGGGCAACTGGATCCCTCCCTTTCCAGGTATTAATTCTCTTTCTTTCAGGCTCCTTCACCTATGTCTTCAACCTCCGCCTCAGGTACAACCTCTTCTGCTACTCATTATCCTCCCTTTCCTCGAGAAGGATTCTAGTGCGGGAATTTCAAGGGCGAAGGCGCCGAGACGGGCGTGCGCGTAACTTATTTGGGATAAATAGATTTCATCCCCGGCCTCGCAAACAACGAGGGATCAAAGCCGAGCTCCAGCTTCTTTCGCCCAGTTTTTAACTTTTTAAAAGAGGGGGCCTCTAAATATTCAATATTCAAAAGAAGCAGCAAAGAAGAAGTGATTTTGGCATCCGCTAAATTCAGTTCTTCTTTTAGCGCGGCGCTAAAAATTCCAAGTGTCTCCTTTTCAAAAAGTGAAGAGGAGGAGTGGCGAAAGTTGAAAAGAACCAGCTAGAGTAGTACTTGGCAGTTATTGCAGTGGGGATGCCATCAGACATTCACGAGCTCGCATGTCTCAAGTGCCACGCTCGCGTATGCCTGGTGTACCTCTCAGTTCTAGCTAGTGAAATAATGTTCATTAAAAAGACCAGGTTCCGAAGAACTAAAATAAAAAGCCGCGTAGCGGCTTTTTAACGAAGCCGCCAATATTTAAAGATAGATTGAAATTATATTGTTCCGAAGCCGCTTTGCGGCTTCGCTTTTAAAAGCCGCCTTGCGGCTTTTCATTTAGCTCTTCAAAGTTCAAACCTCATTCAGGCCTTTTTCGATTTCTCGAATGTTCCAAAAGCCTCCTCGAAAGAGTCCCCCTCTCACTTAGTATTGGAAAGTACAAAAAAGACAATGGAAATACAAGCTTCGTCTTATTTGCAGCCGGCCTAATAGAAAGCAGTGCGTTTCTTTGAACAAGGGGTACTTGAGCGCAGTAGGGAGCGTATTCATTTTTCTTCGCCACGGCTGCAAATTAAGTGTTGGCTCAGATAATTTAATCGCTATTGTAGCGAAACGTTGCTCAGCGGAAATTCGTAATTTCATTCAATTGAAAAAGAATGGTTCAATCGGGTGTGAATTTCCTAAAAATCTTTGTTCCTGAGCTCGGTAACCTATGTAGAAAACCTGAGTCGGGTTTGAAAGAGCTAAAAATGAAAAGCCGCGTAGCGGCTTTTTAAAGACGAAGCCGCGAAGCGGCTTTGCTAAAGTTCGGATCTCAATGTATAATTTTAACTGCGGCTTTGTTTTTAAAATAGCCACTACGCGGCTTTTCATTTAAGCTCTTTAAAACCCTGACTCAGTCTGCCGAGTCCAGCCCAAAAGGACATGGAACTTGGATTTCGACTGTTGAATTTAACTCGCTGTTGTAGGAAACGCCTCGCCCACACACGACGTCCATGGGCAGCAAGAAAAGCTCTCAGAAACAAACTTGTACATCCGAGGTCTCAGCGCTGAGGTGAGTCGCGCTAGAACGTGCAAAACTAACGATAAACATTCCGTCACGGCGAGGGGGGTTAACCGCGCGCTCCGTAGGACTGAGGCGGATTAAGCTGACCCCTCGTTGTAAAACGGCGATTCTCTTCCAGCTCCTAAAATAGAGATTTTAGACAAAGGACGAGGATCTCCACACGATGTGCGAGCGCTTCGGCAAAATCGTTTCCACGAAGGCAATAGTCGACAACGAAAACGGCAAGTGCAAAGGATACGGCTTCGTTGACTTCGAAGACCCAGAAAATGCACGCGTCGCTAAAGAAACCTTGGCAGAAGATGGTATACAGATTCAGTTTGCCAAGGTAAGCAATTTTACGATCGACCTATCAAAAGTCTTAAAAGAGGCGCGCGCCCAATTAAAATGCTTCAAATAGGCACGAGCCAATCAGAAGGTTTTATAGGGGCGCGCGCCCAATCAAAACGCATAAAATAAGCAAACGCCCAATCAGAATGGTTTAAAAGGGCGCCCGCCCAATCAGAAGGCTTCAAATAGTCGCGTGCCCAATCAAAAACCTTAAAAAAGCCGATCGGCAAAAATGCCTCGGATGAGATTTTAAAATTTCCTCTAGAAACAAGAAGAAGATCCGACAAATATCTACTTCTCAAACTTGCCAGAGTGGATCTCCGACAAATCCCTTCGCGACATGCTCGAACCTTATGGCGAAGTCATCTCCACTCGAATCCTCCGCCACCCTGTAAGTCAATTTAAAATTCCCCGAAATTCAAAATTTGAAAATTTTCAAACATTGTATTTTTTCTTAAATATTTAAAAAATTGTGTTTTATTGTTATTTCGCGCGCGGCGCTAGAATTAACCATAAGCCCTAGTTCTCACGTGTTCGCATATTTTGGTGGTAGCATATTTTTTGAATTGTAAATCAGACAGCAACTGTTTTTGTTTCGACGAAATTTGAAATTGAAAGTGACCAACTTAGCGAAGTTAGAAAAACCCTTTTCAAGTATAATCGCTACTCGGATGTCACAGGAGTCGGGGTCACCAGAGACTGCGGCGGATTACGCTCATAAGCGGTAAAATCCGCAAACGGGACACCGTATCATTCCGTTCTAGGTTTTCTCCCGAGTGTAAACTTTTTTCAAACTGAAAGTAGAATCGAGTCGAACTCTGGAAGGGCGTCAATAATTACGATATCGTCCATGCGCCCTCCTTAATTTCGCGTTCCAAAATGGCGATAAAGGGATGAAGGCGAAGGCTGATCTCCTTCCCGCACACTTGATTTCCTTTGCCTTCGCGACATTTTGGTCTACACTGAATCGAGATTAACCTATCCACATGTAAATTTCCACTGCGCGCAGTGGAGAAGCCACAAAAGTTCACCTTTGACAATTGTACTTTTCTCGTAAATATCGCGAACTTCGCAAGCGGATACGATTGAAGAGGAGGACAAGTCTTACCGTTTTCTTTAGGGCTCGCCAGGATCAACTGAAGGCCGCTCTAAGGGCGTCGGCTTCGCCCGCATGCACGGCAAAGAACAGGTTAGTCGCTCGTAACCCGCTGGGGATTTTTTTAACAAACTTTCAGTGCGAAAAAGTCATCGGCAAATTCAACGGGCACCCGCTCACCGACCCAAAGAATCCAACCAAGCCGTCGGGGGTAAGTTATTTTCAAGCGACGAGCAGGCAAATTATCATTAGAGCGATGCGATTAGAGCGAGCGCGACGTAATAATTTGAGATTTGCTGGCGCTAGAATTGGCGCTCAATTTTTTCATCACCTGTTTTTTCAGAAGCCACTCCTCGTCAAGTTCGCTGACGGCGGCCAGAAGAAAAAGAAGAACCACCAGTTGAACATCACAACCACTTTCCGCCGCGACGAGGTAACATTTTTTGACCTTTGAAATTTTACATAATTATTCAAATGTAAAATTCGAGTTTATTTAAATTTCAAATTTAACGCGATTTTTCAGATGCCAATGGCGATGGAACATTTCCTCCCCGGTTTCGCCCTTCCGGCTGGCATGCCCATGCATGCTCCTTACCTCAACATGCCAGTGGGCCCCTACCAGTACCCGCACAATGCCTTCCCCGCCCCTGTAAGTATCGAGACATTTTTTATTGAAGAATATTTTATATAATATTCGTTGAATAAAATTTTAAACCACTGTATTAATCAAACTTATTTAGTTCCAACTCCCAGTCCCCGGCGACGTTCTCCCCCAGGTAAACCTTGTTTCCAGCTACTTCTAGCAGTAACTTTTATGCAGCAGGTGCATGTCCTTTATTAGCATTATTGTATTGCGCAGCTGGCTCGATTCCTCCATTTACTCAGTTACTCTTTTTTTTGCCAAAAGTTTCCGTGCCGTTTCAGTTTTTTTTTTCTCCTTGATTTCCTTGGTCAAGTCGCATTTCTTACCTATTCAGCAGCATCCCTCATACTCGCCAATTCTCGACGCTGGAGCAGCCGAAGCTGGATTTCACCCACACCCTCACGCTGACCAGCACGCTTTTTCAGCCTATCAGCACCTTCCGAACCCCATGGGCGACGCTGTACTTGCCCCGGGCGAGAACATTCCAATGCCCCACCATCAACAGCACCAATTCCAGCAAGCTCAAGTCCAGATCGAATAATTTGAGTGGAGGACTCTCGCCCAAGTGGACTCTCGCCCAAGTGGACTCCCGCCCAAGATGGACTCCCGCCCAAGTTGGGCGAGAGTCCTTTGGGCAGAGTCCATGTGGAAATTTTCAACAATGAGAAACAGAAAGTTGGGCGAGAGTCCATCTTGGGCGAGAGTCCATTTGGGCGAGAGTCCTCCACTCCAATTGTTAATGACTATTCAATGACAAAAGAAAGCAATGAGCGGTGTGTAATAAATATGCAATGTACTTTATATAAATTAAAGTTAGGGTTAGGGGGCACTGGGCAAAATGACAGAACAACCTTACCCGAGGGGGATAGGCTAGGGTTAGTTAGGGTAACTGTCAATTACTAACTGAAGGTAACCCTAAGTAACCGTAGACTAGACCTTGGCATCTTAGGACCTAAGGGGCGAAGCCCCGTGGTAAGCGGCAATTAGATTTGATAATTTCGGATGAAAAGTGGTGCAGTGGGACTGACCTTCTCTTTCAACCTAGTCGAGGATTAGCACTTTTTAAGAGTTCCAGTTTTATTAGCGAAGCGCAATATTTTCTCACATCAAAGAATTTATGCTTTCGCTTATCTTGCTGGACAAACCGAAACTGGAACCCTCAAAAAAGTGCTAATCCTCGACTAGGTTGAAAGAGAAGGTCAGTCCTACTGCACCTCTTTTCAGCCAAAATTATCAAATCTAATTGCCCTTACCACTGGGCTTCGCCCCTTAGGTCCTAAGATCCCGGGGTCTAGTCTAGGGTTACTTAGGGTTACCATCGGGTAAGGTTGTTCTGTCATTTTGCCCAGTGCCCCTAACCCTAACTTTAATTTATATAAAGTACATTGCATATTTATTACATACAGCTCATTGCTTTCTTTTGCCATTGAATAGTCATTAACAATTGGAGTGGAGGACTCTCGCCCAAGATGGACTCTCGCCCAACTTTCTGTTTCTCATGGTTGAAAATTACCACATGGACTCTCGCCTAAGATGGACTCCCGCCCAAGTTGGGCGAGAGTCCTTTTGGGCGGGAGTCCACTTGGGCGAGAGTCCACTTGGGCGAGAGTCCTCCACTCGAATAATTTCCCAAGCAAAACGAGTCAAGATCATGTTTCATTTAGCATCGCATTTACAATCATTCCTCACTGTCTTTCCATAAATATAATCTCTATAATCGTATTCGAGAAACGCAGGCTGCTTCATTCTTTTGCAGGAAAATGTAATTTCAAGAAGCTGGAGAATTTTAAAACACAAGTGCAGCCACTCAGCCCGCACTTGGATATTCATGCATTCTACAATTTAGCTCTAATAAAAGCTTTGATATCACATTTTTCAAAATTCAAGTGTCAAAGGAGTAGCTGCTTTAGAAATTGAGAGCATCGAAATATGCTTCATTTAAACGGCCGTGTTTAGGGTTACCCGATGGGCTACGCGATGCACAACCCCTACCAACCCATGGTGAGTCCACTTTCATGAATGCCGAGAAAAAATGTAATTATTGCTGTTGCATTACTAGAATACTTGTACGGACATCTGTCAGATGCTCATGAAATTATTGGCCGAATACCTTAGAAATAAATTCCGTTGAGCAAAAACTGCCCCGGACTCGCACTTGCTCCTTTTAAAACTAAGGCTCTCTCAAAGTAGCAGAGTGATTATATAATTGTCATTATTTGCTATAAAAGATCATAGAAGTAGAAAAGTGGCAGTATTATTTTCAAAATAACACCTCATCCAGATGTTTTTCTATTATCACATAAAATATATTTTTAATTTTTATGAATTGCACCAAGCTCCACCGCCAAAAGCTGCTTTGAGCCAAACACCATAAAAGGGCCCTATGTCTAGTCTTGTGCATTATTTTCTGGAGGGAAAGGAGTCCAACTTGTCTAAAAGGCCTTAAAAACCTTCTAGGCTCGTCCGTAAAGGATGAGAATAGTGCACCACCACTCCGAGCTTCTTTCGGCAAAGAGTGAATTGCCTACCCTCTAACTGATACAACGAATCCAAATTTGGGTAAATCCTCAATTCAATCAACCAAACTTTCTTCCAAATGGGTGTTTATTATTGGCGGTAAGACCAATTTTTTCGCTAGGCCATGATTTATCCTATACTGGCAGAACAAGAACTGAGATCGAGCAGGTTTGCTGCGGGTGTCTTTGATTCGCCGAAACGCTTTTGAAACTGAATATCGAGCTAAACCCAAGTCGGATTCGAGGACGGCGCGGGGCCACACTTTCGAAAGCAGCTACCAAAAGCCAACACCTTGACTCCAAATCACTCAAGTCAGTCATTTGGATCACATTACGCAACGAATGCGCCGAATGGCCGTTTCAAGAGTTTGCGGCTTCTTTTTTCAAGACAGATGCATCTTTTCAAACCTTTCCCTCATGTCCAAGGTCGAGCTTAGCAGGGGTCCTATTTTTCATCAACGACGCCAGAATCGTTGAAACTTGGCCCTTCTCATTGCGCGATTGAATGCGCTTGCCGCTTCAAAGGGACAAAGCTGCGACTATCCGGTGTTCCATTCTTGTGCTTGTTAACAAGACGGAAACCAAAACCAACTGCTTTGCTCTCTCTCTCTTGGCAGCTTTTTGGCTATCCCAGTTGATTAAAAAGTTGCTTTTTCGAACTTTTTTTTTCGTGTCAAAATTTCATGAAATAATAAAACCAACAAGTATTTCTTTCTTAAATTAGCTATTTTTAATTATATAATTTTAATAATAATACTCATTCGGTGGATAACATATCGAAGCCTCTTCTCTGACCATCTTTCTTCAGGACATGAGCCCTCCAATGGACACCTCGGTGGACACGACCAATTCCAGCATGGACGATTCCGTCCAATCCGTCGTCCCCCAGCAAGCCACCCTCCAGCCACCCGTCATGAGCGTCCCCAGCTCAATCCCGCCGATCTACTACCAACAAGTAGCATAGAACAGAAAACAACCGGCGATACCTAACAAACCCTTCTAAATATTTTTCTCCACTTCAAATCGTATCGTCTAAAACTACATTTTCTTGTCATCAACCCACCTCTTTTTTCTCTCCAGCTGGAGTCCAAAAAAAGAGTGATTCTTTTCCCGTCGCCCAAACTTTTCTTTTTTTTTCGAATCCTTCGAATCCTTCTTTTTCAACCCTTTTTTGTAATTAATTCGATCGTTCATTCATTTCTTGGGAGACCCCGGAAGTGGGCTGCGATTTCTGATCTCGTGCAATTCAAAAACATCTTGTAAGTACAGCAAACTTGACCTCTAAAACTCGAAATATTATTATTATAATTGTTATCAACGAGAAAAAACCTAAAGCACTCACCCGGGGTCCTTCTCTCTCTTTGCTAGTGGGGGGCGTATTTTGTGGGGTTTTATGGGGGTTTTTCAGCCAATCAAAAAACGCCACAAAATTTGCCCTCCCTAGCTTCTGTGTAGAACGCGCTCAATTTTCAATTGTCAATTTTCTTCCTTTCACGAAAAGAAAACCTTCTCCCTCTTATCCTGTCTTTGATTTTTCGCAAAAAAGTAGAACTAGGTTTCGCAAATTTCACCTGAGCCTGGTACACCCTAAATCCCTCCCCAAATCCTAGTTTTTCACACATCGGCTTACAATCTTTGCTTTTTTTTGCTCCAAGCGAATCATTTTCCAGCTCGTAATCCGGGTTGTTTACGCGGCCGCAGTAAACATTAGCTTACCACTCGTTCTAGTACTACTAGTTGAGCATCGGAATGCGAAAAGGGTCCATTTCTTTCCCCCTGCAATCACTCCTCCTCCCCCTGGGTGATTTGTATGTTTATCCGTGCTGGTAATATTTTTCCCACGCTCTCTTTTTTTTAAACCTGGCGTACCACCCTTAGGATTACTGTCAAATGAGGGGGTCCACTTATAATTACTCGCCAGGGGATGCGAAAAAAGAGAGAACGGGGACTACTGGTAGCACTAGTACTAGAATACCAAATATCCAAGGCGCCCGTTCCGGTCAAGTGTTGTTTAGCCACCGCGCAGGACCGCAAAAATCTCAACCACGGTCCACTCCGATCTACCACAGAAACGACATGCCACCTCGCGGCCGCCACAAGAAAGAAAGGGAGGGAAGAAACATAGTTCAAGTTCGCCCTTTAGGAAAAAAAACCCCTCCTCTTAGGTTTCATCCATCGTGCCCGGGCCGCTCTCGATTAAATTGAAAAAAGAGGCTCACGGAAAATTGCCATGTGACCGCAGAGCGGGCAAAATGTCGCTCTACTGAATTGTATTAGACGACCAAAAAGTCGATCCCTCTCTTTCCATCCCTCTCTTTCATTCTGTGTTAGCCAGGAATTCCAATACACCATTGGCGCGACTATCGACTGCGGTTTTTTTTTCTATTTGCGTTCTTGCTCGATTTTCGACTCGTTCGGATTTTACGAGTTCATCCCCTTTTTTTTGTCTATTTTTGCAGTTTTATCTTTTGTCTCTGTCTTCCGTGTACACTGTACATAACACTACTGAACCAACTGGTTTTTACCTATCTTTTAATTGCGACCAATCGGAAGCGAGCCCGCAACATTCAAATTCGCTCTGTTGGCGCCACAAACCGAAAATCAACAAGTCAGTCATTGGGACCTCTCTCCCAGCTTCTCGTTTTTCGCTACTACTAGGAGCATCCTCTCCCCTCTTTTGATCAACCCCTCAACAACCGCGCGTTCAAAATTTTAAAATTTGAAAACCACCATTTCGTTCTTTCCTTCTTTTTTCGCTCTTTTTTTCATTTTTCGTTCGTTCTTTCTTTTTATTTCTTTTTTTTTCATGATTTCCCAAGTTCAATGCCACCTTAAATTCATTTTCGAGCACCCTAGTCTGTGATTAAGGGTATATCGCCGATAATTAAAATGCCGAAAATGTCCATGAATTATCGGCGCTGGACTTTTAATTTTCAAACTTTGGTATTTTCCGCTCAATATTTATAAAAAAAATGAGGCTCTCATTTAGGTCTATAATTATAATTTAAGGAACCAGCCGGTCCAAAAAATGTCTGAAATTTCATTCCTGTCAAACCACAACTAACTAAAACCCAACCCAAACTTACCAAAAAAAGACTAAGCCCTCCTGGCTGCCCAGTTTTCAACCTCTCTTATTTTACAGTGAAAAATCCACACCGTCCATTCTCGAAATTTTCACGCTGTTCTTCGACAAACCAAAAACCAAAACAAAACGTAATGTGACGTGTAAATACTGTACATTAGTAACATCGTCAGGATAAAAGTTAAAAAAAACTCTCAAGAAACATCTCATTTTGTTTCATTTTCTTAGATTACTAAAAATTTCAAATTTCAAATTTTCAATTTTAAACAACAAATTAAAAAAAACCCACTTTGAAAACTCTCACTTTGTCGTCTTACACCCCCTTATTCTTTCACCCCAGCTTTTTTTGTGTTTCTTTGAAAAAGTCTGAAAAAATGTGAAAAAAAACTCAATAAAAATTATCAAAAATAAAATAAAATAAATCCAAAAATAAAAAAGCTCGTTTTGATTCGAAAAGGCAGGAAATACAACTTGTCAGGAAAGAATTTAGTGGAAATGGATTTTCGGATTCTCGGGGAAAATTAATTCACCGACCGTGATCTTACATTTCTCGAGCATTTTTATGCGTTGCATCAAACTAGTAGCATTGGACCGGCTTGGCATGTGTATTCGAAAAAGCACGCGGAAAACCCTGTGCATTCGCTAATCCTTTCAGGTGACCAGCGAAAGTAGAATAGAAGGGACCTCCTGTCGCGCTGCATATTTAAAAGAAGCCATGTCGGCCTTCTTGTTATCCATTCCGTTCTTTTTGATTACTTTTTCATATGAAGGTTCTGGCGACTGTTTTAGGTAAAAAGAGTCGAAAAGAGTTCGTAACAGCGTTTTCTAGCTTCCGTTGCCCTCGGAGCGGCAGTTCGTGCGTCTCAACATCAAACAACGACGCTTCCTACTAGACAGGCTAGGCAAAATCCGAAAGGAGGAAGGTCGAATCATCAGAAGAAAGCGAGAACTCACGACGAGCGCGCAGGAAATCGGATGGAAGGTGAAAACGAGAGGCAGCAGGAACGACACTTTGTTGACACTCCAGCTCATCTTGACACCCCTGCTCATCTTGATACTCCTGGCGATCTAGATACTCCGCCACATCTAGGAAAATTTTGATATTATAATTTCAACAACAAAAAGTATAAAAGAGTTTTGAAATCATGGAAGACACCCCTCCTCATCTCGACTCTCCCAATGGGCGCCATGCTTCAGGAAAATACCAAAAGCGACATCACAGTCAACCAGACTCTCAAGCGGCAGGAGGAAAAGCTGGTAAATATCGCAAAACCGAGAGACAAACTTGGGACTCTCCTGAGACCCCGATGGACTCGATGGACTCGCCAGACTATTTTCACTACGACGAAGCTAGAAGAGACGCGCGAAGAAGAATCTATTCGCCAGAGTCACCAGCGGTAAACTTCTTAAATTCACAAGATATCTTCTCAAAAAACCTATTTTCAGGACCCTTGGAGTCCAGAAAGCCCCCGATCCCCTCAGTCTCCTGACTCGCCATGGAAAGGAATCATAAAGAGAATCAGCTGCCTTGAACTTGAGCCAGTTCTTTTCTCGTCAATTTTCGATCCATGAAAAACCTGATTCCTTAAAAGACTCCTGAATCTCCTGAAACTCCATGGGAAGCTTACTACCGCCACAGAGACCTGCGCTAGAAAGTCATCACTGTATCCAAAATACACTACAGTAGTTTTTACTCAAATAAAGATAGAAAAAAAGACGGAATTTCTTTATTGTCATTTGAGGAAGCTTCAAGACTAAGCTCAAGATTAATTCAAAAAAACGATAGTTCTGGTCAATAGTTCCGGCTTCGCAGACAAGAATTCATTCAAATATTTACTGTTAGATCTGGCTTCTTTTTTCAAAGTTTGAACTTTTAATTTTTCTTATCTCTAGCAAAATACAGTAAAACTAAAAGAGAAACGCAGGAATTAGTAAAACAACTGTCCAACATGTTTATTTTTCTTCATGGTCATACAGAGGCGTGAAAAAATGTACAGTACTGAGTGAGATTCTAGTACTAAAAGTACAATCAGATTTTTATTTACTTTTTTTTATATAAATAGTTTCGGCAAGGGATGAAAAATTGGTGATAGAGCAAGGACGCGAAATGGGGATTGGGAGAAGTATTGAAGGAGAACTTTGGAACTTTCGAAAGTTTCGAATTTTTTGAAATTCGAACATTGAAAAATGAAAATTTAAAAATGAACAACATTTTTCTTGATTTTTAACACTGGCAAGGATATTTCAATGCTTGGGATTTAGCTGTTATAATCACCTTGTTATGAAACTACGCGGAAAAACTCGGGAGAATTGTAAAATTGGGCTATTCTGGGTATTTTTTTGTTCATGACAAGGCTGAGGTTTAGTCGTCGTTCACTTGATCCGCTGCTTGCGATCACTTGATGAGCTTGACCTTGGCGTCGAAGCCGGCGCCGTTCTTTGAAGTGTCGCCGTTGATGTTGAAAAATATGCAAAACGAGGCCGAGTTGATGTCCAGGTACGGCACATACTTGGGCCGGTAGAAGCCGCACAGCTCGTAGAGAATCTTCGCGGATGCCATTGACTCGCGCTTTTTCGTGGTTTTTGAAAAGAAAATCAACGATGAAATCATCAAAAAGGATGTTTCAAGAACCGTTCCTCGCATGTGTTCGATGCATAAATCGTAATCGTATCCGATTTGTCGCAGAAAACTTCGTTGAACTTGTTTTTCTCGAGTTGGAGGACGCTAAAGTCGAGTCGAACTCTGTAGCCTTGCTTTTTCACGTGATCGGGGACCTTAATCAACCAGGCGCAGCTAGAAAAGCATGAGAATGGATCGCTCGTGGTCGAAATTTTACCTGGATCTTGATCTATCGAGGTATTTTTCCGGATAATCGAGGGAGGTAATTCTCACTTCTGGGTTGTCCAAATTGAGAGATTGAACCATATCACCGCCGCAACGACTTGGTGGAGAGTCGATTTGCTTGTAAACTGCGTTCAGACCAGCGCTGAAAGTAAATTTGTTAAAATGCCCGTGGACGTAACTACGCTCAAAATAAGATTAATCTGTGATTTCGAGCTTTCGGCAAAAAACAAATCGATCTAGTAATGAGATGACGATGTGTGTGTTAATTGCTCCCAAAAATTGGCATTTTGTGGGATTCTAGCCGGGATTTCGATTTTTACCTATTGCTAAATGTCCTTTCCCCGTTTTGGTCACTGCTGAAAATTAAGTTTGAGAAAGATTTTTTGATAAAAATGAAGCTCGAATTTAAAACGCTTTAAAATTTTCAATGATGAAAAAAAATCTTTCTTACCGTTCGACTTCGCCATTGGAAACGAATCTCAAGCAAATAGGCCCAGAGTTGATGATCGTATGAACATAGTCCTTCGATCTTCTCACGTGACACAAGTAGTACGCTTCTTTGTCCTTTGGTTCGACTAGTAAGTAGTCGCCTCTCTTCTCGCAGCTCTTCTTGCTGTCCAACTGGATTTCGTTGACGTCAATTTGTACAAAACCGCCAGAGCGAGCTGGCTTGACGCAAAAAGAACAGACTTGGTTTTTCGGATAGTTTTTCGGGTAATTAGCAGTTTTGAAGACTCCGCTGTCGGTTTGAAACACTCCGTTGCCATTTGGCGAGTCGCAGTTCAACTCTCCGTATGGTCGTTTAAGATCGGTTCCTGCTTGATTGACTTGTTTATTTTCTCTGATTGATTCGGAGTAGCATTCTTCCATCGAATAAGTAGGCTTCAAGCCGGTCTTTTCTTTCACCCAGTCGATCATCTTCGGAACATTCGTGTAAACACCTGGCGATCCTTTTCTAGCGCAGCCGTGTCCCCAAGAAATGATGCCATACAGAACCCATGGCGTTCCCACTGGTCCAGGTCGGCAAACCAGGGGTCCACCAGAATCACCAGAGCACGAATCTCGCCCTCCGTTTTCATAGCCAGCGCAGATCATATTCTCCGTTACTGTATCGTAACCGTGGAACTGCTTGCATCGCTCGCGATCGATGATCTTGGTTGTTCGAGTTTATTTAATGTGACAATAACTTGCGGAGCAGTTACCTTGACAGCGACTTCCTGGAGCATGTCGGGGAAGGAGTTGGTTTGAGAATCGATTCGGCCCCATCCGGTTGCCACGCAAGGAGTGCCTTCCGAAAAACAAACGGACTCTTTCGCCTGGGTTGAAAAGAAAAACTATCATTTTCAGGTTCATTTAGGGTCGGCTCTTTATCGAAAAATATCATGCTCTGAATTCAGTTAATCTTGTTTCAACCCTGTTCCTTTAGGAAGACACATAGGAGAAACCTTATCAGTGAATTCGACTTCGTCTTCCATTACGACAATGGCGATATCATTGTTGTAAGGCTCTGGCTTGTTCCAATTATGATGTCTGATAAAATGGCTGACAGCAACGTACTTGACGCGCTTCTTCGACCTGAGAAGAACGATGTTGCCTCCCTCGAATTTCGAGTTGGAGCCAAGCATCACGGAAGAAGAAGTGTGGATTTCGGGCACGCAGTGGGCAGCCGTGACGAGATGCTTGGGCGAGACGAGTGTGGCGCCGCAGACTTGGCAGACGTTCTTGCCGTTGTACCACTGACCGCAGATGTTCAAGTGCGCTTGCCAAGGCCAACTATGTTCTTTTGCAGCTTGACCGCCGATGATCCTCGTGCCGATGTTGTTGACGTAAGGACTCTTATTCGCTTGCTGAACGTTTGGATCGAAGCTGTTGTTTTGGTAAGCGAGACGATTGAGTCGCTGGAGGTATTCTCCAATCACTTCGAAATCTTGCTTTCCGATCCAGTTGTTGACAGTGTTTGGGCTCATGTGCTCATCATCTGCTGATCTTCCAAATCTTCGGATCTTACTGTATCCTCCGGGAATGGGCCTTCCAAAAGACGGTTTGCCGGAGATTGGCATGGACTGATACTGTGGTGCGCAATTTCCAGCTTCTGGATCGCACTTTTCGCTGTTCAGCCAACTCGGATTTGCTGGAGCTTCGGCGATTTTAGTTTCTGCTTGTGTTTTGAGTTCTTCGTATCTTAGCGTCATCTCCTGTATCAGCGAGTGCTGGCTTCGTACTGAAGTGATGTTAGTGCTGCTACTTCTACAGAGTGTTTCTTTTGCATTTCATTCATTTCATTATTACGCAACGCTCCTTCTAAAGCTATTTATACAGCAGGGTTGGGGCTGTTTTGATTTCGAATTTGCCCGTTTTGACCCCAAATGGAATTTAAGGCGCAATTTCATGGAATTTTTAAAGTACTACTACCTACTCACTAGCTCGTTTGGTTGAATTTAGGAGTTCCTCAATTCAAGTCTTTTCGTTTTCTTCAACTTTTTCACCTGGTAGATTGGCGAAAAGCTCCTTGTTTGGTTCATACTTGGGAACTCCGCAGTACGGCGGTACTTGGTATTTTGTGTAGAGTCTTGTATCTGCACTGGGCAGGGGTCAACCTAAACACTTCTAACCACTTGGAACTACACGCTGCTATTACTTTCTCTTCTACTGCACACCCTCTTTAGAACCCATCGATTTGAATTTCGGGCATAAGAGACACTTCCCTGTACAAATTCGATTAAAAAATATTGACAATAAATAAAATTAAACAGTTTAATTAAAGGTAAAATTAATAATTTGACTAAGAAAGACTTGTAAAAATAAAATAAAATTTTTCATTATTTTATTATTTTTTTAATTAATTATTTTATTAAATTATTTTATAATTTTTTTTAAATATTTTTCAAATGAATTCAGTCCATTTAATTATTATCAATATTATTATTACGAAATAATTGATTGCCCAGAAATCTTTTTTTTCTTAAAAAAAGTAAAGAAAGTTATTCTAAGTTTTAATTCTTCTACAGAATCGAACAGATGATCCCCCTTCCTGATCACCGAAAACAGTGCTGCTATAGAAATCTTCATCTTCGACTTCGACTCTTTTCTCTCTGTTTCTTCTTTTCTCGATATTCTCTTCTTTCTAATGTCTGTTCTCTCCCTTTCCGGGTTCTAGCGGGGTCTAAGCGCGCCCCTGAGGCTTCGCGGTTGTCTGATTGGGTCTAGTCAATGTCCGCAATTAGTGGCGTTTTGTCCTTGATCGACAGAATTCGTCGCTTTTTGGCGTTCTCGGTTCCCGCAACGTTCCCGAGGCCGATCAACGACAAGAAGCTCATTCAACGACGCCACCACACCACCGTCTCGCCTACAGGCTATTCCCATCACTTCCCAGTCCCCCAACACCAACCTTATGGTACAAGACACTAAAGTTACAAATGTAACTTACTGTAGCCACATCATTTTTCAAGACCTGAAGTTCAAGTCATTTGTTGTTAAGAAGACCAGTTGAAGCTTCAATTTTGATGAAAACAGGATCTCCTTATTTTACTTTTCTTTCAAATCAAAAATTTCCTTCTATGCTTAGATTTTATCCGCAAAATTCTTTGTTATGTTTATTCTGGAATAAGAGTAATGGAATATGCTTGAGGCAGGAGATACCATTTGGCTGTTTCCATATTGAAATGCTCGTTCACTATTGCAATCGACTCGTTGTTAGGCCCATGGTAGACGAAATCATTGAAGCAATTGTAGCAATCTTCTATCGTCTCGTAGGAAGCGTAAAATTCTCTCGAAAGGGGAATTCTGATTTCAGAGCCGGAATGCTCGACAAGTGTGTTTTGGAGAATGAATTCGGAGTTTTCGACTCGGTCGACCACCATTTGGTGGAAAATTATCAATCCGTCCGGATGAAGATAAGCGCCAGTGACAGTAAAGGGGCGAGTAAACATGTATTTGGGATGAAGAAAGACTTAAAATCATTGTCAAATTAAAATTTTCATGAAAAATATTAATTTGAAAAAGAAAAATATTTTCAATCGAATTTTTACCTTCTTCAAAATCGAACGCCCCTGTTGTGGCTTCATCTGTATCGAGACCTTTTACCATTTCCCATCCGCTTTTATTCAAATAAGTTCTGAGTTTGATTCTTTTGAGAAGCAAATCAATTTCGTTTTCTTGAAATTCTTGTTCTTCATTCTTTGGATTGAGATTGAATCCAGCCAGACTGCGCGGATAAATTATCATTGTCAGTATCGTGAATATTTTTACGAGAGAAAAATATGCTCTCATTTCAAAATAATCGAAATGATGAGTTATTAAATCATTTTTGATCGCCCATCTCAACAGCGTACTGACTGAAATGGGGACACACAGATCGCTTTCTTTCTGATTTAAAACATTCTTCGACACATTTTTGAAGTCAAAATTGATATGTTTCGAGAGTTTTGGTTTGAGATAGGCCATTGCCAAAGACTTCGTCAAATTTGGATCGTCCAGGCAAAAATCAGAAGACGCGCTTTTTAAAGAAATTATTCTTGTCAGTTTTTGGATTTGTTCGAAAGACGGGTCATCGTTTGAGAGCCACTCAGCATTTGACACCTTAAAGATCGAAGGTATAAAAATATAGTAAAATCATTATCACGTGAATGTCACCTTTAATTCTTCTTTAATTTTTATTCTTTCGTTTTCTTCGATCGGCTTGAATAGAAGACTCCAAGCTGTTTTCCAGTCGCAAAGTATGAAAATGTGAGTTGGTGATGCATTTCCTCCGACTCCGACAGAAAGTTGTACACTTTCCGAAAAAGCGGGGGATCCGGCATCTGCGGAAAAGATAATAAAAAAAAAACTGCAGTGAAAAACTCACATAAATATTCACAATTGTAATACTTGCTCCCTCTCCTCACATATCCCATCTCTCGGTAGCTCATTCGTCCAGTCAATTCTTCAACGATCCCGAAATCGATTAATTTAACTTCTCCATTTTTAAGAAGAATATTTTCTGGCTTCTGGTCATAATGTAAAATTCCAATTTCCCACAAATACTGGTTTCCCTCTAAAACTTCGATCGCGATTTTCTTTCTTTCTTCTAAGTTCAAATCTTCATTTTTCAATCTGTGTCTCAATTCGAACTCGCATTTCTCCATTATTGTTATCCATCCTATGCAATCTTCTCTCTTTTCATCATTGCTGGGGAAAATCTCGACATTGACGAAATTTTTTATAACATTTTGATGAATTGGAATAACATTGGCTCGATCATTTTCCCTATCTTCAGCGATTTGGTATTCTGAAAGTTCGAAAGATAGAATAGAAAACGAGCAAATCTACCTTTTGAGAGATGAATTTCAAACTCCAACTCCTCCTCTTTATCCGTAAACAGCGCCGGATCAAAGGCCTGAACCCGAACAGCCACATCCAATTCTCCAATTTTTTCTTCCAAAACAATCGCTTCTCCACCGGCCGCAATTACTTTCTGCTGAAGATATTGATCAAGAATCCATTTCCCAGTTTCTTCTTTCAATTTTGATCGTTGAATTGATGGTTTTACAAAATTTGTATTCTTGTCGAGGATCGTTTTTTGAAATGCAGTTATTGTCCATTCTTCTGCGAAACCGTCTAAATCATAAACTTTTCCTTTTTCATTGTCAAAAACAACAACATGCCAATCAGCAAAACGATAATTTTTAAATTCCACCCTCTCAACAGACAAAATCAATCTTTCCAAATCATCTCTGCTCGTTGTTCTTTCCAATTGCTTTCTAAAATCTCCAAGCCAATTCTCAACGGCTTCTCTTGTCAGTTCTTTTGGATGCGTCGAAACTTGCATTTTCTGAAGATGTTTATTTCTGAGTATCAGAAATTTTTCTCTATAGGGCGATATCGTTGTATACTGTGAAAGACCGATCAGCTAAGTATTTACAACTTACTCAGTATTTTACGATGCGGTTTTTATTATACTTATTCGAATTGTTTCGAAGGGTCAGCTCCCTCAAGAATTTCAAGAGCAGTAAATAAAAAAAGGAAAGCTTTTTAGTTACTCATTCAACAAGTTCCAATTTTGAGACAATTATTTTACGGTCATAAAAAAGTCATTAGTGTGTAAAAATGTACGACGAGATCGAATAACGAAGCCTTTCCCTAATTTTACCCTTCATTAGTTTCCAGCTCTTCTTTCTGAACTATGGTTGATAAAATTATAATCGTTCAATCATCAAAAGTACCTCGAAACTCCAATTCAGAAATCAAGGAAGAGAACTTGACTCTCCTTTTGTCTCCTTTTTTGGAGGTTGATTTTTGTGAAAACTGCCGTCTGTCATCGCGCTGCAGGTTTTGGTGATTTTCGAAAATTCACGAGGTGAGAAAGGTGGCCGCAGCGGTGGCCCTTTTCGCCAAACTCGCGTCAATTAATTGCTTTTCAACTTTGAGGCGCAATTAACGCAGGTTCATGCGTCAGCACCTACACCTTCGAGTACTTAATTATCCCCACGCTCTCAGCACTACTGCACATTGTGCACCTGACGTGCTTTTAACGTGAAATTCCAGCGAAAACAGTAAATTGCTAGTATTTGCAACGGTGGTGACAGTTTCTGTTCGATAATTTGCGCGAGCCCAATTAACCGCTCCTTGCAATTGCTGCCGCCTAAATCATTTCTCAATTTTCACAAACTGATCTGTTATAAATACATCAATCGAAGCACAGCTTCTGCGAGAAGAATTGCTAATAGTGGAGCTTAATTCCTTCTCCTGATACTACCTAGTCTAGTTTATCGTTTATTAGCTCTATGGACAGAGAAAGATCGAGTCCTGGGCTTGGCAACCTTTGTAGAAAACCTGAGTCAGGGTCTGAAAGGTCTTTTATGAAAAGCTCCGTCGCGGCTTTTTTAACAAAGCCGCGAAGCGGCTTCGCCACGATTTTCGCGGCTTTTCAAAAAACCTTTCAGACCCTGACTTAGGTATTCTACACAGGTTGCCGAGCCCCAATCAAGTCACAGTATCGTTAGCTTCTTCTTTCCGTAGTTTGTTTTGTCGGAACGATGGATAGAATAGTCTGGGTTCCCTTTGAATTGTTCTGCAAGTTGAATGAAATCGTCCGTCGCCTCAAAACTTGCAGCGAAAAATTGATGCAGTAAAGAAGTCCGAGAATCTCCGCTAGTAGTTGAGTTATGTCTTAAGAAACCCATTCAACCCATGAAGGCGAAAATTGAGGGACAAACCTAAAGAACTCCAGGAAAGAATCCAATCGATGATCGTATGAGAGTCCAGCCACTCGTACCACTCGTTGATGTACTCACAAGAAATCATCCGTTTTTCGCAAAAAATATTTTTTTCTCAGCTTTTTTCTAGGCTGATTTTTTGGAAGCAAAACAAGAGCCACATATCTAGAACTAAACAACTTGACTTAGGCTCGGTAATCTGTATTAAAAAACCTGAGTCAGGTTCTGAAATTCAGAATCTGAATAGCTCAAATGAAAAGCCGCGAAGCGGCTTTTAAAAACGAAGCCGCAAAGCGGCTTCGCCGATATTTAAAGTAAATAAGAGTGATTGTATTGCGAAGCCGCTCTGCGGCTTCGTTTTTAAAAAGCCGCTTTGCGGCTTTTCATTTGAGCTATTCAGATTCTGAATTTCAGAACCTGACTCAGGTTTTTTACACAGGTTGCCGAGCTTAGAACTTCGCTTGCCAAAGAAGAAATTTCAAAGATCAACACGCATTAAAAACACACATTTCCCGTGACCTGTCTGAAAGAGGGACAAAGCCATAAAACGCTAATGCGTTAACTGGGCTGAAATTGGGGATTGGTTTTTGGATGATTTGCACGGAGACGGCTCTAAATCTTTAAATTACACGCCACTGGCCTCGCTGCCACGGCACTGTCATCAACCTCTACCAATGCAAAGTGCAATTAGCATCGATTAACACACTTAATTGGATCTTACAACTATTTCGCGCGTCGTCGTCTTTTTATCAATAATTATTTGGTACAATTACATTTTATTGCTCTGACTGTATTTTTTTTTCATGAAGAACTGTATCATCGTGAGCTCGGAAGCACGTGAAGAAAGCCTGAGTCAGGACTCAAAAGAGCTCGAATAAAAAGCTGCATAGCGGCTTTTCTGTAAACGAAGCCGCGTAGCAGCTTCGCTAAAAATACACTATAAACTATTATTTATTCTGGCGAAGCCGCTATGCAGCTTCGTTTACAAAAAAAGCCGCCTTGCGGCTTTTCATTCGAGCTCTTTTAGTCCTTGATTCAGGTCTTCTACTTGCGACTTATTTCAATAATTTTTGCAATTATGATTCAATAAATCCTCCTTAATTTACTAGCATTATCAAATAGAGCGCTAGAAAACTGCCTTGATCGCCCAAATAAGGATGCTGTTTATTACCTCTCGGGCACATGGCAAAGAAATGATAACGGCGGGATCAGCGGATGAGTAGCGCCCCCGCGTGCCCAAATATGCATTCGGGCACTCGCCGTGTCCTCGACCAGCGGAAATCTAAATCAGAATTCGATAAGGTCTGCAACCAGCAACACCTTCTTTTGAGAACAAACACAAAATAACAATGGATTTTTATACGGAAACAGTCTCGCGATTTCCCAGCTTATGGCAAAAACAGGTATTCATTTTCAAAAACGGGCAAAATAAAAATACTTCCATAGGAATATTTCCTCTTCTTTTGACTCCTCCAGTCGTACGACAAGCAATCGCCCAGCAAGCTCAGCAAAGAAAACCTCTTCAAGAATCACCAGCAAATCAGAGCCAAAAAGTAAGCCCCTCTTTCCTTCCAATCCTCATCGTCTCCCAAGAAAGCAAAGAAACGATCCTTCCGAATCGACGACATTCTGAGCGAGGAGCAAAACGCCACTCCACTCAATGCTCTGCTGGAGCTGACTCATAGCAACTCTTTTGGATCGTCGGGAAATGAGTTCTCGGCGATTTTGGGAAAGAATCATCGGTCGAAAAAACGAAGAAAAAGCAGAACTGCGTTTTCAAATTTCCAACTACAGTAAGGAATAGACAAAGACTCATGAATTAACAGTTGTTTTCAGAGAGTTGGAGAAGCGATTCGAGCATCAGAAGTATCTTACTCCAAGTGACAGGGACAATGTCGCTGATACTCTTGGACTAACTTCTACTCAGGTAATCAATCAGTCAGATAATGTTGATATTCATTTTGTTTTTCAGGTGATCACATGGTTCCAAAATCGCCGAGCAAAGCTGAAACGGGACAAGGACGAGAGCTCACCATCTTCGAAATCGTCCAAAAATCGAAAGGCGCTGGAGAGAATCATCATCGACGAAGACTCTCCTCCAGCTAAAATTGCGAAACTGCCACAATAAAAACTGTATGATTTGATTTCACTTTACCATGATTTCAATAAACAAGTAAATAATAAAAATGAAAGTGTTGTTGAGGCCCCATAAATTGTCTAAAATATAGGTGTCTCATGATTCAGTTCGGCTGCCCATTTAACTCTGTTTTTAAATATATCTCTATTTTTTGAAAATAAAGAATTGAAGTCAAAGAAGATCGTCAAAAAGAATCGTTTTCCATGATTTTAAAATGCCCTTGTGATTGATAAGAGTGTTTATTCTGAGATGAGCTGGGTGGTGTAAGCAGTAGGAAGAAGATACCAGGTGTTTTCGTCCATGTTCTGTAAATACTGGTTAACGAGTGTGAGTTTGATTTCGTTGTCTTGGTAAACGTTGCACTCAGTTTGGTTGACAAGATTGAAGATGTATTCGGGAGAAGCGTAGTATGGACTTTTAAGTGGAATGCGGAGAACTGAACGAGGCTTGTTTGAGTTTGATAGAAATATTTTACCAGGAGAGTGGTCCTTGAAATCGGAGTTTTGGAGAACGTACTGGCCGTTTTCGACCCGGTCGAGCGTCATTTGGTGGAAGAGGAGATCGCCGGAAGAGGGTAAATAGGCGCCAGTGACTGTTGCTGGACGAGTGAAGGTGAAATTTTCGTTCAGAGTCACTGGGTTTAGATTGGGGTTATTTAAGATGAATAACCCGAACTGATTTGACAGCTTGATTTAGGTGGAAAATCTTTTACATAAGATTTGTTTTCGTCATATACTCCTCTGATGATTTGCCATCCACTTCTCATGAGATAAGTTTCTTTGCAAAGTCGGTTCAAAAGAATCTCGATTTCGTTTTCTTGCTTTTCTTTTTCTTTTTTGTTGGGATTCAAATTGAGTCCGGCCAAACTTCGCGGAAAGACGATCATCGTCAAAGTTGCCAGAATTTTTTCAAATGTGCAATGACCGTATTCGTCTTCAAAAGCAAGGTCATTTTTGATGGCGTGTCGGAGGAGAGTGGTGATCGAAATTGGGACGCAAAGTTGACTAGTTTTTTGGTCGAAGACGTTTTTCGTCAAATTCTGCATGTTTTGGTTGACGCACTTTGTCGCGTTTTGTTTTAAACTCGACATTTTGCAGGATTGAGTCAAGTTTGGGTCATCAAGGCAAAAAACGGTAGACGCGTTTTTCAGTGAGATTATTTTCGTGACTTCTGAGAAGAAATTCCGAAATGTTGAAATATAGAGAGGCTTTTGATTCAATTTTTTGATTGAGGTTGCTCCACACTTCTAAAAAAACAAAAATTACAAAACAAACAAATCAAGCTCTTACTTCAACAATTTTATCTATTTCTTCTCTTTGACCATGATCGAGTGGTTGGTAAAGAAGTGTCCGCGCAGTCTTCCAATCGCAGAAAAGAAAATAATAAAGATTAAAAACAGTATAACCAGCTCCAATCGCGATTTGAGCTTGAGAAGTGAATCCCGGCGTCCCAGCAGCTTCAAAATTTGTAAAAATTGAAAATTTCCAAAAACTTACTAAGAGCTCTACCAGTTTTGTATTTTGTTCCTCTTCTGGCGTACCCCATTTCTCGGTAGTCTTTTCGTCCGCTTCTTTCCCTAACGAGCCCGAAGTCAATCAGTTTCGGAGTTTCACCAACAAGCAAAACGTTTTCTAATTTCAGATCATGATGATGAATTCCACGACTCCACAAACATTCATATCCATCCAAAATTCCATTCGCAATCTTCTTTCTTTTTTCCAAATCAATCTTTTCTTCCTTCAACAAAGTCCTCAAATTTGCCTCTCCTCTCTCCATAATCGTAATCCATCCCAAACAATCTTTTCTTTTCTCGTCTCTCCCAGAGTTGGTAAAAAAGTATACTTCACTCGCCCTTCAGAATGAAGTATACTTCATGAAGTATACTTCAGGGCGTTGCAGGGCGTTGAAGGGCGTGAAGTGTACTTCCGCCCTTCCCTCTACTTCAACCGCCCTTCCGCCCTTCACTCTACTTCAACTTGGTTCTGTCGGCCATCAGAATCCATCCGCCAGAATTTTTTCAAATTTTCCGCTTATTGGCTCTCAGGCGCCATGATTTAAACCACGCTGATTGTGGCAGATGAAGTGGCAGCTAAAGTTTTCGATAAGAACCGATAGCTGAAGTATACTTCAGCACGTGAAGTATACTTCAGAGCCATTTCGTACTTCACCGCCCTTCAAGAATGAAGGGCGCCCTGCAGATTTTTGAAGGGCGGGGGGAAGTATACTTTTTTCCAGCTCTGGTCTCTCCCGTGAAACAGCTCAACATTCACAAAGTTGTGGATAACGTTTTTATGGTATGGCATTTGATTCTCGGCTTCTGATGATTCTTCGTTTTCCGATTTTTGTTTTGCTGGTTCAAATTCTCAAAAAAAAACTTAAAAAAATATTTCAAACCCGTCTTTACCTTTAGAAAGATGTATCTCGCAAGTAAATCCATTTTCTTCAAACTCCTCCGTGAAAATGAACGGATCAAAGACCTGCACTCGCACAGCTGTCTCAAGCACGTCGAAATTTTCAGCAAGCACAATCGCTTCTCCCCCTCGCGAAAGCACCTTCTCCTCCAAATCGTCATCTAATTGCCAATCACCAGACTCTTCCTTGATTTCCCATCGTCCAATTGTGTTTTCGATTAAAGACGGATCATTTTGAAGAATTTGTTTTTGAAAATTTGTCTGCTCAAACTCCTCAAGTTTTCTATTTTTTCCGTTGTAAATCGTTCCACAGCCTTCTTTATCAAATTTTAAGAGTTTCCACGAACCAGCATATCTATCATTTTCAAAATCAAGTCGCTCGACCGATTCCAAAAGTCGACATTTCTGCGTCCGCGAAGTCGTCCTCTTCAATTTCGGAAGAAATTCTTTCAGCCAACACTCAACTTTTTCCCTTGACAGTTGAGAAGGATGATCAGTGATTTTAAGTTTTGTGAGTCCGATTTTGTCTTCCATTCTCTCTTTTTAATTTTGCTCTCTGAGGAAAAGCGTTTTAACAAGTCTGATGAAATCTTTACATTTACGGCATTAACGACCTTTTTACGAGCGTAAGATTTTAAGGACCGACCCCCCCCCCGTCAGTTTTTTTCGAAAAATCGTATTTCGGAATTTTATAATTTGGACCCCAGAAATGGATTCTGGGATGTGGATTCTTTTTGGGGGTCTATCTCGACTCTAACACCCTCAAAATTCCATTTGAAAATTGTACTTTTCGCCGAAAATTGACGAGTTTGCCCTAATATCGGTAAAAATATTGATTTTTCTTTGTCAAAACTACCTCTCTTGGTGTTGACATCTTGTTTTATAATTCTTTTTGTTTATTTGTTTGAGCTTTCCGAATTAAATTCCATCTTCAGAAACATGTGAGTGGCAAATTTGGGTGTAGGGCGGCTTTGTTCGCAATTTCAACTTGCCAATTTGCGAACGCCGTTCGTAATCTTGCGAACGCCGTTCGCAACGAGAAAAAAATTTTGCCGTGAGTGTGCGCTTCGCGAATTTTCTTGTAGAGAACTCATTGGCTTTGCAGGAGCAGTCTTTTTCTACCGCTGGGACACATTTTGAAAAAAGTTGTGAACGATTTTCGGGCAAAAATTTTTCGATTTTGCGAACGCCGTTCGTAATTTGCGAACGCCGTTCATTTACCCGTTCCTTCCAGCTTTTCGACTTCGTCTTGCAAATCGGAATGTTTTGGCCGATGGCTGATGTAAACAACATAGCTGTTGTTTAGGTGATCACATGCTTCCAAAATCGCCGAGCAAAGCTGAAGTGGGACAAGGACGAAAGCTCACCATCTTCGAAATCGTCGAAAAATCGAAAGGCGCTCGAGAAAATCATCATCGACGAAGACTCTCCTCCAGCTAAAATTGCAAAACTGCCACAATAAAACTGTCCGATATGATTACACACTTCCATGATTTCAATAAATCGAATAAGCGTTTTTCGCCAAATAAATGTTTCATTTCGAGAATATATTTTAATGACTCAGAGAGCTGCTTTCTGAGTGGTCAAATTATATCGAGAGGATACCGTCAGGTTGAATTTCTACAAATCATCTCATAGAGAATCTGGTATGCAGAAAGCCGATATACTTCCTGTTCCATACCCTCGTGATGTTACTTCGTATGGCACTTATGGCCAATGCCATGAGTGTAAATAGTTGAGTTCGATAAAATAAATAATTATGATCTAATAGATCATTATATAATATATTATATATTATATATAATTTATAATATATAATAATATATTCCTCTATAAATAATTTGTAGTGCTGTTGATTCAACTGCCGAAATCCGAGGAAAACGCATTTGCAGTGAATGCAAAGAGAAGAAATATCCCAAATCTTCGGCGAAATTTCAAGCCACCGACGCAACCTTCAAATGTCCCGCGAGAAACTGTGAGGCGGATAAACTCTCTTATCATGAATTTTATGTTGGATCATGTTGCGACACCGCTTTGAACAGAGAAATCACAGCCGGTAATAAATGATAAAATATTATATAAATTCGAAAATTGATAATTTCTTAGCCTACTCAATGTCAATCTTTTCTTAGAGAAGGAAGAAGAATGTGTGCTTATGCAAAAGCTTTACAAACAAGCGAAACAGGACGAAAAGCCTTTTATAAAAGAATCTTATGATTCTCAATTCGCTATGTACGATGCAAAAGAAAAAGTCAGAATGTTGGAGTGGCAACTTGATGATGCCAAAAGTGAACTTACAATCGCAGAAGACAAATGTGCAGCAGCAGAGAAAAAGCTCGAAACCAAAAAAGAGTGGCGCAGGAAAATTCAAAAGCGTCTTTTTATCGCCGCCAGAACAGTTGCAAAGATAGATAATAGAGCTTTCGGTAGGATCAAAATATTCAATAATCAATGATTAAATTTTTCAGAAAATGAGATTGCACCAAAGAAGGCGAGGCAGAAGGAAGTGAATGAGAAGCATCAATGCAGAATCTGCCTCCATCCGTACGATGATGAGCGCCCAGAGGCGATCATCATTCCTTGCGCGCACAAATTCTGCTTCAACTGTATCTCAGCCCTTTCAGACAAAAAATGCCCGAATTGCCGCGCCGACTTTGCTGACAACAATGTCTACAAAACACATTGAGCCCTTCGCTGTCTTTTAGTTCACTATCGAAATTTGCACAGAGCTCCGATCTCTATCGTCGAGTAAATATCATTTATCAAATTGAAAAATAAAACAAAAAAATCCCTCAAATGTGTCTGAATCAAGAGGACTGAGATTGAACCTCTTGCATTATTTCAATAAATAGAATAAGCTTTTTATTGTATAATATGTACAGAAAAGATGGCTCAAAGTATTTTCTTCTTCGATTCTTGTTGTTTTTGATGACCAAATGTGGCACTCGCATTTTACTGCTTTATCTCATCAGTAAAATTGAAATATATAAATATGTACAGCTGTGTTTTGAAATTTAAGATGCGTTCTGTAAAAATTATCTGGAATGGAGTTATGTAAAAAAGAAGGGTCGAGCTTTTAGCAGGTTGGTTCTTGGACGATTCGTGGTCGAGGCTTTTCAAGGGTTCAAATTTTAGCTCTCCTTAATTTTGGTGGGAAAATTGATCATTAACCCGTTCCTTCCAGCTTTTCGACTTCGTTTTGCACCGCGTGTAAAACATGCCCGTGGCTCTGACTTCCGTTCCTTTGCAATAAAACAGGCATTCTCCATGACTGTTGCAGCGAGCATCAATCTTCGTCTGATCAAAAAGATGATCTCGTCCAGTCTCGGCATATCCATCCAGAGTGCCGCATTCGGTCGACTGTACGTTGCTTTGGGGCTCGCAGGTCAGAGACTAGAAATTTTGTTCAAATTAGAAGTCGCGTTCTCTTCAATATTGGACTGCTCTTAGAGAAAAAGTACCTGCTTCGGAATGTTTTGGCCGATCGCCGATATCCAAGTGCGCTGACCTCGGCACCTGACTGAAATGAGGGAGGGAACATAACCAGCTGGGCAGTGCAGCCAGCACTGCTCATCCATCGATGAGCATTTCCACTCAATCGGCACGGGCGAGTTTGGCTTTAATAACAGTCATTTAGAAAACTTTGCAATGGAAAACTTTTTCTTACGTCAACAAACTGGGCGATATTTCCGCAAGAAACTGCATTAGCATCGAGTGATTGCCTTGTTTCTTCGATCCAACTAAAGAACAAATATACATCAACTAATCAACAGTATATATCTTACTCTAGATAGTGCTGGACTCTGGTGTACACTCCCGGTTTTTTATCGACAGCGCATCCTTCTCCCCAAGAAGTAATTCCGGCCAGAATGGCGACATGGTCCCTGTACTTGCTATTTCGCTGCTTGAGGACAACCAGAGGTCCGCCAGAGTCAAACGTACAAGTGTCTGTTTGATTGTCTCCCGCACAGAAGGAAGTTTCTGTATCGACAATGCCCGAGTAGCTGCTCTTACAGCTAGAATCACTTACCAGCGGCACCATCGCATTTTTCAACTGCGTCGGAAGAAGCTCTCCATAGCTCGCGGAGCCTATCATACCTGTCAAACCCCAGCCGGCTACGAATCCGTGCGTTTCGCCGTCGAAAATTCCCTCTTCGTGGCCCGGAAGGGCGATTGCCTGGATTCGTTCATCAAAATCGACCGGCTCGTTTAGAAGGACCAGGCAAATGTCGTTAGTGAGCTTTTCTGGCTGGAAGTCGGGATGAATTACCTTCTTCTCGGCGCGGCGATTGACCGAGTTTGCGGTATCGCTCAAACTCCTAGGAAAATTATCATGGATTGGCCTTAACCCTAACCCTTACCTGATGCCGATTCGCAAGATCATATAATCAAACGATGCTTTTTGGCAGCAATGCGCAGCAGTGAGCACAAATCTGTTCGAAATCAAGCTCCCTCCGCATAAGCCGCCGATATCGACCATAAACTGCCAGGAATTATCAACAACGTCGAAGCCGCCAATGACTCGATTACTCGTCGTTTCTCGGCGAACACGTGGTTGCTTTCTCAACTTTCGGATTCTTTCTCGCTCCGCTTTTTTGATTCTTTGTAGGGCGAGTTTGCGGCTGTTGATTACTTGAGGAATCACATATTTCAGCTGGAAAAGGTCAAAAAGTTAGGATTCTCTTCCTTGATTTCAGGAAATTTAGCATTTACCTGCCATTCTCCTCCGAATTCCAGCTGATGATTGGAGACCATTTGGGACAAGTACGAAAACGGCTCACTCTTTGGCTGACTGTTTGTCATTTGAGCGGACATTAAGCCGCACGCGCCGGCTAGCTGGAGAAATAACTTCATGGCGATTTAAATCTCTCTCTGCGCAAAGGTAAAAAGCTTCTTGTAAAAAAACGATGGACTCCGGTTTGAGTTCACGCGCTGCTCTATAAAAGCAAAAGCACTTTGGGAATGGGAGCGCTCGTGATCGCGAAACGCGCTCATCATCGATGGCGAGCGCGCTTTGGCGCCATCGCAGCCATCGGAGCTGCTTCAAGGCTGATGATGATTGCTGACCTGCTGCTGGCTCTTCTACGATTACATCATTTGAATGGACCACTGCTTTTTTCTGCGGCAGCGGGATTTCATTTCTTACTCCTGTATTAAACAATTCTTCCAGTATTCGAAGGGTTTCTTTCATCCTTTTCCTGTCTTCCGAAGACCAAGACATTTCTTGAAGATTTGATTGAAGATCGATCGAAATCAAGACTTTTAGAAACAATTCCGCGCCAACCACATCAAGTTGAAAATGACCCCTCCCCACAAGTGGAGCTACGTAAGTGCATCAAGAAGTGCACAAAAGTTAACTCTACCAATGCTACATTGTAACTACACGTGACATTCGACAAGCAGCTTCGAATTTGACGCTTTGAATGTATCAAATTCAAGGCGGGCACCATGATTTTGCGTTTTTCCTCGGCTCATATGATCGAGATAAAGTGACTTCATCATGATTTCTCCTAATTTTCAGGTCACAAGAAGGGTCTTACGAAAGCACTTTCTTATCAAGTTGACCCCTGAGAAGTTATCAGCAGGAATAACCCAGTAGAGACGAAGCTTGAAACTGATAATAAGTGATAAGGGTCGAATTAGAGCTAGAATCGGAACCCTAATGTTTTGCACCGTATCCTTAATTTTCATAACTTTCCGGAGCATAGAGTTTTCTACGGTAGCAATTAGCCGGGTCACGTGTAGAAACTTTCAGGTCAAATGCTGACGTAAATATTCGACCTTTTCTACTGCAAATATTTTTGCCCGCAAGTTCATCTTTTTATCAGTTCGAGAGAAAAGTGTTCAAGAAAAGTGTGTTGTTAAAAAAAGATAATGATTTGGGAAACGTTTGATTTTCGATTCGATTTTCGCGGATAACGTGAAAGTTCAGCTCAACGAGATTTTTGGATCTCAAAGTTCGCGGATCTCAGTAAGTGGAATCAAACGACTGTGACGTCGGATTAATGAACCAGCGGGAGAGTGTTCTTCTTCTCAAGCTTTTTCTAAATTCAGAAATACAATTTCGTTTTCAGTTAAAAAAGGCTAAGCCGAGAGAGTTCTCAAGAATCCGCTAGCCGTACGTAAAGATTCCATCAATTTTACTTTTCCCTTCGCTTTTGACATGTTCAGAGAATTCCCGAACACGGAAAATCATCCCTTTTGCTGAACAAAAACGTGGGAAAACATCTATTTTTCTACAGATTTCTAGTGAAAAAAAAACGAAAATGAAAGAAGGAACCAGGGCAAAATTGGATGAAAAACATGTTGGAAATTTGAATACAGAATGAATAAATAAGGAATGAAGAGAAGTTACAGTAGAAATTATTAATTGAAAGGACCATCATATGGGGAGATATACTTCAATTTTCGCGATGCGATATTGGCCTTGAAAGAGCTGGAGTACTGGAGGAGCATTTTTTCTTCGCCGATTTCCTAAAAAACGAAAAATAAAACGAGTAATTCACCATTGCTTCTTACCAGGATTTCGGCGGCAGCGGACCCCCAAGCGTCCCATACCAGGTCCCCAATCTGGTATTTGTGATTTTCGGGTGTTTTGTTGCGTCCTCGAGTGAGCTTAATAAATTAGATAATTCAATTAAATTATAATTATAATTTGTATTAGTAAGAGCTATCAATACTCTTCCATGTAAAAATATTATTTTTGGGTTTTTTTAGAACTTACCATTGTAGAAACTTAGAAGAATCTGATTCCATAGCTAAGTCCGGTCAACCTAAAAACAAATCCTCATAAACATTCTAGAAGCGATAGTCACGTGATCAAAAAAATTTCTGATAAAATCGGAGAGCTTCATCAATATGATGCACCTTTTTATTGAACCTTTCTTAATTAAAAAGTATAATCAAACATTAGAAGGAAAATTCTTTAAATAATTATTCTAGTTTTTCTGATAGAAGGACTTACTTCCGGAAAGAGAGAGTTTCCACGTGACATCACATGATTATCAATGCTGGCCAACCCTCTCTCCGAGGTCGCATACTTAGCCCGAATAATCGACACGTACTGAAAGGTAATTATGAGAAACTTAGCGCTCTAAAAACCCTTTTTTCAAATTTTTCCCACATAACAAATATTTGAATTATAACAAAAAAAATTTCACAAAACTGTACTTCTAAAACAGTCACGCCCAATCAGTCCAATTTACAGCTCTTTTTTCTCTGAAAGATCTGAAATAAAAAGCCGCACAGCGGCTTTTTTAAAAAAGAAGCCGCAAAGCGGCTTCGCTAGAATTTTTGATATACTGAAATTGTAATATTAGCAAAGCCGCTCTGCGGCTTCGTTTTTTTAAAAGCCGCGCAGCGGCTTTTCATTTTAGCTTTTTCAAACCCTGATTCACGTTTTCTACGCAGGTTGTCGAGCCCAGAATTGCCCCCTATGGAGATCTAATTCTTGAACCTTTTTATATGTAGATTTGATTGATTTTATATAATCGAGTCTGGATCGGCGGGCAATAGGAAAAGATTGATGGGCGTTTTGAAGAAGGTTCCTGATGATTGTGAATTTTTTGAAGAAAGGATAACTAGCCGGTCTGAGCCAAGTTTTACTTTTTGTTGGATCTTCCAATTACCCCGCGCTAGAGGACGAATTCAGCACATTTTGACAAAAGTTCAATTTCTTCCTTTTTTTCCAGAGAACTTGTGAACTGTAAGTAAAAGACTTAGAAGAGAATAAACGGCATGTTCCCATGTAATCCGTGAATTTGACCTTTGGCACGGTTACATGATCAAAATCTTCTTGGGCACGTGCCTGAACTAACTAGTTTTGATCATTGTTGATGCCTGTTTGTTGTTTGCAGAAGTCTGTTTACTAAAGTGTCCTCGCAGCGGCCGCCTGAATTTGATCTAGATCCAGCAGCGGGTGCAGTTCTTTTTCAGCAAGAGAGAGGGTCAAGAAGAACCACTTTTCTTTTCAACTTTCAAACTTGGGAGAAGATGAAGCTCCTCAGGGCGCTGAGTTTATCCCTTGGAGTTGTCAATGCTGTTTACTACTCCAGGAAGAGGTTTTTCAACATGTTTTTCTGGTAATTTTTCTTTGAAAAAAAACCGAGAAAATGGCCCATTTTGAACCTGGACTCGGCAACCTGTGTAAAAACCTGACTCAGGTTTTTACACAGGTTGCCGCGTTTCTAGGGTAACTTTGATCGTTTCAACGAACTTTAGTTTCGTCGAACGCAACTTGTTGATGTTTATTTATATGAAACTCTCGCTGGAATTGAACATTCTAGTGTTGTCTAAATTTCTTCAAGAAATTCTTTGGTCAAGTGTCCAGCGCGCTTGTGAACCGTTATTTGATTACGTTGATTAAAAATCATCCTTTCGAGCAAAAACAAAGTTGTAAGATGGTATTAAACTTCGTCCATATTTTAAATTCAAATTGCGCAGTTCTAAAGTTGATCAAGTTCGGTGGCAAATTGCTCGGCCGCTAGAGCAAAGTTCAGCCGAAAACAATTCTAGTGACACTCGAGCCGTTAAAACCTCCATCAGGTCCTTTCAAACAAGTAGCTGGGGCGGCAATAATCAGCCAAGTCATCACAGGTAACACATTATAGCACCTCCTCGTCTTCCTTGTCCAACTGAAGTGGACGCTCTGACGAATTGCTCGGCTCATCTTTCATCCTCGAACTTCTTCTTTTTTTTTCTGCGCCAATCGCCATAAATGGGCTAAGAAACGGAGGGTTGAGAGGAAGGGAAAATTGTTTTCGAAAATAGCTCGTCTTAGGCTCATTTGTGACGGCAATGGCATCCTGCTAATTATCTAGGGAGTTCTAGTCCACAAATGATTGCGCCTTCTAAAGCGCGAACGCCACCCAACGAGCTATTTACCCGCTACTGGTCAGCCTTGATGAGACCACATTCTTGTTATGTTGCATCATCAAAGTGAGACTTCCAAGGAACTTTTACTAAGGAAGATCCGAGACTCATAAAAGCTTGTTTACCTAAGCAAAACTAAGAAAAAAACCAAAGACCTTTTAAAATTGCAATTTTGTAACACTCTTTTAGCCGTTCTCAAGTCAACAACTGCGGAGGGAACTGCTGCCGAGGATGGGCATCTGGCAGGAGTGGTGGTTGTACCATGAAATTGATGCCGACTCATACTGGTATAAGACCTATAGTCGGAAATCGTACTTCATTATTTAGGCTCATCGTTCTCCTCTCCTTCGATGCGGTTTTCTTACTCTGGGTCACCCAACACCGCCGTCAGTTGGTCAAGCTCTTCCCGCGGAGGATCAAGCAACACGGCTCCAAATCAAGCGACATTCCAAGCTTACGCTTCTGTCAGTTCGAATCCTGCTCGAAATCAAGCGCCATCCCGCCCGTCGAGACCTTCTTATCCATCGAGGCCAAGCACGAACGTAAGAGACTCAAAGAATGTTACAGTAATTGCATGAAAGCTGCTTGCTCGAGATTAAGGATTTAATAAATGATCGGTTGTGATTAACTGGGCCGTTCAGTACGTTCGGCCCAAAGCAAGGGTGATTCGCGAGGAGGTCGGCCTTTGCTACGAGACGCTGCTGACGACTGACGAACAGTGCGGGCGACCCGTCGCGGGCAAAAATCTCGTGACTTACGAGCAGTGCTGCGCTACGGTCAGATATATAAATAAGTTATTAAACGCGGACATAGGGTACGTGGCCGAGGGGGGTACGTGTACCGAAATGCTTCTTGATCGAAGCTGTCTTTGTTTTGTTATCATTCCTGATAAACCAAGTGGAGTAATCGCGCTTAACCTGTGCGCGCTCGGGGTCAGCGCCGTAATTCTGCAGCGCCAGGCAAAAGATGGACACGACGGCGTCCATCCGTTCAGAATGCTTTCAACTTCCGCTTCTCATTATCACCCCCGAGCAGGCTCATTACAATCAGCCGCTAATGATGCTACTAAAGAGACTCGTTATATGAGCACTGGCGAACTTCTAGCATATGCTAAAAGAGGCCACATATGTAGCACTTTCTTTGCTCGCTTTTGTCGGCTTTTTACTGAAGCGGTCTTTCAGGTCGGCAAGGCTTGGGGCTCGGATTGCACGCACTGTAACCAGCGACCGCCAAGCAACTCGCCACAACAGGAAAGGAGTCCATCTCTAGGTTGAAATTAAAAAATCGTTATCGTTGTGCAATTTTCGCTTAGAAAAGTAGCGCGCCGTAAAATTCTCACGTATCTTGTTCACGGAGAAATATGATCGCTAAAAGGAAAGTAGAAGTTTTACAATGTGACTTCATAAAAAAGGAACGAAGAGCGAAATGTCCCCAGAGATACACTCAAGTTGGCAACAGCTGCAGAATCCTCCGAGGACCCTCCTCGTCGTCGTCCTCTTCGTCTTCTTCTCCGAAGCCGTCGACAAGCGATTGCTACAGGGTAGGTGGTCAAATTGTGTGCCCAGGAGCTGGCGGTGGTGTTGTTGGTGACCAGAGATATGATGAAAACTCGCCTTCTTACGTGGCTGATGCTGTTCGACCAGATTTGACCTATGACTTTGGCGAGGAGGATGATCAGTACTCGACTTTTGTCGACGTTATAGTCTTGGGATCGCCAACTCATGAATCAGTCTCTTTCTATTTAAACAATCCTATTTGTAGAAATTAACTTCTTTGCTTGTCCAAGAGTTGATCCCTGTCTAAGACTACGACAACAACTTGTATGGCGCGTCTGACTACGGAAGCAGCGATAGTAATCGAAATCAGCGAAATCAGCAGTACCAAAAGCTAAATCCGTCGATGGAATACTTGAGACCAGGTCAACAAAAAACAGCAGAACCTGACGAGGCGCCATTTTATGGTGAAAGATCATGGACGAACTGGGAGTCTTGGGGTTCCTCGGGATCAACGTATTCTGAGAACAGGTAAAGTCCAAAGAAATGAGCATCGAAGATATTCTAGTTCATTCAGACGGCCTGGCTCTAGCTACAGATCTAGAGAACGTGTTGGAAGTAACAACTATCGACCCGCTTTTCAACCGGCTCCGTTAGTCCGGCGCAATCCGCAAGGGTCAACCCAAGACTTCTACAACCAAGTCTACAACACTGGAAAAAACCTCCTAAACAACGCAAACGCCTGGCTCGGGCAAGCAACTCATCGCAATTCTGGCGGCTGTCGCTCCGGATGTGGCTAAAAAATACCGCTCAACACCACCGTCAAATGCTCATACACCACAAACTATTAATTTATTTCATTTAGATTATCTTCTTTTCCAAAAGTTCAAATTCATCTATTTTCCCTAAAAAGTCCTTTCAAAAATTTCCATTCAGGAAAGCAATGGAAAATTGCAAAAAGTGTCGCCCGGTCGAAAATGGACCAAGAAAATGTGCTGCTGCTCTGCGCTAGGTGACGCTTATGGACCAAAACAGGAGCCTTGTGATGAGAGTGAATGTCCAGCAAAACGGGGACATTATGTTCACAGTGCTACATATTTCGCCTTCAATGATGGAAATGGAAGGAATACCAAGACCACGTGTAAAGACGGTCAGTGCACGACAGAGGTTTCCTCTAGCTCTGGGTCTGAAAGCTCTAGCTACGTTCAACCAGTTATCGATACTGTCAGCCCCGACAGCACATCAAGCAACTCAATCAGCTCCACCGACGAGTACCAGACTCCCGACTACAATCCAAAAACTAATACTGGCAGTCACGTGCGTGTTGTCACTTCCGTCCAGAAGCCGACCAGTTCCAAGCCATACACCGAGAATAAAATGTCTTTTTCGGTCACCGCAAACAGCAACTCGAAACCTCTGAACTGGGAATCCAAAGGCCCAAATCACAACTTCCGAGTTCAAACTGTTATCAACAGGGGGCCCTGTAACCAGCCAGGGAAGCCAGCATGCATGGAACGCAAAACGTGTGGAGGCCAGGGGCAACCCGCATGTCGAGTTTTCAATCCAGAAGCTTCCGGACGAAAGCGACCTTCATGCCCTTATGCAAAAGACGCTCAAGTTGAGCGAGACGAGCTCACCCAGCCCGCTCCAGCAAGCTACGGATAAATTTAATCTCGAATAACCTCAAAATCATTTTATCATTTTTTATCCAAAGCGAAAGCCCATGTCAACGCGCGGCAAAACAACAGCTCTCTCGATGTGGTGCTCGAGCAAATTCGCCTTGTAGTCGAACCCAACGCCCTGCGCCAAGCAAGGTCACGACTCTACCTCCAGTGACGATTACCAGAAACAGGCCTCAGAGACCGTGCAGTAAAGTATCCACCTGCTCTCGAAGATGCGGTGGTTGCCAAAAACCAAGAACGACAAGACCACCAACAACAACCACGACTACCACTACAACTACAACAACAACTTCAACAACAACTACAACTACAACAACAAGGAGACGAAGAACTCGACCAACAAGACGACCAACAACGAAAGCTGCTCCTGTTGAGCGAGAAGAGCTAACAGAAAGACCAGAACAACCTTGTGATGACTGTGGAGTTCCAGAAGATGAAATTCAGGGAACTTATGACTTGGGTTATTTTTGCACAAAATCGTAGCAAGAATTATTCTTGAAAATCAATTAAAAATAAAGTTGAATAACCCATCTGATGGAAACTCGACCAAAGAACCAATATAACAGCGGCGGAAATGGCGGATCAAGTGGAACCTATGAGCCCGAAGCAAATAAGGACGTGCCGATTTCCGGTTGCAACGGCCTTGATTGTGGTTCACCAGAAGAAGAAGCTGGAATTTCTATAGAAGCAGTTGTTGATTTCGTTCCTTGCGCCGATGGCCAAGACTGCAACAATAATGCTCCGAAACGACCACGACCAAGACCATCCCATCAAGGTCAACCAGATCGCGCTGCTCCATCAGTCGATTGCATCACGGCCGACTGTGGAGAGCCAGAAGCTGTCATCGCTCCTGAAAAGACAAATGAAGCTAGACAACCGAATCGACCATTTGACAATTCACCTGAGTCCTATCCAGCTCGAATTGGAAGCCAAGGCGAACCTGACGGTTCAAAGCCAGAAATATCCTGCAATGGTGGTGACTGCGGATCTCCCGAAAGCGCAGTCGGAATCGAAATCGAAGCTGTAGTCGACAACAGTCCATGCGCGAGACCAGGATTCGAGCGAGATGAAATCGGAGAATGCCGACCTGCTCCTGCTAAAACCGACCGTTACCCCTCTATTCCTCAGCCAAATCCTCACGCGCCATCGGAAGACTGTTTCGAAGCTGGCTGCGGAGATGTTCATGCTGTCCCAGAGGATATCGAGTTTGATTGCCAGGGAGATGACTGTGTCATCGAATACGAACAGTTCGATGCAACTAACCGTGGAGATTTCATTCCAGATCGATCAAGCTCGCAGTCGATTTCTGTTAATCCTGGCGAAGCTGTCCACATTGACTGTAGTAGCGGATCGTGCGTCCCTGTTTATAATCAAGTTGCAGAGCCAACCGAACGACCTACGAGGAGACCAGCGACGAGGAGAACGACCAGAATCACTACAACTACGACCACAACAACAACGACAACGACAACAACGACGACCACGACTACCACTACAACAACTCCTCAGCCCCAAACTACAACTACAACCTCAACCACGACAACTTCTGTAAAAGCTGACCAAATCGAAGATATCCAAAACCCATATGAAAATCCTAATTACTCATCTTCAAACTCTGTCTCAAGTTATGGTCCAAATTATTCTGGCTCAAGCTCCAGTTCAAGTGGCTCTCTCGTTTCCAGCTACAGTGGCGTTGACTCCGGAATCGCAGTCGACTCGAGTGAAAATAATTTGAGAGCTTGGAACTCTTCGTCTTCGATAAGCTCTCTCGGACCTGCTGAAGACTTTATCTACGAATTCGATTGTCCAATGGGATACCAAGGAGACGACTGCAAAGACGACATCGACGAGTGTGAAGGAAGTAACCCATGTGACTTTGGAATGTGCACGAATACAGAACCACTGTATACTTGCAATTGCTACGACGGCTATGAAACGATGAACACTGAAAATGGCCCGACATGTACAAGAATCTTCGAGGAAGATAAGTGCAAGATTTTGGAAGAAGCACTTGGAAAGCATCGAGTTTGTGGCGAAGCTCAGTGCAAAAATGACCCAGAATCTGATTATGGCTATGAGTAGGCGAAAATATTGGATTCAATTTTTTCATTTGTCTTTTAGATGTGTTTGCCCATCAGGCTACTTTTACGAAGTCAAACGCTGCGTCGAGAACTTCGAGATCACTCCATATTCCGAATGGGGCCAGGTATGATAACTTTCTTCCTTGATTTCAAAGGAAAACTTTCAAATTCAAGTGCTACCGAGGAGAATGTCAGGACCACCAGAGCTTGGGCGCATTCACGTTTTCGAGATGCTGCTGTGGACATGGAACTCATTTTATGCAAGAAACTGGAGAAATCATGTGCTCGGCTTGTCCCCAAGAAGGAACAAACGAGTATGAAGAACTGTGCTCTTTCAGTGATGACTCGTCGTCGCTTTCTGATTACATCGTTAGCTCTAAGTATGCATTTCCCGTTGAAAAATTGTTAATTTTTATTAGTGATAAGTTCTCTATTGACTACGGAACATGCAAAACGGTGCAAGGAGACTTCGACGATGTCTCACAGGATGAGTGCTGCTGCGCTGGAACTGTAACTCCCATTTCTTGGGAAGGAAGACCCTGCCCGGATCAATCAACTTCTGATTATCTCAAAAAGGTAAGAATATGAACTTCATCAAAGATAACAATATGAAATTTAGTGCAAATACGGAAAGGGATTCACCGCAAATCGAAATGAAATCGACGAGTGCCTCATCTTCGGCGACGAAAAACTGTGCCCAGGTGGAAAGTGCTTCGACAATGGGCCAGCTGGATACAAGTGCGGATGCGAAAAGCCCGGATATTACTGGGACCATCGAACAAGTAAAGGATGGTGAAGTCAGGATAATCGTAATGTTCGTTAAGAGAGCTGTGTCGATTTCAACGAGTGTTTCTCTCGATGCAAAGGAGGACAGTGCACGGATACTGATGGCGGATATATTTGCATTTGTCCCGAGGTAAAGCTTTCTTCAACAATCAGGAGGCATCTCTTTCTAGGGAGAGACGGAGATTGACGGCCGCTGTCAAAAGTCAATCGCTGGAAATCCTTACCGCGCCCTGGTCCAGAACAAGCAAGAAACTGTCGACTTCAACAAGCCAGCAAAGTGCTACAGTGATCGTGGCGACACAGATGTTGGATGTGACAATCTTTTTGCGACAGGTACAATTAATTATTATTGTTTATTAGGTAGGCTTTTTCATATGTACAGTGAGGTAAAACTTTGATAGAGGAGGTAGAGGTTGCAAAGACGGATAGTTAGTTCTTCCCGGAATGATAAGAGAAATGTCTAAGTTGGTGAACTTTGAGCCCAACGCAGCAGGAAAGTATTGCTGCAAGTATTTCCAGGCATGCAAATGATAATATCCCAATGATCAAGTAATTGAGATTGTCGTAAGGAGTGCCGATAAGACTGTTCTCGACTTCTTCATTTTTGACTCCGAGCACTGAATGATTGGAGAGACTCTAAATCCTGCAAGCTTACATTTATCCACACATCCATCTTGGACTCGCAAGTGTTGAAGCTTCGAGTGAGTCCAACAGTTGTGTCCCTGGGAGCAGCATGAATCAGGTGGATTTTGCGCGCCGTACTTTAACCAGTCACCAGCGCCAGCTGATCCGCAGCACCCAAGTGTCACTTGGATTTCGTCTAAAAATACCGTAGTAAAAATATTTTTATTGAGGTCAAGTGGCGCTTTACAAGGTTTACTATTCATCCGGTGAGAGGGGCTATGAATTTGAATTTCACTTGAAGAACTTGTTTATGAATCACAGGAGTATTCACAGCATTTGTCCTTTTAGTTTCCCTCCAAATTTTCAATTTTCAAAAAAAAAACGAAATCAAGAATTCAAATTCAGAACCCATCTGAGTCCCAGTTGTTATCACCTCGTAAGGAATCATTTAAAAAACTACAAGGGTACCTATTAACTCGGGTTCGGAAGTGAATTGGCTGTAGTTTGTCATCTGGCGAATAAGCCCATTCGAAAGTTCTTCCGCGACCAAATTCTGAAAATGCGTAGAGAAAAGAGTCATAAAACGTAAATTTACCTCAAAGGTCAGCAAAAGTACTCCCCCGGAAACCAAAATAGTAAACGCGATTACTGATAGAATACTGTGGCAGTACACGACCGCTTTCCGGACATTACAAGCAAGACAAAGCCCTAGAAATCGGCATGAATTGGAATTCGAGGAAAAACTACCTGTAGTCGCCGTAATCGCAATATAAATTCCAACTCCTATTAACGTAAACGGCAAAACTTGGTCATTGACGAACGTCAAAAACTCTTCCTTGAACTGAGCAATCATCATTAGCAAGTAAACTCCGATTCCAAGCAGCAAAGAGCCGGAAATCAAGCTGATAAAACTGCATATTGTTATCAGCCCTAAGCAAACATTTTACTAATCAATTTTTTCTCTATAAAACAGACCTTTTAAAAAGCTTATCGCACAGCGAATAGATTTCTTAGAGCTACCCATCTCTTAATTTTCTTCTGTCTGTCTCTGATAGAGTTATACAGTCTCCTCTTCTGAAAAAAATAAAGTGGCTTCCTGCAGCGCCTTGAGGACTTCACCGTGGGAGCTCTCTCTTCTCTCTTGGGCAACCTCCTTATTTCAGCTCACGGCGCCCTCGCAGGGGGCGTCAGAGTTCCTCAACTATCAAAGAGGAACTCGGAGGGCAATCGTTTTGCTGCTAAGCGGCAATATTTGACGCGGAGGAAGTAAAAACGAGGTCGCGCAAAAAAAGCAAGCAATTCTGCATTGATCAGTTGTTGTCAAATGATTTCGAATCGGGGGATGAAGCTCCTAAATCAATTGACTCGTGTGTTTCAATTTTAACAATTCAGAGTGGGGCGTCACATTTAATCAATGCTGCTGCGAGGGCAAGGGTGGTTATTGGGGAACGGAGAAGCAATGCTTTGCTTGTGACAACTCAATCGCCAAGGTAACACAGAAGAATTCTCTTTTCAATTCAGCGTTACTGTATTTTTTCAAGGATTTGAGCTGCGCGACGGTTCGGGATTCTGATGCTGAAAACTCCACTGGATCTTCCTCCTCTTCTTCAGACTCGTCTTCAGACGACTCTGAAGACAATTCCTTCAACCCAGATCAGTTCCGACCGGATTACGATGATTCGAGCGAGAATGCCTTCCCCTCTTACGATCCAATGGACAATATGGAAGAAGAATTCGATGATTCCTCCCTTCCAGGCTATTCTTCCATGGACGAGGATTTGAGCTCGATCATGGGTCCAAACATGAGCGATGATAGTCGAGCGGTGCCAATTTCTAATCCAGAAGTAGAACAGGAAGGGATCAAAAGAACTTAAGGACGACGAACTTTTCCCGTCAAAAGGGAGAAGTGTGAAATCAATTAACGAGGAGTCCACTAATTGACCCATTATCAGACTGGTTCAAACAACTTCTGTGGACTACCAGGCGGGTGTCAGAACGGCTCCTGCGTTGCGACGCGATTCGGAGTCACGTGTGAATGCGACGCTGGATGGACAAACCACAGAACTGGCGCGTGCACAGTTCGACTGTAAGAAAGACTTTCCTGAATGCTGAAGAATGGAATTTGTAAATTTATCTCTTGATATTGAATAGCCACTGCGTATTTTGAAATTTCCGAAAATTCAATCCGTTACTTGTAGAATTCATCAATACCGAAAAATGTCGAGTTATAGTGAAATAAATAAAGCATTAGATCAATTTAAAATCAAAATTGATTCTCGGATTTTTAATAAAATAAGAATTTATTGTGAAAAAAATATTTTTGTTGAGGCAGTGAAAGTGAAGGTGACCTCTAATTTGGTTGTGTTATATAAAGTAGAACTGAAATACGAAGGGTTAGTTTTCTTCGCCAAGACCGGCAACAAAAGAGGCTTCTGTTTCTTCGATAATGTCGACTTCATCGAAATCTTCAGCGGAGTCATCCTCGCCGCTTCCATAAGATGTTAGGGCCTAATGAGTTGTTAGAAAAGTTGAAGGTAATTAAGTCTTCGTACCTGAAGCTCTGCATCTGTAAACTGAATCTTAGCGCCCGTCTTTATGTTTTGAGTTACTGGCGCATTGTCTCCATCTGCATCTCTGAATTGAAGATTGAATTAGCTGGGCTCATATTCAAGATAGTAATTGCTTACATTTTCTTCTCTGATCGGATTTTATCAACAAGAGTGGCTAAAAACTTCACCAAATCATTTTCCAGCGTCGCCCTTAAAGATTGTTCCAAAGTACCGACTCGCGCTCACTGTTACCGTTGAATTTTAGTGTTTCCAATAAAACTGCTCAAATGAAGAAGAAGCTGGCCCTTGAACGAGTCTCGTTGCCGCGCTGGAAGTGAGAGCACTCCAGCGTTCAAGGAAAACTTGTCGACGAAGTCTTTCACGTCGGCATGAGTTAAAGCTTCATCCTTGAAAATTTTAATGGATTCGAATGTTTGAGGAAGTCTTACTTTTTGAACTAGGCTGGTGATCAAGGGTTCAAGTAGAGATTCAACATAATCGGGGAGTTGTTTTTCGTAGAGATCTGCAAGTCGCTGTTCTCGATCTATTTCGCTGACTTCTCCGTCAGAGATTTCAATCTCGCTTCCAGTTCCATCGATTTCGCTTTGGATCACTTCTTTGATCTTTTTCTTAGCACGCATTAGAAAGATTCTAGCATCGAGCGCTTACCTGAATGTTCGGAGTTTTAGCTACAGAAAGAAGCGCCATCGTCGTGGCGAAGAATGCAGTAGACTCTGGTTGAGTTTTGAAGAGATTTTCCACGCGATGAAGAGTTTCCCGAGCTGTTCGGCTTAGATTTCCTCCCTTGGCCTGTTTCTGGTTCTTATGAGGAGTCGAGGAAAAGATCTTGCCGCTGCTCGCTGGCGGGGCGTTTTGGACTGCTGATTTCTTCGCAACAATCGATTTTAGTTCTGCGATTTGGTTTTTATTATCTTCATTTTCCGCCAACACTGAAAAAAGGGGGTTTAGAAACGGTTTTTACAAAAAATAGTACCTTTGACAATGACTCGTTCCAAAGAACTGATTCTCTCCGCCAACTGGTTTTCGTCGTCGCGGCAGACTGTGTAAGTATGATGCTCAGAATCCGAGTTATCGATTTCGCCATCGTTATCTGGACTTCCGACTTCTACATTGACTGAATTCATCTCTCTGTAAGGCATTCTCTTCATGGAAAGCGCCTTGATTTGCTCGATTTCCAGTCGCTCCTCTTCTTTCTAAAATGAATGTCATCTTTCTTAGCAGTTTTATCAGATTTTACCTTGAGAAATTCGAGCTCTTTTCGGGTCTCATCCATTTTTCGTTGAATATCGCTACGTTTTTTCCTCGCTTCAAGTCTTTCCAGCGCCTTCATTCCTTCTATAGCAGCTATTTTATCCTTCATTTCTGACGATTCCTCTTCTTTCATTTCATAAGCATCGAAGTCCAGTCGCCCCTGAGACGGAAAGGTGTAATTAAAACGGGCGTTGCTTTCCATGTATGCGTTTGGGCTTCTATTGATAGGCTGCTCTATCTGGTCGAGCTTTTCTTTCAACTTGTTTGTCAATTCGTCTAAAACTCGTCTAGAGATGGAAGAGCTCCTGAAGGGACGTACCTAGGCGGGAGAGCTTGCCGGAACTGGCTGTATCGCTGTAGCGAGCTATCGGAGCTGGCAATGTCTGTGATAAATCTGGAGCGGATGTCTGGGGATCTCTTCCTAGAGAACGCTCTAAAAGACTGAGCTGGGCTTGGAGCGAGCGAATCGTGTTTTCGTTTATTGGCAATCTCGCATTTGGTGAGTTCATTCTAAAAGTTTTTCTGTTAGAAAATTGTTGATTCTCTCGGTTTATCCTTGTTGAAATTGATACAGAGACGAAAACAACTTGTGGGCTTTCTCGACTTTCTCTAGCCGAAAAGATTTTTCAGTCTCTTCGACATCACCTCATCGTTTTTCTTCGTTTTTGCAGCGATACGATCTTGAATTGTTTTAATTCGTTTTTCCTCCGCCGGGCTTGGCTCCTTGATCAAATCTGAGCAAACTGAGTTAGAATTTGAAGTTTGGCGATTCAATTTACCGATGGCTTGATTTGACAAGTCAAAGTTATTCAGCCTTTCTTGCGCTTCGGCAAGTCTGAGATGAACCGTGTTAATATTTTTGACGATGGTTACATTCGGCATTTCCTTGCTCATCTTTATGACTTGATTGCAACATGTAACTGTCGTCGGCCAATTCTTTTCGAAAGCATGTATTGCCGACAAATTAGAGATGATTTTCCCAGCCATTTCAGTCTTCTTTCTTTGTAGTTCCTCCGTCTTAAATCCAGTTATTCCGCTTTTCAATGATCAAAAAAGAGTCCTGGATAATTCGTTTTAATTTGAAAATTGATCACTCCTTTCCTCCAGTAAAGAGAGTTTTTGTACGCTTGTTTTGCTTCAACAAACTTTTTTTCTTTATAAAATCCGTTTCCGATTTCGCGAAGAGTCGTTGCTTGAGCAATTTTGTCATCGTCGGCGTACTCTTTGATTGGAATGCTGTGGATGATGTCTGCAAGACTGACCTAAGGACAAGATGTTGTTGAGTATTGAATTTGAGAAGGATGTTAGACCTTCTCTAGAAGACCGGTTATTGTGAGATGGTAAACTTGGTTTTTTCTCACTCTTCACAAGAAATCAGTGATAATGGGCGATAAGGGCCGTAAAAGAGATAACAAAGAGCTTGGACAAAATGATGAAGAGACCACTGTTGAGAAACGAGTACGAACTGATACTCGGAGAACTCCTCATGCGCCGCAACAACCCCATCTGGGCCAGGAACGGCCGATTTCAATGGTAAGATCATACTCTTTCTTGATTTCAAAATTGAAATCTTGGAATTTCCTTATCATCTTTTCTAGCGCCCAGTTCCCAATCTCTCACACATTGTCCAGCCCCGTCCACCCAGAGAAGTCGACATGACCCAAGTCCCAGTCAACCAGCGAATTCCCCGACCACCAAGCGGCCGATATTCAGACTACTTCTACATGTACGGGGAAGAACCAACTTACGGCGCAACTGATCATATCGAGGATAATTGGTATTATCACATCGCCGTTCCACGACGAGACCGAAGAGGACCATTTGCTCGACTTTTTGGACGCTATGCCTTGAGCGTTCCCGTTCCTCGAGAATTACGGTACTGGATTGTTTTGTTAAAAATTTCAACGAAAAATGTAGAAGCTTCACTCCAAGCCAACGATTGGACATGCCAAAGTTGGAAGTCTACACGATGTTCATCCACTTCCAAAATGAACTCACTCCAATCTACGCCTACATCGAATATCTGAACAGCTTCTGGCAGCAGCAGCTATTTTCACTTTCAAAAGTAACTAGTAGTTACTAACTGCCCCTCCTTGCTATTCCCCCACTAATCATTATTTCTAGCACTGTCCCCCAAAAGAAGGGAGCAAAAAATGCGGTGGAGCTGTCAACTCACGAGTACGACCACTTGACTCCGATGGAAATATTCCCATTTTTGTACCGCGGGCATAGTTCCCAACGATCAAAATTAAATATCGAACAGTGGTTATTTACATTAGACTAATGTCATTAGTGATGTTTTATCAAACCTTTGAGAACAAACAAAAAGTACCTAATCGAAGAATTCGAAGAAACGAACCGCCAACTCCAATCAATGATCCAAGACCAACGAGATATGCTCAGCGATATCCGGGCTTATCTCCCTCTCCGCTGGACACCCGCGAATGGCGTAGAGCTTTTGCGACGTCTTCACGAATGCGTCGCCGAACTAGAACGTAATCAACAAGCTAAACTTTCAAATTTGATAGATAACTTTAGTCGCGGTTCGTCGAGGTCGTCAGCGCGAACTGCAGCAAGAACGAGAGCGAGAAAATCGAAGAAAATCAAACTCTCGCAAACGAAAGCATGGCTTTTGAATTTGAATTTCTACAAATATTCTGAATAGCACATTCCAATATTTATTTTCATATATTCATATTTTTCTATATCTTTCTCACAACTATACTGTCCCCAGTTCAAAAGAGCTACTGCCAACAGATAACGGTACTTTCTCACAGCCAGTAGTTGTATCCAGCAAATAAATTCATTCACAAAAAAGGCTGAATTACCTTGAATTGTTTGTCGTTTATTTCTATGCAAGCGATATCGCCAATATTGATTTTTTGAAGAAATGAATCGAATACGGCTGATTCTGGTCCGTAAGGTATGATTTCCGGGTGTGGATATCCAAGCTCGTACTCAACTAGAATTCGAACAGTGGAAATTGCGAATGTAATGATTTCTTACTTGCTTCTCCTGCAACTACTCCTTGCAACGCGACTTTAGAAAAGGGATGAATGATTCTGCGAATGTGAGCTCGAACCGGAGCCGTCGCAGATTCAAACGTCAATGTTCCACAAGCTCCATTTATTTTGATCTGCACAGGGGTCCTTTTCATTCTATAGAACACATGATTTCAGAGAGGTACTATCTTTAATTCGCGCTCTCGACTTTAACGGAAAACTTTTCGGAAACTTTCGGACATGGCGTTCGATTCACATCAGCTCAAGAAATTGGGATTTTTCGGAGCTCGACGGAGCAGCTTTTTTAACAAATAAATTAAGGATATGGAAGGGATTCTAGCTTGCTTCTTTTTAACAATTACACATGCGGGGAGTAAGAAAGAGCTCTTCAGAGACTCAAGTCTTCAATTTTTTTTCGTTTAGTGGTGAAATTAATTAATTTATTCTAGAGATGTACAGGCATTCAAAATCGGCATTTCCCAAGGATTAAACAAGCGCCCACGATCTTTCTATTCAACGTAGGTTTAGTTATTTTTTGTTGATTTTTGATTGGTGCTCCTTTTTGCGACTTTTGACTGAATCTACCTTGAAAAGACGGGACTAACTTGAAATTCAACATGATTGGGAAAGAAAAATGAAGCCATGATTGGACACGATAGTTATGTAACAGTTACAGTTGGTTCTTGTTAGATAAACTGACGAAGGAGCATAGGAGCAGTGAGTAAAAAGAAGATTTAAATAATTTGTTAACTAGTAATTCTCAAAAAGGGAATTTCCTTAGAACCTAATCGTCTCCGAACCAATCGTCACTTTCTGATGCTTTACTGGGAGGAGCTTGCTGTCTGTTTCGCATATGAGGTGGGACGTAGCCGCCGGTTGGCTTTGCGGCACCATTTGAAGCTGCTGCAGGAGCTGGAGCGGCGGTTTTAGCGGGAGGAGCGAAGCCGATTTTGATCGAAGTTGTTGGCTTCGGAGCTGAAAATTAGAGGCTTAGAGGGGATTTTGTATCTTTTTCTAACCTGGAGCAGGAGCTGGAGCAGCGGTTTTAGCTTTCGCCCTGACTCGATTATCGGCCGATTGAGCCATATTGACGCTTTCGTCTCCCATGTGCGCGATCAGATGCTCTTTGTACTCGATAATGTCTCCCTGCCATTTGTGAATATCTCCGTCTCGGCACTCCCAGATTTCTTCGGCGACCTGATTGATCAGTCTGAAATCGTGAGAAACCAAGACCATGCCTCCGTTGAAAGCTTTAATCGCGTCCGCAAGGGCGTCGATGGTTTCGATATCCAAGTGGTTTGTAGGTTCGTCGAGGAGGAGGAAATGGCCGTTTTGCCACGCCAGCCAGGCGAGAGCGACTCGACACTAGAATTTATCATCATCAAGACTGAATCACAAAGAAGCTCTCTCACTCTTTGTCCATCCGACAAACATCCAATAGGCGTCGTTTGTTGTTTACCAGTGATTCCATATCTACCAACTATCTTTCGCGTCTGTTCGATGTCCTTCATCTCGGGATACTCTTTAGGGAATAGATATGAGAGATGAGAACATAGAAGAAAACTTACGGGCCATCATGTATTCAAGAGGAGAAGCAGACAAGTCGAGCTGATCGGCAAGATGCTGATGATATCTAGCGATTTTCAAGTGACTGTGTCGCCGAATCATTCCGTCTGTGGGGAGGAGTTCTCCGGATATAAGCTGATTGATGATTAGTTTTATGGCGTTGGCGATGTTTTACCTTGAGAAGAGTAGATTTACCAGCACCATTAGGTCCTACAAGAGCGACTCTCGTATCCAAATCCATTCCGAACTCCAAGTTATCATAAATCCAAGGCGTCGTTTCATTATACCTAAAGGACACGCCCTGCACCATCATGACCGGACTCGGCAGCGAGGAGACATTATTGAACTTGAAGGAAACGGTCTTCTCTCTGTAAACAGCTTCAGTGAGCCCTTCGGCCAGCCGCTTGTTCAGCAATTTTTCTTTGGACTTTCCCTGTTTGGCGAGTTTTCGAGAACCGTGACCGAAGCGAGCGACGTATTCTTTCATCTTCGCGATGTCGGTTTGTTCTTTCGAGTATTTCTTCATTTGGTTTTCTTGCTGCTCGGTCAGTGTTTGGATGAAAGTGTCGTAGTTGCCGCTGAACTGCCTAAAAGGGACTTGAAAACAAAGATGAGGGATGGAAAAGTACGTACAATATCCTCGACTGGGTCATGTAAATGATATTGGAGCAGACGTTGTTGAGGAAATCCTGCGAGTGCGAGATCAGTACCAAAATGTTTTTGTAAGTTTTGAGTTCTTGCTCGAGCCAAACGCAGGCGTTCAAATCCAAGTGATTCGTCGGTTCATCCAGCAACATCAAGTACGGCTTGAGGAAGAGCGCTCGAGCGAGCGAGACACGCATTCTCCAACCACCAGAGAAATCTGAGAGCTTTTTCTTTTGCATTTGCGCGGTGAAGCCCAGACCGGTCAAGATGCGCGCTGCTTTGGCTTCAGCTTTGTCGACATCGAGTTCGTCCAGACGGTCGTAAATCTAAACAGTTAGGCCGTCACACCTTCTCAATTCCATACCTGATTGAGACGTGGATTCTCAGGATCCTCCGTCATCATCCATTCAACTTCCTCTTCCAACCGCGTTCGTTCTTCATCGACTTCTTGGACACACTCGAGTGGTGTCTTATCCGACGCTTCCATTTCCCGACTTAGGTAGAAGATATCAATATGTTTCTGAAGAGGAATATCCTGCTCGGCCAGGGCTTTCATCAGGGTCGTTTTTCCGCAGCCGTTGGCTCCCAGAAGACCGTATCGGTTTCCATTGTTGAGTTCGAAGTTTGTGTCTTGGCACAAAACCTAAAAAAGATGATGAAAAGGGGAAGAAGGAGGTAGCATACTTTCCCGTGGAAGGACATGGTAAAATTGTGAATATGAATATCAGCCGAGAGCGCCGGACTGGACAAAACACCAGATGTGCCTCTCGCATTCAGCTCTCCCACTTTCTCTGTCACTTTCCCAACCGGGCAGACCTTCTCTTCCTCTTGGGTTTCGGCCTCTTCTTCCTCGTCGTTTTCCTTCTTGCCGAGCTTCTTGGCCATTCGCTCCTTCTCAAGCTGCTTCTTGCGCTCGGCCTTCTTCTTTGCTGCGGCGCTCGGCATTTTTTACGAAACCAGTCTGAGGAAGTTTGTTTATCGAACGATGTTCCTTTATTCACTTCATATTTTATTTATTTACTAATCTTTTAACGGTTAGTTCAACAAACATTTTGATTATTATGAACCAGTTTCATTTGATTATTTCGATTTGTCATTGCATATGATTCAGTTTTACTTGATTTAGTTTCATTTTATCAGTGTATCTATTGTCATTTGAGCTTGAGCAAGTTTGAAGCGTTTTCAGAGAGATTACAGTCATTCGATTTCACAAATTGAGCAGCTTTGTCAAAAATGGAGTGTTTTGTGTACAATTCTTTGATTTCTTCTTTCTTTATTCCATCATCTACAGTCTTTCCAGCCTCTTCTTCCAGCACAATATCGCACTGTTGGTAGAAACAGGTCGCCATGAAAATTGCTCGGGAAAGCACTTTGTTGTCACTTGAAAAGTCAGTCAGTACTTGTTCCAAGAGTTTGATTCCGTTCAAATCGAAGAACTGCTTTATCGACTTTCTGTTGTACCGGGCAGTCGACTAAATAAACATAAATCATCATCAAATTACCGAAAAAGCGACTTACAGAAATTGCAGAAAGCTGAAATCGCAACGCTCCGGCCTCTTTCTCTTCCGAAGCAATTTTGAGCAACAAGCTCAAGCACGTGACCGTCTTCTCTTGCACCTTCTCGTTGTTCTGGCTGATGGCAGCTAGCAACCTCGCCGCTGCCGCGCGTATTTCTCCGTCCTTGAAGGGAATGTACTTCAGCGCGACTCCAATTGCTTGTCCATTATTTACCGCCACTTCTGCGAAGTCGATGTCTTCACAAAACTCCGCTGCGGCATGAAGGTTATCAGCAATTTCCGTCCCCGCTTTGGCGTCTTTCAAAGCTTCAAGCATCAGGTCGACGTCACTTGTTTGGTCCTTGCCGATTTTGTCCATAACTTCTTTCAGCCATTTTAACTCCTAGAGATATTATTAGAAACTTGCAAAGCTGCCCGGTTATTATCCGAAAGAATGAGCGTACCTCGGCAGATCTGGAGCTCAAATCCGTCTCCGTAGTCGGATCTTCTGTCATCGACTCGACCGCCAACTTCCATATTCCTTGAAATCTCGGATCCATCTTCTTTCTTTTTCAAATAAATCTTCCCTTTTCCTTCTCTACGAAATCTTCCTTCCTTGACAAATCCTCTCTGCCGCCACCTGTAGCCCTGGAGAACAGTGGCTTGATCCTGAATTTACGCGAAGGAAAGACCGTAGGCGCGCGGAGTAAATCTGACTCAGCTCGAATCCACCCAATCAGATCGCGCGACGCAGAGCTGCCTCAGTTTCCAAGCCACCGATTTTTAGGTGAAAGACTTTCTGGCCAGAATTTTGACCGATTTTGGCTCTTCTTTGAGAAACTAAATATGAAATAAGAAGACATAACCGTTATTGAAACTCATAAAGATGATAAAAATATTTTTTATAATTAAAATTTTCAGCTCAAGATAATATTATTAAATTCATCCTCCTTGCTTTGTAGAATGGGCAAATACGGCTATTCCGTTTGGATGGGAGGTCTCCCCGAGCGAGTCCGATCCCGAGACATCGATGACTTCTTCAAAGGCTATGGAAAGATTGTCGACATTTCCATCAAGACCAAATACGGTAAGAGCAAGTGAAAAGGGCTTTATCATTTCGATGATTGTAGCTTTCATCGAGTTCGAAGACGAGCGGGATGCCACCGACGCTGTGAAAGACTTGGACGACCAAAAGTTGAACGGCTCGCGCGTCCGTCTCGAAATGTCCAAGGGCTGCAAGGACAAGTACCGAGACTTCCAGCGCACTGGGCGCGTCAGATACCGCTCCTACTCGAGATCTGTCTCTCCTGGACGCCGTCGCCATCGTTCTCGATCGCCCTACGGAGGACGAGGACGCTCTCGAAGCCGATCACCCGCTCGGGTACCCCTTACCATCTCCTAACTCTTCCTACAGTCTTTCAGGGCTACGATCGACGAGAAACCTTCTACTCCAAGCCCGCCTACAAGAAGTACGGAGCCCCTGAAAAGACCCGCTGGACGGTGGAAGTCGATAACTTGAGCTCGCGATGCAGGTAAGAGCTTGAGAACCAAGCCCTCCAGATCCAAGATGCCCGAACTCATTCTCGAGTGAGCAACCAAATCATTGATTTGATGAATCAATCCGCGCAATTCGCAAATGTTCCGGTTTGACGACTGTCTGGCAGACAACGCGTTTTTGCATTTTACAGATGTGATTTTTTCGGACGGACCAATCTCATCCCTCAAATCCCTGATCGTAAAAAGACACAATCCTCGAGGGGAGGGAGGCAAACTCAAAAACACTCGGAGACGCAAAATTCAAAACACACTCGATAGAAGTAGTCCAAAACCACCTTCTCTACGATCTCTCTTTCTCGATCACTAGAACTACCAACTGTCCCCAATTCTCAAAAGTTGACTGATGTTTGAAAACACAAACAATCCAAAAACAGAGTCCCCTGTGCGCAAGAAAACGCGTGGTAAGGCCCCAAGTTGATAAAAAATCTCGACTTTGTATTTATGTGTGTTCAAGGGACTAATATCACTTTTGTAAAATCCCTTTTTCTTCCTCGATTCTTCGTTTCTAACATTTCTTTTATTCAGCTGGCAGGATCTCAAAGACTTCATGCGAAAGGCTGGAGAAGTGACTTATGGGGACGCCCACGGTAGTAAATATTTTCCCATATTTTCGAAAAAGGATTGATCCTTGAATTAAGGCGACCTCGGACGAAACCGAGGAGTGGTTTGCTACGAGCGAGAGGATGATGCACGACGAGCTGTTGAAGAGCTCGACGGCCGAGACTTCAACGGACGCGAGGTCAAGCTCGTCTTCAAGGTAGATTTCACGAGCCAGACAGTTCTTTGAAGAGTCTTTTTTAGGTTCGAGAAGAATGGGGTGACTCTGGCGGAAGTGGCCGACGAGGAAGATCTCGAAGTGACTCTCGAGGTCGATCCAGAAGGTACGCAAGCTCTTAATCTTCCTATATAATCACTCTCTTTTAGCCGATCTCGATCTCCACGACGTCGTTCCCGATCGCGCTCTCGATCCGGCCGTCGGGAACGCGGCTCCCGGGACCGTTCCCGAGACCGCTCCCGATCGCGAGACAACAAGTCCCGCGAGAAGTCCCGAGATCGATCCCGCTCGCGATCCAAGAGCAACAAGCGAGACTCGCGCTCCCGATCCCGATGAGAATGATGATCTCTCTGGCCGCCCGCTCCTACGAAATCAGTTAACTCCACAAAAAATTTTCTCCCCCTTTCTTTCCCGCCTGACCAAAAAGAAGCCAAAAGCCGTCCATTCATCATCAAAAAAAAAAATTAAGAAAAATTCTACCCTTCACCACCTGCCGTCGTATAATCGTGTACTGACAGCGATCTCTCTTTAGCTAAATGTCCTGCCTAGACTGAATTAAACCAGAACATAACCAGAAAGTTATTTGAGCTCATGAAAGTCGATAAGAAAGTTTTTCTTTGGAAGCAGCTTTCTTTTGGCAATTAAAATAAAAATATACCATATTTCACCAGAGTTCTCTTCCTTGATTTCATGCGTTCCAGTTTGCATGCAGAAACGAAATATAAAAGGCAGCTTTCAGAATTGAGCAAAGTGGAAGATGGTCAAGAAGTTGGACGTCTCCCTGCTCCGGTACATCACCTCAGAGCACTTCCGAGTGGTGACTGCCGTCGAGATGGGAATGAAAAACCACGAAATCGTTCCCGCAGACATCATTTGCTCCATTTCAAACTTGAAGCATGGAGGTGTTCACAAGCTAACCAGAGATCTTATCCGCTGGAAGTTGATTGCCTCGGAAAGAAAAGGGCCTGTTACTGGCTTTAGATTGACTGTAATGGGCTACGATTATCTAGCGCTCAAAGGTAAATCTTATCAAAGAGTATTTCTGACTTGAATTCGGAAATTTGTAGCATTGTCTTCGAAGGGAACAGTCTACTCGGTTGGAAACATGATCGGCGTCGGAAAAGAATCTGATGTGTACGTCTGCTCTGATGAAGACGACCGTCAAATGGCGATGAAGCTCGCTCGCCTGGGTCGAACCTCCTTCCGAAATATCAAAAACAAACGAGATTACCACGGCAAAAGAAGAACTGCTAGCTGGCTGTATCTCTCTCGGCTAGCTGCTATCAAAGAATATGCTTTTATGAAAGGTATTTTTCAATTCTTATTGGCTTCTTTGTTTCCATTTTTGATTCTGATTGGCCAAAAATCAAATTTAATAATAGGCGTTTCTAGAACAAATTGTTTACTATAATTATCGTTTTTCTTTTCTCCACAACTACAACTAAAACTAAAAAAATAATCTTAAATAGTAAACAATTGTGTTCTAGAAACTTTTCCTCGAAATTTCTTTTACTTATTCGCAGATCAATGCCAGGAAATAAAATTTCGATTCTAGCGCTTTACGATCGAAAATTCCCCGTCCCGGAAGCCATCGACTGCAACCGCCACGTAGTGATAATGGAGCTGTGCACTGGCTACCCCTTGTGCCAAATCGAAGAAATCGACGAGCCGACGAAGGTCTATGATCAGTTGATGGCGCTTATCGTCCGTCTTGCTCGACATGGCCTCATCCACGGCGATTTGAACGAGTTCAACTTGCTCATTACTGAAGAAGGAGATATTACGCTCATTGATTTCCCGCAGATGGTTTCGACTAATCATAAGAATGCGGAATACTATTTTGACAGAGACGTCCAGGAACGAGTTTTTTCATCAGAAAAATATTGAAATCTGACAAATGAAATCGATCATTTTTGAAACTCTTGAAAAGGGCGTCGTTGATTTTTTCAAGCGAAAGTTCGATTTTACTTCGATAGAACGGACGCCGAAGTTCTCAGATATCGAAAGACGTCACAACTTGGATATTGAATTAGCAGCCTCGGGCTTCTCAAAGCAAATTGAACAGGAAATTGAGGCGTTCGAAAGAGAATTTAGACCACTCAAAGAGGGCGAAGATGAACCAGAGGAATCAGAAAGTGATCAAGAAGAAGGTGAAGAAAGTAGCCAAAATAAAGAAGATAAGATAAAGCCCATAGATCGAGAAGAACAGCCGCAGCAGCAGCAACAACAGGAAAGTTTCAAATTGTCCGAAAAGCTGGAAAATGCTAGAAAAATACCTCAAAATCGACCTTTTTGAAACCTGAAAGACCACTTCTCGTTTTGACAACTGGCTTCAAAGTGCAGCGGAAAATGCAGAAAACGGTCAGGAAGAAGAAGAAGCGCCAGAAATGATCGAAGAAGAATTAAACGAGGAGCAACGAGCTCAGGCAGAAGCTATCATTGCTAGAAATAGAGCCGCCCAAGCTCAGCAAAACAATAACAACGAAGAAGAGGAGGAAGAAAATGATGCAGTTGGAGATTTGCCAGAAATTGAGCAAAATGCTTTCCGTGAGTTCCAAAAAAAGAAAAGAAGATTCCTTTCTTATTTTAGAAATCGCGGATGCAATGTCAAAGATGTCGTCACTGTCGACAACATCTTGCAGCCCGGCGGAGATCAAGAATCGTGTGAAGAAGCAAATTTCGCTGGAGAAAAAGCGCGAGCGAGCCAGGCTTTTGAAAAAGGGAGAAACGTCGAAGTACACGGCTGTTCGGCGGGAACTGAAATCGCAGATAAAGGATGACTTCTGGTGATATGATGGAACTGATTTTAACTAATTGCTCGAATGTATCTGTAGATTCACATTGAGAATGAAAATGAGTTTGAGGATTTTAGAATGGAAGAGATTAAAAAGTGGTTCGAAACTAAAAAAGCAGAATCAAAAGAACGCGCTGAAAAGTTCATAAAACTCCCCGACGCTGATTCCTGTCAAATCCCAGCTCTTCGGCCAGACGAACTGGACTTCGTCGTCTCAAGAAAGATTGACGAAACGCTGAAAACGATCATCATCCCTTCTTGCCTCACAATCGCTGCTTATCAGCTGAGAAAGTTCTACCCTTTCAAGGGGCTTTATCGCGAGCATCGACGATTTGGCTTTGCTGCGTCTTTTGTTGGGAGCTTCTACGGCGCCAATTATCTTTATCAGAAGGAGTTGGAAAGGAATGATTTTTATTTGAGAAAGCTGGATGAAGATGGTCTCTTACGTTTTCAACTAGGTACCGTTTTAGGCTCGGTAACCTTTGCAAAAAACCTGAGTCAGGGTCTGAAAGCCCTTTAATGAAAAGACACAAACTCCAAAATTCTTCTTCAGAATTCAAAGTTTCCACCGGTCGTGAAGCTACGCTCGAAGAAATGACGAATTTATACAGTAACTATTACGTTGACGACATTGCATACCGCTCAGAACTGGACAAATACCGCTCGGCAATCTGGGCTCATTATACGTGGATAAATCAATATTCTGAACGCTCGCTACGACGTTACGTCTTGACGGAGCTCGTTGAGAATGTCAGACGACATGAAGAAGTGAATCTATATGCACAAGATGTGCTCGTGTGGCTCTATGTTTGGCTGCTGCTCGTCATTGTTGCTTTAAAAGGGCCTGCGTAAGTCAAATCTCTCTTTCAGTCTTTTCTCAGAGTTCTTACTTGACCTCTTCAGGAGCGCGAGAGAATTTGCCGAGGACAATAAGGAGCTGCACAGACACAAAGACCAGGATTTAGAACAATCGTACTCTGACTTTCTTCAGAATCAGGATCAATTACTCAAAGAGGGGTTACCCCACTGAGCTTGAGTTTGATCCAATTTGTAAATTTGAAGTCTGCCCAGTTGCCTCTTTTTTTCTAAAAGAAGAGATCAGCAATTTTTACGTTCAGAGATGGAGAGATCGTTCTCGCAATTTGGGCACGCAGATCACTTCAATTTCGATGCAGCGTTGGGACTGAACGATACGCAGTCGCAAGTGGAGGAAATTCGAGATATTGAATCCTATCTGCCGCATTTTAAGATTTGCTATTTGAACCCAAGTCCTATCGGTAGGGTTTTTTTTCGTGATTACTTTTTCAACAATTTCGATAGATATCTGCAGCCTGAGAGAATCTTTGTCTGACGAAAACGGAAACTCCAGTGGGCTTCATTTAGAGCTAGAATCTCCAAGTAAGCTCTTTCCTCTCTTTAATCATTTTCAATCAAGTTGTTAGTAAAATGTGAAGATGGTGAATTCGAGCTTTTGATCCACCTAGAGCTGCCAAATCAATATCCGTCCCTAGAAGCGCCCCGAGTGTCCTTCAACTGCAGTGGCCTTTCTGATAATGTGAACACCTACCTCAACAAATATCTGACCAAAAAACTCGCGCGTGAATTTAACCCAAACGGTGTCCTGTTAGAAACTGTCATATGGATACAAGTAAGCCCGTTTTTTGCCCTCCCATCGATTCCAACCTTTTTTTTCTAGAGCCAAGTGACGCACGAGCTACAAAACCGCAATAAAACCCTTTCCACGATGAATACTATCGCTATTCTCCGCTAAAACGGGACCTTTTCTTCGAAAAAAACATTTCTTCTAAGTTCAAAAACGAAAAATGCCTCTTTAATTATTTAAGTTCAAAAACGATTGTTTTACTTCTGTTCAGAACAAATACTTCTATCGCTCGAAAAAACGTACTGTGCCTTGATTAAACATTCTTGAAAATAAAGAAATATTTCTCTAACACCTTTTTTCTTCAGGAAAATAAAGAAAGGAACATGTTTGAGTTGACAGATTTGCAGAAAATTGGCCTCGGCCTTGTTATCTTTGGGTAGGTAAATTTTTGAGAGAAAAAGGATTAATTTTCTTTTTCAAGATGGGCCTTTTTGGTGATGGGTCTGTTTCTCTTTCTCGACAGAGTTTTGCTCGGACTTGGAAATGTTATGCTAAGGGTCGCAAAATAGAGAGCGTCTACGCTCAATTAAAGGCGTAATACAGTATTAGTAATGCTAATACTGAAGAAAAAAATGAATTTTCTTTCGACCTTTTTCCAAGTTTCTTTCCGGCCTCTGTCTCCTGATTGGACTCGGTCGGACTCTCAATTTCTTCTGGCAGCCACATAATATGTCCAAGATGAAAGGATCAGCTGCATTTTTCTTTGGAATCTTTTTGGTCCTCATCGGCTGGCCATTTATTGGAATGTGCGTTGAGTTCTATGGCTTTTTCGTGCTCTTTTCTGGATTCTTGCCGGTTGCAATTTCGTTTATCAGAAGAATCCCGGTTTTGGGAAACATTTTGAATCTACCAGGAATTAGGTAAGAGCTTTTTCCCGTGGTGGTAGCCTTAATCTTTCGATTCTTTTCTTTAGTTCACTGGTGAAAAAGTACGAAAGTCATCCAATGGTTTAGAAACTTCGCCGGTGAAAATTCCTCCTCGGAGTGAAAAAATAGGAAAAATAATTAATGAAGAAGAGAAAAAAACTAGCATCAATCTTAACCAACTTTTAACTCACTTTTTCTGTACTGGAACAACTGATATTTTTTACACTTGCAAGCAAATCCCTCCTCTGTTCATCGATTATTTAAAAAAGTTTCTTGAAAAAATTGATTTCCCTTCTTGTTAATTTTTATGTTCTGGGGTGATAACGACTGTTCTGCTCGTTTTGCAATATTTTCCTGTACCCTCTTCAATAAATTTTCTTTGGCTTTTTTTTATAAAAAATATTATTGTGAAAGTCATTGCTGATTTTTGTTGATTGAAGGCAGTTCTTGAAGATCATGGCTTTTCGGTTGGTCTCATTTGATGCATTGGACACGCTGATCCGAATCTCAGGTACAGCACCCCTTAGCTCGCCCCGCTCCTTTCAAACAGCTTATACTAGGCTCAGTTGGTCAGCAGTACCTAAGGCAAGGGGCTTTTCACTGAACTATCCTCCATGCGGGAGGCAAGGGGGGCCGCCAATTGGCCACGTGACGGTATGATTTAGCGGCCCTCATCGATTATCGAAAAAATATCGGCCGAAAAACCTGCCTCTTTCTCGAAAATTTGTTGTTCTATTTTTGAAATGAATATGAATGTGAAAAGTTGTTGAAAAGAACGCTTGATCTGCACACGATCAACACGATTTCCAGCGTCACAGAAGAGGCCGTCAACAGGCAATTTTCCTATGCAAGGAAAGAGATCATGAAGAAGCACCCTGCTTATGGCTTTTATACCCAGAAGACCTCTGAGGAAATATGGAGACGTGTTTTTAAAGAGACGACAAGGCCATTTGTGGATCAAGGGAGGATTCGCACTTTTTAAATCTTGAACTAGGAGGCATTCAAAAGGAATTTTTGTTGAAGCGATTTTCAAACAAGCAAAATTTAAAATTTTACAAGCTTTTCAAATTTTTAACTGCTCAATCATTTTCCGGAGAGGGGCAAATCATTCTACATGAATGAATATGCGCTTTCAAAATTTCGAAAACTTCAAAATCTTCATATCAAGAATCTTGACAATGTCAACCTTGAATTTTCATATTGTGAATCAAAGAGCTAGAAACGACAGAAGAAGAGCTAGAAGAAGCATTTCAGTACATTTACCACGCTTATGATTACGAATTAATAGGAAATGGGGTACTCTTCGTTGTCTCCAAGATCCCGGAACAAATATTTATTCCTACCATATTTGGCTCTGGGAAAGGGGACTTGTAGACAGTCTATTCTACAACGAACTTCCTTGAAAATATTCGCCAAATATTTGCGCTAGCAAATAATCACTAAAGTGGTGATTTACTACTACGTCCACATTTCTTTTTACATTATTTTTTTTCTCCGCCGTTTCAGTAGTGAAAATAGGATGGCGCGATGTTCTGGTCTCTTCTTCAATTCGCTAAATAGATACCCCTAAATCAGAGAACGCCACCGATTTGCTCGAAAGTATCGATCGCTCCAAAACGAAGACTTGTATTTATTCCAACGGCGACGAGAGGCTCCACAAGCACCTCCAGCAGCTGGGAATTTATCACCACTTCGACTTTGTCTTGACTTCCGCCGAGACGGGCCTCGAGAAACCGAGAGCGCAAGCGTACATTCGCTGCCTGGAAGTAGCCGGTATCAAGGAGCCCAGCGAAGGAAAGGGAGAATTTCAATTTTTCAATAGACTTTTTTAATTTTATTGAATCATTAATAATTTATTATTCACTACGCGTCTATTGTTCATTCATAATTCACAAACGTCAAAAAAGAGTTGTTTGTTCAATTTACTCTCTTTTTTCTAAATTTTTTCTTTGTTTTTTTACATACAAGATCCTCTTTGAATTCTATTGCGTCAATTCTGAACCAAGCTGCTTTAAATTTCAGCTCCATCCATTTAAATCTTCGCGCTAATAAAACATAATTGCCCTCCCTCCCAAAAACGCCCAAGCAATCAACCCAAAAGATAAATACTCTTTTTTTTTTTGCTCCCCAAAAAAGCTGTCCACATTGGCGACGACGTAGAGAAAGATTTCCACGGGCCCAGACGGGTTGGAATGCACAGTATTAATATTTTACCTAATAAGCCGGCGAGCGTGCCGGACGATTCACACGTCAAAGATTTAGATGCACTTAAAAATGTCTTATCCCAGTTTGATCTTACGTACTGACAGTTCAACTCTTTGGATTCTATTTTTGGTGCACAAAGTAACGCCTTTTCAATTCAAAAATTATTTATAGAGCATTTTGTTCTAATTAGAAAACTAAGGTAAAAATATAAATCGAAAGGAAGCACGGTTCAGCGATTTGTTCGTTACTGTATCTTGCCACAACAGTGATGATCTCCTTTCTTTACTACTCTACTTCCTTGCTACTACCTCCTCTTTCGTTAATTGAATTCAACACTATTCTCTTCTTTAATTCAACGAAAAGCCCGAATTTCAAAGACTGTTTTTAGAAGAATGTTAGTACAGCTGAAATCGAATCCATGGTTGCGAGTTCCGATCGCGACCTTGCAGTTCCTCTGGGTGGCGTTGAATAACATCACTGGCGTCTTCGGCTATTGGTGTCTTCATATTTGCGCCTTGCCGATCAAATGTGTGGATAAGCAGCTCTTTGATACGATAGAAAGGAACTTGTACCACATAACTTTCTTCTTCTGCTCCTCCTGGGGCTTTGAAAATGGCTGGAAGATGATCGTCTCCGGCGATGTAAGACATTTTGAAATCAACGAAGAGAACAGTTTTTTTTAGTACGAGAAATTGGAAGAGCTGGTGAATGAAAAATGCATTCTCGTAGCGAATCATCAAAACACCTGCGACATTTCTGCCCTCATGTGGCCTCTAGTAACGCTCAAAGGGCTGCAAGGCGCTGTTACTTGGATTATGGACGCGATTTTTAAACTGTCGAGTTTCGGCTGGGTCTGCTTGGGTCACGACGACTTCTTCATTTGGCAACAGGCCGATGCCAAGCAGTTCAGATTTGCTGCGCCCTGCGACCCAGAGAATATCAAAGAACATGAACTAGCCGTGAGTTGTTTTATTTCCTAGCTACAGGAAGTTTCAGTGGGAAAAACTAGAGCATAGTTCGACGCTTTTCTTTCTTGGCTTTTGGTTTTCGAAAGGCGACAGGTTCTTGGGGTCGGATGAAGCCCTGGGTATTGAGGAGCATCTCCTAAAACAGTGATTAGTGGTTAGATTGTTCCTGTTTTTGACTTACTTGTATAGCTTTATCTTCAGGCAAAGTTTGGTTGCAGCCGTAGCATCGGTCCCCTGGAGGTCGAGATGTAATGACAGGCGCACTGTACCTCTCAGAATTCCGATTCTTCTTTCGACCTGTAATTTTTACTTTCATCGGCTTTTTTCGTATATTTCTTACCTCGCTCCTCCTCCATTTCGGCCTTTTTACGCTTCTGAGCTTCTTTCAAATCGAAAAGGGTTGTGCGGAGATTCAAGTTTTCCTCGCCAAGGAGCCTGATTTGCTGCTCCAAATTTTCCAAACAGCGCTTGTGATTTTCCTCTAAAAAGAAACGTAATAACAAGATTAAGAATGTTATCTCAATACCTTCGTTTTTCAAGTAGCGTTCTTCCAGGTTCTGGACGTTTTCTGAAAAGTCGTTCTCTTCATCAAATAAAGTTGGAGAAACTTTGCTCGTGGAGGACATTTTGGGTCTTTTTGAATCTCTTTTCTGAGCTTGGACAGGAGAGCAGCGCTTTTTATACCCTCCCGTCGACTCGAAAGACTTTTTGAGCAAAAACTAACGGATTTCTTCAGCGCTTGGCGGAATACTGCAAAACTAACTTCACCAAGACTTCTGACAAACTGCGAAACTGGCTCCTGATATTTCCAGAAGGCGGCTTCCGATACAAACGACTTCAAGCTTCGAACAAATTTGCCACGAAAAACGGCCTGCCTCACCTCTCTTACGTCACTTATCCCCGACATTTGGGCGTTTACACTGCCGCAAAAGTAACTTATTTTAATCGGCCAATGATAACGCGGAATTTTAGAGCGCCAATTTCAAAAAGATAATCGACGCAACTCTCTGCTACGAAAACGAAAAAGAAGCATGCTTGTGGAACTGGTGGCTCGGGAACGCGCAAACTGTTCGCATTCATTTCACCGTCATTGACATTCAACCTGACATGTCCGAAGAAAATGTCAAAGACACCGTTTGTTTTATATTAACCCAAGCTGGGGAGTCTATGCTCTCCGACCACAGTTATCACAGAGGGTTCCCTAAAGTACCAGAATGTAGCTTAGGGTCTGATCTGTGGCGTAGGGGTACTTAGAGAAAGTTATTGTCACATGTTCTTTGACTTATGACGTCATTAAGCCGGAAAAACCCGATTTCGCTCATTTTGACCCCTTTTGGGGAGTCTATGGACTCGGAGTACAGGCATCATACAGTGCCTCAATGCAGCTAAAATAAGAGGTAAAGGTCTATTCTGTGGCGTAGGGGGGTTAAAATAATCTCAGGATGTCCTCATCCCTTTTCTAGAGGGGTTCAAAAAACGGGTGGATAATATAAAACAAACGGTGTCAAAGAAAAACTCATGGCGCTTTGGTCGCGCAAAGAGCTCATGCTCAACCACTTCTCCAACTTCGGCTTCTTCCCGAAGCTAGAAGACAAGCCCTACATAAACGGCAACATTCCGTAAGAAAATATTCCTCCGACATGAATTTTAAACCCTTTTTAGTCAAATGAAACCCGTTGAGGAGCAGAATATTCACCTCAATATCTTCAAAGTATTATTATATAAGTTTATATATCTGGCGACGTCAATAATGTGTCTTACTGCCTTGTTACGGGATCAACGATAATGTAAACTTTAAATTTTTTAAGAAAAATGGAGGTTTCATTATTCATACAATTGGCACACAAAACATCTTCTGAAATGTCTATATCATAAAGACTATATGTAGTCGAAATACCGTCCTGGTAATAGAAAAATAAAGCTGAGCTCGGCTACCTGTGTAGAAAACCTGAGTCAGGGTCTGAAACATCTTAGATGAAAAGCCATGTAGTGGAAAAGTAATTTTGTAACGCGGCTTCTTCAGTCCCTGACTCAAGTTTTTCACACAGGAAGCCGACCCCAGCTTCAAATTTCGTTCAACCAGGACGTCATTCAGACTATTTATCGACATTATAGCAGAAGTCCTCTTGTGTAAATATATTTATCATAAAGGAAAGATTTGTCGATCCCTTTTTCAGACAGTGCTTGTAAACATTATTTTGTGGATACTCCCATTCTAGTTTCCCGACAGAAAAAATGTACGATGTTCTTCAAAAAGCCACAAGTTCCATGTACCTGTAAAAATTATACTTATAAAGATACTTGCTTGTTCGTACTTGCTTCTTAAACTTGCTATTCGAGTTTTTCTATCTTCTTCTTTTAATTTTATGTCTCATCTTATTGTTAGATGAAGATCTTCAATTTTGTTTTATTCTTCCTAAACTTAACTTATTTTGTAAGATTTATGCAATTCGCAAAAGACGTCAAAAAGAAAGAAGCAGAGATGTCAAAATGTATAGAATAAAAACCAACTTAGTTACTCAATTCTTTGTATTCTGACAACTTCTGACGATATCGGAAGATATCAAGTTTATTCACATGATTTCCTCATTTTCGGAAAGCTCAATCATGCACGACTTACAGTAATTCTGCAGGAAAAGGTCTGATACTCAGCTGGGCTCAAGAAGTTGTGTAAAAAACCTGAGTCAGGGTCTGAAAGATCTTCAATGACTAGCCGCGCAGATTTCTCAGACCCTGATTCAGGTTTTCCTCACAGGTTGCCGAGCCTTTCTTCTCCGGTATTCAATCATTCTTTGCGTGAAATCATTACATCAGAATCGTTCTTGATGAATGAAAAAACAAAGCTAGTGAAAGTTTAAGTCATCAAAACAATCATAAAATTTACTTGACAAAGAAGCAGAGGGCAAAATTCCTGCCCTAAGCAAACAAACGCTTAGTCTTCTCAGCGCTATGCTTCATAAATACCAATTGATCTGGAGCGATCTTGACGATTTCTTACGTCGCTTGAACGATGAGAATTTTTATTTCGGCATCCATAAGGCAGCGCCCTCATTCTCTTTCTCTATATAAAGATGACGAAAATAGATCTTCTTCGAAAATAAGTTAGAAATTCCAACTTTCTTACATACGAATTTGCAATTTTTTCATGATGCGAAGTACTGGTAGATCTACGAGTTCGAGAGCTTTAGCAGGTTTGAGGAAATGGCAAATATCAACTTCTATTGTTCGATTTTGAGATTTTTATTGTTACAAATGATTAAATAATGCTTCAATTATTATTTTTACTATTTCACTATTACGATTATTATGTATTTACGCGTTTTTACTATTTGCTATTTAGTTCAATGTCACCAAAACCATGAGATTGCGTACTTATGAACAAAAAACATAAAAGTGCACATATTTTTAGAATTCAATACTTTTACCGTTTCCCTATCACTCTTTTCTTTTTACTATTATTTTCCACGTATTTCAGCATTATAAATAATTATTACTGTTATATCATTTTTCAGAGCCTGAACTACCTAATATTAAAAATAAGAACCCCTTTTTGAAAACCCCTTTTCAAAATATTCCGACTTGTTCACTGAATGAAAAAAAAAGTTAATTTGTTTGAAAAATCGATGCCGGATGTTTATGATAAATTCAGATGCGGAATTGAAACATTCCCTCGAAGCGAGGATGGAAAAGAACGGGAAGAAGGATGAGTCAGAAAAAAAGCTTCTAGAGGAGGACGGAATACCGAGCAGTTACAGGGGCAGAGCAAGTGTTCTCGAGCGCAAATTTTTCTTGTAAGTTTTCTGGTCTTGAAATCAAGGAACTCTGATCGGTATTTTAGGTACCTAAGCGACTTCTTCAAACTTGGATGGAGCGAGAAAGGCCTCAAAGAAGCGGACATCTCTTCGCCACAAGAAAAGTCTAAGTCTGAAGAACTAACCAAGCGCTTGGAGCAAAAATGGGAGGTAGAATCGAAGAAGAAAAATCCCAGCTTAGCATGGGCCCTGGCGAAAGCCTTCATTCCAGAACTTCGGAAGCCCGCGTTTTTTATGTGCATTGCCGAGTTTATGCGCTTTTACAGTTGCTTCGTGCTCACTTGGTTGATCAAGAGCTACAGAGAGGTAAATACTCCTACAGTCGTTTTGGATATGAAACGAGCTATTTTTCAGAACGACTTCTACTCGTCGTATAAATGGGCTTTCCTCTTTGGACTTGTAAATATCTGCTGGACTTGCTGCCATCATCCGAATTTCCTCTACCACCAAAGAGCTGGCGCGCACATGAGAATAGCCTGCTGCTCGCTCATGTTCAAGAAGCTGCTCAAAATATCCCAGCCAGGTTCGATTAATTTCACTTCTTCTCCCGAATCTACCCTGTTTTTAGGCTTGCAGCGAACTTCAAGAGGCCAACTAGTAAACCTTATGTCCAACGATGTAATGAAATTCGACATTGCGTTGATTTTCATCAACTACTCGTATCTAGCCCCCCTCGGTTGCGCCTTTGCTCTCTGGTTTCTCTGGCCAACGTATGGTTATGCATGTGTGGGAGGTTTTAGCATTTTAATCGTACTTGCTATTCTTCAATCTTTTCAATCGCGGCTTTTTCTACATATCCGAATGAAGACAGCGGGCAGAAGTGACAAAAGAATAAAAATTATCGACGAAATGATCAATTCCATGAAAGCTATCAAGGTAGAACAAAAGTCCTCCTTCCTAATTTGCATTCGGTTCATATTTAGGTTTATTGCTGGGAGAAACACTTCGACGGATTAATTGCAGATAGCCGAGCAGATGAAGTTCGAGCAATCTGGTCGGGAAAATTCCTCGTTGGTCTTTTTTCTTCTTGCTTTATTTTTGGTACGAAGTTGTCGACATTTTGCAGCGTTGCGATTTATATTTACTACACTGCCGCCACGGATTTTTCCGCCGAGAAGATCTTCTTCCTCATTGGTAAAGAAAAATTTCCGCTTCAACTTTAATTTCCAATTCTAGCGCTGTTGAATGCTGTAAGAGTGTCGGTCTCCATCTTCTTCCCGCTAAACTGCGTTTTTGCTAGCGAAGCCTACGGATCTGCAAAACGTATTCAAGAGTTTCTCATGCTCGAAGAGCGCAGTGGTTCCTCAAGAGCTTCCGGTGATTTGAAAGTTGGGGAGATTGAGATCTCTGAAGCTGATGCGAGCTGGAATGGAAAAGACAACGTCTTGGAAAAAATCGACCTGTCAGTAAAACCGCAAGAACTCGTCGTTTGTACAGGAAAAGTTGGAGCTGGAAAATCCAGCCTTCTAGCGTTGATTATGGACGAGTTGAAAATCACTTCTGGAAACGCCATGTCAAGTGGGACGATTTCCTACTGTCCCCAAGAAGCCTGGATCTTCATCGGCTCGATCAGAGAAAACATCCTCTTTGGCGCTCCATTCAACGAAGAAAAATACAACCAAGTCGTGGAAAAATCCGCTCTCTCGCGAGATATCGAGCTCTTTCCAAAGGGAGACCAGACGATTGTCGGTGACAAAGGGGTGTCTCTTTCTGGAGGGCAGCGAGCTAGAATTAACTTTGCCCGAGCGCTTTATCGAGAAGCAGATATTTACATCTTCGATGATCCATTTTCTGCAGTGGATCCGAGGGTTGGAAAGAAACTAGCCTACACAATTCATACTTACTTGACGAGCAAAACGAGGATAGTAATTACGCACCAGGAGCACTACTTGCCTAAATACAATCAACTGATAACCATCGCCAACGGAAAAATCACTGACAACAAACAGAACGAAGAAACAGAGTCAATCAAACTCGAAGAGCCCACAGAAGAGTCTACAATCAGCTTGCCAAAAAATCACGAAGAAAGTTCAGCTCAAGAAAAGTTCAAAGAAAAAAATGAAGAAGGAAGTCTCAGCTGGTCAATGTTGAAAGGCTACTTGTCGATGAAACACCCCTTGTTCGGATGGCTACTGTATTTCTGCTTCGAAATGAGCGGGATGGGACTCGTCTATTTTTCGGACATTTGGCTGAAGATATGGGTTTCCGATGTGGAGAGACAGACGAGAGAATTGTGTGAAGATTCTCGGAATGAGAATATTTCGATCTCGGTCCACAATGAAAGTAGATTTATTGAGTCTCCGTTTGGGGACTGCGAAAGTGTCAATTTGATGGACTTGCCGGACTCTTACTACTACAAGAATGTCTATCTAGGTAAAGCCCGAATTCCAGCGATTTAGAAACACAACTTCTTTGCTTCAGGAATTTCTATCGCCATCCCTTTCATCGTCATCGCCTTCCGAACTACTTTCCTCCGCATGTGCGTGATGACCAACGCATCTCTCCACGACAAGATGACGAAGCAAGTAATCCGCGCGCCGGTCAGCTTCTTCGAAGAATCTTCAGGAGGAGTCGTACTCAATAGATTCTCCAAGGAACTCGGCCAAGTGGATGATATGCTTCCATTTACGTCGATGGATGCTGTCAGTATTGGCCTTTCGGTGATAGGAATTCTGACTGTTGTTGGCTTCGCGAATATTTACACGGTCCTCATTTCGGTTCCGTTACTGTACATCTGCTTGTATCTCCGCCGGTACTACATCAAAGTAAGTTTTCAGTCAAAAAATCAAATGCTAATGAGGTAACCCAAGACTGCCCGTCAACTGAAACGACTAGAAGGCTCACTTCGATCGCCAATGTACGACACAGTCAACTCGACTTTCAACGGTCTTCTGGTTGTCCGCGCTTTCCGGCAGCATGATTTGTCTATTTCCGAGTTCGACAAGAGGCAGGATCGACATACAGGCGCATGGATGCTCTTTTTGGAAACTGGTCGCTGGCTTGGATTCAGTCTGGACCTGATTTTGTCTACTTACATCTTCATCATTGCTGTTTGTTGTCCGCTTCTTGCCAAGGTATGTTATGAAAAAATTTGGGTTGGGTTTATATTTATTAGAAAAAAAATGAAAACATAAAATTAGTACTCGGGAATGGATCCTGGAGATGTTGGACTGACCTTAGCGACGCTGGTTCAAATTTTGGGAATGATGCAGTGGGGAGTCCGGCAAAGTGCCGAGACAGAAGCTCTTCTTACTTCAGTGGAACGCTTGATGAGCTACACAACTCTTGAAACAGAAACTACCAAAGGAAAAGTCGCTGAGAAAGAGTGGCCATCATCCGGCGAGATTGAATTCAAACAACTGCATTTCAGCCACGGGTCATCAAATTTCTGTTTTATCAAATTTTTTATATATTTTCTGACCCTGGAAAAGCTACAGTGGAGAGGCAGCCGATGATGTCCTGAAAAATATCTCCCTAAAGATCCATTCGGGCGAGAAAATCGGAATCGTCGGCCGAACCGGCGCTGGAAAAAGCTCCCTGACGACATCGCTCTTCCGACTGCGCGAAATCCGCGACGGAGAAATCATCATCGACGGCGAAAACACCGCTGACCTCAAGCTCAAGTGTCTCCGAGAAGGGATCACGCTCATTCCTCAGGAGCCAACGATATTTTCGGACACGATAAGGTCGAATTTAGATCCAAATTCGGTCAGAACGGACGCTGAGATTTGGTCGGTTCTTGAAACGACGCAGCTGAAAGAAGCCGTGGAAGCTCTTGAAGGAAAACTCAGGTAAAGAAGAAGAGTGTAAAGAGCGTAAATGATATGTTCCTTTAGCTACGAGCTGCCGCCTGGAGGATCAACCTTTTCAATTGGTCAGAGGCAGCTGATGTGCATGGCCCGCGCGCTGCTTTCCCGAACAAAGATTCTCCTCATCGACGAAGCGACCGCAAACGTAGACCCTAAAACTGACGATATCATCCAAGCCATCATCCGAACCGAGTTCGCCGACTGTACTACGCTGACTATTGCCCACCGAATCAACACGATCATCGACTGCGATCGTATTCTTGTGCTCAAAAACGGAAATGTGAGTGCTCAACCGTCCCAATCACGCAAATCTAATCATGAAATTATTCCAGGTTGCTGAATTCGATAGCCCAGGAAACCTACTCAACGACGATGCCTCATATTTTTCCCAGATCGTCTCAGAAACGAACATCGCTGCTGAATTGCGTCAACGAGCAAAAAATAAATAACTTGTTCCCAGATCTCGTTTTTTCCTATTTCTAGCCTGATAACACTAGTTCTTTTGGTTCGGACGAGCTGTCGACTCGTTACCTTCAAATAATTTAACCAGCACAGTATACTACCTATACAGCTTTTTAATCGACTCGTTTGTTTTTCTCTTTTTTCGTTACTGCTCTTTAGACTTGTTTTTTGATAGATAGCGAGTTCGAATTGCTTGAATTTCTGCCTCTGTAAATGCAAAATTTTCATCTCAAGTTCTCAACTTTTACACAGATATTTACATTTTTTCAAAGACTATTTAATAATAAACTCTCATGCAACTAAACTAATTGCTTTTTTCATTGAACTATGGACCATAGTCTATGGTGTCCAAAGTTTTATGAAAAGATATGAGTGATATTCAGTGTTCTTGTTTTCATTTTCATGTGGCAGGACAAGGACAAGCAATACAGACTCATTTCAACCAGGATCAAATCAACGAATATTACGCAGCGCAGGGCGGTAATGAAATATCCAATATTTGATTTTGCGCAACAAATAACAAAAAAATCAAAATTCTTCTACTTAGGCTGACGCGTCTAAATTTTAGACAAAGTCGAAATGTTTAACAGTGTTAAATTAACACTAGACGCGGGGGTTCATTTGGAACGCTGAACGTGCCCGTGGCGAGCCATAATATACCTTGGTTTGCTTACGGTGTGGTACTTGTGCTTGCGACACTTGCTGTCGTAAACAATCTGGTTAATTATGAAGAAAATGAAGCTTCTAAGGATCCCCCAAAGGTTTTTAGGTATTCCAATACCACTTTTTTTAAAGATTTGGATTTTTAGCCTAATGAACTCTCCTAAAAAATCCTATAATACAGGGGCGAAGACTTTTAACCTTACGACGACAAATTTGCCATATATGGCACAATTGTCATCGGTGGGTGAAATTTCGGTTTGTCGTCGTAGGGTTAAGGGTAGAACATCATTTCGAAGCGGCGCGCCTCGCTCGTTCCGCGTCCTACCGTGACCCACTTTTCAAAAGACCGTAACTTCTGAAAGGATAAACTTATTTACAAACTTTCTTTTGAGTGTAGATGATTGAAGCCTTCTCTACTTGCATACTGAAAATTAGCGAAATCGTGAGCTAAAAAATAGGAGAAAGTGACAGAAGTTACGGTTTTCTGAAAAGTAGGTCACGGTGGGGCGCTGATCGAGCGAGGCGCGCCGGTTCGATTTGATGTTCTACCATTAAGGGATCCCCCCTGATTTGGCCAACTTTGAGCTCGAACTACTTATTTTCGGGCTTAGCTATCTTAGAAGTGAGGGGCATTTTTTGAAGCCCATTTTTTATGAGCAATCTCTAGTATGGAAATTAAATTTTAAAAGGCGAATCACGGTAATTCAATCACCTCTAAAAATAACCCTAAAGACATTGATAGTCGCGAAAAAACCACTTTTGGGTCATTTTCAAAGTCGATCTACTTTTTTTCCCTCTGATATATTTCACCGATCTTATTCTTAAAACCTTTCTTGTACCCTTAACTACAACCTCTAGTACAGGCATCTGATGTTGTCAAAGTTTGTAGATTTTTTCTTTACAAAAACTTTTTCGACTGATTTTGTCTATTTTTAAGACTTTCTATGCTCTGTAGCGCCTCTAAGTAGCTAAATATTCCATCGAAACTATTTTTTACTGATTCAGCTTTGTATAAGCTATCTATAGAGCCCTCATTCATATGAATCTGTCGACTTCGAAAAGTCAAAAATTTCGCGAATTTTTTCTAAGTAAATTTTTTGGTCAAAATAAGCCACTTTCAGAGCTCTGTCACGGGTCATCACGTGGCGTAACTCCCTTGACAAAATATATAAAAATGATCCTCAGACAATGGATATTTTAACAGATATTGAAGATCTAAAAAATGGTTCGGAATCGGAATTTCCTAAATAAAAAGAAAAATTTGAGTCACCGAATTAGACAATCTCGGCCTCGATCGTTGGGGACACCCTTAAAAGACGAGAAATTAAAAAATAGACTGACCTCGATTTAGTCGATCGATGTTCTTTCGTAAATTTGCGTTCCATGTTTATAGCCTAATTGGAGTCAGTATTTACACCATAATCGTATATTCGCCAAGTTGGCGTTCATTATCAGTCTATTTTTTTGCCAGGGACGCCGAGTCTTCAAGCTATTCATCATTTTTGCGCCTTGAAATTTGAAGAGATGCAACATAAATGGAACAGTTTCCTTAGGACAAATTTAATCCAATTTAGACAAAAGTGTAAAATTTTTCCAATCAAGTTTATTTATAGTTAAATTAATTCAGCGTGTTCGAAAACCCCGGAAAAACCTTATTTCCGTCTTCCGGTGCCGAAAAGTGATGAGCGCGGCGCTTCAAAGCCCCAAAATCGGAAATTTTCGACGTTTAGTTTTGGGAAGAAGTAGAATAGATATCAAAATTCTAATTTAACAGAAATTTAGATAATCGCTTGAACCGCCGTGGAAACGTTTAAAAATTATAAAATGTTCATGGTTAACCCCTTTTTCTAGCGCTCAAAGTTGACCTTATTTTTGTGAGCGCGCACAACACTCATCTTCGCCGATCGACTCGCTCAAAATGCTTGAATTTTCATGAAAATTAGTAGACATACGTAACTTTTTCTCCTCTTTTTAAATCAATTCGAATATTTATTTTAGCTTATTTTGGAGGAGAGTTACAGCGGTACACAGAAGCTCAAGTTCAAGCCCACTAAAGTGCCTCAAATATTATCGATTTCATAATAAAACTAAGCTCATTAAAAAGCTCGTGTTTTTTTATATAAGAAAAAATTCATTGAGTCGCATTAAGACAATATTGATGATAAAAATCGGTCTGTTTATCTGTTTGCGCACAAAAACTCAGCGGGAATCCACCTCTCTTTAAATAGGGCCAGGCGCACCGGGGTATCAAGTAAAGTCTCTCGATTATTCGCTAAGTAAATATTTCTGAGACAAATTTTTACATTCAGTTTTGTAAAGAATAAACGGGCTATTGTAGCCGACCGTTTCCCTCAGCTTTTTTTCTTCGGTAATGGAAATTTCTATAAACACCATATTTGATAAAGAGAATTTTTGAACAAGAAAAATCAATATTTTTTTGTATTTTTTTTTCGCTGACGAGTCTGTGTGGAAAATCAGAGTCAGGGTCTGAAAGAGCGTTAATATTTTTAATTTGGATTAAAATTTATACATTTCATCAAAAATGCACTGACTGAATTGCTTACTCATTTGCTGTCTATTTTCTCTTCTACACTTTGTTTTCTAACTAGACAAGCCTGGTTGGCAACGCGTTTGGAACCGCTCGTGAAAGTACCTTACTTGCTTACTATCGCCCGCTCGCGACAGCTCAAGAATCATGGCCCATAAAAACGCGGCGGATTCGATCGAATTCAGATTCAAAAACGAGTCTGACAAGCTGATTAAAAATCTGAAAGTGGGACGAGAATGAAGGTAAATCTTGTAAAGAAAAATGAAAAAATGATAATTTTGTTAAGATCCTCGTCGCCAAGAGCCTCATTGCTTCCGCCGTCGCCTATGACTCGTATGTCTCTTATGGCGACTACGCCAGCTCCCACGGTATAACATGCGGCGGAACGATTACAAGCGAGCAGACGATCGTCCCTCCCATGATTGGCCCATACTATTACGCCGACATGGTGTGTACCTGGAACGTCTTGCTGGATTCGTCGGTCACGGAGTTCGATCTGGTCGCGAAAAATTTGCCGTTGAATATAATTATAATTGTTCGTACGATTATCTCGAGATCATCGATGGGTCAGGTAACGTAGCGAGGTACTGTGGCTATTCCGATCCCAGCACTCTTCGACGAAAACGAGACGTTGCCGCGTCGGCAAGGAAGGAACACTCTCTCAGTCCACGCACTGGTGTCGAAATAAACAGAAATGGTTTTACAAGGCGAACTGTCACTGGAAACACCGCGACGATCACTTTCAACGCCGACGGAATGATGCAGTACAAAGGCTTCGAGATCGACATCGTGTTTGACGGCGGCGCTGGAACCGAAACGGGTGATGCCGCTCCTACTCCCGCCGATGCTTGGGCGCAGATCGACGCCGCTGCCACCGACGTTGCCGTCCGTGTCGACGACTTCTACGCTGCTCTTCCCGGCCTCGGCGCCAATTCTGTCCTCGCTTCGAAAAAGGTCGCTCGATTCAACGCTTTCTTCGCCAAGATGCAAAAGCTCAACTCCTTGTCTTCCACCGATCCCTGCACCTACCCCGCTGGCTCGAACGACCACACCACTTTCGTCGCACCAGTCGATTCCGCCGACGCCTGCGAGGAATTGAATGGCCTTTTCGCCTCTCTCATCTCCTTCACCGACTCTTTCGTCTGCATGCCCGACGCCGACTACGATCCAATCAAATTGACCAGACTCATCCAGCGACAGCGACAAATGCTCGTCACCCGAAAACTCAAGCAAATGAAGTGCGGAAGCGCCTAAGCTCGACTGTCAAAATTTCAAATTGGATTCAAATTTTCTCTGTTCGGCGATTTCCTCTGAAAAACTTTCTTTGAAAAAATCATAATTTCGGCCATATTTCGGTATTGTTTGTTTTTTTTTCAAGAAAACCAAGATTGCAGGCGGCTCGCAGTTTCCAAGTAAAAACGTTTGGCAAACTATAATTATTTATAAACATTCATGCAAGATCCATAGAAATGAGTTTTTTCTAGTTTTCGTTAATTATAAATTGGCTTTGGCTCAAGTCATTTGATCAAATATTAGCATCATATGAAGGAGAATCGTATTTCATGCAACTATTAAATGAGCCTCTTTTAGTCCTCCGCATTCCGCAAAAGAATCTATACTACACCGACTACGGTCACATCTGGCGCATTAACAACAGGACATCAAGCACGATCTTCGAAGATGACGGAATAAAATGTAAATTGGTGAACGAAGAGTTCGGAAACATGGAGGAAAACAAGTAATTTCATCATCCTACTGCTTACACCATCCAGCTTATTCCAGAATATGTTGTAAAATCAAGCAGTTGAAGACATTTTTAAGTTATAAAAAAGTTGTGCAGTGAATTTTAGATTTTGGAAAATTTAAATAATAAATCATGCAAGAGAGAGATTCTTCCAGCTGTTTTGCCTTGTAAACTGTTTCTGAATAACATCCTTCATCCCTCATTCTATGAGCGAACATAAGTTACCTTTCTGTGAAGGTCTTTCTTGCTGGCTATTCTGGGGAGCTCACGAACTGACTGGCTGGAATCATTTTCATCTTCAATGTCATTTTGTATCATCAATCAAATAATTTCACCAGCACAGTATACTACCTATGCGGCTATTTAATCGACTCGTTTGTTTCTCTTCGTTACTGCTCTTTAGAATTATTTTTTGATAGATAGAAGTTCTCAATTATTTCTCAGATATTTACATTTTTTTTCCAAGACTATTTAATAATAAACTCTCTTGCAGCTAATTTATAAAATTTGATAAAAAAGGCCGTGGAACGATTTACAACAGGGATGATATAAAACTTGAGGAGTTTGAGCAGTCAGAATTTCAAAAAGTAATTCTTGAACAAAAGCCGTCTCTTATTGATGAGAAGATTGGACGATGGGAGATCAAGGAACTTCCTTGAAGGAAGAGTCTGGTGATTGGCAATTAGATGAAGATTTGGAAGAGAAGCTGCTTTCGCGAGGAGGAGAAGCGATTGTTCTAGCTGAAAATTTCGACGGTTTTGATGTAGTTGTGCGAGTGCAGGTTTTTGATCCGTTTATTTTTACCGAGGAATTTGAAAATGACGGTTTTACTTGTGAGATACATCTTTCGAAAGGTTAAAACGGGCTTGAAATATATTTTAAAGGTTTTTTGAGAATTTGAACCAGCAAAAGAAGAATCGGAAAACGAAGGATCATCAGAGTGCGAAAATCAAATGCCATCCATCAGAACGTTGTTTACAACTTTGTCAATATTGAGCTGTTTCACGGCAGAGACGAGAAAAGAAAAGATTGTTTGGGGTGGATTACGATCATGGAAAAAGGAGAGGAGAATTTGAGGAGTTTGTTGAAGGAAGAAAAAATTGGTCTAGAAACTAGAAAGAAGATCGCGAGTGGAATTTTGGATGGACATGAATATTTGTGGAGTCGTGGAATTTGGCATCGCGATCTGAAATTAGAAAACATTTTGATTGTTGGTGGAATTCCGAAAATTATCGACTTCGGGCTCGTTATGGAAGATACCGGACGAGAAGGCTACCGAAGAATGGGGTACGCCAGAAGAGGATCAAAATACAAAAAATGTTTAGCCCTAGGTAAGTTTTTTGAGAATTTAAATTTTTACAAAATGAAGCTGCTGGGACGCCAGGATTCAGTATTCATGCTCAAGGCGCGACTGGAGATGGTTATTTTGCATATAATCTTTATTATTTTCTTTTCTGCGATTGGAAAACTGCGTGGACACTTCTTTACCAACCACTCGATAGTCGTCAAAGAAAAGCAATAGATGAAATTGTTGAAGTAAGAGCTTGATTTGGAGGATACTGACTATGTCAGGAATGTCAGGAATGTCAGGATTTGGCCAAAATCAGGAAAAAAAGATTCGACGATATTGGGCATGTATAAGGGCCTAAAGGCCCTTACGCATGCATTTTCTGGTAGAAAACTCATTGGGTTGGCGGGGCCCAACTCTCACTGCTCGAAAAAAATTTTTTTTGGAATAATTTCCCACATCTTATACCCCTAAATTGAAAAATCCTGACATTCCTGACATTCCTGACATTCCTGACATAGTCAGTGCGCCCCCTTGATTTGTCTTTTTTGTAATTTTTGGTTTTTTAGGAGTGTGGAGCCCAGGGTTCCAATTTTGCTGAGCGATGGAGTGGATTTTGAGCGGAGTGGAGTGGAGCGTGAGCGGAGTGGATCCACTCCACTCCACTCCCTCAGCCTATATTTTTAGTATCCACTCATTCGCTCCACTCCACTCCAACCTGTGAAATCTACTTTGGAGTGGATTTTGAGTGGATGGAGTGGATTTTGAGTGGATGGAGTGGATTTTGAGCGGATGGAGTGGATTTTTGTCTTTAGCGCCCCTTTTCTCGTATTCTGATTGGAGACCGAGTTTGGTCTATTTTTAAATGAAGAATCAAATTCTCTCAGGGGATAATCAAGAAAATAAATCACTGAAATAATATCAGGATCAACCTTTAATTTAGGACCAACTTCTTCATAAAAGTTTGATGATCAGACCCCCTTTAAAACCCTTTATATCTCGAAAAATGAAAGGCTTGCTCACGGCGTGCAAAGAAGACTTCGATTTCTGTCTGCTCGTGGGGGCCCGACCTTTTTCAACCTCTCTTCTTTACGCCCCCTCTTTCTCTTCCCTTCACCCCCTCTTTCTTAAAACCCCTTTTTCAGAAAAGGAAAGGCTTGCTCACGGCGTGCAAAGATGACTTCGGTTTCTGTCTGCTCGTGGGGGTCGAACCTTTTTTGTTCCTCTGCTCTCTTCTAACCTTTTTGATAACTAAACCCTCCTCCCCCCAACGACCCATTATAATGGATTTAAGAATGAAACGACCCTGTTTGTTCCTCAGTACCTCATGAACTTCAAGGTTGCTAAGAATATATCTTCCATTACTCAATACTTCCGATTTGCCAATTGTAAATTGACTAAAAATATGAGAATGAAATCGTTTAAAAAAACCCGGCCTCTCGACCCTTTTGAGTGTATTGTAGGGTGCATGAAATGCAAAATTTTGTAACGCCGTTACAATTTTGTAACGCAGTTACAAAAATTCAGATTTTTTTTACTATAAAAATTATTTTAAATTTCGTAACTCTTATTATTTTGGACAGAATATGCAATAAAGTATACCAAGAAGTAGTTTCCTTCAATTCAAGCGCGAAGCGCACACTCATTCAATGATTTTGATTTTGAATTTTACCTACCTACTACACCAACCACGAACACATCTGTTACATAAACAACACGACCTCAAGCACCGTTTTGGAAGAAGATGGAATAAAATGCAAATTGGTGAACGAAGAGTTCGGAAACATGGAGGAGAACAAGTGGTACCTCTTTCCTACTGCTTACACGATTCAGCTCATTCCAGAATAAAAAGAAATAATCTGTTTGCACCAGTCATTGATTGAGAGAAAATATATAAAAAATTCTAAATGAATATTCGAAGTGGATTTTTTACAATATGTTTTGCCACACTGTTATCTAAATTGAAGTAATAATTGAAGAGTTCAATAAGAAATTTAACTCTCTCGCAGCTTTTTTAGATGACTATTTTTTCATTGAACTTCAGTTTATGAAAAAGAATTATTGTTTTCTTTGTCAGGTGGGAAGATAAAGATAAAGTGGAGAAAGAGAGAGAGTGGGAAATTCTGCCCTTGAACGGGGCTGTTGAAAACGTTGTTATTCATTCGGATGAATGGAGCAGTTGATGATACTAGCTAGGCCACTTACCCCCGAGCGGCTCCCACAATTTGTCGGCTTGATATTATAAAATGCGCCGGATCTTCTTGTAAAATGATTGAAAGCGAGAAAGGAAAGGAAGGTAGAGAGACTTTTTAAGAAGAAGGGATCGAGATCGAAGGGACTGCGAGTTCAAAGAATTGGAGCTACAGTATATTAATGACAGTTTGAGTTTGAAAACGCAGGGATTAGTTACAGTAATTGCTCGGCATTTTCGGATGCGTCTGGGTCAGATCTTTCTTGTACGATTCTATCAGACGCGTCGGACAGTGATCTTTCCGACAGGTTCGTGTCACGTGACGATACAGCTCTCATTTCATTCAGGGAGGAGGCACAACAAGAAGAGTCCCATGGGACCGACAGCGATCGCAAGACGACTTCAACTCGAGTATGGTCATTTCGGGGCCTTTTCACTTTCATCCTCGCAAAGGTGAATACAGAGCGCTACTTTCGAGAATTGAAATAAGGGAAAAAGTAAAAGTAGGGTAAGTCTACTCGCCAGAAATCAAAATTTACTAATTACCACCGGCGTCAAAAATATATTTACGATGTTTTTTAGCATTTCTTCTGGCCTTTATTTTGCGCCATAAAATCAGAAGAGTTAGAGAAACTTATACAATGAAAATCTTCTTTCTTTTTGACTTTCCGTATTTTATCTGAAAATAAGGATTTTATAAAGTAGACGACAGGGCTCATAAATCATACAGTTCTTATGTAATACACAGTTATGCAACACCCATCGAGCGTGTTTTCTAACAGCTTCGTACGAATTTCTTTCTTCTGAATTGATTTTGAATAAGACTCATTTTCAGCACGCGACTGTATCTAAAGAGAGATTATTCTTCGCCACAGGAGCTCACGTATCCTCCGCTGTTTTTGTCAGCGACGCTTTTGGCTTTCAAATCGTTCACGAGGAGAAATTCACGAGAGACAAGTCACACTCGCCTCGAGCCAGATTCGATGCGCCCCGGGGGGCTACGTGCGGCCAAAATTACTTCCTTGTCTTTTTCCTTTTAGGAAATCCCTGATATTCGATCGATACTTTGAAATGAGAAAAATAATAATGACGAGAACGAAACTATCAATTATGTAACACCCCCAAGAGACTAAAAAATTATAAAAACAGCAAAAGAAAAAGAGAGAGCCAAACAATCATTATTGCGAATCAGCGTTTTTCTGATTTTTGATTTCTGCGCGACAAAAATCGCAATTTTTTCGCGGAGTGGTTATTCATCGCGGCATAAATTCAATATTTTTATTTCAGAGTAAATACTTACTGAGAATACGGCCAAGAAGCACGATGGTGGCGTATTTGAACCAGATCGACCAGTTCTTGCGGTAAGTAGGCCATTTTTTCAAGAGAGTAGATAAGAAAATTATTACGAAAGAATAAGTAATAAAAGCTTGATAATAAAAGAGAAACTCAACAGATGGCCGTATAAAATGAAATTATCGCGCTTTTGTTTTCGCCTTTTGCTTCATAATTTAATATTCTTTTTAGGACTCCCGGCAAAATCGACGAAATCTTCACAGCTGTCGAGCAGAAGACCAAAGTTCAGCGTAAATTCATCGGCCTTGGAGGAGCATTTATCGCCATGGGATTGATTATGACTACACTTGCACCCCTCGTGGTCAATTGCATCGCCTTTGCCTACCCTGCCTACAAATCTATCAAGGTGATTCCTCTTCCATGTCTCCAAGACCCGGCATGACTAACCCAACCCATGAATAACGAACAAATTTCCTCTGTTTGCCAAATCGACGTCAAATCTTGCTGTGTTTGATCAGTCATTTCTATCCCCTTTCATCGCAAAGTTCACAATTACCAGCTCGATTCATTACAATTTCAGGCGCTGGAATCAAGCAACAAAGAAGACGATACAAAATGGCTCACTTATTGGGTCGTTTATGGAGTATTCTCCGTCGCGGAATTCTTCACAGATTTGATTCTCAGCTGGTTCCCCTTCTACTACCTCGCAAAGGTACGGTAAAAATCCTAAATCGCCTCTAAATCGATCTCAAGATGCTCCTCTTTGTCTGGTGCATGGCTCCAATCCAGGCGAACGGCTCGCAGTTCATTTACTCCCACGTAATCCTCCCCTGGTTCCTCAAGAACGAAGGCAAACTCGACCAGGCGTTTGATCGATCCAAGAAGCTCCTCGCCGATGCTGCCGGAGAAGCCGAAAAAGTTGCGAAACAAGCTGCTTCCGATGCGTTGCTCAAAGAAGACTAAACAGTGAAAAAATGATAAATCAATGCCTGTCCATCGATGTTACTACTAAAGTTGAAATAAAATAATAGTTGGCTTAAAAGATAAAAGCAATAGCTATTTATATGCACTTCAAAATGATATAGTTCATGACTAGGAATCGAAAGTATGGACTCTTTTGTTGCTAATACTTGAAATTATTCCGACAATGGGGTCATCAACTTTTCCTCTCGAAGAATTCTCCGTATAATGAATTATTCTAACGCTACGTTTACGTAGTAGATTACGTCGCACGCCTGGCGTATACTCGCGCCTCTATAAAAAGCACTGGATGCGTTGTGTTCTTCATCAGTTCTACGAAACATCCAAAAGACAACGAGGCTAAATTGAGAATAACCATGCCTAGACAACTTCACTGCCTAAATGGAGGATTTTCGGAGATAGTTGATGGAGTGCAGATTTGCAGATGCCTTGATGAGTTTACTGGGAGTTTCTGTCAGGTAACTATCATTGTGGACTACTAAATACAATTGCATGTATATCCTCTATCAGATAAATTGTGATTTTGAAATCAAGGAAGACTGCTTTTCTACAAAGAGATTGGCCTCAAAATTTTATCGAATCTTTTAGCATCGAAGTTTCATTTCCGGTCCATCGCAATTTGCTTCCTACTCTGCTTTCGTTGCTCTTGCAGCACTTGTTCTACTGGTTACCATGCTATCGACGACCTTTTATTTTAAATTACGAAAAAATCTTTCAATAAAACATTGTGGCTTTATGACCGGATACCGTAGATTTTGGGATTCAAGGGCGGTCGAAAAGGATTCCAAAACGAGGATCAATTACTGTATTTATTTCGTCATTTGGGATTCAGACGTGAACAAGCAGGGTTGAGCGGCTACTTCAGGGGACGTAATTAAAATCTTAACGGCGAGAGGTCCAGAAAACCGTGTTATGCAAATTCATGGTCAATTGCGGTCAAAATTGAGCCTCAAAGAATCAAAAGAAATCTTCAAATGACTGTTTGATACCGCTGAAAATACCGAGCAAGTCAATGAAGCATCATTATTCAGAATAATTCATCAAAAAAAAAAGTGCACAGAATTTTGCTTTAGAAATGAGATTTTCCCACGCATAAAAAAGTAACGACTAAAAAAGAAGGATTCGAATTGTTCGAACAGATGCAGAAATCAAAGTTTTGATCTCCCAAATCACATAAAATCAACCAAAGTGCCAGTTATTATGATTTTATAGCGTGTGATTTCCCGAAATCTTCAAAAAACCGGAGTCGAATTAATTTTATTGGAATCGCTTTGGTCAAATAAATCAGCAGATTGCGTCGCGATAAAGAAAAAACGGATGTGCGACGCGCTAGAATTACTGAAACACTGTCTCTCTTTGCTGACGAAATATAAGGACTATCTATTAAAGTAGTGGTTGGGCCTTCAGCTTATCAAAGGGAATAAGGCGGAAGTTGCGGGCATTTACGCTTCAAGAGCTGGCTAAAAGAACTTATCGGAAAATGACCGCGATTTTTCTCTTTTCACCAGCTGGTAGTTGATTGTATCAGATTCCAAAATGAATGAAGTTTACAGTAAATAGTCGATCACGCAGGAAATGCGAAGGGATACGAGAAAAATCCAGTTATTTTTTGTCTTCAAAATAAACAAGCGCAAAATATCTACTTTGGAATTTCTCGGACTATTTTCGATCTATTTGATCATCAAAAATTCTTTTGAGATTTTGACAGTCTTCGATTTTCTATAGTTACGAGGCTGAGAAATATGAAAAAGAGGATCATTTAATGATATTAGATGCGCTTGTTACGAACTTAGTAAACTGAGCATAAGGAGCTTGACAAGAATTTGAGAAGTGTCAAACACTTGATCATTCTGAAGTGGAAAAAGTTCACTATCTCTTATTCTAATTCTACTCCATTTATGTGATAAAATGGTGTTCAAACCCTAACCCTAACTGTAAACGAAAGCTCATACTACAAATATTTATTTTCTGATACTGTAAAATCCAATAAATACAGTATCATTTACACCCTCGAGAAAGTCGTTATACTAAGTGTCACTTCCGCGTTTCCATTTCATCAAAAAATATCGCTTTATTGAATGCCATAACATGTTCAATTGACGGCGGCACTGATCTTTGTTGTGGAACAGATGTGTTACGGGAAGAACACGCGGTAGAATTTGCGCCGCGCTAGAGTGATGGCGCCCGAGACAACCCCCCAGTTTTCCCGTCGAGTGGTCGTTTCACGCAACAACTTATTACGTCCTAATACCGAGTCAAGAGACCTTTTTTGAACCTTTTTCTCGTTGCATCGTACTTTTTCTTGATCAAAAACAGAGGGAAAAATAGAAAGAAATAAGAGATAAGAAAACGAAGAAAAGAAGAAACGAAGAAAAAAATAGTGAATGTATAAAAGAAGTCTTCTAATTCTAGCGCTACAGAATGAAGTTAGCGCCTTCTGGACATCATCCTCATCATCTCGTAAGTTTACGTGGAATTTGATTGACGTTGTTAACAAGAAGCTCCTCCCTGAGATGAGATAACTGTAATCAAATCGGCGCTAGAACTTTCATAACGTTTATTTTTGGCAAAAGCGAAATTCGTATAATTTTGTTGGAATCAGCAGAAATGCCGCGTACATGCTCGTTATGAACCTCAAAAATGTGCTACGACTTGAACTTGAGCAGCAGATTTTAGAAAAAAAATACTGCTTTTCTGACACTTTTTTTTATATAATTTGCTCTAATCTGTCAAGCAAATTTTGATGAAATGGCGAATGAATGAATCGCGAAGTTCTGAGAGTAAATGGCGACGCTAAGCCGGATTGGCGACACAAATTAACCTTTCCTAGAAAATGGAGTCAACCCATCGACTCCACCGTGCACAGCGAAGCGCCAGAGGCTCCAAAAAGTCCCCTGGAATTGGTGGATGATCAGGCAAAGGGATGAAAACAGGAACTAGACGTGATTGATTTCGGAGCGCCTTATCTTTAGTGCCGTGCTGGTACTATTTTGACTTGCAACAAATTGCAACATTCCAGAAGTTCACCTTAATTGTTACGTAACAATTCAAGTCATAAGGGAGGGGGGTCTTAAATTAGAGCGCTAAAGTAGGTTTTAACGTAGTGAATTATATAGCCACGAGAAATAAATCTACGGCAATTTTCATGGCGATTTCGGCACAAAAAAATTTGTCAGAATTTCATCCCATTCAAGACAAAGCAACGAGCACACCCCTGACTGCGACGAGTACGGCTATTTCCTGCCAAAACAGTGCAGCGGTAAATACTGCTGGTGTGTGAACACAAGCTCCGGAGAGCAGATAAAAACACCATGACCTCATTGAGCAACAAAGACAAGCTCTGTTGCTCTTCTTCATTCCCGACAAATTGTAAAGTCAGAGCTGTCGGCTGCAGCACATGTATCCTCCAAGGTTCGTTTTGCATAATTTCATCATTCCCTCCTACCATCTTTTTTCAGCAAATATTCTTCAATGTACAGAGCGCAAAGGATGCGCAAACCCTTCTCCTCCCCTCTGTTTGGAATTTATCAGCGAAAAACCTCAACTTACTTCATTTTCTCCTTCAAGAAACGAATTCAAAAATCAACCAAAAGAATTTGTCAAACACCAAGTCGATAACATTAGCTTTCATTATCATTTTTTGAACAATTTTTTAATTCAAAAAAGTCCAAAAACTTATATTTCCCGCCCTCAAGTCTTCCAACCGGTGGCCAAATTACCACCATCAACATCATCATCATCATCAACAAGCATATTTAACAACAGCAACAGCAAGAAGCTTCCAACGATAGAAAAGTGCTGTACCGCCCGCCCAGGCTATCGAAGCAAATGTCCGGAAACATCGCCTTCTGGCTGTGAACTAGTCGGCTGTTGCTGGGACCAGAGCAGGAATGAATGCTTTCGGAGGGACTACAAGTGCTCTACTATTTCCTACGCTCCAGCTCCTACACTTAGGAGCACTACAAGACGTCCGGTCAATTATACAACTCCACGTCGAATCACTGCTCCGCAGGTGCAAGCAGAATGGTATCTTTGGTCTGGCTGGCACGACTGTAACTGCGAAGTCCGGAAGCAAGAGCGATTTCGAGGCTGCAACGGTGGAATGCCTGGTCAAGGCAATTGCATAGGAAAGAACTACATGTTCAAGCCATGCGAAGATGGCGATCTTCAACGAGCTTGCAGTCCTTCAAAATGGGCTGACTGGGAAGAATGGGGAGCTTGTTCAACTTCATGCGGCGTTGGGCAAAAATCCCGCTACAGATCGTGTCCAGAAGGGCAAGAATGCCAAGGCTCAGCTAAAGAAACATCTAATTGCTACTCAGCTAGCTGTCCAACTTGGTCTTCCTGGTCCGAGTTCGGTCCTTGCACTGCTACTTGTTCTGTTGGTCACAAGTCAAGGAGAAGAACCTGTTCAAACGGAAACTGCGATGGAGAGGCTGAAGAAGTAATCCCATGCGATTCCGGGATTATCTGCGCAGTATGGACGGATTGGGCGTCTTGGGAGCCATGCTCGGTCTCTTGCGGTCCCGGCACAACGAAGAGAACGCGAAGTTGTGGCGGATCTGGCGAAGCTACGTGCGAAGGAGACTCGGTTCAGCAGAAGATTTGTCTTAGGAACTTGTTTGATTTGATGAAAAAGTACTGTTTTTATTTTCCAAGCTACAAATTCAAAACAAGAAATAAGCGGCTTTTGCGCTCCAGAATGGTCAAATTGGGGAAGCTGGTCAGAGTGCTCTGAAGATTGCGGTCCAGGAACACGTTCACGATCGCGCAACTGCTCTAAATCCGGTAATTACCCGTCTTATAATTTTTCGCAAGGTATTTATATACAATATCACCTGCATCGGCTGAAATCTAATTTGCAGGTTGCGATGGCTTATCCGAAGAGACAGAGGAATGTCAAAATCAACCTTGCAGTAAGTTTTTCTTTCCAAACATTTCATAACAATCATTTCATTTTGTTAAAAATTATCGTCATTTTTGTAACTACATCATATCATCATTACTATCATTAGTGGATTCACCGCTCATACTTTGGTCTGAATGGGGTTCATGGGAATTTCACAAGGACGAAAATAACATTCAAAGACAGAGAGACTGTTTATCCGAATTTGACTGTAATGGAGAAGCTCATGAGACTGTACCTTGCCCTGAAGAGTGCCCTTATCTTTCTGGCTGGTCAAGTTGGAAAGTTGACGAGGCTCTTTCAGGAAAGGGTTTTTAGAGCAAGATTTTTTATACCTCCTCCGAGGAGATAATAATTCTAGCCTCACACACACAGGAGCTTTTAAAATCCAAGATGAAGACACCGGAACCGTCTATAAACGAGTGTCTTTATGTCAGGATCAATTATCTGTGAGAATACGAGCTCTTTGCGGAAATTACTTGAACAAAGTCGAGCGCAAAGATTGTTCAAAGCTCGGCGTTTGTGGATCCTGGACGAGTTGGTCTAGTTGGAATGCTGTGGATGAATACACGCAGTCTGCAGTGAGAAACTGTTTTGGAGAAGAGCCTTTGCTATGCAAGGGAGAGTCGACAAAGCAAAGAAAATTGACCAGTTGGTCGAAATGGCAGCATCAAGAAGCGGAAGCGAGAATTTATCGAGAGCGCGTCGCTTGCTACAATTCTGATGACTGTGATGATCCAGAAGTCGAGCTGGAAAGCTGTGAAGATGTCAACTGTCCGAAGTGGACTGATTTTTCCGATTGGGAAGCTTACCTTGGTCCTGGAAATTTTAGGAGAAGTCGAAGCTGTATTCTCGGCGATACAGATGCAAAATGCGTCGGTGCCGCTGAAGAATTAATTGACTGTGAAATCAACCATTGCGGAGTCTGGTCAGACTGGTCTAAATGGAGCCTTCTCGAAGATCCTGAGCCGGAAGAAATGAAAGAAGGACGCGATTCAGGTGCATCAGAGAGCTCCGGGCTCGAAGGGAATAATCCGGCTGGCGACGCGCGGCCCGTTAAAACTTTCAAACGGAACCGCAACTGCATCAATGGAGCGCCAGGCTTCCCATCGTGCATTGGGCCGAGGGATGATATATTCATATGTGAGCTTCAATACTGTCCGAAACTCACTGAGTGGAGCGACTGGATTGTTGATATGGATGAAAGAGTCATAAGAAGAACAAGAACATGCGAAAATAATGAGAAAATTGACTGCGAAGGGGATTTAACTGAAGAAAGAGACTGTTCTCCTGAAACATGCCCATCTTGGACCAGCTGGACAGAATGGTTTGGAACTTGCGATGAAGAAAAATGCACACAAAATCGAGTCCGAGAACTGTCAATTGATGGATACGATGAAAAATTAGCAATATCCGCGGAAAATCAACTTGAGCTCATCAAACAGACTGTCAGTATACGAAAAAATGCTAGAACGCCTTTCTAAATGTACTTTTTTAAGGAGGCGCAGTGCACTTGTTCCGGCAGCTGGCAAGAATGGACAAAGTGGAGCCTCGCGGCCACGAGCAGATTACAGCGCTCTAAATCGTGCGATCAGAGTGATTGTGTAAACTTTGAGTCGTACGCGTGTAAGGTAGAGATGAGCAGAAAGATGGTTGTAGATTTACGCGCTTTTTCAGTTCGATGAAGACTGTCCTCCTCAGTCAGAATGGAGCCAGTGGATGGGGATATCTTACGATACTGAAAGGAGAACAAGACAGTGTTGTTCTGGCAACGTTTCAGAATATCGAGTATCAGCAAAGACGCAGCCTGAAACATCAGAAGAAACAACTACATCGACAACAATTTCGCCAACATTTTCGAGCTCGATTTTTACCTCAGCATCATCAATGACCTCACCAACTTCTTCCGTCACCACTGAATCTACTTTTATATCACCAGAAACAGCTGAATCGGCGAGTATAAGAACGACTGAAGAACCACCAGAACCTTCCGAGACAATTGTTAATCAGAATTCAAGCAGTGGTAAAAGAGGGCAAAGAAATTTGATCTCAACTTTTGATGATTGGGGCGCGATTCAAACATCATCTTGGTCAGACTGGATTGAAATTAGAGAGTGCACTGCTACATGTGGAGATACTGGAATCACGATTGTGTCACGACGGTGTAAAACGACCGACTTGTCAAAATGTGACGATATGAGCCAAGAAACTAAAATGCGAGAATGCAATCGAGTTCCGTGCCCGATTTGGTCTGAGTATGGAAAGTGGTCAGACTGCAGTGTTGAATGTGGAGGAGGCGCGCATATGAGATCACGTGAATGTCTCCACGGCGAAACCGAAGATTGTCCAGGCTCGCCGCAGCAGATGAAATTCTGCAACATGCAGCAATGCCCAACTTGGAGCAACTGGAGCGAGTGGTCTCAATGCTCTCAATCGTGTCTTGTCGGAGAAAAGATTCGAACAAGAAGATGCATGCATGGGCGCCCAGGCGATTGCGGCCCCGAAAGAAGTGAACAACGAGGCGTTTGCGACGAAGGCCTTTGTCCGACTTGGCAAACTTGGGGAGAGTGGACCGAGTGTTCTGCGACATGTTCTGGAGGAGAAAGATCTCGCGAGCGAACTTGCCTAAATGGTAGTTGGGGTCAGCTGGGCTGCAACTCCGAGGATGAGAAATCGCAAACTGAGTCTTGCAACACTCATCCGTGCCCGTATCTTACCGATTGGATTAAATCAGAGTGCACTGCATCTTGCGGGCCCGATGGGAGATCAGCCTGGTCTCGTACTTGCGTGCATTACATCCCTGGCGAGCATGAATGCGAAGGGGAAACGGTCAAGACTGTTCCCTGTAACAGTCAACCGTGTCCGGAATTTACAGAATGGAGCGATTACGGACCGTGTTCAAAAACATGCGGAGGCGGAAGTGAGACAAGAACTCGCGACTGCATCAACGGTGTTCTTGGCGAAGCGGGCTGTGACGACGATGCAAGTGAAAGCCAAAGCTGCAATCAGCAAAGCTGTCCGTTTTGGAATATTTGGACAGAATGGAGTCCTTGTTCTCTGACCTGTACCCCGACAGGAGAGGATCCACAGATTCAAACTCGAAGTAGAAACTGTATCTTTGGAAATCAAGGCGATCCTGGCTGCCTTGGTCCAGATAGTGAAACACAAGAGTGCGAGAAAAATATTTGCCCGTATTGGACAGAGTGGTCAGAGAAAACAGCTTGCACTTCGACTTGCGGCAAGGGCGTGACTTTTCAATTTCGCGATTGCGTCAATGGTATCCCAAGTGTTTCCCCTGAATGTCAAGGAAACGCTACTATGTTTGAGGAATGCATGGTGAAAGCATGCGCCGGCTGGACTGAATGGTCACGTGACGGCCCGTGCTCTGCCTCATGCGGTAGTGGACAGAGTAAAATGAAGCGCGAATGTATGAATGGCATTGCCGGTGTTGACGCACTCTGCCCCGGAGCTAGTGAAAAAGTTGACGAGTGCAATTCTAGGGAATGCCCGCGTTTTGATGAATGGAGCGAGTGGAAGGAATGTTCTCAAACATGCAACGGTGGCGTACGCATTCGTGATCGACAGTGCCTCTTTGGTAAACCGGGCGACAACGGCTGCAATGGAGAAGTTGTCGACAACGAAAAATGCAACACTGAAGCTTGTAAAGAGTGGAGCCAGTGGTCTGATTTCAGCGAATGTGGAGTCACCTGTGGGAATGGAAAAAGATCAAGAACGAGAGAGTGTGTTGGAGAAATCGGAGAATGCCCAGGCGAAGGAATCGAATTCCAAGACTGTTTCCGCGGACTCTGTCCAAAATGGGCGCAATGGGAAGACTGGAGCGCTTGTACTAAATCTTGTGGTACTGGTGCAAAATCTCGTGTTCGGGAATGTTTGAATGGCGAATTCGGAGTAGCGGGATGCACAGAAGAACCTTCGCAAAATGATCCCTGCAACGAGCAAGAATGCCCATACTGGGAAGAATGGTCTGAGTGGACAGAGTGCAATGAAATTTGCGGAAACCAAATGACCACTTCTGCGAGACGATGTATCAACGGACGAGTTGGCGATGAAGGCTGCGATGATAAAAGCTTCAAGCAAAAATCTTGTGACTTGCCTCCATGTATCGAGTGGGCGCTCTGGACGCAGTGGTCGGATTGCTCGACTCCTTGTGGCGATGGAATTCAAAAGAGAGTCCGAGATTGCAAAAACGGCGGTGAAGATGAATGCCTCGAAAAAGACCCAGAAGAAAAAGCAGTTGAAGAGCGGGAATGCTTTGAAAACGAGCCCTGTGATATTCTCTCCGAATGGTCTGAATGGACAACATGCACGCATACTTGCTTCGATGGATTTACAATGTCGACCAAGCCTAGAAAGCTTCGGCAACGATCCTGCACCGATGCTCTTACAGAAAGCACAGAAGGAACGATCTGTAATGGAGAGCTCGTAGAAAGACAATTTTGTAACATTGGAAAACCTTGTCCGAGCATATTGGTCTCTGATGTCACATTCGAAGCGAATGAAGAAGCTCAAAATAGATTGGAAGCTTCAAAAAGAATTCCCAATTCCTTGTTTGACGAAGGTTCTAGTTTTGAGGAGGTTGAAGAGCCGATTTATGAATTTGAGGAAGAAGAAGCCGAAGAAGTCCAAAAATTCGAAGAAAAAGATGGCTTTTTTGAGAGCTCCGAAGAAATTGAAAGTGAAGAGAGATCGAGCAGAAGACTCAATGGCAACGTAGAATGGACAAAAATTCAAGAGCTAAAGGAAGATGATAAACTACTAGCTGAGTTTCTACGAACATGCATACCAGAATTAAACGCTGTAACTTGTGGAAAAGGAAATGGGATCATGTTTGGCTGGAACGCCTGCGATCAAGATGATATCGACGCTGGCCACTGCTACACAAACGGCACTGATTTCATAAAGCTAGACATGGAGAAGTCATGCGACCTTCCACCTTGTGACAATAATGAAATCAACATCGACATTGATCTTCAAAATACAAACACATTCTTTGACGGCGATGTTCGGACAAGATTCGAAAACATAATTAACAACTATGGCTTGTTTCCCGACCGACCAGTTGCAAAAAATAAAATGATTGAGGGTATTCATTTGGTGATTGGTGCAGTTACTGACATAACAGTGGTGATTTTCTAAATTGACAAAACGCAAAACATTCTCATCTCATCATATTTTTTCTTATTTTTTGAAAGCTTAATTTATATTTCAGTTTGTCCGAAATCCGACATTGTGCTTCTTTTCGACACTTCCAACGACATCACACCCGGCCATCTTGAGAACTATGCTGATTTCATAACTGCACTTTTGCGGAATTTTAACATAGGTAACTCGACCTTTAAGGGACCCCGCCGACCGAGCTCCGCGCGCGCTTCTCGCCCTTTTTCACTCTCACTCTTCAGCTGGTTTAATTTTTTCGATTATAGTTATTTTTTGCACACTAACTAAACTTTTTATGCTCTTTCAAATACATTTCTTAAAATTTTCATAGCTTATCGTTACGCTGAGTTTGGGCGAAAACATTAGCGCTCTCTTTCAAGTGTACATAAGTCCTCGAAATATTTGGATTGACACTTCGAGACTGCCCTCATTGAAAAGCCCGTGCCTTCTTGCATAAGGCTTACTTATTGAGATGTAATAGAAATTTATGCAACTCTCGTAATCGAGCGGTTTATAAAGGTTCTTCTGACCAGCGCAGCGGGAATCCCGCGCCAACAGTGTAAAATAGCCGTGTTTCACGCCGAGCGCTCCAGGTAACCCGCATTAATCCCACGATAATCAGATAAATAATCGCTTCCAGGAAATCTCAATAAGTAAGCCTTATGCAAGAAGGCACGGGCTTTTCAATGAGGGCAGTCTCGAAGTGTCAATCCAAATATTTCGAGGACTTATGTACACTTGAAAGAGAGCGCTAATGTTTTCGCCCAAACTCAGCGTAACGATAAGCTATGAAAATTTTAAGAAATGTATTTGAAAGAGCATAAAAAGTTTAGTTAGTGTGCAAAAAATAACTATAATCGAAAAAATTAAACCAGCTGAAGAGTGAGAGTGAAAAAGGGCGAGAAGCGCGCGCGGAGCTCGGTCGGCGGGGTCCCTTAATTGATACGAGATTATTCAAATTTGCTTAATTAGGATTGAATGAGACGCGACTTGCAGTAGTGGAGCATCACTCGGAGCCGCAGATAAAATGGGACCTGCGCGATTCGCTCTCGAATAAATACATCAAGCAACTTATTCAGGATAATCCTCTCGCTAAAACCGGCGCAGGACTCAATACAGGTATTGACTCAGCATTTTCTTCCATGATTTCAACTGATTTTTTCAGCGAAAGCAATCGATTTCATTGGCTCGAACGTTTTCTTGCACGGCTACGGAGGTGATCGCTACTACGCTCCAGATATTCTTGTCATCGTAACTTCTGGAGTTCCCTCTCAAGAAGCTGAAAAAGCAGCTGCTCGTCTCAAGAATCGATACGTAGCTGTTGTTGCCATCGGAATCGGGACTGACATTCCTATGGGAGTTCTCAATCAAATGGCTTCCGATCCTAGTGAGCGACTTGCCATTCGAATAAACAACGCTTATCAACTTCCGAGAACTGCAAAGAAGATTGCCGCAGCAATGAAAGAAGCTTGTGTGGAAGCACCTGGCTGGTCGAGTTGGTCGAGCTGGGAGCCATGCTCTGCAACATGTGGAGAAGGAGTGACCCGAAGACAAAGGCGTTGCCGTGGAGCTGAGCAAGGGTCTCTATCTTGCCCCGGGAAATGGGAAGAAAGCAGAGAATGTGTGATCGAAAGAGAATGTGTCCCAGTTTTCCTGAAAAGCTCCGAGGAAATAATCTGGTCCGAATGGTCAAGCTGGGCTAGTGGATCTCTTCAATGCAGCACTTCTTGCGGCGGCGGAAGATTCGTTGGTATCCCGAAAGAAATCTTGGATAAAGTCGAAGACGAGTCATTTATAACTTGCAACTCGTTCGTCTGCCCGAAGTTCGAAAATTGGTCGCAGTGGTCGGAGTGTTCAAAAACCTGTGGGCGGGGGACAAAGTCTAGATCAAGACTCTGCTTGGATCATCTCGGCAAAAAAACTGACACTTGCGATGGGCAAACTGAGCAAATTAAAAAATGCGTGTTGGTCCCTTGCCCTTACTTTAGCCAGTGGTCTGACTGGTCCGTCTGTCCTTCTGGTTGTAGAAAGAAAGAAGATGAAACGACGCAAACTCGCTCCCGCACATGTCAAAATGGAAATACCGACGATTGTAAAGGGGAATCACTAGAAACTCGAGATTGCGAGAAAATCCCTCTTTGTTCTTTCTGGGCTGAATGGACTGTTTGGGGAAGTTGCTCGACCTCTTGTGGTCCAGGAGTTCAAACTCGAGAGAGAACGTGTATGAACGGCTCTCCTGGCAGCGACTGCAAAGGCGAAACGGCAGAAGCTCAGCAATGCGAAGTGGACAAGTGCGCAACGTGGTCAGATTGGACGAATGAAAGCGAATGCTCAGTCACTTGTGGAATCGGAACAAGACTTCGGAAACGAACTTGTGGAGAAGGCGTTGGTGACTGTCCTGGAGACTCGGTTAGACGTTTCCCTTGCAGAACACCAAGACAATGTGAAACAACAACAACTTCTACTACATCTACAACTACGACTACAACGTCTCAAACAAGCACTACATCAATCTCAAAAGCTTTAGAAACAACCGCTATTATAACATCAACGTCAACAACAACTTCAACTGCTAAGTCAACAACTAGCACTCTTACTACAACGACAACAACTAGCACAACTTCAACTACAACAAAAACTTCCACGACTACATCAACACCAACAACGACGTCAACGACAACGACTACCTCCACTACCACCACCACCACGACGACAACGACGACGACCATCACCACCACCACCACTTTCACGACCTCCACCACAACCACGACCACGACAACTCCACAGACAACGACTTCGACTACTACAACTACTTCAACGTCGACGGAACTTCCCACAACAACCACAACTGAATCAGAAACAACATCTTTCGCAGACTTCGACTTCGCCCGCGGAGACTCCTTCAGTCCGAAATCTTGCCCAGTCGATAACGAAACAACTATCACATCTTGCTTCAACAACGCCTGCGAGTTCTCCTGCATAAACTCTCACTACCTAATTGGCCGATCTGAAGCTCTCTGCGACCCAGTCTATGGAGAATGGCTCACTCCACCGCCACAATGTGTGCCAAAATGCTCAGACGAATCGAACATCTTCATTCTTACAGATCCACTTGTCGATAGAAATGAGCGCTCGTACATCAAGAAATTCATTGAAAACGTTGTCGAAAGACTTCTTATCGGGGAAAAAACAATTTTCAAGTTTGCTGAACTTGTTGACAGCGAAAACGTTCGAATCATCTACGACTCCTCCTCGGATAACTCCTTCGATGATGCATTCGCTGACGAGTCCGTCGAAAACATGAATCTGGACGATTTCTTCGCTGCCAGAGAAAATTCAAGACCCACGTCAATTATTCAAATCCAAAACTCGGACTTGCCCAATCCACTCTTCTTCAACTTTGTTGCGCAGTTTATTCAACTCGAAAAAGCTGATCTCATCGGTCCTCCGGTAAGTTCAACTTCGAAAGTTCAAGTCGGCTAATCTCCTCTTTAATTCAGATCATCGACGACGGCAACTCCGTTCCTCTTGAATTTGTCAGTCTGATGTCACTTTTTGAAGATAATTTGATCAAGCTGGTGAACCAGCTTGTTGACAGGTTGAAGTTTTGCGTCTTCGACAGTTTTGTTCCCTGCGAAGATAATGTTGCTGTGGACCTGGCTTTTATTATCGACTCATCTTCGTCGATCGGCGAGGAGAATTTCGACCTCATCACTTCTTTCGTCGGAGATATTGTCAGCAATTTCACGATCAGTGAAACCCTCACTCATGTAAGCCCTTTTCTTCTAGCCGTTTTTTCATATTTCCTTTTAGATTGCTGTTCTACGATACAACTCCCAAGTCTCACCAGTCCTTTGGTTCGATACTTTCAACACAAAATCTGAAATTCTCGCCGCCATCTCCGCAATAAACTACTCCGGCTCTGGAACTCGGACAGGCAAAGCTCTCGGCTACGCTGCTGATTATCTTCTCAACCCAACATACGGCGCTAGAAGGGAAGTTCCAACAGTGACGCTGGTCATTACCGACGGCGAATCGCAAGATGATATTTCTGCATCAGCGCGCGATCTCAAATCAAAGTCGGCAGTAATGGCGATTGGAATTGGCGATGCCAATGAAAACGAGCTCGTGCAAATGGCTTCCTCTCCGCTCAACTTTGGCTACAAGCGCATATCTAACTTCGAAGACCTTTCCAACGTTACTGATGATGTAATAAGTTCCCTCTGTACAATTCAGTTCATGAACGAACTCAAGCTTAAAAACGAAAACTAATTGCCCAGACTCTGCCGCGTCAATACTTGTTGATTATAAATAAATATTTCCGAATTGGAAAATTCTGACACGCGTCTATAATATTTGCCCGATTGCAAAAATCACATCCTTGCAAATATTTGATCATAAGGAGAGGTCTTAAAAATGCCAGAATTGTCAGAAAATTCTTCAATTTCAAGAAAGATTTTTATTAATAATTGATGCCGAATGAGTCCTCCTATTCAGCCAGAACAGCTCAGCAGAGACAAGTTGATAAAATGGTGGACAACTACAGACAAGCAGGGTTTGTCGAGAACTTCGAGCAGAACGAACCTGTGTCGTTTGCTCTTGTCAGTTGATAGAATGTTTGGAAGAGAGAATTATTATCTATATTCCGGCTGGTTTGCTGTGGTTTTTACAGCACACAATCTGCAGTTATATATTAAACATATCGAGCGTCTCAATATCCGTATTGTAAAGATGACACCATATCAAATTGCTATTCTCAAGAAATGTCCGGAATTAAAAGATAAGATGCACTATTATTCTGATTTAAAGGAAGAAACTGGAGCTTGGTCTTATGATGAGTCGACCAAAATCTTGGCAGAAGGAGGCGAAGCAATTGTCTTTAGCGACAAGTTCGATGACCTCGAGGTCGCTGTTCGGATCCAGCCCTTTGATCCATTTTTATTCACGGAAAATTTTGAGCTTAATATAGAGGCGAATTTATCACTTTCATCAGGTAAATCGTCAGCAAAACAAAGAATGATAAAAAATTGAAGACTTTGAGATCGCGAAAATCTCTGCAGAAAGGAGCGAAAAAATAGACGAAGAGAACACTCCAATGACAATTATTCCGTACCACGAAAATGTAATCAAGCATTACGCTCATTTCGGGTTTTACTTCGAAGAAGATGAAACTTTCAGCGACTGTCTTGGATGGATAACTATAATGGAAAAATGCGATACAAATCTTAGAGAGCTTTTGAAGAACGAACTCATAGATATAGAAGAACGAAAGAAAATTGCTATCGGAATACTGAATGGCTACAAATACCTCGAAGATATTGGCATTAACCATCATGATTTGAAACCAGAAAATATTCTGATTTCTGAAGGCGTTTGCAAAATAATAGATTTCGGTACAGTTGACTGCATGAATTCAAAATATTATGGCTGGTCGGGAAGAGAATTTTTCCAATTGATGGGTTATGCGAGAATTGGTAATCAATTCGCAAGCGCGCAAAATCTAAGTAAGTTAACTCAAAAAATAATTTTTTAAAATTGAATAAGAACGTGGAACCCCAGGATTTTCTTCCTCTTACCAGCTCTTGTCATTATCTGGACGAGATACTACTGTGCCTGAAATAAATTTATGGACGCTCATTTTCTGTGATTGGAAAACGGCGTGGACTCTTATGTACAAACCTATAAAAAAAGACGAAAAAGAGTCAATCAAACAAATATTGAAGGTTTGATCTGATAAAAAATTTGTTTTTTCTTTCTGAAAATAATCTTTCTAGGATTGTAATGCAGAATGGCTGATTGACAGAAAAAGCCCAGATGGTCCTAACCCTTCTGATATGAGAAATACTAAATCCATTGTCTCCATTGCGAGCACGATTTCTAGCCTATGCTTGGATGATGAAAATATTACAAAATCAAGGAAAATGTCTTCTTTGAAAAGAGTCATGGACAAATCCGTTGCTGAAAACATGACAAATTTGACGAGACACTTTCTCGACCAAAAAGAAACGGATCTTTGCGTGCCAATCTCAGTAGCAACTTTGATAAAACATGCAATGAAAACTGATCTTGGATTTGAAGACACCAAAAACGAGTTCACTCTTGAGAAAATTTTAACAGTCTTGACGATGGTCATTTATCCGAGGAGTCTTTCCGGGTTAAACTTGAACCCGGTTGAGAAAGAAAAGGACTTACAAGTCACTGAAATTGAGCTTCTCCTTGATCGCCTGTCAACAGAAACTATTATGCATCCAAGTGGCTGGGATATCCTAAGAAGTCTTTGTTCCTCGAAAAATAAAGCTGGTGCTTCACAAAAACCGATCTTATCTGCAACATTTACAAGTGAACAAGGTAAGGAAAAACGAAAAATTAATGACTTCAAAACATGTACATGTAGTTCTTCTCAACGAAAATTTCATTTTCACTCGTCCTCTTACTGTTACTGCTGCTCGTTTGAACCCATCGTCGAACGAGGTATACTTTCACCAAATGGTGCTAGATAGAATTGAAAAGGACGAGTACATTCTTCAAAATACACAAGTCTCGGTTGACACACCTGTGCTCAAAATCCCAAAATCAAGGTCCTATTATGCTGCCGACGAAATGATGGAATATTGTCCTGATAAACAGTGTTTCATCTACTCTGATGCAGATGGAAAATTCATGCGTCTCGTAAATGAAAACCTTGCTGAGATGAAAACGAACGAATGGTACCTGATTCCACAGGCTTATTCGATCACTCTCACTCACAAACCATTACCAAAAGAAATCATTGAACTGTTCGAGAAATCTGATATCGAAGATAGAGAATGTTTGTTGAAGCTAAATCATCTTCCTTGTTACCATAGAAATACTCTTACAATCTATGACGAGCTCGGGGTCCCACAGACTATCAAATATTCCGAAGTTTTTGATGATTCAAAGCCCATTGACAGCGTTTTGCAAAAAGGAAATGAAGAAGAAAAAACAGTGCAGCAAGAGGTTAGTTATTGATTTTATGTCATAAAATAAACTGTTTATGATAAATATTCGTTTTATTCAATATACAAATTATATTTTGACGGGCTTCGAAGCATCCAGCTCCGGATTTCCATTGACTATTCTTCTTCCTAGACCAATCCAGTCCACGGAAAGCCACAAAAGTGTCGAGTAGAGGAAGAGAAAGGGAAGAAAGATGAAGAAAATAATTCTGTTCTGCAGCATGACCTGAACATCTTCAAAGCTCTGTCCAAGTTTGATGCTCAAGTGGCCGTGAATATCATCTGCTTGAAACTCCTTTACGCCGTCTTCCGATGCGCCAAATTGCGCCGACAATCCTTCAAATAAATTTGTTTCTTTAGCAAAACACAAACAACGTTTTATACCATCGTAGCGCATCGTTTTTCTGACTCCTTAGAGAATAAGTTGGAAGTCGAGCAGATGGGCACGGGGCTGGCAGCGCTCCAACGCACGTTCTTGCCCTGAGCTTAGCAGAAATGTATATCCTCTCCAACCCTGAAAAATCAACATTCAAAATTTCCCCTTACAAATTGTCTTCCCGAAGCAAAAATGCTCGATAGAAACATGTTGCTAGATATTGTCGAAGATGAAAAAGAGAGATATAAAGAAGGCCAAATTAGTTCTTATGGATTGAAATCAACAAAGAGAATGTCTCAAAAATTATCTTTGCCGGGTTAAAAATCATTTTGGGATCACCTAAAAGTCTTCGGAAGTCGTCTGGCTTGGGCCGATCATACTTTTATTTATCCAAAGCCCAGAGAAAAATTATTTACAGCGAGAATTCGAAAACAGAAAAATCGTCGAATTCAAATATTTCGATATAAATATTCTCAAGTTATTCGGCGATTTTATTTATGGCCTGTCTCGGAATCCCTCGACGTTGGAGCTAATCAAGCTCTTTGACTTCACGCATTTTATCGACAACGAGAAGCTACAAGAAAGCATAATTGACGCGTTGAAAAGCAAAATGTCCCATCAACCGGTCGAGGTTTTGCAATTAATGATGGTGACCGAGCACTTGTTGGAAACGCGCCTGTTGGAGGTTTACAAAGAAGGGATTAGCAAAGCTACAACGAGCGACTTGAACGATGCTCTTTGTTGCTTACTTGACGATTTTCCAAAGCTCGAGGATGAAGACACCGTTCTCTCTTTGATTTTGCTCGACAAATTTCGCTTCCCAGAAGATTCAGCGCCGATTCCTCAAGGATGTATTGAAGCAGAGCTCGTTCGGCGATACAGGAGCGTTCTCTTAGACCTGATTATCAGTCGAGTATTAAACAATAAGAAACCTTGAAAAAGAATGATCCGAAAGCGCTTATGCGAAAAGAAAATCTCCTTTGATCTCGATGTCAATCTGGTCGCCGTCAAATATTCTGGTGAGCTTCTATTTTGATTATTCTCCAGCGCTTCTTATTATTCTCTATTCGACAATAAAAACCAAATGAACCTTTATTTTCGATCGAGCTCGTGTCTAATTAGAGTCTCTCAATTGATCTTAGCTTAGAATTTCTTCCGAAAAAGGGGTCGAATGAAATATTAAATTGATAGGTTTTTCCACAAACCTTTTGGCCAATTTTAAGATGCACGATTAAGGGCAGTTTCTTACTGTAACTGTTTCAGTGGCTTCGAACACGTTCTCTATGGCCAGCGTGCCAATGTGGCTGGAATACTGCAACGAATACAGCGCGGCAGACAGGTTGATTAGGATTAAGATTTATTTCGCCAATATAAAAAAAATCGTTCAGGTGTCGCTGGCTCGGGATTTACTTGCATCTGTCAATTGACTCTGGCCATAGTCAGATAGACGTCCAGTGGACGCTGACTGTACTCGGCGATGGACAGAAATTGGCCGAGAAAGACTTTGAAGCGACTTGGGGACGGTTTAGCAATAGAAAAGGGTTCATTAAGTTTAAGTATTCATAGCGTCTTGTCAGCAAGTGTCCGTATTGTATTTTGCATTAAAAAGGTTCATTCTATCCCGTCAATAGATGCCTGGATTGTCAGGAATAGCGGGCCTAGAGGCGAATACAACAATCGAGGAAGATCCTTGCCCAACAGCTCTTCGCCAGGTTCCATCTCATATGGGACATGGATCCGGCCAGTTCGTCAAGTTTACAACGCTGGAACGGATCATCTTTTTAAGAAAGTAGTAATTTCATGAAACGTGATGATCCAAAAAAAAAGATAAATTACCGAGATCTAAGAGCTGAGCTGGATGTCAAGCTTCTCAAAGTTAAAACAAACAAATCTGGCCTGATGATGAGCCTCTAGCCTTTTTCACTGCCTGCTTCTAGTAGAACTGATAAGACAAACACAACTGATAAGCAAGAGCAAACACAAAATATAAAAATATGCGCTTGAAGTTTTTTTTTTGTAAATTTTTGAATATCAAAGTTTATTATTTGAAATGAAGGAAAATTTACATTCTCGCTCTTTTCGGCGGCTTTACGAAAGGATTTTGACTGATTTGTTCCAGAGTCGCATTTTCGCTTACACTTGGAATTTTCGGAGTCGTAACCCATTCGTGCTGTTCGCTGACGTTTATCGCTTTGTATTCTGAGATATCCGTCGACAATGGCGTCGTTATACCGGTCGAATCATCTGCTGGTATCAGGCTTAACAATGTTAATGTCAAGAGAAAGCAGCTCTCATACTTGATTATGGCAGTTCTTCCTCTTCCTCGAGCAGTTTTTGAAACAAATTTGGAAAGAGAGTTTTGCGCGTCGCGGATTTTTTCAAGCGCTTGTAATTTTGTCGATTCAAATTCTTCATGATGGGCGTTTTTACAAAAAGCGGCTGAAAAAGCCATTGATAGGAGAAAAAAGATGAAACTAACCAGTGGTGACGTAGGTATGCGGTTCAGGGAAGATGGGCATAAAATCGTTGATATGGGGCGCGTGTTCTTTTCTTGGAGCGATCGCTTTGACAGCTGGCGAGTCGGGAATATGAGCTTGTTCCTGAATATTGATTTTCAAAAGTGATTTCAGAATTCACTCCTTACGATTCGATCTTTCTTGTGAAGCGGATAATCTTGGTTCTTTTCCAAAATATTCTTTACGCTTTCTGGCAGGTCAATTTCAAGTTCAACCGTGGCAGAGAGAACATCATTAATCGTGGCGGCGGTTCGCGACCCCAATTCAGTGAATTCCTTCGTTTGGAAGCCAATATTCCCAAGAGTCGTTAGGAACATTTCAGCGAGAGTTTCGAGAGCGTCGGGCTCGATGTGGTCGTATTCGAGCTTGAGAGCCATTTTGACAACTGCTCGTTTAATCACGTCCCGGATAAATTCGGTTGAAGGCTGTGCGTCCGATAACATGGCTTCTTTTGATTCTTATTGGAAATAAACGTGGATAGGAATAATTTAGTTTGGAACTGTTTTGAGCTTGGGTCGATGCTTGAGGAAAGAAATCACAGACTTAGATTATTTCTTTGTACACAATGAGGAGAAGATAAGAATGATTGAAATAGTTTGAACGAAGTTTTCAATGAATGAAGTTTGCATGTAGAAAAAGAGAGCATCAGGAAGAGGGCTCGAATGGCCAATTTGAATTTTTGAGCGATGGAATTCAGAGCGAAGGAGCTGAAACTCAGCCATACTTTGCTTCCTCATTTGGATGCATCAGTCGGAGGTGTTTCGTCAAACACGACTCCATCACAGGAGCCAGTGCCCATGCGTGGATCGTGCCATCTGCCTCCCTCACTGGTAAATTCGCTTTTCGGAGGTCATTGGTGACTTTTATGCCCAAATCAAACACATCCTGGCTTGATTGGGATCAGAATATCATACTTACAGTACTAGTCGAGAAAAGACGATGACGATCCCGTTCCTTTTATTTTCCAACAGTGTTTTGCAGAGAGCATCAGTAAAAGGAGAACACACCTCATTCTCATAACCAGCGACAGCCATTTCAGCTTCAGGTGAAGCCGCGAATAAAATAGTATCGATTCGACGATGGACATATGCAACTGGAGTTGTTGGTGTGGCGACTCCTGCAGTAATATATTGAGCATTTTCGCCTCTGAATATTTTACTTTTGAGCCCGGAAGTTGGATTTGGTTTTACCTGCAAGCCTCGTAAATGACCATTTTGGGCACTCCCTGCAATTGTGGCAATTGCAAGAGCGGCTCAAGCAAATCCCAAAGGGGCATTGCCTCATCCGAAAAATATATCATCGTGCCTTTGTGAGGATGAAGTCCACCATGAGATTTTAGATAAATCACCAAGCATTTAGTCTCGATTCCGTCTTTGAATTTCTCACGGAACTTGAGAATCAACTTCCGCCCGTCGGCCTTCGTCAGCATTGACAAGCGTTCTTGCGTAGGGCGAAAATTGAGCTTTGAAAATGTCCGAACGACTCGCTCCTAAAACCATTCTATGATTACTCCACTGTGAACGAAAAACGAACCCTATCTATAACTGCTGATGGCAGGCTTTGTAGCCATTCGTTCTGAAAATCGCCAATTGAGATTGCTAACAGCCTCTTTATGCTTTCATCTTGAGACGTGTCGGTATCATACCAGTACTTCTCCTCATCCATTTCTGGAAGCAAAGTGGTTAATAGGGCTGAATTAATTCAATTCAAACTCAAATTTCGAAGTGGGAAGTCGAAATATAAAGAAGTATGGGAACTTTCGGAATAAAATCGGCTATAATACAGACATCCATCAAGACAGTAAATGAATGGGATTGCATCCGAAGAGATAGAGAGATAATAAGGTTGCAGAGAATCTACTGCATCTGCTCGATGATTGTGAGTTGAAGTAGAAAGGTCAGTAAAAGAGTTTTAACTTAATCTGTTGAACAGAAGGCACAATATTTTTTATCAAAAAATTCTTTACAGAGCGATTGTAAGAGTTGAAGGCTTCACGCTGAAGTATTTCGCCGTAGATTGTTGAGATCAAGTTGGAGATTCTGATTCTCAGTGATCAGTTTCTCGCGTTCTCCTTGCAGATATTTGATTTGTTCCATCAATGAAGACAATTGATCGTCCATACTGGAAGTTGAAGCGGCTCTTTGAAAACCAGCAGCGGGCATGTATCCATTGCTTTGTTTACTAAAAGCGATCAGTTGAAATTACTGCTTTTTCTCGTGAACTGAACCTGGGAGTGTACAACCGTAGTCGTTTAGTGAGACTCGTCTCAGTGCAGGGCGCCATGAAGTACTGGATTGGAGTGTCTCCGTCAGTCATTAGAATTGGTTTGTGTCTCAGTCGTTCTACGATCGTGTGAGAGAGGTCGTAGACGTCTTGACTAAAAAGAAGAGCCTTGTTGCCATGTAAAATATATTGAATCCTCTAACCTTGGACATTCATCAAGAGCTTCACAGAAGGTTTCCGTAAATGGCGATGCTTTCTCATCGACGCAGGTGTAGGCATACTCTCCCTCTGGCGAGGCGGCAAAAGAATGGTGTCCACTCTCCTGTGAACTGGCATTCTAGGGTTTTCATTCTTCGCTCCATCGTTCCCTGCTCTGCGGAATTGCGCATTCTGGCCTCTATTTTTCATGAGTTACGAATTCGCACTCTTAATTACCGGCAGGCTTCGAAGATGACTATTTTGGGCACTCCCTCTAAGCACGGGTGCTTCAGAATCGGGTCCAACAAATCCCAAAGCGGCACCATTTGATCCCTAAAGTACACGACTGTTCCCTTCTTGTCAATGCCGCCGTGGGACTTGAGGTAGATAGCGAGGCATTTCATCGGCTTGATAGGCATTTCGGACTCGAACTTTTGACAGAATTTGGCGATCAACTTCGTTGCGTCCAAAGCTGTCAAGGTGTTTTCTTTTTCCTGCGTCGGTCGAAAACCGAGCCTGGAAAACGTCCTCAAGATGAGCTCCTGGATTCAGTTTTAGCCTCAGCACTCACATTTCCCCTACCTTATCAATTTGACTGTTCGGAAGTGGGTCAAGAGCGTTGAACTCGCCCACCGAGATCGCTAGAATTCTCTTCATTCCGCGAACGTCGTAGTAGTCTCCCATCTTAACTAGACTTATTTTCAAATCGTTGTTATCAAGAATCGAGAATGAAATTTATTGGAACTTTTATCGGAATTAGCAATTTTCAAGTATACAGAAAATAATACAGAATGATTGAAGAAGATTGAACTTTATGCAGCAGTAAATCAACTAATAATCACTAATAAGGATATCGAGTGTTGTTGAAGATTTTGAGGTTTTTGGTGAGCGTCGTATCCGTTTGGCACAGGAGGAATTTATCGAATTTCAGAGCGTATTCTGGATTAATATGTAGTCGTTCTGGAGCCGGGTGCCTGACTGGTTCTATTGACGACATTTTCTCCGTGAGTTTGCACGACAAGTCCCAGGCGTTGATGTCTTCGTCGTTGAGAAGTGCTTCGTTGACGATGTCTTTCAGAGCTTGCCGAGGTTTTTTAAATGAAAAATTTCTATATATCCAAAAGTAAATTTCAATGACCCCGTTCCTTCAGTAAAAGGCGAGAGTCCTTCAGGATCTTCTGGCGTAACAGAGAGAGTTCTCTCTGTTGTTGCTTTGAAGAAAATTGTATTCAGCATATGATGTCGAGGCTCGCTGCTTCCTAGGTGCGTCTGACCTAATCTAATGCCCTCCGTCTCTTTCGTTTCTCCCTGGCAGGCTTCAACGAAGATAGCTTTCGGAATTGCTGAAAAGAGAAGATTAGCAGTACTAGATGGAGTTCTATTTTTTACCTCTAAGAGGTCCTTGGTTGAAGGGCTGGAGCAAGTCAAGAAGCGGAATTTGCGTATCGTTCGAAAAATGGACAATCTGGCCCTTCTTTCCCCAGCTCCCGTGTGTTTTCAAATAGAGCATGATTGAATTGAATTCGTGGCCGTGCTGGAAGCTATTTTCGATCAAATTGTGGATGAATTTCTGGCAACTTTCAAGCGTAATATAGGTCTTGTTGGAAGCAATGACGTCGTAGTCCATTTGTTTTACAAGCTTCTTCATTTCTACAAAAATCATAGGTCCCAAAGAAATTTCAAAAAAAGCTTTACCTTCTCTTTCAACATCAGCATTTTTGAAATCTCTCTCTCTGTCAAACTCGCCCAATGTGATTATAATTGCAGCTTTCTTCCTCTTTGAATGGGGATAGAACTGATCCGTGCCACCCTCTTCTTCAGGGTCGTTGAATCTTTCCCGATAGGTAGGCTTACCGCGGTGTTTTTCGATTTTCAAGGTTCTTTTGAAAAATCTCCCCATACTTTCAGAACATATGCATCAAGACAAGCCTTGAAAAACTGCACTTGCAGAATTTTCGATATGAGTCATCTTACCCCCTTTTTTGGGGGATGTTTAGCAAGAAAAAAAGCACTAGTTTGATTAGAAGCGGCTTTTGAGTGCGTGCTAGATCGATTTTGATAATTTGATGCCTACCATGTGAAAGATAAGCGCAAGATGCATCGATACATATGAAATTTATTATTGCGGAGTACTTCCTTCATATGATTCTAGAGCTCCAAAGTTGACGCAAGCAGCCAGATACGAAAATCCAACATTATCAACTTCTGATATAAGCATGCTATGATGATGTTTTATAGCTCAAATTGAAGCTTATAAATTACTGAACAAAATGGAGTGGTATTTTTTGACCAGCCGGTTGTGCTTCCGGTTCGTCGCGGTTCATACCCGGAAATAGGTCAAAATGTAGAAATATGTATATCAAATGAATTAATTTTCAACAGCGAATCTTTTGAACATATTCAGAAGTTCAACCGCCCGGTTATTATTGCGGTTCATGGTGGTTCATGGTGGTTCAAGCGCAGAAATGAACAAAATAGCAGCAATATGTATATCAAATTGAAACATAAATTAAGAACATTCATAAAATCATTTAATAAGCCCGAACCAACCGGTTGTTCTCCCGGTAAATGGCGGTTCCAAACGGTTCAAGCCGGTTCAAGCTAAAAACATGCTCAAAGTGGTTCAATATGGTTATCAAATGTATTCATTTACAATAGCAAAGCTTTCTAGCATATAATGAAATTCAACCGCCCGGTTATTCTTGCGGTTCATGGTGGTTAATCGTGGTTCAAGCCCAGACATGAACAAAATAGCATCAATATGCATATCAAATTGAATCTTGTATTAAGTACATTCGTCGAATCATTGAATAAGCCCAACCCAACCGGTAACTCTCGTGGAAAAAGAAGGTTTCTGACGGTTCAAGCCGGTTAAAGCCGAATATATGCTCAAAGTGGTTCAATATGTATATCGAATGAATGTTTATTAAAAAGCACGTATTTTGAAACTTTAACGAGATCCGGACGCGTGGTAAAACACTGAATATGTGCAAACCGCCCGGTTTTAATCGATTTTGTCTCTTTAAACGGGCAAACATAAGGGGAGGCAAGGCCCGTTTATACAATTCAGTCTGAGACGGGGCCAAGCCGACCCGAAGGGGAGGCAAGGCCCATTTATTCAATTCAGTCTGCGACGGGGCCAAGCCGACCCGAAGGGGAGGCCAGGCCCGTTTATACAATTCAGTCTGAGACGAGGCCAAGCCGACCCGAAGGGGAGGCCAGGCCCGTTCATACAATTCAGTCTGAGACGGGGCCAAGCCGACCCGAAGGGGAGGCCAGGCCCGTTTATTCAATTCAGTCTGAGACGGGGCCAAGCCGACCCGAAGGGGAGGCCAGGTCCGTTTAAACGATTCAGTCTGCAACGAGCCGAAGCCGACCCGAAGGGAAGACCAGGCCCGTTCAAACAATTCAGTCTGAGACGGGGCCAAGCCGACCCGAAGGGGAGGCCAGGCCCGTTTATACAATTCAGTCTGAGACGGGGCCAAGCCGACCCGAAGGGGAGGCCAGGCCCGTTCATACAATTCAGTCTGAGACGGGGCCAAGCCGACCCGAAGTGGAGGCCAGGCCCGTTCAAACAATTCAGTCTGAGACGGGGCCAAGCCGACCCGAAGGGAGGCCAGGCCCGTTTATTCAATTCAGTCTGAGACGGGGCCAAGCCGACCCGAAGGGGAGGCCAGGTCCGTTTAAACGATTCAGTCTGCAACGAGCCGAAGCCGACCCGAAGGGGAGACCAGGCCCGTTCAAACAATTCAGTCTGAGAGGGGCCAAGCCGACCCGAAGGGGAGGCCAGGTCCGTTTAAACGATTCAGTCTGCAACGAGCCGAAGCCGACCCGAAGGGAGACCAGGCCCGTTCAAACAATTCAGTCTGAGACGGGGCCAAGCCGACCCGAAGGGGAGGCAAGGCCCGTTCATACAATTCAGTCTGAGACGGGGCCAAGCCGACCCGAAGGGGAGGCCAGGGCCGTTTATTCAATTCAGTCTGAGACGGGGCCAAGCCGACCCGAAGGGGAGGCCAGGTCTGTTTAAACGATTCAGTCTACGACGAGCCGAAGCCGACCCGAAGGGGAGACCAGGCCCGTTTATTCAATTCAGTCTGCGACGGCTTGGCCCCGTCTCAGACTGAATTGAATAAACGGGCCTGGCCTCCCTTATTCAAGCCGACCCGAAGGGGAGGCCAGGTCCGTTTAAAGGATTCAGTCTGCGACGGATGAATTGTATCATCAATCTCAGACTGAATTGTATGAATGGGCCTGGCCACCCCTTGGGGTCGGCTTGGCCCCGTCTCAGACTGAATTGTATAAACGGGCCTGGCCTCCTCTTCGGGTCGGCTTGGCTCCGTCGCAGACTGAATTGAATAAACGGGCCTGGTCTCCCTTCGGGTCGGCTTGGCCCCGTCTCAGACTGAATTGTTCGAACGGGCCTGGCCTCCCTTCGGGTCGGCTTGGCCCCGGTTCAGACTGAATTGTATGAACGGGCCTGGCCTCCCTTCGGGTCGGCTTGGCCCCGTCTCAGACTGAATTGTATAAACGGGCCTGGCCTCTCCTTCGGGTCGGCTTGGCCCCGTCTCAGACTGAATTGTTCGAACGGGCCTGGCCTCCCCTTCGGGTCGGCTTGGCCCCGGTTCAGACTGAATTGTATGAACGGGCCTGGCCTCCCTTCGGGTCGGCTTGGCCCCGGTTCAGACTGAATTGTATGAACGGGCCTGGCCTCCCCTTCGGGTCGGCTTGGCCCCGTCTCAGACTGAATTGTATAAACGGGCCTGGCCTCTCCTTCGGGTCGGCTTGGCCCCGTCTCAGACTGAATTGTTTGAACGGGCCTGGCCTCCCTTCGGGTCGGCTTGGCCCCGTCTCAGACTGAATTGTATGAACGGGCCTGGCCTCCCTTCGGGTCGGCTTGGCCCCGTCGCAGACTGAATTGCTTGAACGGGCCTGGTCTCCCCTTCGAATCGGCTTCGGCTCGTCGCAGACTGAATCGTTTAAACGGACCTGGCCTCCCCTTCGGGTCGGCTTGGCCCCGTCGCAGACTGAATTGAATAAATGGGCCTGGTCTCCCCTTCGGGTCGGCTTGGCCCCGTCGCAGACTGAATTGAATAAACGGGCCTTGCCTCCTCTTCGGGTCGGCTTGGCCCCGTCGCAGACTGAATTGAATAAACGGGCCTGGTCTCCCCTTCGGGTCGGCTTCGGCTCGTCGTAGACTGAATCGTTTAAACAGACCTGGCCTCCCCTTCGGGTCGGCTTGGCCCCGTCTCAGACTGAATTGAATAAACGGGCCTGGCCTCCCCTTCGGGTCGGCTTGGCCCCGTCTCAGACTGAATTGTTTGAACGGGCCTGGCCTCCACTTCGGGTCGGCTTGGCCCCGTCTCAGACTGAATTGTATGAACGGGCCTCGCCTCCCCTTCGGGTCGGCTTGGCCCCGTCTCAGACTGAATTGTTCGAACGGGCCTGGCCTCCCTTCGGGTCGGCTTGGCCCCGGTTCAGACTGAATTGTATGAACGGGCCTGGCCTCCCCTTCGGGTCGGCTTGGCCCCGTCTCAGACTGAATTGTATAAACGGGCCTGGCCTCTCCTTCGGGTCGGCTTGGCCCCGTCTCAGACTGAATTGTATAAACGGGCCTTGCCTCCCCTTATGTTTGCCCGTTTAAAGAGACAAAATCGATTAAAACCGGGCGGTTTGCACATATTCAGTGTTTTACCACGCGTCCGGATCTCGTTAAAGTTTCAAAATACGTGCTTTTTATATCTTTTTTGTTGACTTCGTTAATAGATCATATGATTTGTATCAAACGTTTTCGTTTATTGGATAAACTTCATCAGGATAATAAAGTAAATATGAACGAAAAGGAACAGAGGAAAAAGAATACTTTTATGTTGAGAGAGCAGTGTGAAATTGCTAACTGAGGAAAACAAAAACAAAATCAAAAAATATGGCTGTTTTTAGTCGAGCGCCAAGGTGGCCCAAAACACTACGTGCTTTTTAATAAACATTCATTCGATATACATATTGAACCACTTTGAGCATATATTCGGCTTTAACCGGCTTGAACCGTCAGAAACCTTCTTTTTCCACGAGAGTTACCGGTTGGGTTGGGCTTATTCAATGATTCGACGAATGTACTTAATACAAGATTCAATTTGATATGCATATTGATGCTATTTTGTTCATGTCTGGGCTTGAACCACGATTAACCACCATGAACCGCAAGAATAACCGGGCGGTTGAATTTCATTATATGCTAGAAAGCTTTGCTATTGTAAATGAATACATTTGATAACCATATTGAACCACTTTGAGCATGTTTTTAGCTTGAACCGGCTTGAACCGTTTGGAACCGCCATTTACCGGGAGAACAACCGGTTGGTTCGGGCTTATTAAATGATTTTATGAATGTTCTTAATTTATGTTTCAATTTGATATACATATTGCTGCTATTTTGTTCATTTCTGCGCTTGAACCACCATGAACCACCATGAACCGCAATAATAACCGGGCGGTTGAACTTCTGAATATGTTCAAAAGATTCGCTGTTGAAAATTAATTCATTTGATATACATATTTCTACATTTTGACCTATTTCCGGGTATGAACCGCGACGAACCGGAAGCACAACCGGCTGGTCAAAAATACCACTCCATTTTGTTCAGTAATTTATAAGCTTCAATTTGAGCTATAAAACATCATCATAGCATGCTTATATCAGAAGTTGATAATATTGGATTTTCGTATCTGGCTGCTTGCGTCAACTTTGGAGCTCTAGAATCATATGAAGGAAGTACTCCGCAATAATAAATTTCATATGTATCGATGCATCTTGCGCTTATCTTTCACATGGTAGGCATCAAATTATCAAAATCGATCTAGCACGCACTCAAAAGCCGCTTCTAATCAAACTAGTGCTTTTTTTCTTGCTAAAAATCCCCCAAAAAAGGGGGTAAGATGACTCATATCGAAAATTCTGCAAGTGCAGTTTTTCAAGGCTTGTCTTGATGCATATGTTCTGAAAGTATGGGGAGATTTTTCAAAAGAGCCTGAAAAATAGAAAACACCGCGGTAAGCCTACCGATAGGAGTGCCGAAGCCCCAAACAAGACGTAGCGCGGAAGATATCATCGTTGTTCTCGAATTCGTGAACCAGCTTGCTTGCAAAATCAGAAGTTCCATTGAAAGAAGTAAGCGCATATTTATTCTCGTCGGCTGAAAAGACGAAACCGACATCGACTTTTGAGTGGGCAACTCGATCTTGCCAGATTTGACGATTTTCTGCAAATCTGTAACTTGCTTCAGCAATGCTTGAATCTTCCTTGTACTTGCGGCAGGAGTGCAGAATGACCAAAAGTGGAACATTCACCAAACCAGGGCAATCATAAAGAGGGCGTAGCAGGTGGTCCATCAAAATATGCCCATCGCTGAAATACAGATGTTGTCCGTATTGGGACGAGAAGCCATGAGTACAGATGTAGACGACAACTCTTGAAACGTCTCCAACTGTTTCGAACTCCGCGGCGTTTTGCTCGATGAATTCGACAACCCGGCGAGTTTTGATCTGATTCTTCTGGGAGAGTTTTGTGTAGTATCCTTGAGACTTGAAAGAAGTACGCAAGGTTTCCTTAAAAACACGTCTCCTTTTTCATTCAAAAAGACATCTTACATCATCCTTATTATTGAACAAATTCTCTAGTCGTCCTCCAGTTCCACTAACGCTTGAAAAATCTTTGGGGAAAATTCCAATAAAGCACTTTCTCCCATTTGTCCGATAGAGCCTCTCCATTCTAAATTCGACATTTTCAAGCGCTATTTTCGTTACTCGTCAAAAAGGATTTCGTCCCTACAATTATCAGAGGCTAAAACACTCGAACATTCAAGAGGATAATTAACGTAGCAGCGGCTCTGATTTGATGGATATTTTGAAAGGCGCCTCTCGTACGTCGGTCTGTAGGAAGAGGATAGGAGAAAAGGCCACTAATGAGCAAACTATTTCATTGTTTCTATCCCTAGCTATACGGGCAAGTTGTAAAACCCTTCGTTTCTTCCATAAAAGAAATCATCGGCGGCCCCGCACAAACCAGCACTTTCGCCTCATCCTTTGCCAAATAATCCACCGTCTCGAATAACTTATTCAAGTATTCTTCCAGCCAAAAAGGTGGATCTGTCAAAATCACGTCAAAGCTCTTCTTTTCTAACTTTTTGACTTCGTCGGCGAGCGGAAAGTTCAGATCGTAGAAGTAGAAGTTGTCGTACACTTGAAAACGCCTATCGAACTCTAGCAAGCTGCATTTTTCATCAAGTCTGGGGCGATCTTCTCCATTCTGCAGAAAATCGATTCTAGCGCGCTCGTCATTTTCTGCACGAGATTTTTAAAAGAAAAATTTCTTCAATTTTTAGAAGTTTCAAATCCCAACTCTACTAGCCGTTGAATTTCTCTGATCAATGCGTCCTGCGTATCTTCTCTGTACCAATACTGAGACAAATCTATGCGTGGATAAGGCTTTACTCTCCATATTTTCCCTTTTTAAGCGCCATAAAAATCAACAACTACTCATCGTTATTACGATTATTTATTCTTATCCCTTTTTGTCAGGTCGGGCGCTAGAAGTTGCCCCGTATCTCCCGTCTCTTGGAAATCGGCCATGGAGAACAACTCCTCCGCTCCAAGTAAACAATTCTCACTCATTCTTACTTTCTCTAATTTTCTAAATAGGCAACTCTCAGAATTCAATTTTTAGCTACATTTGCGCTCAACACCAAATATTTGCTCATTTCTCTGACAAAACGATAGATTCTCATTTCCAAAATGACCAGTGGGATCTATTTTCTTCCCTTCAAGAAAGGAAAAGAGGATTTTCCGGAAAAACGATTTTCCTGCAATAAGATTTTCACGTTAAGGGGTAGAAACAGCTTTCTCGATCTTGGAATGCAGCTATATAGAAGAAAACATATTATGTCTTCTTAAAGATTAATTTATGTTCACGAAATTTCCTCATAAATGTTCCTAGAAAAAGGATTGAGCTTCACAAAAATGTGAATGAAATTTGTTTAACTATCAGGGGACTTGAGATATACGTGTTTAAAAATTTGCGAAAATCGAGAATTTCGGAGAGATGAGCTGCTTCTGAGCCCGCTTACTCAAAAATTCGATGACTAAAACAAATTTCGAGAGAGATGTTCTTAGATCTAAGATGTATCTATCTAAACCTGAAGAGAAAATTTGAAAATGTAAGATTCTCTTGTCTGTAGCGCCGGTGAAAAATCGCCCTTTTCGGAAAAAGCTGTTTCTACCCCCTTAAGGGACCCCGCCGACCGAGCTCCGCGCGCGCTTCTCGCTCTTTTTCACTCTCACTCTTCAGCTGGTTTAATTTTTTCGATTATCGTGATTTTTTGTACACGAACTAATCTTTTTATGCTCTTTCATCTCCATTTCTTAAAATTTTCATAGCTTATTGCTACGCTGAGTTAGGGCGAAAACATCGGCGCTCGATTTCAAGTGTACATAAGTACTCGAATTATTCGGATTGACACTTCGAGACTGCCCTCATTGAAAAGCCCGTGCCTTCTTGCATAAGGCCTACTTATTGAGATTTCCCGGAAGAGTTTACTTATCCGATTATCGTGGGATTAATGCGGGTTACCTGGAGCGCTCGGCGTGAAACACGGGCAGTTTACACTGTTGGCGCGGGATTCCCGCTGCGCTGGTCAGAACAACCTTTATTTACCGCTCGATTACGAGAGCTGCATAAATTATAATAAAATCTCAATAAGTAAGCCTTATGCAAGAAGGCACGGGCTTTTCAATGAGGGTAGTCTCGAAGTGTCAATCCGAATAATTCGAGTACTTATGTACACTTGAAATCGAGCGCCGATGTTTTCGCCCTAACTCAGCGTTGCAATAAGCTATGAAAATTTTAAGAAATGGAGATGAAAGAGCATAAAAGATTAGTTCGTGTACAAAAATCACGATAATCGAAAAATTAAACCAGCTGAAGAGTGAGAGTGAAAAAGAGCGAGAAGCGCGCGGGAGCTCGGTCGGCGGGGTCCCTTAACGCCGTAAAATCCACTTTCGGGAAAATCAAGTTGCAGGAAATTCGTATTGCGGGAAAATCTCATTGTTGGAAAATCATCTGCTTCATTTTTCAGGAAAACTTCCCTTTCCAAAAGAAAAGAAGAAATAATAACTAGTCATTTTGAATTTTCGAAGTTTTTGAAACGGAAAGCGATTATTTTTAGAAGATATATTGAAGGGGGCAGTTTGAACGGCGCAAGACGATACAGATAGTCTCAGAAAGCGGTGTGTGTGTTTAGACAGTTAATAGTTTAAAATTGATGAGGAGGGAGATTGTAGCTGATTAGGACGTAGAAGAAGAGGGAGGTGCAGTGGCGGGAGTGTTCGGACCGTTGCGGGTGATCATTTCGGGCTTGCAGCGCAGTCCCTGCCGGGAAAGGCGCGATTTCCACTGCTCTTTGCTCGAAGGGGAGAAGAGAATGATGTGCTTTCCTCGCCAGTATTTGATGTTCTGAAGACAATTTTGGCTCTTTGCTCATTTGGGAAACTGTGTACAAGCCTGAGTCAGGGGTGTCGGTATATACCGTGGTTTTCCATTTTAAGAGCGTTTTTGGATGACAGGCCTCGCTCAAATCGCTCTTAGATTGAAAATTTTTCAATCAAGGTACAATGGCGTGCGTGGGTTCCGCCCTATCCAAGTTCTGGAAAACAGGGCGGCAACGCTGCACGATTTTTCCATTTCCAGATAGAGCTAGTACAAAAAGTTCCTCTAGATAGGGCGGGAGTCGTGCACGCTCGAATAGGGCGGAACCCGCGCATGCCACTGTAGGATGACAGTGGGATTTTTAATCTTTTGTGACAACCTTGTGTTCTGCAATAACAAAAAAGATCCGATGTTTTCTTAACGATCCATCGTCGATCATGATCATCTGAACATCAAGGAAGAAGATCTAGTGAACAAAGCGAACGAAATCTTCATGAACATGAATCCAGCAATCTTCTAGCGCTCTTGGATCAATACTGGGCTGATCAAGGAGGAAGAATTCGAAGGAGCTGTTGAAGATTTTGAGGACTTGGATGTTTTGGAAAGTGTGCTGGAGAAAGAAGACGAGGAAGAGCTGGTCGAGCATTTTCAGGCGCTTTAAATCGATGAAACACGAGCCGCGACCCCGATGGAGATTGAAGAGGAACCTCAAGTTCAAGAGATAGAGACACTGCGAAGCCTTCGACCTCAAAATGGCCAGAAAAGCAGTCAAAGATTACAAAATTTTTTAATAAGTGATTCACTGTAAGTCTAAAAATTTTGATTTTTAATAGAAATCTTCAAAAACGCTCTTAAACTGGAATTTTGGCAGATGACAACATTTTCAAAATATAGGCAAAAACGCTCTTAAAGTGGGCGCTCTTAAAATGGAAAACCACAATATTTCAAGACCCTGACTCAGGTTTCTACACAGGTTACCAAGAAGTATTCGACTAACCTGCATGTATTGTAGCGTAGAAACCAAGTCGTTTTGCAAAATACCGGACTGGAGAGACAGCTCCCGGATGGAGAACTTCTGATCATCCTGTAATGTCAGTATGTATCTCACAATGACGTCTTTCCAATAACTACGGTAGCTAATCAAGCCCAAATCCGACAGCGGTCGTTCCGGAGAACCAAGGATCCCGTCTTGTCGGCTCAGTGCATACGACAGATCAATTACTGAAAGAATCAGACGTAAATCGACATTGACATGTTGAATGAAAAAAACTTGAACTTACGAAATTTGCCGTAGCCTTTGCCCATGTAAGCCGGGAGAACCATGATGCAAGAAAGATTGTAGTCGATTGCGGGGTTCTTTTCTTTTGAGAAGTAACCGACGGTGGTGAATACATCTCCGCGTTTGCGCTCGATCAGAATGTAGAACCAGAATGGCTCCACATCGTAGAACATTGTCTGAGAAAAGAGATTAGATTATACTAGTCTAGAAGCATATGAAGAAAATCGTCACTACACTAACCAGTCTAGGTACATTGAAATCAATTAACCGACCTAATTAAACGAAAAAATCCAGAAAAAACAGAGCGTCTAAGACCCGTTTCAGCTCAGTCTGACAGAATGCTCATCCGATAATTTAGGATTTCATTTAGGCGTTTGTCTATTTCCTCCTGTCCATTTATTACCCGAAAATAACAGATTTGGATAACTGCACATGACCGGATTATGCGTCAGAACCTGCCAGTCAATTATCAATTCGACAGGCTTTTATCTGTCTTTTTAAAGCTTAATCGCCTTTTGCTTCATAATCGTTGGTAATTGGCGAGTTTTATTCTACATCAGCAAATCTGGTAAAAAATGTCAAACGCAATGAAAATCGGCATAAGAGGTAAAAACAAGGAGAAAAACAAAAGTCCCTCAGTCGCACTTGAAAGACGCTAGAATTTCCCTATGGAACTTCACGTGATCCAAATCGTCAGTTAATATCAATATCTGATAATAATTTATCGATTCGACAGATCTTTCATTTGCCTTTTTAATCCGTAATCGCCTTTTGCTTTATAAATCTTATGCTACTTCCAATTACTCATTCGTTTCTATCTATTCTATATCTGAATATAAAAAATGTCGAATAGAAACACGCCAAAATCAATGCCTGCTGCCTTTGCTAAAGGCCTGAAAAGTACGAAAACCGAAGCAAGTTCATTTGACAAACACAAAAATAGATACAGAGACATTTATACAAAGCCATTTGTGTATAAAAACCTTGCGAAAAAAGAGATGAACTAATGACTGCTTGGTATGCATACCATGGCTAATAAAGTAACTGACTCCATTTTTTCCCGCTCGCTTACTCCACAACAGATGGAACTCACTTTTTATAAACGCTAAGGATTTCCACTAACATATACAAATATCAAACAAAAAGAGACAGAGAGATAGATAAATTGATGACAAATCAGGGTAAGAAAAAGAAACGAATTTATTGGATATATTAAAACATTCAGTCGCTGTTATGATTATGCGATAATTATCCGTTTTCTGAGGATAAATTTGAAGCATATTTAGCTGAATGTATTATGAGATTTTCTTATCCAATAGGTAACAACTAAAAAGTCGATTTGGGAGAAATCCTTGATAGAAATTTGAAATTATTAATCATTAAATTAATTATTATCATATGAACAACTATACCCTATAGAAGCAAGACTATATATTATACATATACAGTAGACTCGTAGATTCAATCCGCGCTTGTTTAAACTGCTCAATCGAGCAGATTAAACTTTCTATTCCAGTCTAAGCGGATACAATATAAATTTAACAGAGTCTGTTAAACTTAGTAGCCGCCAGTTCGACAATTTACCAGAAAAGCTATTTAGTATATTTAATTCTTACTAAACTGCTTTCGAGTGAATGGAGGCTCCATTAGAAGAGACCCGCGGCTTACGCTGTTAGTTTATTCTGTCCCCTAAGCATTTTTATTTATTTCGCGAGATCGAATGAAATATTCAACTTAAAACCGGAGCAAAGGCGCGAAGATGTTCGGTCTACCACGTAAGATAAGCAAAAAAGAGGAGGAAAGAAGTACCACTAAGAGAAATAAGAACCGTTCATAATTGAACAGAGGCCATTAACTGAGAAATAACAGTTTCAAAATTCAAGAGACGCGAATTAAAAATGTGTTTTAGGGGCGAATGGAGCGGCTTCAGGCAGAACAGATCATTCCCATCATCATCAAAATAGGGTAATTTAGTTTTTTCGCTTTTAAAAAGAATCAAATGAGTGATTCTGATGGCTACACTTGTCAAAAAGAAAAACTTGCCAAACAAGTCACTGTACAAAATACGGTTCGAAAGACAAATTTCTAGAGATCGCGGCGAAGCCAAAGAGACAGAATCCGAAGATTTGTCCAAGACCACAACAGCTCTGTAAGACCAATTGAAAACGGTAATCTTTCATCTCCAAAAGAGCGCCCCTCCTAACCCAAACCTTCCAGGTTTTATCAATCCATTCTTGCGCCCGCCAATTTGCCTGTTAATAATTACAGTTCCCGCAACTGTCATGAGTTGGATTGTCTACACAAAGTTCTCCGAAGTCCATCCCATACTTGCCAAACTCTCGCGAAATGTAAGACTTCCTAATTCTTAATCTTTTAATCCCCCTCAATAAGAAATTAAAAAACTCTTTTCAAAAGAGTTGAAATCCTTCCCGACTGAACGGGTGAACAGGATTAGCGGACTTTTAATATTCATAAGAGCGATGTTCAAAACCTTTTGAAAAGAGCCTTGAATGAATTCAATCAACTGAAGAAGAATAGTAAATATGTATTCAGACGTATTTTGTGCTTTCGATTATGAACACTTCGTTACTCCTTCTTGGCTTCATTTGGCTCTACAAAAGTGACCTCGAAAGAAAACACTACAGGTCGCGTTTTCCAAGTCGGAAAATGACGATCAGACTGTAATTATCCCTCTCCAAAGACTGTAATTATAGAACTTTCTGTATATTTACTTGTATAGTTAAATAAATTTTAATCTATTGACCTTGAACAGCGAAAAGCAGAATTATTTACCTTAGAATCGAGAAAGAGCTTCGACAGCAAGCAAAGATTCCTACAGTACGCTTTTGCATAAGTTCCGTCGACCTCATAAACAGCAATTTGATTGTCGTCGTTGTTGGGCGAGTCGACGTAGAGCTGGATTCCTGGGGGCGAGCGCAGTTCACATTTGCTTATGTGTCGCCGCAAAGTAGCGTCGCATTTGAAAGGCTAAAATGGGGCACATCAGAAAGCGGATCAGGGATGAACAGGGGTTAATGCGATAACTTGGAAGACCGCCCAAGATCTGCGCGTCGAATCGTCTTACCTCGAGACACAAATGGCAGATAAAGAGCTTCGAGCAATTATGAAACTTGGACGGATAGGGCGCTTGGTACCAAGTTCTGTACTCGTGCCGGCCGAACTGAATCTGTTGCAGTTTTCCGACGCCCAAGTGCTGGTCGACTTCTTCTTTCTCCGCCGCTTTGGCTTGAGCCTCTCGGAAGAGATTCAAATCGAATTGCGAGCAGCCGAGGCGATTGAGTTGCGGCTCACGGCCGATTTCAGGAACAGAGCTACTGCTATTTGGCTTCTTCGCCGGCGGCGCGAGCTTGCGATCGAGAACACGCCCGTTGCGCCTTCTCTTGTGCAGAAATTCTGAAAAAGAAGGGATGATCCAAAAAGTCTCCAGAAGACTGTGGGATGATACCTTTATAATCGTTGGGATCGTCGAAGCGCTCCAGGCGCGCGCGGTCTGCATTTATCCTCTCGCGCAACTTTTGCGGATCATCCGCTTTCCCAACGATGTTGTGATACAGTGGACATGCTTCGACGAGAAAGTGACTATCGCCCTTGCCAGAAATGTGGAGCTTCGAGTCGCAGCCTTTCACCGGACAGGTTCTATTCGGCACTAGAACTACGCACCAGCTGTTAAAATCTGCGATCATGATTCCAAGATTGTCAACTCAGTTAAACATTTGAGGCGGAAGATTGCAGATAGCAAAATCCGCATACTTGCAGGTTTTATAATCGACAATCTTCGGTCTGAAATGTTACACCCTGTTGACAATCTTGAGGAATGTCTATGAGCAAGTACCTTCGTCGTCTGAAGAACTCTTCGCGTGATTCTTTGGCTGGTTTCTTGAGCTGGAGGAGCTGGGTTCGTTTTTGAGCCCGTTTGAGCGACTCTTGGCTCTTGGCGAGTTTTTAACCCTGGATCGAGTGAGCCGCTTGGTTTGCTTTTGCCCTCGTCGCGCTGAGAGTGTATCACTGTCGAGAATAACATTTTCCTGCGGCTTGTTTTCTTCTGCCTCCGATTCCGATGATGAGCTGGAGCCGTGTTCAATCAATCTCCGGTAGTTTATTTTTCGGCTCTTATTTACGAAAGGCATTTATAAAAAATGAGAAATCAACAATCCTAGCTCCCCTTTTGAGACGGTAAATAGACTGTGTCTAGAAACAATTCTACAGAGCGTCTACAAACTTTTCTGATGAAAAGTACTCGAGAAGCCGCTCGCGGCTTCGAGCTTTTCGTCGATAAAGACGATTTTCAGTAAGGATTTCTGAGTTAAATCCTGACCCACCTTATTTATTTGCTCATCTGAAAGAGCGTAAAAAGTTACCCGAGAAGAGCCCTCAAAATCTTGATTTTTTGTTAAAGATGACGTCACAGCACGTGATTGAAGTTCCATAGTACCGGATTTCTCCTACGCCCGCATTTCCAAGTCCTCTTAGCTACCCGGGCGTGTGATAGCTGAAAATGATCGTCTCGTTGAGCTCTAGGTCAGCATCTAGTTTTCATCACATTCCATTCATTTTTCAACCCTTTTGAAATCACCTGTTTGCTTAAAACATTGATTTTAAGAACGAAAGGTTGACAAGGGATGAAAACACGATGCTGACCTAGAGCTCAACGAGACGATCATTTTCAGCTATCATACGCCCGGGTAGCTAAGAGGACTTGAAATGCGGGCGTAGGAGAAATCCGGTACTTTGGAACTTCAATCACGTGCTGTGACGTCATCTTCAACAAAAAATCAAGATTTTGAGGGCTCTTCTCGGGTAACTTTTTACGCTCTTTCAGATGAGCTAATAAATAAGGGGGGTCAGGATTTCACTCAGAAATCCTTATTGAAAATCGTCAAAAGCCGCACTATGTATCTACAAGAAAAAGCTGATTGAAAGTTGAACACGTGGCTTGATGAACTAGACGAACTTGAAGAACTCGACGACGAACTCGACGAAGACATTATTTTTCCCTGCTGCGCTTCGAAAAGTCTGCTCATCCAAGAAAAACGCAGTCTAACATACTTTCTGTTTTGTGATTTTTATTCGAATATTTGTAACTTTCAATAACTTTCTTTCATTTGAAATTGTAAAACCAGAAAAGACAGAGAAAGAACTACTTGTCAGGGAAGAAAATCAGAATAAATAAGCGTCAGTATCAGTCAATAAATGGTAGAAAAAGGAATATTTTCAGGTAAAAGGAGGTTCCAATCCTGACGGCGGAGCCTTATTCTGAAGCCCCCGCAATCATGAAAGAGAGACGGAAAATTTGAAAATTCTAAAACTTGGACATTGGAAATTTTGAAATCAAAAGGATAAATTTGAATAAATGATTCAGAAACAATAGAGGCTAAAATTGAAATAAATAAAATAGTAATAAGCTAAGTGTTTTTCTGTCGGGTTTTTAACATACAAATGGAGAAAAAGAAGAAAGCTTGCTCGACGAGATCTGCCCTCCCACAGGCTGCCCAGGAATTTGGATTCATTCAGTTTTCAAGAACAGTTTTTAACCACAACATTTGCGGCTACTAGACGCATCATTCGGTAGTTGATTTTTCTTAGTTTTCTCAGCATACATTCAAATTAATAAGAGCCTATTAGTTTTTCCGGAAGAATGTACTTAGGAAATTGCAATTTACAAAATTTACAGAAAAAAAGTTTGAATAAATAAGATTGAGCTACATTTTCACCACTATAAATAGGTGCTTGAGGAAGGATAGAAAGAACGGTTTATCAATACATTCAAATAAATAAAATTCACTAAAGCCAGCTTACTTTGAAATCCCCGGGCGTGGAAAAAGGCTTGTGGAAGGAGCAGCGGAGCAGAATATATTTTTTTGTTTTTTTTTTGTGAGTTGAACTTCAATTTTTTGCTAATTCTTCATTTCTGGTCGTAAAGAGTCTAAAATTTTAATAACCAAACTGTAAATACAGTAATTACTGTGTTAAACATAGTTAATAATACGAGATTCTGCCAATCTGTTCGATGTTTCTTACCGGTAAAATGGATTCATCAGCCGGACGAATTTTCCATCCAAAGCTTCTTTTAACTCCGTTCAGAGCTTTGTAAAACCGCTCCTTTCCACTTTCGGTCGAAAGCATAACGAGATGCTTTCGCGTGCTTACTTCTTGCACCGATCTAATGTTCACTTCTTGTGCAAAGTCCTTGATCATGTTGTAGATGCCAGCGCTGCTGCAGCTCTCGGTGACTTGGAGCACGAAGCCGCGCTGCAGGCTGCGATGATTTCTTCGCCGGTCGTTTTGCTTTGTTCTGATTCTTTTCGTTATTTTGTAGCGATCCAGGGCCACGTGACTTATCGACACGTCACGCACTTTTGGGCAGCTTTCTAGATCCACGATTTTCTCCAGCATTTGAACTCTAGAATAAAAGATTCAGTAGAGAAAATCGATTCTCTGCGACTTTTACGCTAGAAAATGACCTAAATTGTCGAAAAATCGTAGGAAAGACATCCAAAGATTCTCGATTGTTCGACTTTTCTGACTAAAATTTCGATTTTTCGACCAAAATTTCCAGCTTTTCGAACAAATTTTTGCTTTTTTTCGACTAACCTAGCAAGAGCTTCAATATCTTCAGCATTTCTTTCTTGTTCAAATGTGATCATCGTGTTTTGAGGAGGAGTAGCAGGAGGAGTGTCTAATTTGCTGGGCGCGTAGAACTTACTGTGATTACTCGTGTGATTAATGTGTTTTCTGTCAGGTGTTTTCGATTCTTTCGCTTGCTTCTCCAAAGTCTCGTTTTCTCCCGCAAAATGCGGGGGCGATAAAGAAGCAGTCGAGTCAGGTGACAGGGGCTCGCCGTACTCTTCCTTGTTCTCCACCTCTTGCTCTGACTCTTCGTCGAATCCTGAGTCAGGCGACAGCTTCTGCTTCTCTATCTTCTCAGGAGCGGGATATTTATTGTCGAATTCTCTCCCAACTGCTCTGAGCATTTCCAAATTCGCGGCGTTTTGCTCATCCGTAGGCGTTCTGAACATGTGGGAATGTGATGTTGTCATTGTCTGCGCGACAGTTCGCGAAAAAGAAACTTTTCAAACCTGGTGAAACTCCTCTCGGCGAACTTGCGAATGTGGTCTGCTTCCCCGCTCTCTCGCCAAAGAAGTAGTTCCTTTTCAAACTCGTCTTCGGCTTCGTACATTTCGATGTCGGAGAAGAGCGAGATGTCGCTAGATTGAGAGTCAGAATCGGAGTCTTCCATGTCTTTAGCGACGTCGAATTTTTCCTCCTCCTGTTTCATGTCTTCTTCGATTTGAGCGATGAAAGCTGATCTGTCAGGAGTAATCTGTGACTCCTGTTCTTCATATTCCATTGGCTCTTCTTTGATCTCTACTTCTTCTTCATTTTCATAATTGGAAAAACTCGAGAAATCGTAATTCTGCCCGATCATCTCTTCGCGCTCGTGGGCGGCTGGCACGTGAGAAGAAAGAGAGTTCTCTTCTTCGATTTTGACTGGGTTCTCTGGTTTCCGCCTTTTTCTTCTCGGCTCGGTGTGGCTACTGTCGGGGTGATCACAAGCTCGCTTTGATGCAGCGTCCAATTGGCTGTTCCGATTGAGCGGAGGAGAGGGGCGCTCTTCCTCTTGCTTGATGACCGAGGAACTGTTGCTGTTCTCGTCGAATTCGAGGAAGGGAGAGAGAGGAGAATCAGCATTGGAAATGGCAGGAGAGGAAGGAGACGAGGAATCGTCAGGTAAGATTATTCCGTTGTTGTTGATTCGAAGAAGGTTTTTGATGTAGTCCGGGTCGGATTGAATCGCTTCTTCGTTGAGGACGTAGAACGCGTCCGGCTGGATGTTGTCCATAAAAACTGGCGCGTCAAGATCACCAATGTCGAAGTCTTCGAACTCGTCATTCTCATCGGCTGCGCTCTGACCTTCGTTTAGGCGCTTTTCTTCGATGGTGTCGGCAATGAAGTTGCGGATGGACTCCACTTGCTCGTCGTTGCGATTGGCGGGATCCTTGTTGTCGCCCATCAGTTCCTGGTAATGAGCGTCGGAGAAGGTCTCCGTCCTGAAGATCAAAGTTAAGGTCAGAGGTTTTCTTTCAATGATTTTTTTTGAAAAATGTGACTTTTTTCGTAAATTTAACGCGCTTTTAACTCACCGTTTTCGCATAGTAGGACGTCTCATAATAGGCGAAACTTGTTTCTGAATAGCAGTTGTCTTTAGGACGTTCTTTCCAATAGATCCAGCTCTCACACGGATTTTCGTGACAGTTTGACTTTCTTCTCCAGCTTCTTTCTTTTGCGCGTTCTTGAGTCGTTGAATTGCTGGTTCAATTTTCTTAGCAAGGTCGAGTTTTCTCACAGCAGCTTTTGAAGGGTTAGATTCAGCTGTGGCTACTATTGCAGATCCAGTGGGTGCTGATTTCTTGAACGAAACGAATCGGTCAGCATTGTCAGCTCGGGCAGGTTCGGATTCGACGGGAGAGTCCCCTCCGCCAATTTTCAGCGTTATTTTATGTTCATTAGCACCAGGGTTGGCTTTGTTGAGGAGATTGATAGAGTGTTCAATCGGGTTATTGCTCGATTTTGGCTGAAATCGACGGAATAAGTGGGTGAGCGCATGTTTTATCTCTTACCTGAATACTGACAGGAGCCGGCTTAGAACTTGCGACATTCGAATTTTGAACGGTTGTTGATTGAATGGGGGTTGAACTCGGCGCGGAAGCGATTTTTGAGGAAGAAGTATTCTGAGGGATAGGCACCTTGTTGGGTTTACTTTGCACTACTGTAATAATATTCGACGCCGAAATGGTCGTGAAGGCTTGCGCCAGATTGAAGATAGGTAGAAGTTGACAGCCTGAACCAAAGATTTAGAAAGGATAAATGAGGGGTTATTACCGTCAGGAAGGGATCTAATGATCGTGGAATTGTTTTCAATGATGGTAGGTTTGATGCTGACCGGTGTAGTCCTTTCCGTGGGTTTTGGAGCAACTTTCTTTGGGCTGCTGTCAGAAGAGGGCGCAGTGATGGGGGTTTTCTTGGGGGAGTTTGAGGCGGGTTTGGATGAGTTTGAGTTTTGGGGAAGGGTGTTTTTGGCTGGCACGGGGGAGGCACTTGATCGTCTTGAGCTAGAATCGCTTCTTCTCAAGATGTTGCTACTCGTTTTCATTCGCATTTGTGCTCTTTCTCGTTCTTGTCGAAGTTTCTCCTCGACTTGTCGGTCCAAATGTTCAATGATCATTTGCGTCTCGAGCGCGCGATCTTTGAAAATTGGAATCTGAAAGAAAAAAAAACTGATAGAATTTGAAGGCTCGATTTTTATCTACCTCGAGTTCGCCTTCACTTTCTTCCAATATTTTCTTTTCTTCTTCGGTCGGCTTGATAACGATTACTTTATCTTCCGGCTTCTCCTTCACGCTCTTCTTCGAGTCTTTCCGGACCAGCTCGAGTTTGGGAATTCTTGGCGGGTTTTCGGGGGATTTGATCAGACGGTCTTTGATGCTCAGTTTTCTTATTGGAATTGCAGGAGGTGGCATGAGCTCAAAGCTGTTAGAAGAAGTGTCGATTTTGAAGACCTTTTCAGAGTTTGAAAATCGATCGTGTTATTTTAATTCTGGGACGCGATTATCGTAAAAACAACTAGCGAGGCGATTTCAAACCGTGCCTGAGAAGGTGCCAGATTAGGCAAAATCGGCTTTGGCATCTTTTCCTCCATCAATTTCGGCATTATCGGCGTCGGAGGCGGTGGCATAAGTTGCTTCTCCGACGTGTCGATGTAGACCTCTTCACATGGTGGTTCGGATTTTACTTCTTCTTTCTTTGTCTCCTCATTTTTGTTGGCGGCTGCGGCAGAGACTGAAACAGGCGCGCTGGTAGCGGGAGAGGGAGATTGAATCTTTCTTTCTACTTTCACGACTGGTTTCTTCACTTGCGGCTCTGCTTTTGCGACTTGCTTGACTGTCGTAACGTTTTGGAATGTCGTTACATTCTGGACGGGGACGATGGTGACGGGGCGCACGACTTGAACGGATTGAGCTTGTGGAGCTGCTTGAACGATTTGAAAGGATTGTTGCTTTCTAAAAGAAAGGGTAGATTCGAGAGAAAAGGGGAGTATCCGCTTCTGGGGGAACTTACCCGTCGTTATTGAACAGCGAAGAGAGCTGATTCAAGTCGAGCACTTGATTCCTCCCGCTCCACCAAGTGTGGTGATGTTCAAGTTTCCCAGCTGAATTTGTCCGTTGTTGATGACAATCGGCGTGGCGGTTGTCGCATTGCCAAGGTTGATGCTTTGCATGTTGTCGCTTTTGATGGTGGTGACATTGGCCGCGTTGCTCAGCAGTTTTTCAACCCGCGTTGGAGCGGGCTGAATTACTTGCTTTCGATCCGTGTTGGGTTTGCGCTTGCGAGGAGGGGGCTCGATTTCCTTCACGCGTATTCTTCCTCGCGTCCCGTTCGATCCCTTTTCATGAATTTTAAATGAGGACTATCGACCGGGTAACTAACCTTGATCTTCTTTAGTTCCGTAATCAATCCATGAAACTCATATTTGTACAACGAGTTTTTGGAAACCATCGTGACCGTCAAACGACTTGGAATCTTGTAGCCTACGAGTCCGAGCTCACATGCTTTGTCGATAAATGGCCGATCGCTGCCATAAACCATGTCGCTCGTCTTGTTGAAATTAGAAATCTCGTTGGCCGCCATTTTCTAGTAGGGAATTGAAAGGGGGGTTTTGTGGACTGACTTTTACCCGGAAGAAGTCGTCAAGCTCTTTTGGATCTTGCGACTGGAGTTTTGGAAACTCAGCGTACAGAGCATTGAACTTCTCCGTAACTGGCGGCTTTGCTTTCGGCTTTTCTCGTTTTTTATAAGGCCGCGTTTCGGGAAGGAGAAATACATCCTTCTTCGGTTTTGTTGTTGATTTTCGACCACTTTTGGTTATGGTCACTTTTTGCTGAGCAGGAGCACTGTTTCGCGTTGTTGGAGTGCTTCTTGCCGCCTTGGGTTTAGGGGTTTTTGGTGTGCTACTAGAGCGGGTACTACTAAATGCGTTCTTCAGAAAATCTGAGCAGCGCCGTGAGCTCGACCGTCTTGGGGGTGTAAGAGGGAGCACTACTGGCGCTGATTCAATCGAGATACTTTTCGTTCTTCTGTTTTCAAAGCTCATTATTTGCGACTTTAAAGATTCAAAACGAAGATAGAAAACTTAATTTTGAGAATTTTCTGTTTTGCGAGCTTTTCCTTTTTGCTTGATTCGCAGGTGAAAACAAGCGTAATTTGCGTCCGTCCGCATCACAATCATTCGCGTCGACGTAGTCATCGCCGAACTCATCGTCATCATCGTCGTCCTCGATGATGGGGAGTTCCTCGTCGAGAAAGACGGTGACGTCGATGTTTCGGTGATTTCCGATCGTTTCGATGTCGTCGATGTAATCATCTATGTTATCGTCTTCGCTTTCATGGTCGTCGCCGACGGACGACAGTCCGATTTCTTCTACTAATGCGTTCGCGCAGGTCGTCATTCACACCTACATCACTCTAAAACACAACCACTTATTATACGAGGAGATAAAGCACAAGCTTAGGGAAGGTGCGAAGATACAGTAATCTAACAGGAAGAATCAGCTTATCATTATTGCGTTGAATTCATTTTTTTTCTCGGAAAAAAAATTGTCATTCTCTTGGAATTTTTTTACTGAGCGATCGAATTTACTATTGTCGCCACGATAAATATTTGTTCTATGAAAACAAAGGAGTATTCGTCCCAGAATAATTATTCAAAAAGAGGTGTCCAGAAGTTCTACTAGGGCCGGGTTACTCGTGGACTGAAGCTTGGAGTGAAGATATTTCTCTGCTCAAAAATACATGGCAAGAGGGAAGACTAATCAACCCTCAAATTGCTAAGCCCCAGGGGCGATAGACCTCACTCAGGGTCACTCCTTTCCTTGATTGCCTAATTTGACCTTACCGAATGAAAAAAAAAGTTGGATCCTCAACTATTGTAAAATAATTTCTTTTAACAAATAAATTCTTTCAAAGGATGGCTAAGAGCACTTGCAGCGTTCTTTGAGTTCTTTAGAAGGTGCGTTTTTCAAAATTCTTTCAAAAAATGCTTCTGATTTTCTCGACAGTCGGGTAAAAGCGGAAGGGAGAATCTGTTCGCTAGTGATTCTACGGTGCCGGGCGGTAGGACAGGGAGCCAAATTTACTACGCGCCGGGTGAATGGGCAAAGAAACGCCCAATCAATGCGCGTAGAGTCCAGTCTGACCTTGAAAGCTTAAAATTCCATCCCCACGTACTATCAGTACTGTCAGCGTGAAATTCCTAAATTCAAAAAACCGAAAAATCCGCCGTGAAAACCCATTTGGTCTTTTTCTCATTAAAAATTAATTCCGGGGGATACCCTTATGGTCTTTTAAAACTGTGCTTTTAAAGATATTATGGTCTTTTCAATGAATATTGAATTTAAAATAGCATTATCTTTATTTGAGAATTGCACGAATGATAGGATGCTTTCTACTTTGAGTGAATTTCTAAGTAAGTGAAAAATACTTCTACAGAAAAAATGATAGCTAATTGATTCTAATAACAACTTCCCCCCTTCTGTTTAAAGCTGCTTCGTTAGCTTATTTTGCCAGGTGCTTCAGCTGGAGAGAAGCTGCTTTTGAAGCTCGTTGATCTGCTTTTGGTCGCTCTTGAGTTCGGCCAGAAGCCGGTTCCTGTAAGTTTCGTTACAGTTGGGGTTCATCAGCTTCGATTTGGCTTCGTGTGCTCGGGCGATTAGTCCAGGAAGATTTTTGAAGATTCGAACGCATCTTAATTTTTCCTCTCATCAAAAAGTCGAATTAGCAAAAATTAGCAAGTAGGGATCTCATCCCCTTTGGCGGTTTATTTTGTTTACTAACCGGTCGCCAGCAACCGCAACAAGTTCCGAGTCTGGGCTGAATTCGACGCTCTTTATTGCCCCGTTGAAAATGTCTTTGATCTCGAGCACGAGCACCTTGGTCCGCAAGGAGATGAACTTGATCGATGAGTGCTGCACCAGGGCGAGAATCAGATTATCTGGCGATATGAGGATTGAGTCCACGGCTCCCCATTGATTTGGGAATGCTTCGGCCTCTGAAAAAGAAGGAATTAGTGAGAAAAAAATTACGGTCGTGAGAGGTCGTCTTGAATAAATACCACGATTTGGATTGATATAAAAGTCTAGTTCTGGATAATTTTCAGATAAGGAAAGTTACTCTAATGAAACAAGGCTTTTTTGTAAATCGAAAATGCAGATGAAAGGTCTTTGAAATTGTTGAGAGGCTACTCTCTTAGAATGAATAGTTATTCAAAGAATTCGTGATCGATTGCGTGAACGCCCACTAACGTTGCCCTTTTGTCTAAACTGACCTCGAGGTGTGTCATCTCGTTGCCAGTCCGCGCTGTTGAAGTCGTAGATTTTGAAGCCACTCGCGTCCGATAACGAGATCAGCTTCGACGAGTCTGGGAAAAAGGCAGCTTGGCTGACGTTCGATTTATGTCCACAGAGGGAGTGGAGCTTTTTCGTACTCGCATAGGAACCACTCTGAAAATGGAATTCTTGGAAAAAGGGCACTTCAGATTTAGCTTGGATTAGGGTTGATTCGTGAAGATCCTTTGTAATCCTAGTTACAAATCTTGAGTCTTGCTTATTGACTTTGAGTCATAAATGTTCCTTTTATTAGGTCTTTATTTTTATCGATATTGAACAATCTATGAATGAATCTTCTCGCACTTTCCAGCTTACCTTGAACAAGACTGCCCATCCTCTAATTTCCGCTGAATCTCCGAAACCAACGACAAATTTTGAACAGGGCGAGAGAAGCGTTTTCCCATTCGACCCAGAAGCAGCGGGAAAACGATGGAGCTCCTGGTTTCCTCTTAGATCTGACAAGACAACAGTGTGGTTGGAGTACTCGTGGTACAGGAAGGAGCCCGCCTGTACGCCCGATTGAAATTGAACTGCGATCTTTGCCCTTTTCAGCGCTTTTTTTTTGTTCAAAAATGAGTTGAAAAGAGGTCTTTTTTAATATTTTCTGAACAGTTCCTGCGCCCGGTAGAAAATCAACAGCGTTAGAAATGTGCTTCAATTCGTACGACCCACCATCTTGCTTCGCAACTTGAAATAAAGCCACGGTATTTTCTTTTTGCAAAATCGCACAGAGCGATTTTCCATCCGGGGCAAACTTGACTGACAACGCTGGATCATGAGCGGTGTTGTATCTGAAGAAGTTTACGTTGTCTCTATTTTTTCATAAGCAAGATCTCTAGTGACCCGTAGAAGAAAATAACGAGCGGCAAGAGGAGTTAGCTCTCGAGTTGTATAACTTCCAAATTGGCTCAAATATTTACACATTTCAAAATCTAGCGTAGAATAGGAGAGCAAGACTTATCCGTCTATCGACAAATATGACAATTACTAATGAACATACAGTAGCTACAAGCAAGCAGTAATTGTTTATCAACCTCTCGCGCCTGATAACAATTTCTATCGCACCTGTACGACGTGTTTCCTTTCCCAAGCTCTTTCGTTGGCCACAGTAGAATGGACCTTTCCCCGTCAGATGTTGCGATAAACTTTCCATTCTCCGAAAAGGAAATGTCGTTGACGCACTTTGTGTGGCCCTTGAGTGTGTTTGTCAAAAGTCCATGCTCAAATTCTTTGTGGTCGAGTTTCTTCGAAGCTTGGTTCAGTTTTTTCAAGCTTTTGCCTGTCGGTTTTTGAGCGCTTTAAATTGGGGTGAAAACAACAAAGATTCACTTCCACTTTCGCCGAGATTTCGCCCCTTTCCTTGTTGATTTCTTGACAAGTTTTTCTTTCTCAAGTTCTTTTTTCGCAAGTTTTTGTTCAGCTTCCTCTAGGGTGGGAGAATTTGATTCTCCGCCCCTTCCTTTCACGAACTGAAGAAAAACAAATATTGAAGCGAGTAAGACAATTAGCTCTACGATCATTCTTAAAAATGGTATTTTTTACGAGCGAATTAGTTGGTTGAAATTATTTCTTTTATCAGTAGTTTTGCGAGGTACTCAATCAAGAACTGTTGACATTGGCTTTTATGGGGATTTTAATTATTCCTTACAAAAATTAGAATATTCAAACTTAAAAATCATCCATTCCTTTTCGTCGAAAAATGTCAAGACCCTTCTAGCGAGCTTTTGCCCAAATCTTTGGTGGGTAGCACCACCTCCTTCCCCTCGTTCAACGTCGGAATTCGCCAGTTTTTCGAAGGCGCGGGTTTTTTGGATGTCATCTGAAGCGATAGCAAGGGCAGTTTGAAAGTTTGGCAGGACTTTGATGATCAATGGAATGTGCACTTCTTTGTGAAGGGTTCATTTTCTAGCTGGGATCGGCAACCTGCGTAGAAAACCTGAGTCAGGGTCTGAAAGATCTATATTTCAATATTTTCACACCCTGACTCAGGTTTTCTAAGCAGGTTGCCGAGACCAGTTTCGGACGGAACATAAAATGATTATTCAACCTTTTCCTTGAATACCAGTAATAGTCAGTAAAAATCGCTTGAACAGCGCGTCGCAATCTTCCGATGAGGTGATTCTTTTCTTCTGTTTGAGGAAAGTTACGAAAGCATTACTCAACTCTCTTGACCGTAGAAAAAGTCAAGGATAAAGTTTTATTTCCATGTCTTCTAAAAGAGTCAACTTCAAACAGTGCCTGACTTTATTATCAATCTCAGTGTGCTCCTTGTCTTTTTCTCTCTTGCTCGGGGCCTCTAGAATCGCCTTGATCGCAGAAATCGTGCAGCCCAGCCAAGTCCTGTCCTTGGAGGTTTGAAGAACTTTGAACTTCCCGTCGAGATTTTCGTTCAAATTAAAGGAGATCAATTTTTTTTCAAAATTAATTCTGTTCTCCGTTGTATCGACGATGATATACGAAACTTTTAAAAGGGTCAAAAAGGGAGCGAAATAATAAGAGCTAGGCTCTACAATCTGCCTCCAAAACCTGAGTCAGGGCCTGAAAGAGCTTGAATGAAAAGCTGCATATGGTTTTTCGCGGCTTCGATTCAAGCTCTTTCAGGCCCTGACTCAGGCTTTTGAAACAGGTTGCCGAGCCCAGAATAAGAGCACCAAAACTTATCATGCTTATTCTCAGCCCAAGCCTTGTTTTTGCCGGCAAACTTGAACGAAAACGTCAAATTGCTGAACTCGTCCTCGAAAGCAAAAAACAGTCTCTTCCTCCAGCTCTTGGTAAACTATCTCTTGCGCGTTTTCATCTATTTCTGGCCACTTTCGCTTCACTCTGAGACTTGGGTAGCGGCAACCGGCCGACTCGACGAATCTAAGTTCGACTGCTTTCTCTCCGTTGAAAACTTTGACTCCATCTGCATCGAAAGAGCAGTTTTTCAGGTCGCTCTCGACAAAGTGCTCTGCCGAATATTCCGCGATTCCGTATTCCCAACAATGCGCTTTCCTCAGATATTCAACTTATTAAAATCTGGGCTTGGAGACCTGTGTTAAAAACCTGAGCCAGGACTTTTAAATTCACTACTAAAATTTTCATTGTTATAAAAAATTTTCTGTATAAAAAGTGGAGTCTATTGTCTAACCTAACTGAAATTAACCTAATAAAGCCGGAATTATCGTAGAGAGGCCCTTAAAATTTCGTATCCGATCCTTTCATAGTAACTTGTTTTTGCTCCTTTTCGAGCTGTTTTTCTAGCTTTTTTCGTGCCGCATTTCGTCTTTTCAGCTCTCTTTCTTCAGCTGTCAATTTCGGTGCCATTCTAATCAGTTGAAAATTGAGAAAATCATCGAAAGAAATTTATAGATATTTGTCCGAAATCGAGGTTTTTTCTTATTAGTCTTCAATGAGGCAAATTTCAAGCAAATCTTCATCTTTCAATGTCTTCCCCAATTTGATTTCGCAGTCTGAAAGACGTATTCTAGAGAAAAAATCACAGTTTTTCTAGAACATTTTTTTCAGACATTATTTTCTCTGCGCGCCGTTCTTTCATTGGTCCATCCCACGCTTCTTTCCACTACAAAGATAGCCAAAAGGGAGATTTCTTATTCTGAAGAGCTCAAGAAGATCGTTTTTTTGTTGAGCTCTTGTAGAATTTTTTTGATAAGAAAAATGAAAATTCATGGAAAAAAATCTTCATTTTTTTTTTGATGAAATAATTCATTTTTCTGGTAAGTTTCATTTTTTACCGAAAAATTTATGAAAAAATGTCATTGAATAAAAAATAACTTATTTTATCAACAAGTTGTTGACTGAAAGTTCAGGCTGTTTTGTTGATTCTGAGACGAGCGCAGCTGTTCTCAAAATAAAGCCGCTCGCCTAAAATAAAGTAAAAAACAAGGAGAGAGAAAATGCTGCTCCTCGCGTTCTTCTTGGGCGCTCTTGCCAGCGATGGATCTGATAATCGAAAGGTTGGAGTAAACCAGATGCATGTCGCGTACCTGAGCGAGTTTGAACGGTCGGTTTCGTGGACGTCTTTGACGGAGAAAGACCCCATCACGTTTATTTATCAACTTGCTGTTCCTGGACCAGAAGGAATCGGTTTTCATTTCGGCTTTTTTTTGCAAAGAAAAAGTAGAATAACCGATGGAAGGGGAAATGAAGATGGTCGACTCCAACGTTACTACCTTCATTGAACCTCAGGACAAATCCCAAGAGCGATACATTCATACTGTCGTTCTCAGGTAGATTTGCTTTGGCTTGTTCATTGTCAAAAACTTCCTAAAAATCGAGAAGCCGCTTGCGGCTTCGAGCTTCTTTAATAAAAGAAGCCACGGGAAGCGCAGCTTTTATTGAAATTACTCGAAGCCGCAAAAGCGGCTTCTCGACTTGAAAATTTTCTTTCATTTGAAATTAGCAATCTGAAATACGGTAATTACAATTACGCTCCAATGGGTTATCACTGGTACCACTTCAATGTTTATGAAAACACCCCCGATGACGAGCAAATGTTTCTGATTTACGGAGACATGGGCGTCGAAAACTCACAGTGCTTGGATGCAATCGAAAATATGGTAATTACGCTCGGGGATGATCTGGACATGATTTGGCATATTGGGGATTTCGCTTATGATATGTGCGACAACAATGGCCAAAACACGGATTTGTTTATGAACATGGTTGAGCCTATTGCCGCTGCAAGTAAGGGGAAACAAACTAAAGCGGTTGATACTAAAATATTGGGAAATTAAGTGCCGTACATGACGATTCCCGGAAACCACGAGAGCCATTTCAACTTCTCCCACTACGAAAGTCGCTACTCCTCTGTTTCCAAAACAAATCCTTATTATTATTCCTACGACTACGGGAACGTCCACGTGATTCATTTCACCACGGAGCTGTACTTCTACCCGGAGCAGTTTTCGGAACAGAACATCAAGGACCAGTTCAATTGGATTCAACAGGATTTGAAGACTGCCAACCAAAATCGCGACAAATATCCCTGGATCATTACCACTGGTCATCGACCCATGTATTGGTAAGGCATTTCAGCTGGTCCAGCTCTAGAATTAAATTCAGCGAACGATTGAGCTCCAAATGCGTCAATGACACCGACCCCGTCAGAATCGGCCCGTATGGATTGGAGAAAATGTTCAACGACTACGGCGTCGATGTTGCTTTTTGGGGCCATGTCCATCTTTACGAACGAATGTTTCCTTTGAACAATGAAGAATATGAAAAACAGCCGCTGGATAAATACGAGAATCCAAAGTGGGTGACTCACGTGATTACTGGAGCTCCGGGAAATAAGGAAGACATCAGTACGAACATGAAAGATCAGCCCGAATGGAGCGCGGTCAGATTGGAAGAATACAGCTTCACAACTCTTACTGCTGCTAGAGGTAAAGAGTATATCTAGGTTCGCCATTCTAAGTATTCTAGATACGCTGACAATCAAGCAATGGAGCAAAGATGAAACCTCAAAGATCATCGATCAGTTCCAAATTACGAAGACCGAGCAAAAGTCCGAACTTCGCTGGTACGAGCGCGCGATAAAATGGCTTCGAGGAGTTACCAAAATGATATTTTGAAACCTCTCCTGGGATTATTGCAGCTGTTTCTGGCAATTCTGAAATAAACTTTCAAAAAAATTCTGAATGCGTCAAAAGAGATGCTTTTCTTTGGGTTAATTTTGAGTTCGTTTGCGAGGGAAATTTCGCTGATCAATGACTTGGAAGCCGGTTTTAATCAGATGCATTTGGCTTATCTTGGAAAACAAGAGAGGTCGTTTTCTTGGACATCGTTGACAGAGTTGGAATCCATGGAGTTTTTTTATCAGTTGAAAGTTATCGGCCCTCAAGGAGAGATGAAGGTTGCCTTTTCGAATGTCACCAAATTCGTCGAACCTCAAGATTCTTCAGAAATAAGATACATTCATACTGTTACTTTGAGGTTTGACTTTGAACAAAAATTGATTGTCATTTTGTTCTGGTAGTGATCTGAATTTCGGTCTTTACAACTACAAACTTGACGACGGAAAAATCTACAGCTTCGAATTAACTGACAGCGGGCCAGAAGACGAGCAGACTTTCCTGATTTATGGCGATTTCGGAGTCGAGAATTCTCAATGCCTGGGCGCGATTAAAAGTCTAGTGGACTCTGAAGATGCTGACATGATCTGGCACATTGGAGACTTCGCCTATGACATGTTTGATGACAAGGGCAAGAATGCAGACCGATTCATGAATATGGTCGAACCAATTGCTTCATCAGGTCTTCTTTCTTTTATTTCAGTAGTTTTTAATTGAAATAAGTTCCGTACATGACAATCCCTGGCAACCACGAGAGCAAGTATAACTTCACACACTATGAAAGCAGATACTCTTCTGTCTCAAAAACAAACCCCTTCTACTATTCCTACGACTATGGCAACGTCCATGTACTGCATTTCACTACAGAGCTGTACTTCTACCCTGATCAGTTTTCCGAGCAAAACATCAAGGACCAGTTTGATTGGATTCAACAAGATCTCAAAGCTGCAGCTGAAAATCGAAAAAATGTCCCTTGGATCATTACAACTGGTCATCGGCCTATGTACTGGTGAATTGACTTGATCGAGTTTCTTTTTATTAAAAAAATTAGTGAGGCAAAATCGAACTCCGCAAAATGTAAAGAAGACACCGATCCATTGAGAGTAGGCCCGTATGGATTGGAAAAAATGTTCAACGACTTTGGAGTTGATGTTGCTTTCTGGGGACATGTTCATATTTACGAACGAATGTTTCCGCTGAACAATAAACAGTTCGAAAAACAACCGCTTGATAAGTACGACAATCCAAAATGGGTAACGCATGTTATTACCGGAGCTCCTGGAAACAAGGAAGATATCACGACGGACATGACCGATCGGCCCGATTGGAGCGCGGTTAGACTGGAAGAATACAGCTTTACCACGATGACGGCTTCTCACGGCAAGAATTTGAGCTTCATTCCCTCGCGTTACAGTTTGATTCTTTAGAAACTTTGACGATCAAGCAATGGAGCAAAGATGAAACTCCAAAAATCATCGATCAATTTCAAATAACAAAAATTTCTGAATAGAGAAAAACTCACTCTTTTGAATGAATCTTGTATTTTTTTCATTGCTTTCTCGATAAATTAAATTACAGAAGTTTGAAGTCACTTGTCACTTTAAGGCACTTTTCTTGGCCAGCTGTTGCTTACCACCGTTGTACTCGTAGTTGTAGTAGCGGAACATTTGCGTGCACTAGAATTTTTAATTTGATGAAAAAACAGGCTGTGTTGATATTTTTTACCTGAGCAGCAGTGTTTGTCAAGTGGCAGGCGAGAAGGAGCATGTTTCTAGGCTGAACCATCCAGGCGAAGCGGGAGAAGAGCACAGAGTAGAGGATGAGGGACGCAGTCATGTTGGGCTAGAATTGATTTGAATGGAGGGAGGAAGAAGAGGACTCACGGAAATGATCTCGGGCGATTTCTGACAATCGGCAATAGCGGCGATGGGAATTCCCCAGTTGGCAGCGGGACCCCAAAAGTGGGTCGAGAAAAAGTAGTCTCTCCATGCTTTGAAGGAGTTATCTGAATATTTCCGTTAAATACAGTAAAAAATACAGTCTTTTGAGCAACAAACGCCGTAAATCGATCATTTTTGTTAATTAAAACTGTCTCTTTTTTTGAATATTTATGGTGTTTTAATAAATTTAAACCTGCTTGTTCAGCATTAAATCTTCTTCCAGCTCTAAACTGATTTCGGAATCCGTTGAATCCTCTATTAAAAAACTGCCTCATTCTGAAAACAATATCCTCTCGCTTTTATCTCTGAAATCGTAAAAAAGGCCCGAAATAGAGTGCTTTCCTTTCGAGAGCGATTCTGATTGGCCAGTTCTTTGGCGAAGGCCACTTTGGAGCACACTCAAATGCTGTGCGCGCTCATTTGCTCAGGCGCTCAAATGCTCGGGACGCTCTTTTGCACGGACACAAGCGAAAGAGTGTCCAAGCGAATGAGCGTTTGATTTAATTGGTCGACTATGAAAAATGTTATACAGGACATAAACCATGATTTAGTGGTGTCAATTCTTAGAGTTTTATCGAAATAAATTCGGAACAATTTCGAAAAACACGAAATCATCGGGAAGAAATTAAAATGGACATTATTTTTTTTCAATAAGTGATCAAGTGTTATGTAATAATTGTTCAGAATTGTTAAGATGATCACACAATGAGTCATTTTAGCGTATATTTAGAAAATACAGCATTTAGAGTGATAATACGCTGATGATCACTTTTAATTGTTTATTTTCGGAGAAATATTCTTGTGCTAATTTTCGACCAATTAAATCAAACGCTCATTCGCTTTGGACACTCTTTCGCTCGTGTCCGAGCAAAAGAGCGTCCGAGCATTTGAGCGCCTGAGCAAATGAGCGCGCCGAGCATTTGAGTGTGCTCCGGCCACTTTTGCGTTGGAAAGTTGTTGGTTTTACTATCGGTCTCTGTGTTTGGCAAATAATGGAGTTTTTTGGGGAAAAGTTTTTTGCGAAGTTTTTTGCAATTATGGTTACGTAATTGTCACTAAATTAGTGCCCTGCTCATCTTAGGTGGCTTTTCTTATATAAAAAGGCTTCTGCAAGCTTTTAGAAGCAAAAGGGTTTCGTAAAAATGGTATATTTTCATGCTAGATTTTAGTAAAAACGAGTAATTACGTTCCAGTGCTGAGAAAATACGGTGTTAAGGTACGGGATCTCCCGAAAGCGCGGGAAGCTTACACCACATTTCTGAAATTTGAATGCCTGCCCAGGAGAGCCGTAATCGATAGCCTGGAAAGCTCTGTGCATCTAATGGCCGTTGGCAAAACAGCACTGTTTTGCGGCTTGGATTCCCTTTGAGCTTGGCGCTGGTCAATGGGAAATTGATCGCAGAGCTTGACTCCGATTTCTCGTCGCAGATTCCAGGCTCCGTTGCCACCTCTGTGACCATGGACACCAGCAGCGTATATAATCAACCGGCGATCGGCAGTTGATTAAGATCTTCTAAAAATAATATGAAGCTTTTCAAATCCCTCGCAGTCCTTGCGGGCTGTGCTTCTGCCGCTGCTTACGAAAAATGTATTACTTGTGAATACGTTGGCGTTGCAGATGATGAAACCAACGCTATCGCCGATTTGAAAGCTGCGACTTGTACTAATCCAGCTTCTGACGATGAACTAGAGGATTTAAAGTATACTGTCAGTGGTACTACTGACGCTGATAACGAAAAATACTGCGTATCCATTTTCTACATGTTCGAAGCAAAAGATATTGGAAACAAGTAAGTATAATTTATACTGTATATTTACGGAATAATTACGGGAAATTATTTTAGAGTCGTCTACGGTGTAAAACGATACGTCTCAGATTCGAGCGTTACTCTTTCCCGAGTCGATGTTGATGGATATGAAGGTGTCAAGGGCATTGCCAGCTCAGTCCAGCAGAAAGCACTTGATAACGATGCTAAGGATGCCGACGGTAACGACGCACCTATCCTCCTTACAAACTTCATTGAACGAGGAGTTGACGGTGCTCTCTACATGGGAGACGGTCGTGAAGACCCTGTCACCAGTGGCGATGCCTCTACTGTCAACATCCAGACCTTCGATTCCATTCGATGTTTGGTCTGTCACGATGCTCAAGAATTCTCAACCGCTCCTCTCCAGTCCTCCGACATCACCATGCCATGCTGGAATCCATCTGGAAACGTTTTTGCTACCGATGATGAAGCTGCCCGAGATCCAACAAAATACTGCAGCCCAGAAAACGGTCTTTGCATGACCAAAACCTGGCAATATAAAACCAAAAACGATGCTAACGTTGTTACCAGCCACTGGGTCGCGATCGAGCGAGGTTGTGCTTCAAATACTGAGAAAGCTAGTCTTGGTAGCAGTGAAACTGACGTGCTCACTCCTAATAAACGAGCCGTTTCTGCTAACATGTTCGTCCGAATGTATGCTGCCACAAACACTGCTTCTAAGGCAAAGGACAATGCAAAATACCCTGATGCCGATGTTTCGACCAAAATCGATCACGCCGATGTGAAAGACGATAAGTCTGCAATTCAGCAAGGAGACCATTCTACTTTTGATATTCGACCAATTACTGCGCAGTTTATGTCATCTGATGGGTCTGGCAAGCCTGACGTCCCCTCTGTAGCTGCCGCTACCGAGGAACTCGAATGCATTAGCTGCTCTACCCCTATTGGAAACACTGATTCTGCCAACGATTGTGTCACCGCCAAAACCACTGGTCGTGTAAAGTGCAAGACTCTTGCCTGTTCCGCTATCACTTCAAGCTACAAGCTCGGAGAAGATGCCACTGAAACTTACTATTACGCAAAACGAGGCTGTGCTGCTGATCCCGATGATGGTGTTACTGATGGTGAGCAAGAAAATGCTGATGACTACGTAGTTCCCGACGGATGGACCAATATCAAACAATACAACCAACGATCAACCACTACTAATGGTAACACTGGACGATCATCTTCCATTTCTACTGCTGTTGTCTTCGATTGCTACTCCTGCGAGAGCTCCTTCTCCACCACTGTCTCCGGCGCAAACCCAGCTGACCCTATCTTTGACTCTGTTAAAGAAAAAGACACCTCTCTCTGCTGGCAAACATTCAAGCCCGTCGCTGACTCTAGCTCCTCGGCAACTGGCACTTCTGGCTCCTGCACCGGCAAATGCTACGTCTCTGCTTACAAATACAAGGAATCTACTGGCACCAGCAAGCTTCCAGCCACCACCTTCAACTGGTACATTAAACGAGGATGTGATACCGAAATGTCTGTCATCAACAACGAGACTCCTGCTCCAGCCCTTTACGGAATCTCCCAGACCAACCGAGTTTGCGACTACACCAACGGTACTCTTTGCAACGGTCTTGTCGAAGGATACGATACCACCCTCGAAATTGCCACGCAGTCTTCTCGACTTCTCCAGTGCTACGATTGCGAGACTCCAGCTGGAAATACTGACCCAGAAGGTAAAAAAAGATTGAAATGAGGCCATAATATGTATTTATTCCAGATCCCTGCTACACTGTTCCATCCACCACCAAGGCTGTCGAGTGCCCAGATCTTTCCTACACTTCCTGCTCCACCACCGAGACCGCTTACACTTTGAACGGACAGAGCTTCTACGGCATCAAGCGAGCTTGCCACAAGGGTGATCATGAAGACTCCACTGAGTAAGTACTTTTCTGATGGCCCAGTTATTAAAATTGGAAATTCAGAGCCGTTGCTGGATTCAAGAACGTCAACTCTGAGACCACTCACTGCACTTCCGGCTCCTGCAACAAGGCTAACGGCAAGACCACCGACCTCGTCGTCGCTGTCGAATCCTCACCTGGATCTGGAACTGAGAACGAAACCGAAGAATCCGGCGCCGCCGTCGTTGCTTTCTCCGGACTCATGGCCGTCACTTTGGCTCTCTTCCACTAAACTCACCGACAAAAAGATTTTGTCAAAACCAGCATTCTGACCCTCGCTTGGCTTGACTACGATTTTCAACCCCATTTCTTTATTTTTTCTTTATTTAATCTTTCCTTATCTTTTTACAGTCTAATTTCCCTGTGATTTTTGCGATAAATGAAGTTGATATCAATCTGCAAGTTCTGTCAAAATGCCAAACTGTACTTGTATGGCGACAGTGACAACCAGATTGGACTGAAGTCGAAATTTCTCAATAAATTATTCTGTACGCATCAATTCTTTGTCTTGTGATCCGATTGAGATAAGGAGCAGAAAAACTTGGCTTGAAATCAAGGAAGAGTTCCTAAAACGAGAGAAATGGAATAACAGGAGATAATTCAATTACAGCGTCAATTATAAGGTACTTTTTCGTACCGTAAGTCAGTATCTTCAAACGCATCTAGACTAATCCTTTAAAGTTAGCCAATTTCGCGTAAACTCAATCACGAAAAAACACGCTCGCGCGGGTGGTGCTAGACGACATCTAATTGATTGCATTTCGCCACTACAAATACCGACATTTTCGACGCTCACGTAATTTCCCAGCTTGTGTCTGACGAATTCGATCAAGGTAGATGATTTGAAAACCGTGAAAAAGCGAGTGCGGCGATGTTTTGTTAGGGAACTACCGGTAGCGCACGAGGAGAGGTGTTATTTGGAGGTGGAAAGTGTTTATAAACAAGATAAGAAAAGGCATATCCAACCGCATGCTTCAGAAAGATGTCAGCTCTGCCCGTCAGTTCAAACAACATATCGATTGAAAGCGAAACGACCCAGATTTTCATACGATTCTTGGAAAATGACTGGCTAACGAGCGGATGCTTTTGGTACATTCTTTTCTTTGCCGCTTTTTTTAGTGCCCGTGGCAGTATTTGCGCGATTCAGTATTAACCTACTCGCTCTGTCGACTAAACGACGAGCGTTTCTTCTTTCTCAGCTCGAGGGAGAAGCAAGCGTCGACAGATTTACTGACTTGGCAACTTTCAACTTTCCGTCAAAGGCAAAATACAACACACGTCGACGGATAAGATTCAAGCGGCGGAGTCATGCACAAGTGTGGGCACCACGATCATCTATTGAGTGGTCACGGATGAGCATTTATAATCGATGCAGTCACGATCTCGTGATCCTTTCGGAGAAGAATCATCGACTCGAGGTGCTTGGTGGAGGAGCGAGAAAATCAATCAGTTCCAACGAAGCAAAAAAAGGTTGATTTTTTTCATATTTTCTGCAAAAAATAGAGCCTTCTGATTTTTAGAAGAGAGCAAATTGAAGCGTCTAATTGAACCAACAAAACACCAATTTCCGGTGTTACACCTCGCCCACTTATCTCCAATTGCCCGGTGCTCTGGTGCTCCGTCCAAATTACCGTCCAATTGTTAACCCATTAAATAACGTGTAACACGTTCTGAGCGTGTTCAATCTAAAGCGCTCTGAATCTCTGAAAGTCTGCGTTCGTTCATTTTTTGGGGGCGTAGTAGTAAGTTGCAAGTGCGCGTGTGTTTGGCTGGTGCTTGCGTTGAAATTTGGCGGGTGGCGCAGTAGGCCCGTGGGCGCTTTGCTCAGTGGTGGTGCATAGCCGGTAGTTTTAACCTACCGCTACAGCTCAAGGGCGCGGCGCGGGCTTCGTTTTTCACCTTCTGCCAGCGAGCCAGGGAGCACCTTCTACCCGCTGCTATGCGAGCTGCAGCATAAACTGAGCACCACCGCGCCAGATAAAACAAAAAACGCCGAGAAACTCAAACGAAAAAAACGTAAAATAGGATTCAAACGGGGCGGATTCAATCGTTGCGATTGAAGAACTGTCCGGTAGATACAGTATATTACAGTCAGAGATAACAAAAGAAGAAGAGAGAGAGATAGAATCACGGAGAAAATAGAAGAACCGGGGATCAGATGGTACGAGCTACAGTGGCTCTACTAACAGTGGGCAGCGCCCAAGAAACGGGAGATTCTGACGTGCTCCCTACCAGATGGCCCCTGACTCCGTGCGCGGCCGGCAACTACAGGTAAGAAGAACATGACCGCGGTCTGCGAGGAGCACGCCCTTTACGCCCCTTAGAGAGATATTATGTCACAAGAAGGTGATGATTTCAACAGAGTATATTATCGCACGTTGGGGGCGCATTTTTGCGGAATGAGGAGATTTGTGACGGCATATTCAATACAAGAGGGAGGAATGTGGAATAGCGCAGCCGTCGGCTCGAGCGTCCGCCGCACTCGCCACGGCGCTAGAGAGCCTAACGCGGACAACAACAATGATCCCTGTAAAGTCCGATAATGACGTCAGGCTTAGTACAGGCCACCCTATTGTCTGCTGCCGGTCCAGGCCCTCGCTGAACGCGGCAATGGCCCTCGCCGACCCTCGCCAGTCCAAAAATATTTTCGCTGCAGCTTACATAAGCGGTGGAATTTCAATTTCGCAACGCAAATAACCGACTAAATCGCTTTAACATAGATCCTTCAAATTGAAAATTTCCCCGTGGACATTCCAGAAATCGCAGCAACCTTTTTTTCAATTCAAATTCAGTTCAATTAAAGATGAACTTCTTATTAGAGTTAGTGCAAATATTATTATAGGGGCGATAAGTGGATGTTTTACCGAAAGGGGGCTAAAGATAGCGCGGTGTATTTTGATTTCACAACCAATAACTGTTTCACGATTCCATCAAATAAAGGTTTTTTACATGAAATGCCGGGTTCATGGTTTATCAGGAGAAATTTGATAACCCTAACCCTCCTTATCATCTTTTTTGGGGTACCCAAGCGAAAGTTAAGTGCCTCAATTTTCGTTTTGATGTACAAAATATAGAATCAAATGAGCACTAAGGGAAGGATTAAGGGTGTACCATGCGATTTGTGAACTGATAAGGAAAATAATCAAGGTTCAAGGACTTTCGGGCGTGATGGTTATTGATGGGGATTGAAGTCAGAATCTTTGCGAGACGCTGACGATAATCTGCTTACGGTGGTCCTCTCGTTAGTTTCTGTTGAACGTTTATCTTTAGCGAAAAAGAGCTAAACCCTGTCTAAGCTGGCGATCGCATCTCCCCAAGAACAAATCTGATGCAATCGTTTGTTTACACAAAATACTTCCTCACTCCGAGAAAATCGCGAATTCTAAACAAAACGCGCTCAGATCGACCGTGAAACAACACAAGAACCCGCAAACATGTGTGGGGCTAACTGTTATTAACCATTCTAGCGGAGATCAGGGCCCGCCAGCCACGATCTTTCCACACATAATTAGCAAATGATTTGTTAAATCAAAGTGACGGATTGAATCTCTTTTATTATTTCCTTCAATCAAAAATGTTTCTTCAAGAAATTTTTCAAAAAAAAAAAAAATTTAAGGGGCCTTAACCCTAAACCTATCCCCAAGATACCAAAATAAATAGTCTTGGAATCTTATTGCAAACATTTAATTTTGAGAATGGTTCTGCTATTCGAATCATCCCCATTCACAAATTGATGGCGCATTCTTAGTCCGCCTATCTTTTCTTCGAATTGATTTTCTTGAGCTTCACCTGTTTTGACCGGCGATCAAGTTGGCTTATAGAACTTACTTAGTTGTCAGCAGAAAGGCGTCGTAATGGACGCGTAAAAGCCGACTTGATCCCATAATTTGTTGGCCGAGAAATTTCACCCTTTTTTGAATTACTTATTTTGGAATTTGCAAGAGATAGGCGCCATGGCCTTTCAGGGCATTTTTTTGCAATTTTAAACCGGCGGCGAGGGTTTCTTTTAAAATCAGGAACTCACAACTTCGCGATAAGGCTGGCTTCAAGCGTTTCTGCTTTGTTTAGCCAGCACGGAGCGCAGCGGGGGCTGAGTGATAACGCGCAATAATTAGCATTATTTGGGGCGCCCCTTGAATTAAAATCCGTGTGCGGCGCCTTTCCGGAGCGGGCCACTTTCTTGTGGCCACTGTGCTTTGCATAAGAGTGCCCAAACGAAAGGAAAGATAACTTGCGCGATGCAAATTTCGCATTTTCGCATTTTGCGACGCCGCCAAATGCAAATGCTCTCAGTAGCATTAGCTCAAGGGCCACCTGCGATAACTACTCAATTAAAGTATTTAAAAGCTCGTCAGCCACAATCTTAAATAAACAACACCCTTGGCGCATAAATCTACAGAGTGGTAAAACTACCATGAGATTTTTTTAGAGAGGGAGAAGGCCCCTGGCCTCGCTTCCCCGTTTCACTCTCGGGGAAGTCTAGAAATTTCTTTCAGCTCCTGTTGGGTACCTCAGAATAAAGAATTTAGAGTGCGGCGCACTGCGGAAAAATGCCGTCATTTGATTGGCTAGCCGCGCTAGGCTCGCGCGGCTAAACTGAGAGTCCCAGAGGGCTAAGGACCCTCAGATTCTCCGATCTCCCTTTAGAAAAAAATCTCATGGTAATTATACAGTGAAAACAGAAATATTCCACACCCAAATTTCGGCCGTTTTCACGGGATTTTGGCTTTTCCCTTTCTAAAAATACACTAAAAAGACTAGTTTCAAGCTCTTTTTGGGTATTTTTTTTACTTTTAAAAGCAAAACATATTCTGAAATGGCCTTATCTGGCCAAAACTGGCCAATTTCCGGCACTTTTTGGCCACTTCTTTAATCAGAAAAGATTGGGTCTTAGTTTTAGGCCTCTTTTACTAACGAAAAAGAGCATTTGACATTTGAAAAATAAGACTTCGAGAGCATTAATGGACATAATAACGGTGAGAAATTCGCCAGTTGAAAATTCCGCGCGACCGGGAGGCGGCAAAAGTGTTCATTTCGCGAGCGCGTGGGAATTGACAGCGGTAACCTTATCGACCGCCCGGTCAGTTTCCTTTGGTTTTCGCGATAAGCCTTTTAGCTGACACTTTTTCGCAAGGCCTAAATTTCATGATGTCACTTAGAAATGGACAGCGAGTCATTCAGAAAGCGGAATAGTTTATATCCACTTTGCTAGCTTCCTAAAATGAAAATAAGCTTACAAGGCTAAGCTTATAAAATGCAAAAGAAAATGATGCCAATTCTGAAGTTGGAAATCGAGTGCTCATCATTAGTGAAAATGTTTTGGCGATGCAGAAAGCTGCCGAGTTGCTTTGGCGAGTTTTTGTTCTTTTGTATAGTTGCCACGCTCCGTGCTTGTTTCAAATAAACACAGATGCACCAAATTACAGGACTTTGGCGGCCACATATTGTTTTACCTTGTTACCTTCTGTGTTTTTCGGGTAAACCGGCGGGTGGTCTTAAAAGTGGCGTACAAGTATTTGAACATATAAAATCATTGTTAACGAATCAATATTAGATCAAGCATCAGTTTTCCCTGTTTTCTTACAGTAAGCTCTACTGTAATTAGACCTGGTCTTTCAGAATTCAACCCTAACCCTAACCCCAACTTTGACAATTATTTATTAAAATATTTTTTAACTCACTTTTATAGTAAAATTTAAGCCAAACAAAGCGACTCCTACTGTAATTTTAATAAAAACTGAAGCCCTTTGTTAAGGGTATCCGATAATCTGCCAGGTTGGGGCGCGTAAATCGGCCACAGTGATCTGCCCACTTTGACCACGAGGCCCGACCGCGGCACCAAATTTCAAATTGCGCAAAGGCCGATTCAGGTTTTTGTGTGTATTCGGATCCTGCGCCTGGTGGTGGCGCCAATTTTTAAGCGTTAAGATAGCAGTTGGCGGCGCGCCAATGCGGGGAACGCAGATAGCAGGTTGCTGCAGAGCTGATTGTTTGAATTGCATACGACACCTTCTAAAGCTCCCTTAGAAAAGAAAAACAAAATCGTACAAGCGCCGATGTTATTGTTATTACCGCTGGAAACAGTGGGGGAATAGATAAGAATCTGCGTAAATCATAATCTATCATAATTATGTCAACGTGTCCAGCAAAAAAACTACTACAAGAAACAAGCCAAAATATCGATGAAAAAGATTAAAAATGGAAAATTTTGTTGCTCCTACGCATATTTTGAAGTTCGTGCGCCAGTGGGTTACATTTCTGAAGCGATCTTATAAATAAGGGTTTATTAAGGGTGCCCTTGAGTTATCAAACAAGTATTTTATAAATGAAATCTTTTAAGCTGTTTTTTTACTCGACAACTTATCTCGTGGGATACCCTTAAAACGTTCATGGATTAACCTTTCGTAATCTAACTTTCGCCCCTTCAGATGTTCTGATGGCGTCAGCTGCGTGGACTTATCATCGTTCTGCGACGGAATCACGGACTGTGCCGATGCCTCCGACGAGACCGTCTGCTCGAGGCTGCGCGACGCATTCGAAGAAGCCAAGCCAAGATTAAGGAGGCAAGGAGCGTCAGGCATGGTTAGCCACTTTTACTTTGATTGAGGAATTCTTTCGAGAAAAAGCTCTGGCTAACCAGTTTGAAACAGCTAATCCAAATTATGCGGCCTCGAAAAGCGACTCCAGCGACTCAAGATATAGGAGACAAGCATTTCCAGGCACGGTCAAAAACAGCAGAGCATAATCCATATTCTGACGAATGTAAAGGCGCCATGTTAAACCGCGGCGCGCTGTCACGTCACGTGACAACAAAATTCGAGATTTTGACGGATGACGGATCAAGTTGCGCCACGGTAAAAGCAGGCGAAAGCGAAAGGGGATCACCCGGAGTCTAAATTGCTTCCGGTGGCGGAGGCGACCGGCGGTGGAGCACAGCAGTAGCCGCGCTCAGCTGCGCCACCACCTGGCGGATTAGAACATCGCACATTCTTCAGCGTAAATTTTTAGAATTTCAAAGTGACCGGCCTTTTAAATATAAATCGCTCTTTTGAGCCATTAAAATTCTTCAAGAATCAACCACAAAGCGCATTTATTTCAAAAAGTTAAAGCACTAAAGCTTCCGTTTCTGACCAAAATCAGCCTTTACCACAGCGAGTCCGTTTTTCTTCGGTGATGTCACGACTGGCGGTTTCGACGATTTCTTCGGCTTCGATATCACGACACAAAGTCTGTTAGACGGCGATTTCTTTAATTTAGCGACGACGGGCTTTCCAGCTTTTGGTCCCGCCCTTGCGACGACGGCAGATCCCTTCGGTGGAGATCTGTTTTTCAACCCCGTAAGAGACCAGCTTTTAGGCATCTTCCATAAGGATCTTTTCAGACAACGCAGTCGCCAATGAATTTGCCGTCATTTACGACGGAATCGCTATTAAACTTCTTCGGCGACACGGTTACGGAAGACCCTCTTTTCGGCGACTTACTAACCACCGCTGGATTATTCCCTGGTATGCTTCAAACGACGGAAGCATCCTTTATCTTTCCACCGGTAACCATTCCACTCACCGATTGCATAATCCCCTAACTCAATATTTCCAAGGTCCAGACAACAGTTCCAAGCGAATTTCCAGACCTGTTGCCCGCCACGACCGAGGAGACTTTCTTCGAAATTCCGACAACACCTGCAACAGTTTTTCTTCCACCACAAACTACGCAAGATATCTTCGATCTCAACATTGCTGTAAGAAAACTCAAAAACAGGCTCTCTCTTTACAATTATCTTTTCAGACTACTCCCGCGCCAGCTTTCCCCGAGCAAACTACAGAAGGATTCGGTAAGCAAAACAGCCCTATTTCAATTAGAAACCGGCTCAGCTGCGCGCTAATGCATATAATTAAATAGGTTGTGATAATATACGCCTCCTTGAAGTTATATTTTCTCACGTGCACCGTGATTGCATAACAACCGTCAACGGCAGCGTCGTTCTCAAGCATTTTTATACACCAATCAACTCCAATCTCAAGAATTTGAAACTTACCATCTTCCCTTTTTAGTCTTTCCAGAGGTTCAAACCACCGACGATCCATTTGTTTTCCCCGAGCAAACAACCGCCGGCTTCCAGATCCCAACCACAGAGGGATTCGATTTGAGCCTACTGGGAACCACTCCCGCTGGTCTACCAGACTTGCTCTTTCCAGCTACAACTGCTGATCCATTCGGAGGAATCTTCCCCGCGACTACTGAAGGATTGGTCTTCCCGGACTTCCAAACGACGCCGTTCCCATCTTTCACTACAGAAGGTCTTCCACTCTTCCCAGATGTCACGACAGAGTCTCTCGTCTTTCCTTCGTTCACTACAGCAGCTCCGACAGTCGATAGCGGTGACTTTTTCACTTGTGCAAATGGTGACCGAGTTCCAGTTGATGTGGTACGTATTGAAACTGCCCTCCAAGATTTCTATTCATTTATAGGTTTGCGACAAAATTGCAGATTGCTTGGACGGCAGCGACGAATTAAACTGTCCAGATGACACGACTGAGATTCCAACAACAATTGTTCCCACAACAACTGAGCCAATGATCGAACCAACGACGGAATCGTCGACCACTGTGACGACATCAACAGCGACGACTGCGACGACAACGTCGACTGGATCAACGATACCGGCGCGAGCACCATCTGGCCCACCACCAGACGCAGACGAGGAGCAGTACGAGCGATGGTTCGACACTTTTATGAACTGGCGGGCCGCCATTTTCAACGACTGGCTCAATGTTATGAAAGTCTATCAGGCACGCGTTAAATCTATAATAACAGAGCAAGTTCATATACACTGTGTCATCATCATCATTATTTCTGTCGCCGGGCGGCGGAAAATAGAGACCGATGCCCTTTTCAGCGTTAAATTAGCACTTTGGCGAATAGTGGTTAAGTGACCCGGCTTGAGGACAACCGCGCGGTTTGTAATCTACTATTTTCAACAATTACTCTGATCAAATTAGCAGCTCCATCCGTTGGTCAATTAAATATCTGGCTTTTGATTCGTTTATTTTTTCGCCGGGTTAGAATAAGAACCGCGCGGCAAAACCGTTGCGGAACGAGGGATAAATTCCGGAAGTGCTTGTGGAATTCCTCCACCCGACTCGCCTTTTGCCTTTTTTTGTCGGTCGACCACGCCAATGTCAATTGGCGTGAGCGCAGATCCCCCTTTAATTTCCTGTGACAGCCTAGACTCGCTGTCGCCTTAGATACTAGATATTGACTTTTGGAAATTTCTTTTGACTTTTAACACGACTTTTACGACGATAATTGCCGGAGCCCCCTGATTCAACCGTTTATTCTTAAAGCATCGACCGTTTAATTTCGCGAATTTTGATTATAAATATTTTCATCGCCCATAAAATTAATCAATTTTCATTTTTTTAAGTTAAGCTAAAAGTATATTTTTGCATATTTTTTTCAATAAGAAATTGGATATTTTTTGGCTTTTAGAGCGATTAAATCGCCCGCTGGGTTTGATTATCACCGACTTGTGTCTAAATATTCTGTCTCCTGAACCGGCGATTTCTGTAAATATTTATTTAACGCAAAATCAGCAACGATCGGGCATCAAGACCGACGACAACTCATCGTGCTCATCAGCCTCGCTCAGCTTCTGCTCGAATGGGAGGAAAACATGCAAGGACGATCTGGACGGCTGTCAGTATTGTTTTTGTTACGGGCTTCGATACAGCTAAGAACCCTAAGAAGTGCACTCAGACACTTCAGCGGTCAAGGAGGCCTGAGCGGGAAAATAGCAGCCACGCCACAATCTAACTTGGGAATAAGGTCATCGCTTGTTTTAACTTGGGGTTAGGCTTGTTATCTATCCTAAGCAAAATACCTCCATTTGGAGATTTAGCAGATTTGGTCTCCAAACTCCAAGATTCGTTTTGGAACAATTTTCACGTTGACGGCAGGTTCACGTCTTTATAAAGAATGATTCTTTTTTTCAATGTTCTAGAGAAAAATGACATAAAAACTGTTTTTTCCATTTTTTTAAATTCTTGACTTAAAATATCTCTGGACTTTTTATAAAGCTGGCGCGAAGCGCACTCTCCCTCCTTAATCTTTTTCTCTAACGAGAAATTGCTTCTTAAATTTTGAATTTCTTTTACAGCATCTTTTTCAGAAGCCCCAAAAAGAATGATTCTTTGCGAAAAAGAATCATTCTTTGAAAAAAGAATCATTCTTTATAAAGACGTGAACCTGCCGTCTACCCAATTTTCAGGTTTTTTTCAAGATTTAGCATATTGACACCCTTAATTTTTTATTCATCTTTAAAGAAAAAAAGTTCTTTTTGAATTCAAAAATTTGAAGATTTTTTCTTAAGATTTCAAGATAAAACATTACACAATCAAACTTCCTTTTTCGGAGTGCCACTAGAACTGACTTTGCGGTATTTTTTCGTCGGGTAAACGAATCACGTGCGCGCCGCTTTGACTCCAGTGAGCGACAAGTACGTTCCGTAATCGATCAAATGAACGAAGGAGGTTCCATTTTTCATCGTTGGCGTTTTGGTTCGTTGCTTTGGGTGCCGGGTGGTGCTGTCTCCAGCACGCGCACGTGCTTTTCGCCCGCCGTGCTTCATCGCCACCGCGCCCGCCATTATCTTTAATGGTGTTGCCCCAGGCAACTCCACCAAGCACCAAATCAAGATTGACACCAATTTACTTGTATTTCTTGTATAACATGCGAGCGGAACGCGATTATCGCTACTCCGTCAGACCCATTTTGACAGAACCCATTATTCACTTATCGTAGCTTCATAAATCATAATTACGAAATAGAAATAGACGGTAAAGCTCTTCTTCAATGGCATCCTTTGACCTATTTTTGCTCCCCTATTCCTTTTCTGTCGATAAAACAGTATCCGAAGCCCTAAATCAGTGAGTTATCAAAAGCCGATCTATCAAATCGCGACTTGGTGGAAGACCAGTTCTCGCGCGACCTGGACTTCTGGGAGACGCGGCTGCAGCAGCAGTGGTACAACCTCTGGAATCGCTACACAATGGAGGAAAGCGACGAGCTTTGAGAGCGCCGCCGAAAGTTTTAATATATTTAGAATCTTACCCTTCAATTTTCGCATTTATTCGACTTTCAACTCTCGCTTTTAACTTATTCCGAATCGCTTCAGTAACGCCCTTATTGTCACCATTACAATACAAGACTCGCACTAACGGATCCTTCCTTTGTGCAACGCGCGCTCAAAATCTTTCATCAGCTTTAATTTTAAAATCCTCAAGACTGCCCTAAAATCTATTCAAGCGTTTCGAGCATGAATGTCTTCTAGACAGCTTGTCTACTAGAAAATCTGTCTTTTAGACAGTCCACTACTGTGGCTCCTTGAAAAGGACTCGTCTTCGGGTTCTGATGGAGGATTGCGCACTGTAACTGCTTGGAAGGCTTGGAAGAAAGAAGGGGGTCTGAAAACGTTTGATTTTGATTTGTGCCAAATTTGGAAACAGCATTTCGATTCATTTTCGCAGCTGTGTGTGCCTAAACCGCCCAGCCGACCGGCCACCCAACCGGTTGGTCTATTTATTTAGAAAAAGAGAGTCCAAGCCCGCTCACACACACCTACGCATACTCTGATTGTACAGCTGACATTACCTCTTTTGCAGCCAGTAACTGCCTTTGATCACTAACACGCTAATAATTGATTAATTAATAAAAAGTTAAACGAATTCTGAGCCCGCGAGTGGCCCAACAGTCCAACTTCGATCAGTAACTTCCTGATGCAGTACTGTGTCTAGTTCCTTCCTTCTACTTAAACAAATTCTAGACCAAGGAGAGCGCCGCTTTGAGCCCTGGTCCTGGAGGGTTAAGCTTAACCCATCTATGCAAACGAGCGCAGAGGAGGCGGCGCGTTTTTCTTTCGCTCAATACAATCTAGCATCACCTCAAGTTCAACTCTTCTGTATTTCCGTTTCAATTCTTGAGACGAGTTATTTTATTTTTCACTTTCAAATTTCACGATTTCTCCATTTTGAATTTTCTATTTGCGTCTTTCGCCTGTACAGCAATAGCAACTCGCCGTTTTAGGACAAATAACTTTATTTTATTTTTAAAAATGATCTGTAAATAGTGACCCGAAACGGACTTGAAACTACTATTTTGTAACACGCAATCACCAACAACATAATAAACTGCTAAAACAAGGAACAAATAAACATCTTATAAATAACAACTTTCAAACGAGCCTTCTTCCGAAAATTTTTGATTGATCGATTTGAGATCTTTTTCTTTTTTGAAATTGAGGAGAAAATCTCTTCCTTGATTTCAATTTGAAAAAAGCGGAAATTGCAATGGTTTTTTGGCGTATAAATTATAATTTTATAAAATTTATGAACAGTAAAATTCATCGACAGGGAAAATGATCGGCCGGTAAAATATACTTTTTGTTTTGCCTTAGCGTGTCAATTTCTTTTCAGGAAGAGTTGAAATCGTGGATCAATCAATTTATCGAAAAGTTATTTGTTTCTGAGACGAGACCATAATTTCTTTATCTGGAGAAACAGTAATAAATTGATAGACAAAGCGATTTATTGTTTCCGACTTTTGTCAGTTTTTCAGGAAATAGATAACAAGGAACGTTGGTGTTGTCGATGTATAATCAAATACAGTAGTTGGTAGTCGCTGGTTGGTACCTCGCCCCGTGTTTCAACACGAAGCCGGTGTCATTCCACTGCACTTAAGGACTTTTCAGCTTCCGAACGAATAGTCCAAATTAGATAAAAATTAAAATGGTTGTTCCTTCATGGAGAAGTTTCAAGGAATTATCTTACTAAAACCTGAAGCCCTTTCCATCTCTAGAACAACTAAAATCGACTTCGGGCATGTGAATCCATCTCTAGATACAGCTACAACTAAAAATCTGAAGCCCTTCGGGCATGTGAATCCATCTCTAGATACAGCTACAACTAAAATCTGAAGCCCTTCGGGCATGTGAATCCATCTCTAGATACAGCTACAACTAAAAATCTGAAGCCCTTCGGGCATGTGAATCCATCTCTAGATACAGCTACAACTAAAATCTGAAGCCCTTCGGGCATGTGAATCCATCTCTAGATACAGCTACAACTAAAATCTGAAGCCCTTCGGGCATGTGAATCCATCTCTAGATACAGCTACAACTAAAAATCTGAAGCCCTTCGGGCATGTGAATCCATCTCTAGATACAGCTACAACTAAAAATCTGAAGCCCTTCGGGCATGTGAATCCATCTCTAGATACAGCTACAACTAAAAATCTGAAGCCCTTCGGGCATGTGAATCCATCTCTAGATACAGCTACAACTAAAAATCTGAAGCCCTTCGGGCATGTGAATCCATCTCTAGATACAGCTACAACTAAAATCTGAAGCCCTTCGGGCATGTGAATCCATCTCTAGATACAGCTACAACTAAAATCTGAAGCCCTTCGGGCATGTGAATCCATCTCTAGATACAGCTACAACTAAAATCTGAAGCCCTTCGGGCATGTGAATCCATCTCTAGATACAGCTACAACTAAAAATCTGAAGCCCTTCGGGCATGTGAATCCATCTCTAGATACAGCTACAACTAAAAATCTGAAGCCCTTCGGGCATGTGAATCCATCTCTAGATACAGCTACAACTAAAAATCTGAAGCCCTTCGGGCATGTGAATCCATCTCTAGATACAGCTACAACTAAAAATCTGAAGCCCTTCGGGCATGTGAATCCATCTCTAGATACAGCTACAACTAAAAATCTGAAGCCCTTCGGGCATGTGAATCCATCTCTAGATACAGCTACAACTAAAAATCTGAAGCCCTTCGGGCATGTGAATCCATCTCTAGATACAGCTACAACTAAAAATCTGAAGCCCTTCGGGCATGTCTCTAGATACAGCTACAACTAAAAATCTGAAGCTTCGGGCATGATACAGCTACAACTAAAAATCTGAAGCCCTTCGGGCATGTGAATCCATCTCTAGATACAGCTACAACTAAAATCTGAAGCCCTTCGGGCATGTGAATCCATCTCTAGATACAGCTACAACTAAAATCGAAGCCCTTCGGGCATGTGAATCCATCTCTAGATACAGCTACAACTAAAATCTGAAGCCCTTCGGGCATGTGAATCCATCTCTAGATACAGCTACAACTAAAAATCTGAAGCCCTTCGGGCATGTGAATCCATCTCTAGATACAGCTACAACTAAAAAAGCCCTCTGAAGCCCTTCGGGCATGTGAATCCATCTCTAGATACAGCTACAACTAAAAATCTGAAGCCCTTCGGGCATGTGAATCCATCTCTAGATACAGCTACAACTAAAAATCTGAAGCCCTTCGGGCATGTGAATCCATCTCTAGATACAGCTACAACTAAAAATCTGAAGCCCTTCGGGCATGTGAATCCATCTCTAGATACAGCTACAACTAAAAATCTGAAGCCCTTCGGGCATGTGAATCCATCTCTAGATACAGCTACAACTAAAATCTGAAGCCCTTCGGGCATGTGAATCCATCTCTAGATACAGCTACAACTAAAAATCTGAAGCCCTTCGGGCATGTGAATCCATCTCTAGATACAGCTACAACTAAAAATCTGAAGCCCTTCGGGCATGTGAATCCATCTCTAGATACAGCTACAACTAAAAATCTGAAGCCCTTCGGGCATGTGAATCCATCTCTAGATACAGCTACAACTAAAAATCTGAAGCCCTTCGATTAGGCGCTAATTTCTGATTTCAAACTGACAGAGTCTCCCGCCTTATTTGAGGTTTCAGACTCTGCCTGTCCCCATCCCCGCCCACACCCGTTTTTAGAAAAACTCCAGAAGATTTTGCAAATCCCAATCTTACGGTTTCTCAAATCCAGAAACTCAAAAATCTGGAAATGAAAGAAGAAGGGAGAAATCTGGAAATGAAATTGAAAGGAAGAAATCTGGAAATGAAGAAAGAAAATAGAAAATGAAGATTTGAGAAGATCCTTAAAAATATTTTATTATTATTTTATATTTCGCATTTATTTTATTTTTCTGAATACGGATAGTTTTATGAGTTTTGAAGACACTAGGAATAAAAGCGCTCTTTTACTTTGTTCATTTAAGACAACATAGTTATGTTTAGTTGGTAATCAACGCAGCACTTGGGTTCGACACTTTTATGGTCATGCGGCAAAGCGCCGCTCCTTTCAGAGGACAATTCAGAGACTTTTCAGCTTCAAGATCGAAGAAAAGCTTTGTTACAAGTGAACTTGGGTGAACTCGGGCGAAGTGGACGCTTTGTTTGACCCATTATTAGTTATTGAAGTTTCTGATTATACAAGCACTCTATTAAACAGTAGATAAGGCGATGCGGACTATTGTAGTCGCTCGAGGAATTGTTCTTAGCCCATTGATGATGCCCGGGTGTTCAGGTGGCTGATCCACTACTTGAACTGGGAATCAATTAATCCTCGCCTCCGAAACTACTCTGGGCAGCCTCACTTACAATCTCGCATGCGGATTTTCTGTCAATTATGGCAGGACCTGTTTTGATTTTTTCTTCCCCAAGAGATGTTATGACTGTAGAAAACACAAATATCGACTTGAGCTGCGCAGGAAAGAGCTTAAAAATCGACCTCAAAGAGTAAGGGTCGTGAGAGATTTGCCATAAGAATAAATATTTGATCCAAAGTGCACTTTGTGTCAAAATTCAAGCATTTTTTCTTCCATGGAATTAGTCCTTAAGAGCTCTTTTAAAAGCAATGACGACGTTCAATTTCCCGCCGCCAGAAATAACTTGGTGATGGGTTCATTTGTTTAATTTCTTCGTTTAAATTCGAAGTTTAAATTGGCCTGCCGATAAAAATTCATCATACTATTCAGTGGGGCGGATAACCAAGTCATTATATACGGCTGAGTTATCCTCCTCGCCCGTCAAAAAACGAACCCAGGTAAAGTTTAAATCATCAGAGAGTTTGGGCAACGCGCTGGCCATGAAGATTTCCACCAGAGCAACTAGGTACTTGGGCTTTCATCTCCCAAGTTTACAAAGAGAGGTAAGCAAAAGAAAAGCCCACCAAAAGACGGACCAGTTCGCGGCTGCACTTGAGCAACGTCACGACTTCTGACAGCGGTGTTTATCGATGCAGGAATTGGCTTTTAGTACCCCCTTCTGACACTAAATTTGTGGGAGCGTGTTCCCAAGAATAGCATCGCGCTAAGCCCAGTAGAATTAATTTTTCAAGAGCCAAATCAGAGCGCGGGTGAAAGGTTACTCTGACGTTGCCGAGGCAGAAGTAATTGTTCGCAAAAGTGCGAAATTCGACGAGCAAAAGAAGAAGGAGAACAACAACAGCAATCCTCCAGAGACCACAAGTGCAGAGAGAGGCCACTCCTCGTTATTATTAGCAGAGAGTACAACCCCGAGTACGACAAGAAGAATCCAAGAGACGACATCAAGGAAGATTAAAACAATAAAAACGGCGGCCCATTCGGCGAAAATAAATTCACAGGACAGGAGCTTTAAATAACATAATCTCGTGACGTCAATTCACTTTTGTTAATTAGCCCCAAATGTAGCCATTCCGGCGGCCGAGGCCTCGTAAACCAGCGAGAAAAACCTTTCACGGTGTCCAGTTTGGATCTGTCACGCGTCCTTGGTGGAGATGTCTTCTCGGAAACAGCAGTTCAATTGCAAGAGCAGGGATACTAATCTGGCTGTCGGTAGCGATCCAGACGATTGTGTAAAATTTGAGATTCTCATTTCGAATTTCAACTCGTGAGTACTTCAAAAATTTGAGTTTCCGGGCATTTTCAAGCACCGCGCTCAAGCCAGAATCCACTTCCCAACTTGTCTGAATCTTGTAGCTCATTCGATATTAATGAATACGGGAGACACTTCAATGAATAATAAATTCCTCTAGTCCACGGCCGATCGAACGCCTGACCGACCCTTCCATCCCATTTCCAGCGATTGCACAAGCCATCTTTTAATTGATGGATTGGTCTACTTGCAGGTGAGTGTCTATAAGTTATTTTAGTTGAAAGAATCAGTTCTTTCATATTTTAAACGCTGAATTATTGAGCAGACTTCAGCGTGGACATGTTTGTTGCTCGATAGAATGTGTAATAGAGAGAAAGAAAGAGAGGGATCAATAATACTAACGCTAATCTTTAGCGGGATTAGAGCCAAAGCAGGTGCAACACCGGATGATCACGGATGAAGATTGGTACTCCACCGGAATAGATAGCCGATTTTGCCGATGATTTCAACAAGGATTAAGAAGGAGAAGAAGATCGAGCTTTTGATGAATGTTTTCGACTTTCCTGGTAAGTTCATCTCTCGCCAAATTAGCCCAACCGGTTTATTTTTAGCTCGCCACTTATATTATTAGATTTCTTCACTTTTTAACTTTAGCAATTTCCATTTATTGTTTCTGGAAAAGCGGCGCGCCCATTCGCTAAAAGGAAAATTGCTCGGAAAACAAAGAATTTCAGCTTCGCTCTATTTTAACTTTCATTTCCTCAAAAAGAAGATTTTATCAAATTTATTATATTTTTCTTTCAGAGAATCCAACAGGGAAAAAAGAAATTCTTCAAAAGACGAAAAAAGTCACCATTTTCATCAGTCATTTCTTCTGTCGAACTCTTCAGATTTTCTGTGCCTTCCAAATTCTGACAAATTATTCTCGAATTCTCGTCTTAAATCTCGCCCATTCAGAAATGCACGAAGATGGAAAGAGATAATGCTCCTGCTCAAGCCATTGTCACCGTCAATGGAACAAGAAAGGTAAGAGCTTTTTCTCAAAAAGTCAAAATCCTCTTCAAGAGCGAACTCTAGGATATGCTCGAAGCAGCAGAAAGCGACATGTCGAAGCTCCACGGACGCCACAATCCCAATCGAGCCTCTTCTTCGCCAGATTTCGAAGTTCTAAGCGGCCCCAACCTCGAAAAAACGAGCTCGAGCTCGCAGAGACCGCCTCAGAGACACTCTTCACCGACGACTTCTGCCTGTAGCAACTTATCGCAATCGGACTGTTCCGAGCGCTTTGCCAACATGACTCTCGATCGCACTCAACTGACAGCCGAGAGTACGCAAGAGCAGATGCTCGGACAAACAAACATCTCAACTTCTCCTTCTCAAGATTCGAGAGTTCCCGATCCGAACAGTAGATGAATTACCATAAGAATTTTTTGGCCGAAAAAAAATTTTTTGAGATAATGGCATATTCTGAAAGCCCATGTCAAAATACGTCGATCCCCAAATTTCTAGGGCTCAATGACGTCATTATGACGTCATTTATGATTAATAATTGTCCGAAAAGGCTCCAAATTCATGAGACTTTGGAACGCTTTTTGAGGCGGTTATCGTTGGAAATATATTTTTCTGCTTATAGCATGTTGTTAGGCAGGAAAAATTACGTGGGGACCCGAGGTTAATTTATCGAACCGACCGGTTTCGAAAATTACCGGACACTAGAACCGGTTGGTAATGATGGTTTGAGCCCGGGTCCCCACGTATTTTTTCACGAGGAATCCGAATCCGCTGAGAAAATAAGGATTCAAAGATGTTTTTGGCTCTAAAAAGCGTTCCAAAGATAAAATTTTGAAATGAGCCGGATGACGTCATAATGACGTCACATGGCCCTAGAATTTGGTGATTCTGTCTAATTTTTTATGGGCTTTCAGAATATGCCATTATCTCAAAAAATTTTTTTTCGTCCAAAAAATTCTTATGGTAATTCATCAGTAATGGATTTTCTCTCAGCCAAGTTGAGGTAAAAACTTTTTATAAAACATAACCCTAACCTTCCTTAGTCTTGAAAATTTCAATAGTTTATGTTGTTCAGATTTTAACGACGGTCGGAGCTGGCACTTTCGGCCGAGTAGAACTGGTCAAGCGCCGTGGAAGCTCGAATTCGTACTACGCGCTCAAGAAAATGCGCATTCTTCAAGTGATAAACCTCCGACAAGTCAGCCACGTTATTTCAGAGCGTCAAATCCTCAGTTCAATTAGGTAAAGTTACTTTACTTGTAACACTTCTTCCCCACCAATTCTTTATCAGCTTTCTAGCTCTCCATTTATTGTGAATTTGCTTTGGACAACGAGAGATAATATTCACCTTTATTTGCTTATGGAATATATTCCAGGTAAAATCGAAACATCACACTAGTTTCTTACCCCGTTTTCAGGAGGAGAGCTCTTCACTCATTTACGAAACGAGGGTCGTTTTGACGAAAACAGAGCTCGCTTCTACGCCGCCGAAATCGTATGCGCCTTCACTTACCTCCACGCCGAGAACATCGTCTACCGCGATTTGAAGCCCGAGAATGTCCTGATCAGTAAGAAGGCTAGAAAAACAACAAATCTACTGTCTTTCTTTTAGATGTAGATGGGCACATCAAACTGACAGATTTTGGATTTGCGAAGCGAATTCGAGATCGAACTTGGACGCTCTGTGGAACGCCTGAATATCTTTCGCCAGAAGTGATTCTCAATTCTGGCCACGGAAAAGCGGTCGACTGGTGGAGTCTTGGAATCTTAATTCATGAAATGCTAGGTTCGTTCGGACTTTTTCGATTTCTTTTATTCACAAATTTTTAGTGGGCGAAGTTCCCTTTGGCGGGAATCATGTGTTCGAAGTCTACGAAAACATCGTCCGCGGCGAGGTCAACTTCCCGTTTTATTTGTCCGTCAACGCCACTCAAATCATAAGAGGCCTTTTAAAGCGAGATCGAACATACCGACTCGGGAATATGCGCGAAGGTGCAGCTGATGTCAAGAATCATCAATGGGTAAGTCCATCATTTTCCGGGCCATCTTCCAACATTTGTTCTTTTAGTTTTCATCGATAAACTGGGACGATGTTTTGGAAAAGCGGCTGATTCCACCGATTATACCTTACGTAATGCACCCTGGCGATCCTGCGAATTTTGAAGAGTACGATCCCGAAGAGGAAATTCAGCCTCATGAGATTCTCAATGAAGCCGATGTCCAGGTACACCCTTAATTTTATTTCCTTTCTTAACAATTCGAAGGCGCAATTTGGAGACTTCAAATTTTGCTCGGATCGACTTTTCTCCACTTCTCCCTGAAGTCAAATGTAAAAAAAGCAGCGAGTCCAACACGATCAAAAAACTTTCTGCACATTCACAAATGCGAAAACTCCTGGAATTGAAAATTCAATTGAAATGCTGTAGATTTGAAGAAACCCAGTCCAAATCAAAGTCCAAAACATCAACATCAAAAAGCAAGTTCAAAAAAGCTAAAAAGCATTTCTTATCAAAGTCACCAAATTGCGATCAACAATGAAACCCGCGCCTTTTCTGATGCATCTATACTTTTCTCAATTTTCTTTCATCAACGCAGACAAAAACCTCTGATTGACAAGCCCGTCAAAATTCAAGTATTCACCTCTAAAACGGACTTTATCGCCGATTTCATTCCTCCAAGTTCCCGAAAAGCACAACCACCCCCTCAAACAAGAAAACCTGAAATTTGTTCACTTTTTTTGCCCCTGATTTTCTCCACCTGGTTCTTGGGAAGCCACCGATTTCTTTCTTATCTAGCCCCTTAAACTCGAAACTACCGTCTCGATTTTGGCAATGTCTTCAAATGTTCTCGTTTGCGCGCCTTAGCGTTCTTTCTTTTCTTATCAATCCCCCGAAAATCTCTTATCAACCCCATTAAAATCCCTTTTTCGAATTTGAAAACGATTGAGCCGCAGCTTCTTGAATATCTACTTCAATGCCTTACTACTTTACTTCACATTACAGTTGCTTACAAGTTTTTTAAAAAATCTCAATTTCAATAATGAATTTTTGAAATTGGATTTGTCTGTATCTTATTTTTTTCTATCTCTATGTTTCTGCATGTGATCAAAAGCTTCACAGTTGAGTGTTTTGACAAAAATACTGAAATAAATAAAAAAAATACTGAAGCTCTCATAAAGCAAGTCTCTTAATAGCAAGCGCTAGAATGGATGTTGATGATAATATAGAAATAGTTCATGCGCCAGGTTATGAAGAGGAACAAGCGCAAAACGAAGCGCAAGCCACTGGAAACGGTGATGTAGAAATGCCCTCACAAGAACAAGAAGCGTCGACGCTAGAATCCGGAGAGCTGAAATCTTCACAAGACTCAAGAAATGCCGAATCAGATTATGACTCTGACGATTCAGACGATATAAATGTCCAAATAGGTATATTTTCTCATTAAATTGATCAACTACAGGGCCATTTAGGCGATGAAAACCCACTGCAAATATCAGATAAGAAAAAAGACTCGGAAGAAAATGGTGCGAAAGCGGTAGAAAATGGCGATGCGGAAAATAAGGAAAAAGATGCCGTAAAAGGGATCGATCTGAATACAAAAGGAGACATTGATGGGAAAGCCGTTATTGATGTCATCGTCGAATCCCTTCCCGAAAAACCATGGAGGCTGAAGGGTGCGAACTTGAGCGAGTACTTCAACTACGGCTTCGTCGAAGAAACATGGAAAATTTACCAAGAAGAAGTGAAGACTGGAAAGAAAAGCCTTCCACCGCCAATCATTCCAAGATCCATAGGATCAGGTCCACCTCCTGTTATTCCCAAAACTTCACCAGGAAGAGCACCGCCGATTATGCCGTCGATGCCATCCGGGCAAATGCCGCCACGAATGCCGCCTGGTATGATGCCTCCTCGCCTGCCTCCAGGGATGATGCCGCCGGGAATGCCTGGCATGCCTCCTGGAATGCCACCGATGATGCCGGGAATGCCAGGAATGCCGCCTGGAATGCCTCCTTTCGGAGCACCACCATCATCAGCCCCTCCTTCCGTGAAAACGGAGCGTTGAACTGCCCATTTTTAAATGTCTTTCATGTCACAAAATACCAAAAAACAAAATTGATTTTCTCTTCTTTCTAGTATGAGATGGTTGGATCTAACGCGCGTCAAATCGAATCTCTTCATACTTGACATCGAAGTCGACGTTGCCCTCTGTGTTTCATCCGTTTTGTTTTCCAAAAAAGTTGGCATCTTTATCGAAGTTGATGAAAACACGCCGGACCGAAAGCTCCGCCCGCTAGAATGGCAGAAATCTCCACCGGTTTGGAAGTCAGCGTACGATCATTTCGCCGTTTTTCGACCCAGCCGTCATGGGAGTTACAAATTTTCCGTCATAGACGAGCATGGAGAAAGCCAACTGACCGGTTATTTGAAAATCGCGCCCCCTAAAACCTTCGAAGCTTCTTCTGTCGTTACTTTGATGCCCAAGTTGATGGGGCAGTTTTCCGAGTGGGGCGGCGTGTTCGATCGTGTAGAAGAGCTAGGCTACGATGCTGTTCATTTTACGCCCTTGCAAAAGATCGGGTCGAGCAAAAGTCCCTATTCAATCGCAGATCAGTTGCAATTAGAGCCATCGTTCAACGTCGAGCAAAAAGAACTCGAAGAATTTCTCAAAACCTCATCTTTCAAATTTGTCCACGATGCTGTCTGGAATCACACCGCGACGAATTCTGAGTGGGTCAAAAGCAATCCGGAAATCGGCTACAATCTCTTCAATTCACTTCATCTCATCCCTGCTTATTTCATCGATCATGAACTTCGAGCTATTTCTAATGAGCTTTCGGAATCCGAGGCTGAAATTCATTCAGAAACTGATTTACAGAAACTAGGAGAGCTGATCCTCTCCCGTCTTCGTGGCCTTCTACTTTATCAATTTTATCAGTGCGATGTCGAATCTGAAGTTCTCCGGTTCAAACAAGCTATTTCTGCCTTTTTAAATTCGCCTATTCCAGTTCCCGAAAAGCCGAAAAACCTATCCCTTGAATCGAAATGGGCGCGTGGCGAGAAATTTGCAAGAAAAGTGGATTTTGGAGATGAAGTTAGTCGAGTTGGAAATCTTATAAAAGCGAGGGAATTGCGACCGGAAGAAGCCTTGGCTCACTTCAAAATCACAATTGACTGGTTGAATGAAATCGAGGAAGATAAAATGCTCGAGCATTTAAATAGCGCTGTGAATGGCACTCTCGGAACGGTGCGTTACGAAAGACTCGATCAAAACGGTCCGAAGAAGGGTCCAATAACCGTTGAAAATCCACTCTGCCCTCGTTATTTTTATTGTCTCGATTCAACTATCAGCCCAGAAGTGATCATGGAAGACGTTGAAAAGCGAAAAAATGTTCTAGCGCACAACGGATGGGTAATGAATTGGAATCCATTGAAAAACTTCGCTGGCGATCCGGAATGTGACGTTTATCTGCGACGCGAGCTGTGCGCTTGGGATGATTCGATCAAACTCAATTACGGCGATGGGCCTGAACACTGCCCCGTCCTCTGGAAACGGATGGAAGAGTACACTCGCTGGCTGGCACGTCACGGATCGGCGATTAGAATCGATAATTGTCACTCAACGCCGCTCAACGTCGCGGAGTTCTTCCTGCACTGCGCCAGAGATGAAAATAAGGATGTTGTCGTCATCGCTGAGCTCTTTACTGCGTCCAAGGAGCAGGATGATCAGTTTGTCTCTCAACTTGGACTTGATTATTTGATCAGAGAAGCACTGCAATGTAAGCAAAATTTTCAATCCTCAATCAATGATCTCAATCAATTTCCAAAGCCTTACCCTTATCTCAACCCTAACCTAATTTCAAATCTAGCGCACAACAATGGCGACTACTGTCAAACAATCCGTGCCTTCTGCGGCATGCCAATTGCATCGCTGGAATCCACCCGTGAAATCTCAAAGCTCGCTCCTGGTCTCCTAATGGATGCATCTCACGACAACCCGAGCTTATACGAAAGTCGTCCGATCGAGTCATTCCTCACGACAGCTGCTATCGCTTCCTTTTCCGCCAGCCCAGTCGGTTCCAATTACTTCTACGATCAATTAGTTCCAAAGCATGTCAATATCGTCAACGAAACAAGAAGATACTCGACCAAATCCTCTTCAAACTTTCCGCGTCGAGCGCTCAACGATATTCGCAAAGAAATGAGCAGCTCTGGTGCAAATTTAATCAACCTAGAATGCAGAGAAAATGCCTGCGTTATCACTCGACGGGACCCAGAAAACAGGCGCGAGTATATTCTAGTTTCAGGAAATATCTACGACAAGAACTCGCCACTTTCTTCTCAAACAATCACCCTTAACACGACTCTGGAAAACATCAAGGTCCGCCTCCATTCAAGACTAACCTTCAAAGACGAAAATTTCACAAATGATGAGGAGATCATCAATGGCCTCTCTGCCGAATACTTCACTGAAGAAAATGTCGATCTGGAAACCTGTTCATTTATTGAAAAAACCTCTCCCTGCTCTTATTCCATCACGCTAGCAGCTGGAGCCGTGATAGTTCTAACAGGACGAGTGCCTTCCGAGGAAACTGAGAAGCTTTCGAAATGCAGCAACTTGGCTAACTCTCCGTCAGTAAGCCAAGAAGTTCTTGATCAACTCACGCTTCTTGACTTGAATCAAATCCTTTTCAGCTGCAAGAAAGAAGAAATGTCCAACAAGGGAGAACAACACGGCGTTTACAATCTTCCTGGTCATGGAGAATTCCCCTACGCTGGCTTTGCCGGACTCTATCAGTTCTTACTCGAGCAATCGCAGTCGATTCCAAGCGATTGGAAGCCACTAGCGCAAAACATGAGCGAAGGAACTTGGCTTGTCGACTACTTGATCAATAGAATCGACAATCAAGCACTCAAGAATCATCTGCATGAGCTTTTTGAACCACTGCGGATTGTCCCAAAAGCATTCGTGCCGAAAATCCATCTAAAATTCCTCCAGAACATAACTGAAGCACTCTTTGATGAAGTTCTTGGACGATTTCCGGAGTGGATTCGCGAAACGCGATTCACAAGATATTCCTCAATCGCTACTGTTGCTATTCATGGAAATGTTCGCGGAGCCACGTATCCTATTGACAAAGGCGAGAAGAAATGCTCCATGGCCGCTGGGCTTCCTCATTTCGCAGAAGGAATTTGGCGATGCTGGGGAAGAGACTCTCTTATCGCCCTGAAAGGAACGCTGATTGTTACTGGTCGCTTGGAAGAAGCCTGGGAAGTGATCAAAGCTTTTGGTACGACTCTCCGGCACGGTCTCATTCCAAATCTTCTTGGAGAAGGGAAAGTTTCTCGATACAACTGTCGCGATGCAACATGGTTCTGGCTTCATTCGATCAAGGACATTTTCAATGCTGGACTGACCGATATTCTCACCAGAAAAGTCCGGCTTTGCTACGCTGATGATGATGCTCCATTAGACCTTGAAAACGGTCCGGAATTCGAGGTCCAAGAACTGGTCCAACAAATACTTCAGCGACATGTGGACGGGATCGATTTCGTGGAGAGAAATGCTGGTCCGCAAATTGACATGCAAATGAAACAAGAAGGGTTTCATGTTCGAACAAAAGTCGATAGAAAAACCGGCTTTCCAATGGGCGGAAATCGCTGGAATTGTGGCACTTGGATGGATAAAATGGGCGAGTCCGATCTCGCTGGAAACCGAGGGTATCCTTCGACACCAAGGGATGGAGCTCCGGTTGAAATTGTCGGACTTTGTTTTGCCGTCGTTGCGTGGCTCCATAAAATGCACGAGGATGGGCTTTATCCACACGCTGGTGTTGAATGCGATGGTGCTATGATGACTTGGTTTGACTGGGCGAATAGAATTAGGAACAATTTTGAGAAATGTTTCTTCATCCAGTTTGGCGTTTCTGACTCGTTCTATGGTGATACTTACCAAAGCTCTGTTCCTGGAGCAGACAGTCAACTACGATGCAACTTTCCCATAGGAACGGTACCGATTCCTTTTTTAAGGGGAGGTCGTCAATATCGGGGTTGCTCTTGACCAAAAAATGCGGGAAAACCTGATAGGATAGAAAAAAATAAAATTGTAAGGTGGAAAGAAAAGGGTTGTAAAATTCGACCGGCGCAAACGAGAAAAAATATTGGTCAGAAAAAATCGGTTAAAAATGCCGCCAAAGTAGAGCCATTTCGCGAAAATTCACCAAAAACGGTCATTTTTTTTCAAAAATTCATCGATTTTACCCCCTGAAACTTTTTTTTATTAAATAATTTTAGTCTCAACAGACTCGTCAGGATCTGTAGATTCCAAAAATATATTATTCATATGCACACTATATGTAGAAGTAAGATTTTCATCTCCCCCGAAAATCCATATTGACGACCCCCCTCTTAAATACATTCTTGAGAACATCTGATACCCTTTATCAGCCCTAGCCGTTGCTCCAGCTCTTGTTTCCCCGGAAAATGCCATTGTCGCCCTCTCTACCGTCCACGAAAAGCTTAAAAGCGGCCTTGGTCTCCGAACTTTATCTCCCGAAGACGACAACTACCGACCAAGTTATTTCTCCGACGACTCACTCGACCCTTCGACCGCCAAAGGCGCCAATTATCATAATGGACCGTCCTGGGTTTGGCCACTTGGATACTTTCTTCGCGCGGGAGAGAAATTCGGCCTAAATTTTGGCAACGAAGCTCTTGCTGCTCACGACGATCATATTTTCGCATCGCCTTGGATGGGACTTCCAGAGTTGCAGAATGAGAATGGAGCCGATTGCCCTGGATCGTGTCCGATTCAGGCCTGGTCCACTGCTACACTTATCGATTTTGCTTCGCAAATGCACAAGTAATAATCCTCTTATCAATCATCTATTTAACTTTTTCGATATTTATTTTAAAAAATCATGCTCTACTGCAGTTCAATCTTTCGTTTTCTGTTACCTACATTTTCTGTTAAAATTCGAATAAAATAATCAACGTGACTTTCATTTTCAAATATTGATATTTAAGAAATCGGCGTAATAGTCTCAATGGATTGCCTAAAAGCCGTGCGGGAGTACATCCTTTCCCTCATCGAAAAATCGGGAAAGGATCAAATCAAAACGCTCATTCTCGATGCTGAAACAACTAAAATCGTTTCCATGGCCTTCAGTCAGTCGGACTTGTTGAAACATGAAGTCTATCTTTTTGAGCGACTCGATGGAAGTGCCCGTTCAAATATGAGTCAGGTGGTGGCGATTGTGTTCGTTCGACCGACGCAAGAAAACTTTGGACTTTTGATTAAAGAACTCAGATCCCCTGCATATAAGTATGTCCATTTTTACAATCAGCGTTTCATCTAAAATAGGAACTATCACATCTTCTTCTCCTCGACCATCGACCGTCAGAACCTGAAAGAACTCGCTGAAGCAGATTCAAATGAAGTTGTCCACACGGTTCAAGAGATTTTCGCCGATTACCAGCCGTACGGTGCTCATCTTTACAACATTCCAGTGGCGAAAATGAGCTCTTCTCAAATTGGAGAAATCGATCTTCGTCGAATTACAGGTAAAATCGGAAGCGAGCAAGTCGCCTAAGCAAATTTCAGATGGATTGATGGCTCTCTTACTTTCCATCCGTCGCTACCCAACCGCCATCAAATACTCAAAATCCTCGAATAACTGTCTCCGAGTCTGCGAGCGTCTAACATCGAACGTTTCCCGCGAACGGGAGCTCTTTCAACAAGCAGGAAAAAATGACGTAACTCTGGTCATTCTCGATCGCCGTGATGATGCTGCCACGGTACTAACTTTCTTTCGTTATTTCCACAGTTGTTTGTTTAGCCCCTGCTTATGCAATGGACGTATGAGGCGATGTTGCACGAAATTCTGACCTTGACAAATAATTGCATTGATTTGACTGGAATCAGTGGGGTTCCAAAAGAACTGCAGAAAATTATGATCACCGCGGATAGCGACGACTTTTACGCGAACAATTTGTATTTGAACTTTGGCGAGATCGGGCAGAACATCAAGAAGATGGTCGAAGACTTTACCAGACAAAAACAGATCAATCAGAAAGTTGACTCGATTCAAGATATGAAGACTTTTGTCGAGAACTATCCAGCGTTCAAGAAACAGTCAGGGACAGTCAACAAGCATGTTGTATTAGGTAAGCAATACTGTATTTTGGGATAAAGACTTGTAAGTAACTCGAACCTCAAATGAGGGTCCCTTATTAGATGTAGTAAGTTCTGTTACAGTAAGTTATCTTTTGATAGTTGAGGAGCTTTCAAAGCGGGTGGGAAGACACAAGTTGCTGCAAGTATCAGAAGTAGAGCAAAATATCTGCGCTTCGGATGATCTAGCAGAAATTACTCAAAGTAAGAGCATTTCCAAGTGCTTTTGGGATGATCCTCTTTTGTAGGCATACGAGACCTGATCGAGGATAAAGATGTAAATGCCAGCGCCATTTTACGAGTTGTCGCTCTTTTTGCGCTGAAATTCGGCTCAGCTAACGAGCAAACTTTGAGAAGCCTTTCTGCCTCTGCTTGCCAAGCAAAACAAATCAACAGGACGGAGTTTGATTCTAACATCAGAGGAATAAGGGACTATTCTTCGGGCATACAGGTGCGTTACTAACCTTACGAGCATGGTATATTCGATACTGAATTGTTAATTTCCAATACGGCCTGTTTTGAATAAATGAATAACCAAAATTCAGATCGGCGAGTCATCCAGTGAGAAAGTCCTGGGCGCTGCGAAAAAGCTCTTCCGTGGCGTCCAAGGCGTTGAGAATATTTACACGCAGCATGTTCCCCCCTTTCGTGACATTTTGGAAAACGTCGCCAAAGGTCGCCCGGATAATCGCTTGAAAAGTTACGGGCCCAATCCTCAGGCAGCATCGGTAACTATTGAGAATTTCTTTATTGCTTATGTTTCAGTCGCGCGATGTGATTTGCTTTATCATTGGAGGAGTGACGTACGAGGAGTCTTTTCATATTTATAAATTGAATAAGGAGCTCGCAGGTAAAATAATAACCCCATTTTCAATTAAAAAAAGCGTTTCATTAGGCAACTCGCGGATAACTATTGGCGGCTCATCGATGCTGAACTCCCGTCTTTTCTTATCCCAAATAGTCCAATCAAACCCTTCCACATCGCCACAAACTGTCTAAGAAGTCGTACTGTTCAGCATTTTTTCCAATTTTCTCATTTATATTTACAAGTTTCTTCAAAAGTTTATCCAGTCACCGTCATTTCTTCATTTCTGTGCTCCGTGCAATTTTTAACCAGTAAGTCCGTTCCCATTTTTCCCTTTTCTTACTGTGTTGTATTTACCTACTATTTGTATAACGAAAAAACTAGTTTGTTTGCGTTGGAGAAAAAAACGATTCTAGACGACGAACAACGTCAATATTTTTATCAAACTGTTCCTCTTTTAGAAACAAGTTGAGTGCGTGCGTGTATGTGCAGATAGAAAGAGAGAAGAAGTAGAAAAAGAAGGGAAAAAGGAATGGGCTTTGCCTACATAACGCCGGAGCAGCTCGAGGGCTTCGATGGCTACAAATATTCAAGCAAAGGTAAGGAAAAAGAAAACTCTTTTTTTTAAGTGTTCGAATAAAGATACGTCGCCGCTATCAAATTATGTTATGCATCCATTTTGGAACGCGACTGTGAAACTATTCCCTCGCTGGATCGCTCCCAATCTTCTAACCTTGACTGGCTTTCTCTTCCTTGTCTCCCAGACGCTTCTGTTCTCCCATGTCGACCCGATGTTCCTCAAGGGCGGGATCCACAACGAAATCGACTCGTGGGTTTGGTTCTACGGCGCGTTTGCTCATTTCATGGCGCATACGCTCGACGGGATTGATGGAAAACAAGCGAGGAGGACAGGTTCTAGCGGTCCTTTGGGCGAACTTTTCGATCACGGCCTTGATGCGTGGTCGACCTCGCTCTTTGTGCTCAATATTTACACAGGTAAGCTACTTGTCTTGTCGCTAGTAGTAAAGACAACAATTCTAGCCGTCGGAGACTTGTTTACAAGCAATGATCGAATGATCATCCTTTGGCTTTCGATGTTCAACTTCATGTGCTCCCACTGGGAAAAGTACAATACTGGACTTTTGTACCTCCCCTGGGCGTATGATGTATCGATGGTGACGTTCTTCGGCATTTATATTATTTCTGGTTTCATTGGGACGAAATTTCTCGGTGCACCGATTGTTGGAAGCATGACTATCATCAGCATGTTCAAGGTACTCATAATCAATCAATGATAACTTATCATGCTTTCTCAGGTTATTTTCTATTTGGGAACGATATTCTCCGTCTTGATGTGCATCAGAAACGTGCTGTTTGTCTGGAGAAAAGGCACTTGCAAGCAAAAAACGCTCTACGAGTGCTTCCGACCCTGGGGTAAGAAGTTTGATAATGACTTCTATTCTATTTAATTCTAGCGTCTCTACTCATTGCCGCTGTTTTGATCCTTCCATGGGCGTACAACCTAACCAATTATGACATAATTGGCCAGTGCCCTCGCCTTGTTCTTGGATTTTCAGGCATCATCTTCGCCAATATCGCGGTAAGAAGCAACCCAACATGAATTTCATTGAGACTACCTGAATTTAGTGCCGACTTATTGTCTGTCAAATGTCAAACACTCGTGCTGAAATAATCACGCCGCTGTTCGTACCCCTACTCGCTGGAATCGCATCAACTTCGCTCGTACTGCCGATGGTTTACCTCGCTCGACCTATTTGGACGATCACTTTTGGAATCTGTCTTGTTATGCACATACACTACGGTTGCGGCGTCGTAAGTACCAAATCTCCTCTCCCTTCTTTCAACCCTTTTTAGGTGCACGCCCTGGCTACCTATCTGAATATCCGAGTCTTCAAAATCATTCCAACAAAGACGGATTGACAAATTTGAAAACAAAAATATGTTTACGAGTTCAAAAAACAACGTCCAATAAAATAGCTTACGAATAATAAAAACGTATTTGTCGATTTCCAAGTAGGCATCAGTTCTCTTTAGCTTTTCGCAGCAGGATTCAAGGGGGATTTGAGGAGGGCCCATTCCTCCTATCCAAGATCCGGTTTTCCTCCACTCTTCAAAGCAGCATTAGCTTTAAGCTTCTTCAACCTAATACTTCGAACCAATCATCTGCAAAAACCCACACTCTGCACACGCAACTTTTTCAATACTTATTCAATAATATTCATTATAAATTAACACAACTAACGAATGAACCATGAAATTCAGACGATGAAGCTAGCAGTTACTTTGTTGTCATGCAGTGTTGTTCTTGCAAAAGTGCCTCATAAAGTTGATGACTTGGAGGAAATGGACGAGGATGAACGCAAACAGTTTGATGATGATATTTTTACCTTCAATGAAGATGGGGTAAGACCATTTCTAGTCGCCAGAATGAAAGTGTTTTTATTTTAGGAGGAGTGGGACGCCTGGGAAGAACTCAGCGAAGATCAAATGAAAAATCGACTTACGAAGATATTCGATCGCATTGATTCCAACAAGTAATAATCTAACTTTGTTTTCAACCTCTATTCATACTTTTCAGAGATGGAAATCTCGACCGCGATGAAGTCGTCGACCATACTTACAAGGCGCTTTTCAACATGGACGAACAAGAAGCAGAAGCTGAATTCGTTGAGGTATTCTTTAAACAGAAATAGGCTTGGTTACTTACTTTTTAGGCTGATGTCGACGCGAATTATCAGGTAACATGGTCGGAATTCGTTGAGGAATTTTATGGGCTGTCTCCCGATGATGAAGCGAATATACTGGCGATGGATACTGATACGGGAGTGGAGTTTAACCATATGTACTCAAGAGATCAGGTAGGCATTTCTTTCGGGTCTATTTTACCATCTTTTGAAGGCTCGATTCCAAGCAGCAGATAACGACCGAGACGGGAAACTCACCCTTGTCGAATACAAACGATTTAAAAATCCTCTTCAATCGAAAGATCTTCTCGATTTAGCAATTGAATGGGCTCTCCGCAGCGCAGACAAGAACAAAGACAAAAAGATCTCGTTCGAAGAATACATGAGCGACTTCCGAGAGGATCCTGGCAGCAATCTTGAGCATTACGGAGAGGAGTTTACTGACCAAGAAGAACAGAGATTTCAGGAGGATTTGGATCTCGACGGAGATGGTTTCATCGCGGGAGACGAGTTGAAATATTGGCTCGGTCCAGGAATGGGGTCACTGATTAACGAGGTCACCGTTCCATAAATGCCGTATTTAATACTTGATAGGGCTCTACGAAGATTAGTATGATAAAATGTAACAATACGCGCACTTTTTTCGGATCCCTTAAAATGATGTATTCCAATATTAAAAAAATAAAAGTGACACTGTAAAAAGACAACATCGCCATCGCTATTGAAGAGTCCGACCACATCTTCGACTCCGTCGACAGCGACGAAGACAATCTCATCACCATCCACGAGATGCTTGAAGGATTCCAAACCTTTATCGACAGCGACGTCACTGAATTTGGCGGCCAGTTGAGGCACATCAAAGACGAGTTGTAGAATTTCAGCGACCTGCCAAGTTCCATTGTTGCTAAACGAAAATTCCTGGTCCGCTTCTCAGCGATTCTTTTTTAGAAAGATTAACTGCTCTCTTGCCAAAACTTGACATTTGAACACAAAAAACATCATCATTCTGTGCAAATGCTAACATACTACCAAGGCTCCTACCAATACATTTCATGGAATAAGTACTAACTTATCATTCCATTGTCTCCAGCCTGTTTTAACTATCTTCTAAGTTACAAGATTAAATATTCTATCGATGCAATAAGACTAAATACATTTAACATAAGAAAGTTCTAATTTTTCAACGGAAAGCTTTCAGAATGGGCAGTAAAAAGAACAAGCGGGGTTTTAAAAGAGCTCAAAGACAGCAGCTTCTTATGATGGCCGAAAGATCTCGATTGAAACGGCAGAACCACCCGGAACTTTTTTATATCGTTGATTACGAATGCGAGGAAACAAAGGAAATATTCTTGCAACTGTCCGTCAGAACATGGAACGAGCTCATCCAGAAGACCATCTCCAATTCTTTAACTGAAATAAGTCTGATGGAATTGAAAAATGCGCATTCTTTTACAAAAGATGTCTCGGCATCTCAAAATGTTCTCAAGCCACATATTGAAGAAAAATAGTCGCCTACTGCCATTTTGTGTTCATATTTATTATTTTTTGTCCTTTGAAAAGACTCTTTTCTTAAATAAAAAATCTTAGAGTCAATATGGGCAGAGTGCCGGCATGGAAAAAGTCGCAATCAGATCGACTTCGAAAAGCTCGCTTGAAAAAGGAACTGAAGGTCAAGAAGCACCCTGAGCTTATTCACATTGTTGATTACGTGTGCGAAGTAACAAAGGAAGTCTTCCTGCAACTTTCTATCCGAACATGGAACGATCTTATCCAAAAGACCCTCTCCAATGCTTTCCATGACTTCAGCTTGATGCAGTTGAAACATTCAATTTCTTTCACAAAAGATATCATTCCACCTCAAAATGTTCTCAAGCCTTTCATTGAAAAATAATCTATATTACCAACTGCCAAAAAATTAGTTCCTTTTTCGTCTCTTGTCAAATTTTCGATTGCAATACGTAATTGAAAGATCCAAATTTTGACCCTCATTCTTTAGAAAATAGGTATTGAATGGAAAACTCTCGATATGGAGGTCAGCTGACGACTGATGTGTTGCGCGAAGCACGAGAAGCACTAGCCTTGTCTACGAGCAGACCAGAAACGCCGCTTCATACGAATCTTGCAGATCTACAAGGTCTCTTCATTCGAAAGAGACTTTTCTATGTCTCCAAATGACTCTCTTTATACCTTCCCTTTAGAAAGCTTGTCTGGAAGAAGAACTCCTCGGATCATCCAAAATGAGCGGAGGCCTAAAACAGGCTCTCTGCAAACGCGACCTTCGAGGCTCCAACCCATCGGCTCTAAAGATAGAGATTCACCGGAGAATTCTCTTCTTCGATCAGTTTCAGTAGTCAGTAGCCTAGAAGCAAATTCGACCGGACTAACTCAGTTCGTCAAGACAATGAAAAACGTAAGCTTTATTCGAAGAACCAATTTTTACCTGATTTCTAGTCAGCTCTTGACGCCCAATTGTCTCTTTCTTCAAAACTGATAGCAAAAATGGACGAAAGGCCGAAAAGTATTTCCAAGAATCAAGAAAGTATCTTATCAATATGCTCTTCAATGCTTGCTTACCCCGAATCAAAGGTGTCTTTTCGTCTCTTTTCTGTCTTTACCGTCTCTTTTCTAGCCACTTCAGCGAGCAGAAATAGTCAGAATAATGAAACGCATCGAACTGGGCCCAGTTAATCTATCCGTGTATGGAACTCAAATCTACAAATTATCCAGAGACGCGGATTTCTTCTTTTCAACCAGCGAAATGGCCGAGTGTTTGATCTCAAAAATATCCGAAGCGGATGAAATGCTGATAATTTCCCTCAAAGATCTCGTCATGTCTAATCCATCTCGTCTAGTTCAAGCTGCAGAAGCATGTCAGATCTCTCTTCCCAACCAAATAGAACGAGCTGTCAGTCGCATTCTCCTAGAAACAGAGCGGTTAGAAGCAGAAGGGACCTTTCTCCTTCAAAAGGGGAACGAAAGACGAGTTCAATTCCTCCTCCTTGTTCTCAGAGAACTCTTGAATGTCAACACCACAGCGAAAGCAATTGAAGAAAGTCCGAATTTATTCCAATCGTGCTTCAAATCCCTGCGCGTGTTCTCCGATTCTGAAGATATTACTTTCATTGTCGCTAGATTGCTAAGCAAAAGTAAGTCATTTCTATGTACATTTCTCAAATATGTAAAATAATTGAAAATAGACAGGAAAAGAGAGTTTTTTGTATTAATCTTTATTGTTTTTTTTATTCGATTAATCTGAATTATATTTCGATTTTTTTATGTTTGACAGAAACTATAGGTTTGTCTCTTGGAGACAGCACACCATAGATTGATGGTACTGAATACTTATAGGCTTCGTTTATGGCCTCTTTAAATCGACGCTCTAACTGACTGAATGAGTTCGATGACATCGTATTGTTTTGTATTTTATTGAATCTTTTTTCAATATCCTCTTCTGTAACATGTGTACTGTAACTGTCGTTGTCATCTCCCATGACAGCCTCACGAAGCATTGCATCGAAAAACTCCTTCTGCGCATCATTTAGAATCTCAAAGGTTTCTTTGAGATCCCTGAAAGCATTGTGAAACTTAGCAACTTGCTCAGGCTTTAGCCCCTCAAAAAACTCTTGAAACGAGATCATGTTTCTTTTCTCAATGTTGTCCTCGCTCGATAAAGCTTGATTATATACGGATCCAGGCGGAAGTTAAGCTATTTTATTAAATATGGACCCGGCTTATTCTTCCTGTCTATTTTTCACTCATAAAGTCAGTTCCAAAGAACTCTTTTTATGAAGTTTATTTTTCTTTTTTTTAACTCAAGTTTTGAAGTAACAAGACTGGTATAGCCATGTTTTTGTTTCAATTAAAATTTTAAAAGACAGAAAAAGGTTTTTTTCCCATTTTCTTCTTTTCAAATTAGAATCAAAATGATGATGAAGAGTTTTTTCGCCATCTCAGCCGAACAATTCATAAAGAGGTACATTGAGTCCAAAGGCGTTCGTAAAACGATAGACGAGATCCTCTGTTACTGGATTAACGGGCATTTTGGGCACCTTATTGCCGTCAACATTGTCATTTTGGCCATCTTGGGCATCACCGGATATAGCCGCAACAAATTGACTAATGAAGAATTCCCTCTGCTCAGCATCAAGAATGTCGTAGGATTCTTTGAGATCCTTGAGAGCATTTTGAAACCTAGCCGCTTGCTCAGGGGTGAAGTGCTGGAAAAACTCTGTCAACGAGATCATTTTTTTTTATTGGTGGTTCATACTCGAGAGAGCTTGATTATATACGATAAGAATTTAACGTATTACCGCGAAATAAGTAGTTAAGCGGAAATAAAGTTTATTTTTTCAATGGAATTTATTTAAACTCAGCTCTTGCTTCCTGTCTATTTTTTTGCTTTTCGTTATTTTTACGCTTAAAAATAGGCAGAATTTTGTGATGAAAATCGCAATCGGCTGTCTCTTTTTATCCTTCTCTTACAATCATAGAAGACGAACTAGAGCCGCTTGATCTTAAATAGTTCCCCCTTGAATAAATACTAAAACCCTTTTTTAGCAACGAATAATCCAAATGTCTGCTCGCTGATCCACAGTATCGAACCCAAATGGATACTGCATATAGCGCAAGGAATAGAAAAATTCATCCGCAGTCCAAGCCTGATTGTCCACTTCCTCTTTGCAGTTGGAAATGCTGCGGTGAACTCGATTCATAATCTGAAATTCTTGGCTACAGTTCGACGCGTTCTGAGTTTGTATCTCAAGCGAGCAACGGCTAATGATAAACTAGCAAAGGAGGAAGAAGATGTTTTGTTAAAAGCATTGCGTGTTTGCGCGAATTTGTCCCTGGAAGAGGCAACAGCGAAGTCAGTGCTAGACGAAAGCGGTCTCATGAGAAAAGTAGTCGACGTCCTGAAATGCTCTGTCGAGAGCAAAAGTTGGTTCGGCCGGCCAGACGAAATCACAAGATTTAGTGTTACAGTCATCACAAATACATGCTTCTTCTTTCCTAAAAACTCCGCGCTTCAAATGGAAGAAATCATGAAAGTAATGGTCAGTTGTCTTCTCAACTCAAAACTGTCTACGGTCTGCGAAGTCTGTCGCGCGCTCGCGAATCTTTCTCGCGAAGAAACGGTCAAATCAATAATCGTCAAAGAAATCGACTTGGCGTTGTTTGTCACCTTTCTGGAATCACCTGATTCTACTCTTGTTTCGTACACTGTCGGCATTCTCACCAACTTGTCTTCCAACTTCGATCTTTTGCCTTCTTTATTACGGAATGAGCAAAGTGGAATTGAAAATCTGAAAGCAGCGATAGTCGAATTCGAGGACTGGGAATTAGCTACGCATATTGCCAAATTATTCCTCAATATTGTTGATAAGGTACAAGCTAAAAAAGCTCCCTATTTTCATCACTCGTTTTCAGAGGAATTCTCAACTGACCATGTCGATCAAGAGCACTTTCAAGACCGTTTTGAGTACCTTCCCAGCCTCGACTAATAAAGAATCTGCCATTTCCAAGAGGTACATTTTCTTAGAAAAGAGACGCTCTCTAACCGATTTTAGACTGTTTTCAGAAGTCGTCGAAAAGTTCAACGAAAAATGCGCCTAACTATTATCACTCCAGGAGTCCTGTATTATTTTTTTACCTCTACTTTTGTACTCACCAAATGAGAATTATTTTTCTATAAATATAAGCTCGTAAACGGAATTTTCAGAGAGAAAGAGAGCAACTTTCTACCGCTTTTATGCCGCGCTAGAATCGATTTCAAATTGTACAAACTCGAGTTATGAAGGCCCAAGACTGGTAAAACCATGTTTGAGGTAAAAAAACACTCCAATCTTTTTGACAAACCATCGCTTTTAGCCCCTTTTGAAAGGACTTCTCGTCCTGCCGTTTTTCATCTGCATCCTTGGAGCTGCCCTCTTCGCCACTGGAGTCGAACACAGCGCGCCCCTCGACATCTTTTTTGTTCTCATCATTCTATTCATTACGTTTCTTTTAGTAGTTCTCAAAGTCAAATGAAATCCCCTTCTATTCTCTTTAACATTTACTCTTCAGCTTTTACTGCACACTTTTCTTGATTTTCTTCAAATACCCTTTCCTCTTTTTCGATACTTTTTCTTTCTGAAATAGCTCTCATCCCTTTTTTCTTCGTAGCTGAGCAATTTCAGAAAGAGAAAGCACCAGTAGCGAATAACTGTAAATTTCGTCTTTTTCTTGAAATCATAGAAGACTAATATTGACATTTGAACATAAGAATTGATCAAAGAATGGGTATTTTCAAATCCAACTTCGAAAAGCTCCTGGACAAATGCACCGCCAACACTTTGCTCGAACCAGACTGGCAGGCAATGCTTCAACTTTGCGACATGATCAGAGGCAACGAAATCAAAGCTCGAGAAGCAGTCTCTTACATTCTCAAAACTTTGAATCACACAAACCCATACCAGCAATTCTATGGCTTTTGCGTCCTTGATACTGTAGTAAAAAATTGCGGCCCGCCGGTTCATCAAGAAGTGATCAAACATGAGCTGTTGGAGCAGTTTAGAGATACTGTCCAGGAAAGGGGATCATCAATTGAATCATTTCCACGATAATAAAAAGTTTCATCCCTTTTTGAAAGAAAGGAAGCGTATCAGAAGATGTAACCAAGAAAATCCTGGAAATGATCCAGCTCTGGGGGATAGCAGGGCGCACCAAAGCCGAGTTCAAAGTCGCCACAGATGTTTTCAACGTCATGAAAGCGGAAGGATACGATTTCCCAGAGTTACAAGGAGACAACGAACTTATTGTCGATGCAGCTGTCGCCCCTGTTTGGAAAGAAGGGGATGAGTGCTTCAACTGCAAGGTATGATTTGAAGAACCATAAGTTAGAAGGAAAATCGAAGTATTTATAATTATTTTTCGGGGCTTAAAGCCACGGATGATTAAAAAACACGACGGTCTACTGAACACATAATGTAGATATTCGTAATTATTCTAAACCTAGCTCTCTGACGTAACACGCTTTTACATGTATTTCTGCCCAGCGGAGCAGAGATCAACAGACGACTATGACCTCACGAGGTCAATTATCACCGAAACAACCCAACTACCCGATATTATCTTGAAATACCTTTAGGCAGCCTTCACAACATTCAACAGAAAACATCATTGCCGAGCCTGTGGAAATATCTTCTGCGAAAAGTGCTCATCAAAATCATCAACCATTCCAAAGTAAATTTTCTTTATTGAAAGAAGACCAAACCCGATTCTGACTGACTTTTGCATGACCAAGATTTAATTCATTTCTAGATTCGGCATTGAAAAACCCGTGCGTGTTTGTGACTCTTGCTACGAATCACTACAGGGTCTTCGAGCTTCATCATCGCGCAATTCCAACAGACGAGTGACTTTCGAGGACGAGCATGCTTGGCAGAATAACGAAGCCGCTGCTCTGGCGCATTATGCAAAACGCTCTCAACAAAAGGAAGCAAAAGCTGCAAGCAGGCAGAAAGCCAAAGATGAGGTAAAATAGGGGAATTGATTTAGATCTGGAAAAATTTAGAGTCTAAATCGCCCACCGGGCAAAACGATATCTACTACGGTTAAAAATAACTGGCCGAATTAAAAGGCGTTTTTAGGAACTGCGCCTGAGAGAACAAGAAGAGCTAGAATTGGCTCTTGCACTGTCGCTAGACGAAGCGGAGCAGAATAAAAAAGCCAACATTGAAGCAGCCGCCCCGCCACCTTCCTATCCGGACGAGCTTCAGCGAACAGAAGAGACTGAAACACCAGGTACATTTCGAGCATTTACGAGAAGTTACAGTTCTTCAGAGGAGGCGTTGCCGAACCTTGAAGCAGAAGACGACGAAAACCTCCAGAAATACCTCGATCGATCATATTGGGAAGAGCGAAACAAAGCCACAGAAGAAGTTCCTCCTTATTCCGAAGAATCGCACCCATCTGTAGAAAACAACGAAGCAACGACTGGCACCACGAGTCCAGATATGAAAGAATTTGTCCTCCAGTCCGGTGAGAGCGAGGAAGATAAGAAGAAGAAGGAAGAAAAGGCAAAGTTCTTGAAGAATTTGTCCGCTTCTCTTGATATCTTTGCCAACAGAATGCGAGCTAACCAAGGTAAATTCTACTACTGGTATTTCTTACGATAGCGATGCTTTTTTCGAGCAGAAAAGTCGGATAAAAAAGGCGTTTTCGAAGGGAATCATTGTAGAATTTTAAATAAATCTCATTTTCAGCGCGAGGAAAGCCGATTGCCAGCGATACAACTGTACAAACTCTGTTTCAACAAGTCTCAAATCTTCAACCAACTCTATTGCAGCATATGGCAGAGGCCGAAGAACGCCGAACCCACTGGGAGCAGCTCAACGACAAGGTAAGAACTTTTCCCTCATTATTTGAATTTGGCGCGCAGTTTTGTATTTGTTAGGTGACTATGATCCACGAAGCAAGAAACGCGCTCAATGCGCTGCGAACAGAGCATAAAGCCGAAATGCGGCGAAAGGCCGAGGAGGCCGAACGTCAGCGACAGATTCTACTTGGTAAGTTATTTATGAAAGAAAACAGTATTTTTTCTTCGTAATATAAATTTTTTTTATTTAGCTCAAAAGTTGGAGCTGATGCGTCAGAAAAAGCGCGAATTCCTCGAGAACCAGCGCGCAGCAAACCTTGCCCGAATGGCTGAAAGTCAAGCCCAACTTCAAGCAACACGAGAAGCTTCCAGAGCGCTTCAAATGCAACGCCACATGCAGCAGACGTTCCCACCCGCCTCGCAGTACGGCCAGCCCGTTTCGCAGATTATTCCTGGTCCTTCTTATCACGGGCAGATGCAGTACGGAGCACAACCTGTTCCCGGGCAGCAACAAACGTTTTATCCTCCACCGGGACAGGATATTCCGCCAGAAGGTACTCAAACCAATCTAATTTCAACTAACACTTATCTTTCCAGGATATCAACAACAAAGCTATCATCAATACGATCCTCAAGCCCAGCCACAGAATCCCCAAGGGCATGGCGGCCCTCCCCAGCCTCAGATGATCCCCCAAGAGATCCCCCAAATGCCTCAAGTTCCTACTCACGAAGTTCCTCAACCCGCTCCAGCAGCACAAGCTCAGCCCCAGCCAGAGCCGGTTGAGGAAGCTCAACTAATCTCCTTCGATTAATAATTTTTCCATTTACCTTTTAAAAATTCAAGCATTCTTCTATTGAAAATCCCCTCCATTCTTATTCCTTCTCGAATTTTTTCTTGCTTGAGAAAGTTCACCTGTTCATTGTTGTTTTTCTCAGATAATCAAGAGCAGCTACTACTTGTTACTGAAAATTTAAGTTTCCGTGTCCAAAAAATTCAATTCAAGGGCAATGTCTAGTGCAATTCGTATGTCTTTCTAATAATTAATTCATTATTCGGAAACCAAGCCATTGAAAAAAACACTTTTAGAACCATGCGTGCCGTCCAGAAACTTGCCCGAGTCTCCGTCCGAACTGTCAAGCTCCCACAGTACACCGTAAGTTTCCCAAAAGAAGTTCTTTCCCAAACTCAATCTTCTTTAGAAAAAGACCGGCGGAGTTGACTTCACCGTCGCCCGACAGTGGCAGAACTCTCCCTTCTGCTCCACCATGGAATCCGTCAACTACGTCGGTGGCGCCATTATGACCATCATGATGATCGCCGTCTGGGAAGACCTCAAGGCCATCGGCGTCGGCGTCTGCGGCATCTAAGCAACTGAAAAATAGTCGAAACTCGAGAAAAACGAAATTCCCTTCTCTCTGTTATTTATTGAGTTCTACCGTCGATAAAAAATGTTGACTGTTTCGAAAAAACACGCTTTTACCAAAAAATAAACCTCTGTTGATATGACTCAAGTTGTTTTCTTGAAGACATGGTTGCATCGCCGATTGAACAGGTGCAGATTGATCCAGTCGTTGCTCTCCAAATCGCTAAATGCTTCAACGACGAGCGCGCGCAGGATGAAGATAGAATCGTAAGCAACAATTGCATTCAGCCTTTCACAAAATTTAAAGGGTCAATTGACTGGTTACATCGACCGAAGCAGCAACGTCCTCGAAGTTACCCATTCGATCCCGAGCCCAGTTGACACTGACGATTCGTACGATGAGCCAGAGCGCTACGCTCTCGACTACCTCAAGTATATCCGAGAAAAGGGATGCGATCACCTCCAAGTCGGCTGGTACACGAGCTCCCTCAACTCCGAGATCTTCACTCGCTCCTTCTTGAACAACTTGGTCTCTTTCCAGGTATTCCACATTTTAAAACACAATGGAAGTAACCATCAATCGCAGATGAACTTGACCGAGTCGACCGTGCTCGTCTACGATCCTCTGAAAACTGCCCAAGGTCAGTGCTCCTTCCGAGCTTTCCGAATCTCCCAGGACTACATCGACATGATCAACTATGACGCCGAGAATGATTACTGGCCTGAGCCTACTTTGAAAGAACTCCGAGATGGCAAAATCAGCACCAAGGTATCGAATACTCTTCATTTTCATTTTGGAAAGAGGCATTTTTAGGATATTTTCGAAGAAATCCCGGTTGCGTTGAAGACTTCCTTCCTCGCAAACATGCTTATTTTCGACCTTGAAGATCGCGACTCCTTCAACCCCCGAAAATCTTTCCTCGAGCCGGCAACTTCTGCTTCCTTGGAAAGACACCTCAAGTAATTACCGTTCTCCTTCCTCCCTTCTTATAAAATTAAGGCTCCTCGACCGAGTTGTAGATGAAGTCGTCAACGACTCGAACAGATTCAATCAATTCCAAAAGCTCACTGCTAAAAACCAACAGCAACGACAAAGCTGGCTCGCTAAGCGACGACAAGAAAATGAACAGCGACGGGCTAATGGACAGGAAGAGCTTCCACTCGATGAGGTTTTCCTTGTATTTAGCCCGTTTTTCAAACGATTTTAGGTTAACCAAGTGCACAAACTTCCTGAAGCACCAAGCCGAATCGAACCGATGCTCCGAAGCGTCCAGATGAAGGAATACACTGATGCCGTCGCCGATCTCGCCACCAAGTCTCTCGGAAAGCTCTTTATCACCGACGCTTTCCAGAAGAGCAGCTAAACCGCTAAACTCCTAGACCAATCAATTTGACCCCGCTCACTTCTGTCGGGGTCAGCAAAACTGAACATGGGACGACTGTGGTCCTTATCTCCGTATCTCCATCATTTGAGGTTATGTGCTCCCCGGTTATTACTGTTTATGGAAGGGTTTTGAGCGTATTTTCTCTCTGCAAAACAATCTGTATGTTTACAACGACTGTTGTTAGGTTAAATTAATATAATGAAAGTTCAATGATGTGAGAAAATCGCTTTTCAAATAGAAGATAAAAAAGAGATGATTTTTTATCTTTTGTGTTATTTTCTTTGTTGAACTTTTTGAACATTTAGATTTAAATAAAAATGCATCTACAGAAGAAATTTTCAGAATCTTTGGAATTAAAGAATCAGTAGCGTCTTCCAAAGCGTTTCGTAGCAATTGGCAGGAAGCTTGTTGATTTCTTCTTTTGACTGCTCTTTTCTTTTCGGCATCGGACTTTTCCTCGACGGTTGATGGAAAGAACGCAGTTGGTAGCTTTGTTGGTGAGGGAATGAAAGTTCGAGTGGCTAGCTTTCTTGGTGATTTTCCAAAGAGATCCTTGAGTGGGAAGGGGAAGAGATTTCACTTTTCCTCGAGGGCTGATTGATAGAAATTCGCCAGTTTCGGAAGACTTGATGAGCATGAGTTGCTGGGCGATTTGCATGAAAGTAAGAAGTGTGTCTTTGCTTCTCACTCGCTTTCGTCCGACTGGTTTCGTCTCTGTAAGATCAAGGCCGTATCCGGAGTAGTTGTAAAGATATCCCTCTTTTTGATGGCTTCGCTTGTACTCTGTTTCTTCTAGAATCGGAAAGTCGAAATGAGCTGGAGCAGGAACAACTACAGGATCGACAATTCGTTGGATAAGCGTTGGCATCGCGAGTTTTTTAGGTTTTAGTGATTTTTCTGATGGAGGAGCAAAAAGGGTGCTTTTAAATATCCCGCGCAGGTTGAACAGCGCCATCGTGGTGGGCGTGCAAGCGCGCGGTGCCGCAATTAGGCAAGGTTAATTGGTCGGAACAGCTGCGACAGATCTGAAAGTGATGCCGACTTGTTCTGATTAGAATCAACTCAAAAGTTTTTGTGCGAGTTCTATTCTTGTAAATTGAAATTTTCGGAAAACAAATATCAGATTATGAAAATTCTCCATAAATATTCTCAAACTGTGCCGATGGACATTAATTGGGTTGGCAGGTCTTTCCGATTTCTCCCGAAAACAGTCAGAAAACAGGATTCCTTTATAATTCTGAAACAGCAAGGATTCCTTGCCAAGGAAACTCCTTATTTTGATCGCCCAAGATGCAAGACTTCTATTCTCTTAATAAAATTTGAGTCTTCCATTTCATTTATTCAGTGCATAAAAACTCCACATCATTTGTAAGAACACCTGTCGAGCAAAAGGATCAGCGACGCTCTGATATGAATCTATTTGATATGGTAACAGATTAGACGCTCCGTCCATATGGTCGCATATGAAACCTTTGATATCCTCTGCGGGCGTCGATAGATGTTTACATTTGGACAATTTTATGGCCATGTTGAAGCTATTACATGCATAAAACAGGTAGATCGGCAATTTGAAAGGGATCATAAATATGACCTCGTTTCCGTTCAAAAAATTCAAGAGAGAATAATTCATTCAACTGCCCAAGAGCAGGAATGAATCAGACTCCAAAAGGATACAAAAATATTAACACCTAACTGAAGGATTTATGACAAAGTCTGAGTTCTACTGATTCGACAGATTTCACGAACAACAGTCTTAGTCTCGAGCGAACCCGAGGGATCAAAAAAGGAATGCGTGCTTTCAGCGCTCAAACTGGAATTCAAAAACGAAATTTTCAAGAGGAGCGAAGAAACAAGAACAGAGCTCTAAAATTTCATGACGAGGCGATGGGGAGATGACTACTCGTTTTCGCGATTTTCCTCACGAAGTACTCAAGCTTTTATTTTCTCGAGAGTATTCCTTTTCGTTCAGTATCAACTCCACCCAGTAGGACATCTTCCTCCTATTCATCTCGACTGATAAGTTCAGTTTCTGGAAGCCAATCTTCGTACACCAGGAGACGGGGTCAATCACTCACGTGACATTGACAGGGTGACCTGCATGCAGCATGCGAGTTAATGTTAACCAAATCTAAGTCTAACCGGAGACGCGCCCTGCTGCGATATTGTTGACAGCTCATCAACCCCAATTAAGTTCTTATAGAAATGCTTATCGATCATTTCCTACTGTGAGTACCTCTCCCAGCTCATCAAGCAGCTACGTTTCTTCTTCATACAGTAGTGCCAGCAGCAGAAATTACAGTCGTAATGCTACTGCCACTTCAATAAGAAACAGCTCTGAAAGTTTCGGAACCGTTTTCAGGAACGGCTTATCAGTAAATTTTGCTTATCAATCAAATCATTAACGATCAAAGCCTTTCTAAGAAACAGACCAAGTTACAGTATCACGACTACTGTCCGCTCCAGTATGGACAACCAATTCGCTTCCGACGTCCGTCTCCAGCGGAGCATCAACAACTGTATCAAAGCAACTACAGGCACGGCCGTTCCAAACTTCTTATCACAAAAGTTTTCTCACACTGACAGCTGTGTATTGTTGAAGTGATAAGATAGGAGTGAGTGTTCGTCGAAGGGGAAAATTAATTGTTGTTATGGAACGGCGATAAAGATATAGGCCGGAAGACGGATTTCTTGCGACACGAAATGGCCCAGAACCGATTGAATACGCTAGAGTTGCGAGAGAGGGCGCGTGATCTGAGATATAGAATCGGTAAGATCTGCTGTATTGCTTGCTACACTCGAGTGGAGATATTTATGCAAGGGAGCTTTATGTTTATTCCTAAATCCATCCGGTTATGGATGCTTCGACACCCAGGGTGTAAGAAAGAAAGGCTTACCCAATGGAGGAGTGGACAAATATGCCAAGTTATGAATTTGATAACTTCCGTTGACACCTTGTTCAGATACGATACGATCTCGTTCCGGCCCATCCTACTCCTCGTGGGAAGACTACATGGCACAGCGTTAAAAGAAACTAATTTTTATGATATTGCACTAATAAAAATGCTTGAAAAGTGCAACAATTGACAGAGATCTCCGATCGAAATCGCATTTCTGAAAAATCGGTGCGCGCAATTGATATTCACGGCTGTCTAAATCAGTAACAGTACTATCTTTAAACAATATTGAAAACGATTTGAATTGTATGCGCTGCGCCGGGCTTTCACTAGAAATTTGGCTCGCGGCTATTTAACTCAGAGTTTTTGTGAACCCCCGTTCTGACATCAAAAATGTAAAAGCTCGCAAAGAGAAAACATGATTTCGACGCTTTCTGCTTTTCTAGCTCTTGTGATTTTCCTGGAAATTGCATTTTTAACAAGAAGGTCTCATGAGAAACAGAGGAAAGTTAAATTTGCGAATGAAGACAGTAATCTAGGAAGATTATTTGCCGGAGAAACTTATGATTACTCTGGCGAATATAGAATCATACGATTTTACAAAACAGATGATCGGAATTTCGGGGAAAGTTGGGAGTGGAATGATTTGACTCTCGTCACTCAAAGTACTCTCAAAACTCTCGCTCATCTTCCTCAGTTATTGGAGAGCTTCACTGGCCCAGTTTCGTATTCAATCTTTTGCCCTGGTCTTGATGCTTCTTTTGCCTCAGCGATAATTGACAAGCTCACGGACTGCAACAGCGAAATAAGAAACCGAGTGACGTTCCATTTTGTCTACCCTGCTGAAGAGCCCGCTGATCTTAGTGCTGAAACTGAGCTGAGAGATTCAATGCCGTGCGAGAATATTTTCGAAGCGTTGAAAATGTATCCTGTTGTTCAATGGAACATTCCGTGGAATATTTTGAGAAATGTTGGTCAATCAGGGGCTCATTCAGAATTTGCTCTTCAAATCGACTCAGATGTGGTTCCGAGCAAAGATCTTCGTGCTGACTTCATTGAATTCATCGAAACTCATGATTTATGGGACTCTGATGATGTGAGAGAAGTCTACTTACTTTCTCAAAAAGAAAAGGATGCTAATGCTTTTGAAAGATCCTTTCTTTTGGATGATGAACTTGACGAATCATCGCTGACATCATTCGGTACCGAGAAGCAAGTGCCATATTTTATCGCAAGAAGAAACATTCCCTTATACGATGAGCGTTTCAAGTCTTCAAAGTTTGATCGAAAACAGCTCTTCTGCGAGCTCCACACCGCTGGATACAAATTCAAAACGATTACTTCGCATTTTCTCTCAAAAACCAACGAGAAACAAGATGAACTCAACGAGGAACGAAACGTGGACGAAATCGAATGGCTCCTATTCAACTACCACTTCAAAGACGAGCTGCAGCAAAAGTACGGGACGAATAAAACATGCCCCTGGATATCAACGAACGAAAGTGCACTCTCGAAGAGCCATAACAAGGACTTCCTTCGCTACAGGATCCAGCAAAATGAGATGGGAGAGCCGGTCGCAACGAGCAACGAACCGCCTCTTCTACTCGCAGATTCGGGAACAAATGTTGTTCTTCCAAAACATGATCATCGAAGAATGAATCATAAGCTCAAGTTTGAAAACGTCAAGAAATATTCTGCGGAAGAATTAAAAGAACTTTATGAAAAAGGACTCTCTGCCGAAGTAATGAAAGAATTCCGAGTCCCGAAAGAAGATGACCTTACCTGGGAGCTTGATTAATTAATTATGATTTTCGACCCTTCGACCCTTTATTCAAATATATTCAAATTTCTGATTCTGTGAATGGATATTTACATGTTAACCTGAGCTCAAAATATTTACAGAGCGTTTGATACAGTCAGTTGAAGAGGTTTTCTCGCTTTTACAGTCGTCGTAGTTGTTGCGCTAGAATCTCGATCCATCGCTGACAAGTCTGTTGATAAAGTTATCGTTGGCAAGGACATGGACTCTGGAATTGATTCCGACTTCTTCAAGCTTCCTCTTCTCGACCTGGTGATTTTCGAATGGCCGTAAGAATGAAGCCGTTTTGCTAGCTCCCTGCTTTGGCCGATTCCATTAACGACTTACCAGCGTTGAATACAGCAAAGCGTGAATTAATTATATTTGAAGGTATTCAACCCGATTCTAAGCTGACTACGCCACTGAGCCAGACAAGGCCCAGAAGAATCCAAAAGAAGACAGCAAGGCGATATGATGAGAAGATGATCTCGATCGAATGCGGCCACTTGGTTTTCTGACAAGTGTCGTCGATTTCATTGGGATCTTCTGGCATCGGCTTGATTATTGCTGACAAGCAGTCGTCAGGCTCATAAACCTTTTCTGAATGAAAATTTTAGAGGCAATACAGTAGATAGCAGTGAGTTGAGGGAATTATACAGTGAGGCCTTTTGACAATAGAAAAGTACCTGCGTGTTTTAGAGGCGGATTCATATTAGGAACAAAATCGCCAAATCCAATCGTCGACAACGAAATCATTCCGAAATAAAACGAGTCCCCAAAGCTCCAATCTTCCATTGTCGCAAAAATCCAGCTCGGAATCAAAATCAGGAAAACGACTCCAATCATAATATAAGTCGATGGAAGCGTATAATACGGCAGTGTCTTGAGAAAGTAGTCTTCGATCTCATTTCTTAACCCGAGCTGCTTAAATGGACATGGTACAAAAGCAATGAACAAACAGCCAGTTCCTTAATTCACATAGAAGGTCATTAATGAATTGTGACATTTCGCGCATGAGCAGGCCAAAATAAGGAATGCCAAATAGAATAAAAACTAGACAGAAAACTTTGCCAAATTGCGTTGAAGGCGTTAGATTTCCATATCCAATGGCTGTCAGAAGGTTTGAAAAACTGTATTTTCAACTTTATTTTTGATGTTATTTTTCAAACCTTAGTTGACGCAAGTGTGCCAGCGAAGAAAAATGCATTATTGAATGACCACTTGAAAATGGCTGAATATCGATAATTTTAGCTACTAGTTGATATATCCTTAGTAGATAGTATACTAGCAAAGAGTATACGGTTAATTCATTTCTCAGCCTTTGCTTTTGCCCGCAGTTTTCTCGTATTTCCATATAATTTTTAATCGAAAACTCGGCCGATGTTTTGACGATTTTATTCAGCACCTTTCCACTGATAGTGAAGACTTCGTCGTCGAAATGTTTCAGGTCGGACTTTTGCATTACTGTTCCCCAAAGTTGTTGGAACTCGTTCGCAGTATCCTCTTGCTTGTTGTAGAGATCGGACTTTTCGGAAAAGATTCGTTGCCCTTCTCGCGAACAGTTTGTCGCTGCCCAATCGTAGATGTACGACTTATATTTGGCTTCTTTTTCGAATCGATTATTATTCAATGAAAAATTATTCAAAAGCCCTTCCAAAAGAACCGCGTTAAATTCAGACGTGTCGCCTTCTTTCACCGCCTTGATCCCTTTACAAATCTTCAAATTGACATTCAAGAGGTAGAAATACTCATCGGTCATTTTGTCAACCGCTTGGCGAACAGTGTCGCGACTTGTTTTACATCGTTGATGCTGGTGAAAAATTAAACTACATCCACTCATTCGAATTTTACCTCTGCTTTTTGCTCGATAAAGTTGAAGACGCCAGCACCAATGAGGAGAAAAACGATGTAAAGAACAATCATAAACAGCAATTTCGACGACTTGAGTTTGAAATATCTTCCGTCGTGTTTTTCGTGATTCGAAGCTTTTGTACTGCAAAGTTGAACTGCCATTTCGATGTTTGAAAAGAGATCCTTAATTCGTCTCTTTTATAAAGAGATAATAATAATAATTGCTTGGGTATTTGGTCGCTCAGAATCGATTGTATTAAACTGCACTGAGTATAGTTTATAGTTTATAATTTAAAGTTATTTGCATCACCTGCATTATAACATTATACATGCAATAGTTTTAGCTTGATTCTTAGCTCAGAAGCATGTTATATCCAACCCCAATATTATATTATATAACATGGTATTTGATCTGATCTGTTCTACTACATCTGACAAAGTACTTATTCTTACCATAATTCTAAAGAGATTTTCTCTTATAAAAAGATATCTCTTATAATCGCTTCGAATTCTCGCCACACTTACAGAGTACAGTGTATTCAATAGACTCGATCCCCAGGCGTTACCAGAGAGTTTAACAAAAGTGTTGAATAATTCCTTGTCGGTCGTGCCAAGTATTCAGAATCTCTTCGAACCGTCACTTAGTGGAAGCCCGTACACTCTAATCAAAATGCATTAATTGACGTGGCCAAGCGCTTGTCCCTTCTCTTACAGAAGTTCGCCTGTATAGACGGCGCTATTCGCCTGTAAACATACATACAGAAACATCTTCGAAAATACAAAAACAAAGATTGACTTCATAACTCACGGAAAGAGTCTTCAATCTTCAGAAAATAGTCTCTTCTATGATTTCTCTTTGAAAAAATTCTCCGAAAGTTTCGCTCAAAAATGCATTTGGGAAGCTGCAGTCCAGCTAAATTATCATTGAGAAGTGGGCGGTGAATATTCAAAAGCATTTCATCATCAATGTGCGGCGCTTTTTTATAATTGAACTGTCGAGCGGTTTGCAGAACTCTGTCAAACTGAAAAAGGAATGAAGGACAAGTTCGCTGATTTTTTATCCAGCTATCCCTTTCTTGCTGGATCTTTCTTTCAGATTGTTGTTTAAAAATTTATGACCGCCCGATTCTCACTTTTTTATTTCTTTTATTTGGCATTTATTGAAATTAGAAATTGAAAAATTGTTGTATTTCAACTGATATTTACTTTCTGATTGTACAGTAAGACATTTCATTGTCGACGACGCTGGCGAAGTCACCTTCAGAGCAGGTAAGACTGCCCTGAGCGGCGACCTTGGCAAATCTGCTCATTACGTAACACTTGGTCGCGTCTGTGGAGAGAATGTTGTAGTCGTCGTTGAATCTGTCATCGTCGCCGTTGTCGATTCTATCGTTCCAGAGGCTCAGTCGGATGTTCTTTGGATTGAAGCACTCCTACAAGAACATATACGGTAAGTGCTGTCAATGTGAATATAACTCACCGCGAAAGCATCAGCCATGCCAGCTGGAGAATCGTTGACCATGTCGCCAGCGATAGAGACGTAGAGAATGTCTCGAAGTGGAGCAAATCGTCCCTTCTTGAAGACTAAAAATATGAATACTCAAGTTTGATCAAAAATGAATACCTTGTCCAACTTCCAAAGCATTTTGGTCGACAGAAAGACCGTTTTCAAGAGCGTAATCCTTGAGACTTGCGATTTTCTTGGTGTATTGAATGACAGCCATTGAGCTTTCTCCAAAAGCCTTCTTGAAGTAAACGCCCTAGGAATAGAATTTTTTACTCCCTCAATTCTTCATCAGTCAAACCTTAGTCCCCTGAACATCATAAACTCGATCCATCTGGAGGCCTTGATTGTAAGTATCAAAGATATTGACATTGACGGATCCTTGAGTGAGACCACTAGAATTTTGATAGATAAACAGAACAGAAAGATGATTACCGGATGAATTTGGCGCCACAGTTTTGTCGGTTGAATTCGATGAAACCTGTGTATTTCTTGCTTCCGAGGAGGAATTTTTTCATTGGAGTTTGAAGCTCGATCATAACGGAGTTGTGGCCTGAAAGAACCTTTGGCTTGAAGACGTCAGTAATTGGAAGAGGTCGAAGGTTGTTCTTGAACTGGTTGAGAATAGTTGAGTCACAGGTCTCTTCTGAGATCTTTGGCTCGCAAATGACGCCGTTTCCAGTGTATCTATATTAACAGAGTCTAAGTCGGATGATATTGGATTAGTATTTACCCTGGTTTGCATCGACAAGCATAGTTTCTTTCTCCACTTACATCGCACAAATCTTCGCATGTAGCGTACGAGGAGCATTTGTTAGCGCTTGTACATTGATCCACATTTGGCTCAGCACATTGGAGACCGGATTCGAGATTTTCTTGGAGAAGAGATCTTTCCGGGCAAACTTGGTCCATTGCGGAAGAAGAAATTGGGAAGACCTTTGTAGAGCGGGAACAATTGTTGGTACAGACAACTGCACAGTTTCTTTCTTCGATGAATCCAGGCAATTCACGGCTGCATTCGACAGTGCATGTATCTAGGCAATTCGCCGTAGTTTGTACATCTGGAGTGGAGCTGGTAGTTGTGGTAGTTGTTGTCGTTGTCGTCGTCGTCGTTGTTGTTGTTGTAGTTGTTGTAGTCGTAGTTGTGGTGGTTGTCGTAGTGGTAGTAGTCGTCGTAGTTGTCGTCGTCGTCGTGGTAGTAGTAGTTGTTGTTGTCGTCGTTGTCGTCGTTGTAGTTGTTGTCGTAGTTGTTGTCGTAGTAGTAGTGGTAGTTGTTGTCGTCGTTGTAGTTGTCGTAGTTGTTGTGGTTGTAGTTGTTGTCGTAGTAGTCGTAGTAGTAGTAGTAGTTGTTGTTGTTGTAGTAGTGGTAGTTTTTGTTGTTGTTGTCGGTGGCTGAGTAATAAGACCAAGTGGAGACGCTGTAGTTGTTGTAGTTGCCTCTGTGCAGTCTCCAGTGCAGACAACTTCGCAGTTTTTACCGATAGTATCTCCAGCACTTACACGAACTAAGCCTGGGCATACAACCTCGCATGAACAAGTTGGAGCTGTCGTGGTTGGTGCACTTGGCTGAGGAGCTGGTGGCGCGGCAGTAGTTGTCACGGCGGCAGCAGCGGAAGTCGTTGTTACGACTGGAGCAGCGGTTGTAGTCACGACTGGCGCTGCAGTTGTTGATGCAGGAGCAGCTGACGTTGATGCAGGAGCGGCTGTAGTTGATGCGGGAGCGGCTGTTGTGGAAGCGGAAGATCCGCAATCACCTGTGCAAACGACATTACACTTTTGGTCGAGACTATCTCCTGGCAAAAGACCTGCTCGGCAGACTACAGTACAAGTACAGGCTCCAGTAGTCGATGAAACAACTGCCGCTTGACTAGATGTTGTCGTGGTGAATGTCGTGGTCGTAGTGGCTGTTGTTGTAGCAGTTGTAGTGTCTGGTTCAGTAGTTGCAGCTGATCCACAGTCACACTCACAAGTAGCGTCGCCGGCTCCGCAACCAATCACACCAGTGCATTCAGCAGCGCAGCATAGACCAGATGGGTGGAGAACGTCAGTAGCATTGTTACAGATGCAGACGGCTCCGGCGGCTGAATCGTGGCAAGATGTGCTCATTGGGCACCAAACACCGTCCGCACAAGCGAGCATTCCCCATCCTCCCCAGATGTTGGTATTAATAGGCGCCGTCGTTGTCGAAGCGGGGGGTGCAGCAGTAGTAGATGCGGGAGGTGCAGCAGTGGTAGACGCGACAGCCGCAGTAGTTGTTGAAGCAATGGCAGCAGTGGTTGTTGTACCAGGGCACGACGGATCGCTGCATCCAGGACTACAGACAACTTCGCAATTTTTGTCAATTACATCACCGATCTTTGTAAATCGGTTGCAGATGACCTCGCAAGTACAATTGCATACAGGAGTTGTGGTGGTAGGAGCCATTGTGCTTGAAGCTGCACCAGTAGTGCTAGAAACGGCACCAGTAGTACTAGAAACTGCCCCAGTTGTTGTGCCAGGAGCGGGTCCCGCTCCGCCATCAGTCGTAGTCGATGCATAAGGGTCCTTTGTCGTGGTTGATCCTGGTGCACTTGTCGATGCAGAGGCGGTCGTGTTCATGTCAGGTGCATATGGATTGTTACCTCCAACAGTTGTTGTCGAAGCTGCAGGAGCTCCAGTCGTGGTATTCATTGCAGGTGCATAAGGGTCAACAATTGGAGCTGCTGTCGAGGAAGCCACTGCCGAAGTAGTGCTGTTGGCGGCAATTTCTGCGGTTGTTGATGTGGCTGTCGTTGTTGTCGTTCCAGTCGTTGTTGTTGTCTCTGTTGTTGTTTCATCAGCGTTAGTTGTACTCGCAGGAGCAGGAGCGTTCGTCGATTCTGGTGCGTAAGGATTGCCGCCGTACGAATCACCCATGGTCGTTTCCTTATAATCAGTTGTAGTAGTATCTAAGCCTGTAGTGTGCGTGTGTGTGTAGTAAGGGTCCGAAGTTGTAGAGGTCGTGCCTTCAGTTGTGTACAACTTTCGAAAATAACTTGTTCGAACAAAACAAGGGGAGCGAGCGCTTTACCTGCGATGTTGTTGTGTAGTATTTTGTCGTGGTGCTCTCGTATGGATCCTCAGTGGTCGTTGTTGTCGTTGTTGTCGTCGTTGTGGTGGTTGTAGTGGTCGTCGTTGTTTCTTCTTCGATACAAGAGGAAGAGCATTGAATAGCGCCATCGACAAACTGACAGACGCAAGTTCCATAATCATCGACAGCGAGGACGGCCGCACCAGGGCAGTACTCTGAGCAAGAGACTTCGCATTCTCGACCTTGTCCGCCTCCAGTACATTGAAGATCGCAGGTACATCCTGGAGCTGCGGAATTGTAAGAAGAGCCAGATTTAGCGCAACGCTCAAGCGTATCTTAGAAGAAAGAAGTAAGCTTTTAGTAAATTCGAGAAACTTACGTGCAAGGACATTGCCAGAAGTAGCGAATTTATTTATTTCACTGAATGAATTTTTGCAAGAACAGGTTCCATTGTCGCACTTGGATCTGTTTGGATAGGGACAGCCATCAGCACCGCAGTCGGTGTTGCAGCTATCTGGACATTTGATGTCGCAGTTCTCACCGGAAAGATCGCACTCGAGTTTGCAGGCGCAAGAACTTTTAGCAGCCTCGAAGTTCTCTTGAAATAGATATAAAAATTATTTGGATAAATTAAGTACTTTGAGTGTTACAGTATCCTTTTTCGTTGAGACCCCATTTGCATTCGCAGCAGAATCCATCCTGAGCGCAGAAGAGTCCCTTCCAGTCCCCACATTGTTCCCCAGGACCTACATTGTTGCCCCATTCTCTGCATTTTCCAAAGGGGCACTAGGTCTTTCTTTCAAACAAGAACTTTACGACCACCAAACCTTTTTCTCAGAGATCGACTTCTCACATCCATTCATCGGATTATCATCAGCATCCATAAATCCCAATCTGCACTTGCAGGTTCCTTTCTTTCCATCGCAAGCGAGATTTCTCGCAGAACTCTGTCGCCAACCAGCAAAAGCTCTGATCTGCGCGGGCCAGCAGTGCGAGTCCTTCTTGCAGCCATTGACTGGCCAGTACTGTTCGACCTTGGTGGAGGAGATTCCCATCATGCCTCTGACTTGGTAGTCATCTTCGAACTGCTCTGACTGCGCGAAGGCGGCGCTCGCAGCGAGTGCTACAGTGGGTTAAACTTGCCATTTACTAGAAATGTTGATAAGTTGAATTAAACTAAACCCCTTTCCCTGAGAACACGCGCATCCTTCAATCTCTATCTTCAAGTTCGCGATTCTGATCCCACAGCGAAACATTTATCATGATAGCTTGGTGAATTTATGCATTCAGAACGCATCACGTCGGAATTCTCCGAAATATCGTTTGAATAAAGAACTGCTAAAAATGCACCGACGTTAAATTCAGACATAGGCTATATCCGGACTTGTGGTTCTTTAGAAAGACTCTCTTTCTGTACTCTTAGGTAATAAAAGCTACTCCTCGTCTGAGTCACTCAAAATTATCAATCTTCTCATTTTATGTGTTCCCTTGAATATCCACTCTCCTCAGTTTTACGACACTTTAATCCCGCGAATTTTTCACGAAAATAAACCTCTAGCCAGAAAAACAAGTACTGATTTATTTCAAAACAGAGCAACCAGTAGCTACTAGCTAAATTGCTGAACAAAAGAGACGCTCGCTCGCTCGTTCAGCTGGTCTTTGTATGGTTCAAAAGTTTTGGACTTGAGAACAGAAGAAAGAGAAAAAAAAAACAGAAAATAAACGTTTGTTTTGGAGAAAAATTCCAAGCTGAAAGCTTCGATCAGAGATACAGAGATTATGAGAAGAATTCGTAAATTGTTGATTTTATCGCTTCTTTCCGCGGTTTTCTGCGAAGGAACAGGAAGGAAATTCTGCTTTTTCAACTGATTTTTTCAAATTTATTCCCCAAAAAAGACAGTTACGAAAGAAGCAGAAGAAATCTACACGAGAATTTATGGAGGTGAAGAACAAAATCTTCCTTTCCGGATTCCATGGGCTTGGGTCCATCTATCTATTGATGTCTATGTTCATAAGTACAGTTTGAACCCGCCAAAGACTATTCTTATAGCGATCCGTAAGTCTGGCCGAACTGAAATTTGCGCTGGAAGTTTAATTGACCCTGGGTGGGTGCTCTCCGCTGCTCATTGCTTTGATAATGGCTTGGCTGATTCGAGGTTAGTGAGCCAGATCGTTCATTATTTCAGTTACTAACTCATCAATTTCAACTTCAGCCAGATAGGAGTTTGGGGAGGGCATCCAGAACAGCGCCAAGGAGTTTTAAAACAAGTCAAACGAGGGGGAATCCACATCGAAAGACGCTGGGACGATGAAAAGGTTCAATACGATTTGGCACTGCTCGAGCTTGAAACTCCCTTCGATCCGTTTGAAGATCGAGTCGCGTTGATTTCCATTTCCGACGAGGATCGAGTTCCTGCTGGGGCGACTTGTTTCGTCGCTGGGTGGGGAATGACGGAGCTGGGCAAGAGTTCAACCGTTGTCAGACAAGCGCTGGTCAAGATCGTCGACTTTGAAACCTGTTCGAAGGGATGGAAAGACATCGACAACAAGTGAGTGTTGGAGGGGCTTCCAGCGAACAAGTTATTCTTTTAGGACTCAAATCTGCGCTCTCGGGAACGAGTTTGTCTCCAACGATCCTTCCGTTGATCTATCCGGTCCTCGAGTATCAGACAGCTGCCAGGGCGACTCAGGAGGTCCTCTTTACTGCAACACGACTGAAAACGCCTTCCTTCTCTACGGAGCTGTCTCCTACGGCCCAAGAGATTGCGGAACTCCCGGAAAGCCAGGAGTTTACACGAGGCTTTCCTTTTTCCGAGGAGATATAGAAGAACTGTTACAGAAGAAGCTTTCTACAGAACCGATCGTTTACAACGCCACTTTGGAACACAATCGATTTATGAATGGATCTACGAGTAAAACGAAGATCAATGCTAACGTACTTGCACTTTTACTGTATAAATTATTATTCTGAGCCGCAAAGCCCTGTAATTAAAATTTCAACATTCACAATGATCATTGAAAATTAGCCGCGCGCGGCTTTTTACATTCAAAATTTATCGAAAAGTTATTACTTAAAATTTCGATAAATTCTGATTCTTTATCAATTGATAAAGAATTTGCAAAAAGCCGCGCGCGGCTAATTTTTGTCACAAATTCACTTCTTTGAAATTTCAAGAGCCTCTTAGTCAGTTGCTGAGGTAATGTTTGCGGAAGACAATTAAGGAACTCGTGGGCGTATTTTTTGGTCGAAATTTGTGAAAATTGATTTTGCTTCTTTTCAGCTGATTCAGTTGATGAGCTAATTGGTCGCGCAGAAATTGCGTGGAGCTCGATTCTCGCCTCTCACTACTTTTTCCTCTTCCTTTTCCGTTTTTTCGCTTTTAGTACTTTTCAAAGAGAGAGAAAAAAAGAGGATTTTTCTTCCTTGATTTCGTGGAAAAAATAGAGTCGTTAAAAGGGGGTTAATCTTGAACGGGAGAAAAAAGAAGATGATTTTTCAATTTCAATATTTGAGAAGCGAGTTTCTTCAATTTACGATTTTGGTGAGTCTGGCACTTTGCCATCGCCAATTTTTAACGCTACTGACGCTTACTTTTCTCTTTTTCATTTCTCAGAAAAAGAGAAGAGATTTTCTACAGGAAAGAAAACTAATGATCGACCTGGAATTTTCTGATTTCTCGTGAGAAATGTGAGCCAATCAGATTCATCAAAATTTTCAATTGAGGAAATCTGATTGGTTTGATTTCTCACAAAATCGAAACAAAATTCAGATGATCTGAAACTCAAGGCCACTTTTTTCCGAGAATGTTACATAACATCCCTCGATTCTAGAATATGAGGATGGAGTTTTTCTTGAACCTGTTTTCTTAGAAATATCGCAGAAAGAATTTTGTACCCGAGCTGGTCGGAAAGGACGTGGTTTTTGTGCAAAACCGGTGCTTTTCTTGGTATTGCACATACCCGGCCTTGCCGATTTCGCTCTCAATCGACGAAAAATGATGACTCATTACAGACACAAGAAAGTTCAATTTTGGAAAATTGGAATTATATTTTTTAAAAAGATTGATTCAGGAAATGTTTTCGAAGTCAGGAATGTGACAGTAATAATAAAAATGACAGTATAAATATGTTTTTAAGTGAACTACTTTCGAATCTTCAGGGCTTGATTTTTTCTTTCAAATTGATCGAATTCTGATTGAAATTCAAAGGCGTCGTACTGTAGTCTTGGACTTGTCTTCCGGAGAGTTGAAGAGGCGGCGGACCGACTTGGAGGCGACGCAGCAGGTTTCTTTCGAAGAGTGTTGTTTTCGGCAAGTGCCGCAGAATTCGCGAAGGCATTGGCTGTTGTAGCAGATTCCTGGAAAGAAGGTAATGTGAGCGACGGAAAAGTTGGCCTACCTCTGTTTCCTTTAGTTTTCGGCGTTTTTCGACAAGGATGAAAGCAGAAAGGGCATTTGACGATGGAGTCTCCGTCTTCCATTTTCGCTCGAACTTCTATCTCCGTCATGTCTTTCCCCTTGTTTGCTGATGGTTTGTTCAGGAGCATTCGAGAGACTGAAAAGGAAAATAAAATTTCAGGAAGCAATCAGCAAATGACCAACCTGGTGAAAGACTTGTATCTGCAAGCTTCTTCGGCGTGGAAGGACTGGTTCGAGGAAGATTGTTTTCGACCGGCGTCAAGACTTGTTCCTCCTTTTTCTTCGGGCTCTTTTCGGGCAATGGAGGAGTGGAATTGAGAGAACCATCGTTTTCGAGATTCAGAGACGAGTTCTGGGATGAGTTTCGAGAAGATCTGGAGGAATTCGGAGAGTTCTCTTTGTTCATTTCGGCGAATTCGAAGTTTTCTTTCAGTTGGATTTTGTAGCTGGCGACTGGTTTGCAAGAGAGCTCTACTTCTTTTCGCCAGGTTTTGCTGACCCAGGAGCACTAGAATCATTTAATAAAACGTCATTCGAATTTTCACTGAAATCATGAAGCCGCTTGCGGACTCGAGTAAACGAAAACTCAAGTCAAGCGAACGCGGCTTTTCTGCCTTTTTTTTTTCGAAGCCGCAAGCGGCTTCGTGATTTTCAATGATAAATGGAATAACTTCATATTTCTGACCTTTAGTTGATCCTGAACGGACATGGACGAGAGGATGACCTTGACGATTTCGGGATTTCTGCCAACTTTGTTCGCCAAATCTCCCAACGATTCTTTCTTTGATTCAGTCTTGGTCGGCGATTTCAGCGCTTGAAGTTGACCTTCTATCTTTTTCGGTGATTTTGTCTAAATTTTGATTTAACAAAGTGAGCAAAAAATTGATTTCTTACGAGTAAATGAGCTGGTTCGATGAGGTTTTCGCTTCTTCTTTTTGCTCTTCTTGATCTTCTCGTCGGAAAACAGACTTTTACATCTCTAGCTGGCGTTAGACTCAGAAACGAGCTGTTTTTGTTTTCGTCGATTTTCGAATTTTTCGTCTCCAAAGCTTCTTCTTTTTGCTGCGGCGAAATAAATCCCGAATCATCCAAATCCATTTTTTTCGTGATTTCTCTCTCTTTTCCTTTTTCTTCGTCTTTTTGAAGTCGATTTGAAGCGATTTATTCCGTTGTTCGAGCGGGAGCCAATCAGCGCCGCGCTCGCCCAGCTATTTGTCCTTTTCGAAAGAGAAAAGGGATTTCTTGGATTCCAGCCACTTTTTTTCTTCCTGAGGCAATTCGACTTGTGAACCTTAATTTGACAGCTGTTTATTTTGTTTTTTGATCATTTATGATTTATTAGCTAATTATTTTGTTCTTTGAAGCTTTGCTTGATTTTGATTGATTGTTTCTGATGATTAATTTTCATGAGTAAAATGCACGTATCCTTGTTTATCCTCTAACATGCTGCATGTTTTGCCTTGTCCATCCTCGCTTACTCGTATTCTTACTCGGGGCTCGGCAACCTGTGTAGAAAACCTGAGTCAGATTCTGAAAGCTTCGCAAAATTACCATTCCAATCAGAAATACTGACTCAGGTTTCCTGCACAAGTTGGCGAGCCCTGAGTAAGGATACGTGGCCCAAGGGTTAACAAGGCAACAAATGCAGCAATTTAGAGGATGAACAAGGCCACCTTCTATTTGATTCAACTTAGGATTATAGCGTTGGGTCCCCACTTTAACGGTATCCATTGAGAGGGACCCTTATTTTTAGCTTTCCGTTAAAATGACCGTCTTCTTATCATATTTACCTTTTCAGAAAAAGCGCTGAATGAATGAATATGTCCGCCGACTCGCCTCTAAAGAATTCCCCTCTGAAGCAATTCCCTCCGTTTCTTCAAACATCAAGCATCGGATCATGAAGTCAGCCGTGTAAGTGCTACAATAAAACATGCTCAGTCTATATTTTCATCTAGAACAAGCGAGCAGAAAGTGCAGTTGTTTCCAGTCCGAGAAGATCTTCGATTGGAAAGGGTTACAAAAGAAAACAAATTTCAATTCATAATCGAGAAGCCGCTGCGGCTTCGAGCAAAGTTATGTCTAAGCCGCACGAAGCCGTCTTTTAACGGACTCAAATAGGAGAAATTCCGGAGCCGCTTGAAGTTCGAGTAGAAAAAGACGGAAAAGCCGCATTTCGCGCGGCTTGAAAATAATTTTGCTCGAAGCCGCAAGCGGCTTCTCGTTCGTAAGCTTTTTGAAGCGAACAATTGAAAAATAAAACCCTCCAAAGATACCAATTTCCCTTCAAGAGCGAGCAGAAATCACGGAATTCTACAAAAAAGAAGCGTCTCTTATCACTGGAAGTTTCATTCTCCCCCGATTTCTGCGCATTTTCCCGATTGATTCTCGTTTCTTCAAGCTCGCAACTGGATTCACTGCTGGTTTCTGCCTCTCTGCCCTTTATATTTCTTTAATTTTGCCTTCAAAGATTCAGTCTTTCGTCGGAATGGACCGAGGCTATCCAAAGTTTATTTTGAAAAAGTTTTCTTTGGATCGAACTTTTCGCGTTTCAAAAACTGTCCAAGATGACTACTTCCTTTCTCATCCTTCAGAACTCGGCGAAAGAGCTCTTTTTCTTTTCGAAGACTCGCAATTCTTCCTTGATTCATTCGCTCCTAAAAATCTCAATTTCGCGGAACAATTGGGGTTGAATTTTAAATTGAAAGAGTTGATAGATGAAGAAGCTGCGAACGAATTTGATGTTTTTAAGTTAAAAAAGAATATATTCAAAAGATTTTATTCAGAAGAATTTAAATTCATTCGACTTGATTTAGAAAAATGTCGGTGGTAAGATCGGTTTCGAACTGCGTTTACACAAATTTGGCATATGAAGAGTTCCTGTTTCAGAAGAGATTCAGAGCTACCCAAAGTCCTATTTTGTTCCTCTGGCTAGGGTTGAATTAAAGCTATTTTCCGGCCAAGTTCAAGCGCTCTTTTCAACCCTAGAAAAAGAGAAACAGGCCGAGTGTGGTCATCGGTCGCTTCCAAAACCCCTGGCTGGAGATAAACGTCCCCTTTGCGAAAGAAAACCACATAAACATCGCGAGAAGAGTTTCTGGCGGCGGAACTGTTTATCATGATCCGGGAATATCAACTTGTCCTTCATAACGTCTCGCAAAGAATACAGCCGAAAGAAGAACTTGGGAATCATTTGCGACGCTGTAAAGAGCCTGATGCCCGAGACGAATGTTTTTGTAAACGATAGGGACGATATTATTCTAGGTATGATTCAGTTCTGCAAATCGAGAAGCCGCTTGCGGCTTCGAGCAATATAAAAGAGCAGCACGAAGTTTCCTTTTATTCGAAGCTGAGCTCGGCAACGAAATAATTATAATAATATAATTATTGCTATGCTGCATCGTTTTTTAATAGGCCGCTACGCGGCTTTTATTCAGCCAAGACTCGAAGCCGCGTGCGGCTTCTCGATTTTGAATTAAATCTGTTCTTTAGATCAAAAGTGGAAGATTTCCGGCAGCGCGGCGCGATTGTTGAGATTGGAAGCGCTTCATCATTGCACTCTCCTTGTTGATTCCGATGTTGGAATTTTAAATCAAGTTCTGACCTCCAACTCCGACATCGAAACTAGTGCTACTCGCTCCCTCCGCGTCGATGTGAAAACCCTTTCTGATGTTGGAATCAACGATAATCAAGCGCTGGAGACTTCGCTGGCGAAAAACTGGGGCAAAACTTATGAAGAAAATTTTGAAAACGTCGAAATAGTGAATCCAGAAGAGCTTGACGAGATTCAAGAAAGAGTGGAAGAGCTGAAGAGATGGAAATGGATCTTTGGCCAAACACCTAAATTTACGCTGGAAACGGAAGATTCAATCATTACTTGTTCAAAAGGAAAGATCCTCTCCGTTCGCCTCAAATCTGGTATGGAACTCTCCGCATTCGAAGGAGTCATGCTCGATAATCTGGAAACTCTTGCGACCTACTCGGAAATCGAAGAACTCGCGAAAAAGCAGATCATTCTTGCACTGGAATAGCTCTTTTTTTCAATAAAATCTTACTATTCAATAATTGAATTTCAATTAACGTTCGAAGTTTATTTTCAAACTAAATTCTGAAAAAAAACACTTCGCGCTTTGCTGAATGTTTATTCAAAATATAATGCGAACAAAAATTGATAGATCAGAAAAAGAAAAGTCAGAAAAGATCGTTGGGGATTGCATTTAACTGGTCGTGAGTTCTGTCAAACTCTTGCTCTAGTCTTGCCATAACATCGAGAACTTTATCGTGAGCGAGCACTGTCAAGGTCTCGATCTTTCCTGGAGCAATGATCCATGGACGATCCGGAATCCTTTCATATTCGGCTAAGTGAAGTTCGAGTTGAACTTCCACTTTTTTAAGTTTTGCTAAGAGCTTCTCCTCCGCGGCCAGTATTCTTTTTTCGCGGGCGAGTTCTTTTTTAATGCGGGTTAGTTCCTTCTCTGTCTGTTCTTTTTCACGTTGACTGTTGAGATACTTGAACATTTTTTCTCTCAGCCGGGTCTAAAGTAAATAATAATTTAGTAAGGTATAGTTGGCAAGAAAAAATAACCTTGGATCTGGAAGCTCTTAATTCTTTGTTGTGCTTTATGTTTGCAAGGTTGCTGACGATGCATCTCAAGGCTTTAGACTGGGAATCCGTGATCTGCTTCTCGGATTCGAGCTTGTACAGGTCGCGCACCGATTTCTCCGTCAAACTTGATAGTGGCATTATCATTGTCAAGAAGCGGACAAATTGCTCCATTTGTCTGCGCGCTCTTCTCTGCTTTCTGGTCTCGACCATTGTTGCGGAAAGACCTTAATTCGACAAACTCAAGAATACTCGATAATACGATAATGTAAAAAATCAAACTTACCTCAATAGATCAAAACCTTAATTATTACGATCAACCAAAAAACTAATTGCTCGTAAAGATTGTTCTAGAAAACAGATTTTTTTTATCCTCTCAGACTCTCCTGCCGTCAAACATCATTGATATCAAGGAAGACTCATTTTTTTATTTTTTCTTATTTTAGCACTGGAAAACGAAATTAATACCGATAAAAGCAGGCCTTTACCCTGGATAAAAAGATTGTCGCCACCCTCTGGATAAAATAAAAAAACGCAAAATTTCAAATGCAATCTGTTGGCTGTTTATTAATAAAAAAAGTCGCTTTAGATAGAAAATTAAAATTACTGATCGTCGGGAATAGCGGATAACTCATCGTGAATTCTTTCAAATTCCTGCCAAAGTACTTTGATAACATCGTGAACTCTTTCCAGAGCGAGTGTTGTTAGAGTCGCGACCTTCTCTGGAGGAGCTAAAGAATAATGACGAATAATTCGTTCAAGTTGGTCAAGGTGAAGATCAATTTGCTCTCTGAGTCGGTCGAGTTTGTCGTGCAGCATCTTCTCCACGGCCACTTTTCTTTTCTTGCGGGCGACTTCTTCATTTAGGCGGGCTAAGTCTTCATTTTGCTGTTCCAATTTACGTTGTTGACGGAGAACCTTGAAGACAGTTTCTCTAAGCCGGGTCTGAAATCAATGAATGTTTATTAAAAATTTAATGTTTAATAAGACAAAATACCTTCCATTCGGAATCTTGGAAGTCTTTGTTCGGTTCTTCCTTGGAAACCTCGACGAATACGCGTTCTAGTGTTTCATAATGGGCAACCGTCATCTGCTTCTTGAATATTATGAGCTTGAAGGAGTCGCGCAGGATTTTTTGCGTCAAGCTTGACCGTGGCATTATCTTCGTCAAGTAGCGGACAAAGTTCTCCATTTGTCCGCGCACTCTTCTCTGCTCTCTGGTCTCCACCATCGTTCAAAGAAACTCGAGAAACTTACCAAATAGTTATGCAAAAATATCGAGCTTACCTCAATAAATCGAAACCTTAATTATAACGACTGTAGACCAAAAAACCAATTGCTCCTAAAGATTGTTCTAGAAAACAGATTTTTTGATCCTGTCAGACTCTCCTGCCGTCAAACATCATTGAGATCAAGGAAGACTCATGTTTTTGAAAACCATTTTTTTTTATTTTTTAAAAATTAATATAACTGCAAATAGGAAAAATCGTCGGAAATTCTGTCAACATCTTCTTGGAACATCTTGAAAACCTCTTTCGCGTTTTTCAGAGAGAGTTCTCTCAGACTTTCAATCTGCTCTGAAAAATCTGGAGCATCATCTAAAGTACGGTCAATCACCGCTTGAAAACGCTGTAGGATCTGCATCGTGGCCAGTTCTTTTTTCCGGCGGGCGTTTCTCTCTTCAAGCTTGGCTTTTCTTTCTTCAATGCGGGCTAATTCTTCAGTATCTTCTTCTATTCCACGCTCGTGGTCATGGATCTTGTCTTTGAGGCGGCTCTGAAATAAGTAAATTAATGTGAATTTGTATTAATTTTTTGAATCTCTTAAATACCTTGATGATGGAAAGTTTGAAGCCTTTGTCCATCTCGGCCTTCGCGAAGTCGACTACAATAGATCTGAGTGTTTCAGCCTGGTTTGCCGTGAATCCCTGATCTACGCTGAATTCGGCCTTGTAGCGGTCGCGCACAATTCTCTGCGTCAAGCTCGCAATTGGGATCGTCTGGAACAAGTGGCGGACAAACCGCTCCATTTGTCCGCGCTCTCTCTGGTCTACCATCGTTGCAGAAAGACCTTAAATCGGAGACACTTAGGAATCTCGCCAGAAGATAAAACTAACCTCAATAAATCAAAACCATAATTATAACTCCTCAACCTAGAGACTTGTTTGGCCAAAAATCATTCTAGAAAGCATATTTTTCATCCTCTTTGTTAACCGACTCTCGGAGTTCCTGGCAGTTATAGATATATGGTATGTTACATACCGTATGTATCATTGATATCAAGGAAGACTCACATATTTTTTGCTGCTTTTTGATGCTTTTTTTCCGTAATTTAATGCAGAGAAAATTAAGTGGAACTGAAAAAGAAAAATTAATAAAAATCAGAAACAGGAAAGGAAATGAGAACGTTCATTCCCACATTTTTGATCGCGACTCGAAGTCGTTGAGAATTTTGTTTGTCTCCTCGCTAGCTCTTATTACTGCGGCAAAGTGTCTTTCAATCTCTTCTTCTTGATCAGCAGCAACTTCATCTTGATCGCATTCAAATGTCTTTATACAAAATATCTCATAATAATGACGTTTGGTCTTTGTTTCAAGTCGTTTGAGTTCCGCCTCCTCGATTTCCGCCCGGGCTAGTTCTTCTTCAATCAGTGCTTTTTTACGATCGGTTCGAGCTCTGCGTTCTCTGATGCCTTTCAACTTTTCTGCAGCTTCAATTAAAAACTGGGCTATTTGTTGTTTCTCCTGAAGTATATTTAATTATCAAAGGTATCGAGGATTCAAACATAATCATAATTTTCTTACTTCGACGTCGTTTTTCTCAAGCTTGGACTCCAGTAGTCGAAAAGAGTCGTTCAATTTCCGACATAATTCGAGCCTATTCCTCGTCTGGTCATCTTTACCGTCCAACTTGCGCGTCATTGAATCAATTTCTTCTTCGATGATTTTCCGTGCTTCTTCAAGTTTGATTCCGTCGATACCCTTATTCACTATTATTCAAAAAATCAGAGCATAAATTCAGAAAAATACAATGTAGAATAATAATGTATAGAAATACAATAAGAAAAAATACCATAGAGCTGAATTTTCTGTTCATCTCCGCCTTCGCAATTTCGTCCACCACGCATCTTAGTGTTTTGAACTGGGGAGGCGACAAGTCCTGATCTTTGTTGAATTCAGCCTTGTAGCGGTCGCGCACGATTCTCAGCGTCAAGCTTGACAGTGGGTTCGTTTGGAGCAAGCTGTGAAAAAACTGCTCCATTTGGCCACGCTCTCTACTCTGGTTTCTGGTCTCGACCATCTTTGCGAATTCTGAAAACTCAAGAAACTCGCCAGAAGATGCTGCAAAAATATCAAACTTACCTCAATAAATCAAAACCTTAATTATAATTATAAATTCGAAAACTGTTTTTGATCAAATATCGTTCTAGAAAACAAATTTTTCCATCCTACCATCCCAAATCATTGATATCAAGGAAGACTAACATTTTTTTATCATTTTTTATTTATTTTTGGAGCACCGGAAGAGGGGCAGTTGCTTGAGCATTATAATTACAATAATTTAAAAACACAAAATTGGCAAAGTAAAAATAATGGATTCAACCAGTACAGGGATCAGTTTTGATAAATATTTTCAAGAGACAAATTATTTTCAAAAATTAAGTTTTATCTACAGCACAGACAGGAGGTCAGTAAGAAGCCAATCGTCCGATTCGCTATTTAGCAGTTTTTCAGTACTTCCGACTTGATTGTTCCATCGTGGCCAAGTGCGTCTGTTTCTTGGCCAAAATTGTCCGTGCTCATGCCCAGTCCGGCGAATGAAGAATGCGGGCTTTCGGGATCATCGGCCATCTCGGCGGAACCTCCACCGTTTCCAACTGCGCTTCCGCTGCTTCCGCCGTGGCTTTCCTTTCGCTCTCGTTCCTGCTCAATCTGTTATCAATTAGCTTTTTTGATCACACAATCACGTGGTCGAGAAAATTAAGGAAAAAGGACGCTTACCTTCTTTTCCTTGACTCGTCGATTTTGAAACCAGATCTTGACTTGTCGATCAGTCAGGCTCAGATCTCGAGAAATCTGCTCCCTCTTTTGCCTCGTGATGAACTTGTTCTGGGCGTACTCTTGTTCTAGCTGGCGAGTTTGCTGCTTTGAGTAGGGCTGGCGCTTCTTGCGGATCGCTGTGTGCATTGGATAAGAATAGAGTCCTAAAAGAGGTTGATTAGCTTATTACTCTTGGATCGAAAATCTGCAGAAACCTGAGTCAGAATATGAACAGCTCGAATGAAAAGCCGCGTCGCGGCTTTTTAAAACGAAGCCGCAAAGCGGCTTCGATATTATTTGAGGATTAATTGAAACTATTATATTTCATTTGAGCTGTTCAGGTTCTGACTCAGATTTCTACTTATGTAGCTGTAACAAGAGCTTACTCGAAGTTATCTAGTATAAAAGGGTGTTTTTGTGTGTCATGCTTTAATACTGCCGTTTCAAACAGAGCCGCACAGTATGAGGCCCAAGGGTCATAAATTGATCTCGTTAAGTGAACGCTTCCGACAGGATTGGAAGTTTCCTCGGCCCAGCCCTTTTCATCACGCCGCCCCGTGAGTCTAGGTCGATAAAACTCTAATTTCAAATTGTCGAAATTTTTTTATAACCCCCTGTTACCGCTTGTGCAGCATGATGGGCTTACAAGCAGAATTGTGTATTGCTTCTTTTTGAATTGGAGATTCCTACATTATGTTTGACGAGCGCAAAGAAAAGCGCTTTGAGCATGAAATTTATGTGTTGGAATAACACCTTCACAAAAGGAGCTCGATTTATCGAAGAGTTTTTATGTGTGTGCCCAGAACGTCAACCACTCCACCGAGGGAACGAAACACTTCCGGGGTGAAAGAAGCGACGAATCATTGCAAAATACGCGGATTCGGGTATTCATTTTCAAGGCCTTCGAAACCTGTGTAGAAAACCTGACTCAGGCTCTGACTCAGATGACAATTATTGTCTGTTGTAAGACTCAGGCGAAGCCGCTCTGCGGCTTTAGTTACTATAAAGCCGCAAAGCGGCTTTTTATCTAAGCTCTTTCAGAGCCTGACTCAGGTTTTTACACAGGTTTTCAAGCCCAGTTTGTAGGGGAAACTTCAAACTGGAATTTGAAGTTGAAAATTGGCCGGTTAAAATGTGGGGTAAAAACAAGAAGGTTTGGTTAACGAAGAAATTAGTCGACAATTGTATAATTATGAGCGAGGCTCCAATTTTACGTGTAAGTTATGAGGCAGGTTAGGGTTGTTACTTGACGTTAAGTTGGTTTTACAATAGCATGTAAAAAGTTTGCGACTTCCGTCGCTATTTCGCGATTTGAAAAAAGTAGCTCGTCAATTTTAAATCTTTGTATCTTCTTTCTTGAGCTTACTTTTACTGCTTTATGTTTCAAATAATTTTTATTCTGTGAAAGTCAATTCTGATCGGAAAATGATTGAGGTGAGAATTTACGGGACTGTCTACTTGTCAAACATGTAGCCAAATGGCAATGGGCATCGCCACGTGTGTGCCCAAATGCCATAACAACTAGGGGTACACTCTAAAAGAGACACTAAGAGTCTAATTTTTCCCCGTTGAAAAGGGACAAAAGTGGCGATTGCTCCTTGCAATCAAGAAAGAGTAGACTTTGTCGGCTTCATTAATCACGAAATAATCTAAGAATCGTAAAATTGTAAAATAGTAAGAAACCACAAATATTGCCGAAAGAACTGGTGTGATTTGCGAGCCACAGCTTTACATCGTGAACTGATTTATATGATTAAACGGATCGCGCAATAATCCAAGTTTATGATCATCATTTCTGACTCGCGCTAGCTTACTTTTTATGCTCGATGAAAACTTTAACAACACGAGGCAGTCATAAATCTTGCCATCGCGCCCATTTGCGTCACATAAATCACGAAAACGACTCCATATATTTCTTATGGGGCGCAGAAATAATATCAGAAGCGGAAGTCAAAGGGCTTGACCTGCATTTATAGGCTCTTTATAGAGTTAGTTTCTTACATTCCTGATGAATTGCTGACGCCTCAAGGGTGTCATTTACGATATCGCCCTGCGGCTGGTGCCTTTGTCTATTTGAGGACTAGTAAAATTCATTGCTGAGGTAAACTCTGGACATCTTATCAACCGATATCGTATCCACGGAAAATTTACGTAGACATTCAAATTTCCAAAGAAGAAAAAAGGGGACTCAATATTCTGTCGCGGGGCGAATCAAGCTTAGCAAGTTTGAGTCACTCAGGAAGACCTTAAATTCTCCCGGAAGTCGTGAAAAAATGTAGCAGAAAAAATTTCTTACCTGGGAAAGTCGAGTGAAAAGGCATGCCAGACTGCGAGTAGGGATCCATGACATGTGGCCAGCCCCCTGGTCGGATGATATTTCTAAGAACAAAGTTATAGTTGCTAATTCCCTCGTAATCATTATCAGAATGGCCATAAGTTATAAGTTATAAGTCCAATGAAGGTCATTTAAACTTCAAAGAGACCTTCGCTGATCTCGAGTCATAAAAAAAATGTTTGGCCAATTAGATGTTTACAATTTTAGCGGCGGCGCTGTTTACCCTCCGCCCCGAAATGCTGACCTTGCGAAAGACTTTGGTACTGAGCAAAGGTCTCCCGGAAGGTTTCAAAGATGAGAAAAGAAAAGCAGAATTGAAGCGCAATTCTGATTTAGCGAATTGAAGGACTCGAACTTCCTGCTAGTATTTAATTAGCACGTCGGTTAATATTTACTGAATTTTTATCAACGTTGCGATAAATAATTTGGCATTTCTCAAAGCTGCACAAATTCACTTACGGATGGTAGAAGGGCTGTTGGCCGGGCATTTCGCGATGCATGAAGCCTGGATTGTGCGCGAACATCGGCTGGTTTCCCTGCTGAAAATTTTATTTTCCAACTTTCAGCGGAAAAAATGGTCTTACCAAAACTCTATTTTCGTAAATATTCGCGTAGACGTTGCCAATCAGGGGCGATTCTGCCGATGAAGGATTCGAGTTAGGATCTACCGATGGCGGTTCCAATTTTGGTTGGCTAAAACAGACCAATTAAACGACAATCGACAAAACCTTGTGGCCGAATCCCTAGGCTATGAATTCAATAAATTAACCAGCTCTCACAAATGTCATAAAATACCAATCTCGCTAAATTGAACCTGCCCCGCTTTCCTACAACAATGCCTTTTTTAATCACTTGTCTACATTTATTATCAATAAATGCTTAGTAAAATATAAATCTATAATTAATATTTATTTTAACAGCCGAATAAAAGTTCTTTATTGGCAGCTTAATCTTTCTCTTTCTTTTTTCGAAAAAGTTTCACTTACAATTTCGCGTTCATTTTTCTGGGCAACGAGTGAAGACACTTGTGAGGTCTGTAGTTTAATGCTCAATTTATAGGCAATAATAGATAGGTTAAGGCACACAGCGTTCGGACTTTAATAAGGCCATTTGGGTAGCTTGGTAGCTTACCCCTTTATATGGGCGCGTTTACCTGTTGGTGTGGTCAAACAAGTTGCCTTCCCGAAGACCGCCGACGGTAGAAACCGGTGGGGCCCAGCTTAACCCGCTCGTGGCAGGCATGCCAATTGAATGGGCATGGCTTTCTGAGTTCATCGAGGCGAAGGAGCCTGTCGAGCCGTTTCCGTCTTCGTACTTGGGCTGCAAGTTTCCAGGGTTCATAATTTGCTACAATTTTAATGAGTTTCCGACGCGTTGAAAATTGAAATCAAGGAAGAGAGAAAGAAAAAATCTGGACTTACCGCAAAATTCCTGGCTTCACACTGGGTCATGCGACCAGTTTGACCAAGAGTTTTTGACCAATCTCCTTTTCTGTACTCTTTTTTAGTTCTTCTTGCAATTGATAAAGGCAGGTCTCTTGTTTTTGCTCGATTGTGAAAAAAGGGTTCAGGGAAGTTCCGAGTTAGTGTCTCAAGTTTGGTGATTAATTGATCTGTCGGATCTGCGAGGACGGCAAACGCGCGAAAGCTGTCGGGCAACGGACGATTTACGACTTTGTGTAGAGGCCGCCGGAGCTGCGATCCATGGCTTGAGCACGCTGAGCGAGCTCGATCGCAGCGCCACCCAGCGGCGCCACTGGTTGTTCCTCCTTGCATTCAACGAGAAGACGAAGAGCCATGCATCCAAATTGCTCGATGCGCCATCTTGTGCCACGAATCCCACCCTGCATGGCTCTCCGCAATCCGCAACGATATCAAGCGATAAGCAATGGCCAGGCAAATCGAGCTGCAAATTTTCCATTCAAAAAAAGGTCACGAGGATATTTGCGCCAGCAAAAAAGTTTAAGTGCAGGTGGCAAAGTAGCTATCGCCAGAAATATAGTACAAGCTTTCTGCGTTTTAGGACCGGTAAATATATAGAAAGAGAGGTCTTTAAATTTTATGTTACAATGGAGATTTATGAAGGCATAGCTGTCAAATGGGCATTATTGTTATGAATTTTATGGATTCATAATTCATCACTAGGATTAAAAAGGGCAATTCGACTATCCAACAAAGCATTATCAGTAGCTTCTTCTATCAGTCTTTTTTTTATACGCCTCTGATTTTCATTCATTTGTATTCATCGCCAAATTCATTGGGCAGTTGCTCTTTGACTCCTATCCGGTCAGCTCGGTAGTAGCTGGTATTGAGGCCCGCTATCTGACCCTATAAGCGTCTTTATACGCGTGTAAAATCATCATATTAACCCCTAACAATTCACGGTTATCGTCGTTAATGGAATCATAAAGCGCCGCGTGTGATACATTTTCGCGAGCATTTATTGATCATGAATTGGGTTTACTGCAGAATGAAGATTTTACTCGGTCTTTTACTCAGATTTTGTGGCACAATCAATTTTCTTTCATTGGCTATTCACCGAGACCATAGGAAATAACTAACAAAATAAAATGCAAATTTACAGACAACAAAATACCTCGTGAACGCTTTGAATTCGCGCTATAGACATCAAATAAAAACAGGTTTTACCCAGAGAAAAAAAAAGAAAGCCAAGGGGACCTGCGTAAAAACCTGTGTCAGGACCCTGACTCAGGATTCAACACAGGTTGCCAAGCCAAGGAAAAGAAAAGCTTTCCGAAGGCACAATTTTTGACGAAGATAAACTTCATTTTTCCCTCTTTTTCTTCAAAATTCTTGATCTTCTCCATCTTGAACGAATTTCGCTTAGCTTTGAGTTCAATCCTGATCCGTTCTCGTCCGAGTCCACTCTTCAGTTCGCTTCATTTCGTCACTGGCGTCTCTCATCCTCGACATGGCGGTCGCTTATCGAACAAAGTATAACGAATAAACCCGTGATAAGTAAATTTGCGCCCCGGCGACGCCAGCATTGCAATTGATATCAAAAAAGACAAGTCGCGGAGAATTCCCCGACAACGCTGAAGGTCGCGGCGGAACTGACAAGTTTCATAATTTCAAATCGCTGCTCGTAAGTTTACCGCGGAAGTACACTTTCGAGCTGGAACGATTCTTTTGCTGAAAGTTGATCAGAATTTTTACTGCTTTTGCTTTTTCAGAAGAATATTTTCTAAATTGACATTGAAAAAAAGAGAGTGAGTGACGGATTTTATGGTCAGACTCGGTACATACTGAGTTCCTCGGCACCCTCCTCTAATCATTATCAAAGTCTCACGCTGCGCCATGCCGAGTTCCATGCCGATCAATAGGTACTGCTCCGCTTCTGACTCTAATAAACGCAAAAACGGAGCACGCGCGGTTCCCTTTGATTCCCAACTTTTTCCCCAGCGAATTCCCTTCTTCCGGGACTCTCATTTTTCTCCTCCGGAAGAGGCAAAATCAAGACCCGTGCCACTCTTCTTCACAGCTGATAATTTAGAGCACTGTCTACCCGTTGCGAGGAAAATGAGCAAACCTCCAAGCAGTAGCTTTATGACCGGATGTCGTAACATAACCGGGCCACACCACCAAAGTCCATTCCGTTTCGCTGCCCTCTGATCTTATCCGACTTCGGCAAAAACGATTTTATGGCATTTTCCGTCAATTTACGAACCCATACTAACTGAGCTCCGTGACCTGTGTAGAGAACCTGAGTCAGGGTTCTGAAAGATCGAAATGAAAAGCCGCGTAGCGGCTTTTTTAAAGAAGAAGCCGCGAAGCGGCTTTGCGAAATCAGCATCACAACATATTTTTGAATTATGGCGAAGCCGCTGCGCGGCTTCGTTTAAAAAAAAGCCGCTACGCGACTTTTCATAGAAGCTCTTCAGAATCTTCTGAGTCACAAATTGTAACTGCCAACGACATTAAACGCTCCATTGATACAAATTTAACATTTCTCCACTGCGCCCTTTTTCCCATCATCAAATAAAGTCAATGCATGAATAGAAATATCAATATTATATCCCTTTCAAAATGATGCGCCTGGCGTTGAGTCGCAATAAGAATTAACTTTGCCAGCTGCTTTCCCTGACTATAAAGATTTAACGTTCACCCGTGGGAAGCCTCCTCTCGAGTAACGACATCCGCTTGGTCCCTTTTCTTCTCTTTCGTCTCTCTTGGGACTCAGCCCTTGCAAAGCTCGAAGGTGGGTAAAATGCACTAGTGAAGATTAGCTTTCAATGTACTGTAATCTGGGCTCGGCAACCTGATTATAAAGATTGAATCAGAGTTATGAACGAGTCAAATGAAAAGCCGCTACATTTTTAAAAAAGCCGCTACGCGGCTTATCATCTATAATCTTCAAAACCTGACTCAGGTTTTCTACACAGGGTGCGAGCCCAGGTTGTGCTGTAGAAAAGTAAAGGATGGTCATATAAATTTGGAAGCGAATTTTTCTTTGGAAACTCGGCCAAATATTTAGAAGCGACGGTAGTAACCGCAGCGGGAAGAAAGGATAAGTTCCATGTGGGAACATGCACAATCTTTTACGAGGCCAACGCGAAAGAGGCCACTCAATTATTTCTGGCAGTCGTTTATTTCAAGGGCACAAATTAAATGATTGAAAAGTAACTAACCGGGTTGGTAAATGATTAAGAGAACTCGTTGCCTATCCGTATGCAATTGGGACGACATCCATGGGCATCATCATCGAACCTGACTGCTCGGTTCGATATGGATTCGGCTTGTGTTCCGCCTTGATCTGTCGTCCTCGGTAGGGCCTTGCTTGCTCCACAGCCCAGCCACTCGTTTCTAGCCCTTGCTTTCGAACGCGATAGTCGGTCTTGAGCGTCTGGCAGATTTTGAAGAACTTGGAGTTCTTTCGCTTCGGGCGGTGGCGATCTTCGATTTTTGGGTTGTCTGAAAAAATAATGAAAAAAAGAAAGGTTTTTTCTGTTACCATTCTTGAAGAAATCGGCGTGGTGGAATTCGTGCCACGATGAAAATGAATCCAGGTTGTATTTTTCGCAGAGCTGGTCGAGTTTCCAGAAGAAAGCTTGGTCTAAAATGTAAATGAAGAATCTTGTGAATGGGTGAGAGATGTACTTGTTTGGTAGATCTGGTTGAGATTTCTTTCATCCTCGACGTTGCCGACGCCGATGTCGTTGAAGCCAAAGATGTTGACGAGATTGTGCTGGAGTCGGTTGTTCATGTCATCGCCTGGGCCGTAGTTGTCGACGTACTCGGGAGCTCGGCCGACTTCTTTTCCTGCGACTCTGCATCCTTGAGCCAGCTAAAAGGGGCGTTTTCGAAGCAGAAAGGATTTCTTTTTACCTGGAAGAGCATGTGAAAATTGACAACGATTGTCTCTCCATGCATGTGATCTCCCCATTGAATTGGGTCAAAGTCATCATCCCAAACCTTCAATCAAAAAATTTCAATAAAAAATTTCATTCAATTCAATATTACCGCTTTGTACAAAAAGTACGGAAATAGTTCATAACCCTGAATCTTCAAATGCCAGTCAAACTTTCTTTTGGATCGGAGAACGACCAAGGCCGGAAATCACAGTCCATGTCGCTGTCGAGATCCGCCACGAGCAGGTGGTAAATGATTTGCTGAATTTTCAAGTCGACGGGAAGCGCTTCGAATGGAACGGGATCATCTGCGTTGGCGGTTTTTCGTTTGATCGGCGATTTCTTGTTGTTTCTGAAAAGTGGTTGAAACCGATTGGCGAAAAAGAAGGCATTACTTGTCCATCAGTGCCGTTTCCTCTACTAGCAATGGTCTGTGAGTGTGGCCAAAGATATCCACGGGTACTATCGGGATACTTTCTCTTTTCACTGATTCAGACTTCGGCATCTTCGCCGCTTTTTTTTGTCTCTCCTCTGCTTCAGGAAATGGGCTTTTGGAAATGAACCGGCGAATCCGAGTTGGGCTGACTCATCTGATTCAAAGTTCTCGAGAATTTTTCAGCGCGCGATTTGAGTTCTCGAGAAAGTGAAGATCTAAGAAATTCTAGCTGCGGAAAATAAGAAAAAATACAAGCATTTTGATCTGAATAGGACGAAAAAAATATATTTTGAGAGAAATTACAAAATAGTGCATTTTGACCCCTCCGTCTGGCAATCTTTTCGAGTACTAAAACAATTCAATAATTCTTCATATTATACCATTAGAAAGCTAAGAGGCTCTTCTAGGGGGATTTTGATAAAAATTGTAAAAAAATAAGCTATGAAATTGAATTATCCGACCGGAAGTGCACTCGAATTTTCGTAAAACTGTAGTGTCTTTATCGTGACCAAATGGCTTTTTTGATTCGTTTTTTCTATCTTTTTAATACAAATCCCCCTAGAAAAGGCTATAGGCTTTTTATTTATGTATTATACAACCTAATTAAATTGTGAATACTGCTCGAAAAGATTGCCAGAAGGAGGGGTCAAAATGCACTATTTTGTAATTTCACTCAAAATATATTTTTATATATTATTATTAATATTATTTATTCCGACGGAAAAAGAAGATATTCGAAAAGGGAGTTTCTTGTCGTTGACAGAGGGAAACAGATAAGTTTGTCTATTATTGGGAGCGAAAGACAAAACTTTTACAAAGTTTGATAAAAGAAGTTTCGCACTTTGTGAGGTGCAGCGGTATGGAGCGGGTTGGAGGAGTAGACTTGGAGATCGCCGAAGCCCTCTCCGGTCAAGGGGTAGCTTCCCTGCATCACGACATTGCCATCGACAGTTGCAGTGAAGTCGACATCGCTGGAACTGAAGGGGCTATTTTGAACTTCGAGAGCGTAAGTGTTCCATTCGCCGTCGACGCAGGCGAAATCATGGTATGTCACGAATCCCGCGTTGTCGCCTTTATTGATCACGAAGTGGATCTTTTGCCATCCACTGCCTTTGCTAAGCACAAAGAGTCGATCTCCGACGCCGTCTTCCCAGACATCGGCGCCTAAGAAAAGAATGTTCTGGAACTGGCTCTCAGTTCCGCTATGGTCGCAGAAAACTTCAGCCGAGATCTTGTAAGAAATCGCAGCAGGGACGGGTCCTAGCGAGGTATCTCGGACGGGGGCGATGGCGCAGCCGTCGATGAGGGTGTAGCAGTTGCTGAGGCCGTCGCATGGGTTGCTGTCGCAGGGAGGTGGTGTTGGCGCGATTGGCAGGCTGCACTGGAGTTGCTTGAGCTTTCTGTTGAAAAGCATGTTGCGCTGTCGCTGAATGGTTCTGATCATCTTGTGCGGAGCCCAGCCGTTGTTGGCGGTCAGGTCGACATCATCCATGCAGACGTAAGCGTCGTGGTAGCTCGTCACAGAGGCAATGAAGTTGTTGATCGAGTGGCAAATGTCCTCACTGTCGTAGTAGGGAGGAACGAATGCGGCGGGGTCACCAGAGCCGGCGAATTCGGCGCAGGATGCCGACACTCGTCCGGGAAAGTTGTTGACTTTGTTGTAGAAGTCTCCCACTCGATTGGCCTTCTTCACTGCTTGCTTTTTGCCGGTGCCTACGTATGCGTCGTGAACAGCGTCGTAAAGATCGGTGTAGGCCGCGGCGACGTCGGTCCAGGCATCGTTTGCGGACATTTGCGCATTTACAGAAGCAGATGCTGCGATGGCTGCGACGAAAGGCTAGGAAAATTTTACCAAAAGAATCTTCATAAAAATCTTACCTTCATCTTACTACCAAAGTTTTCTCTCTGGATGATAATTTAATCGTCCCCGCAGTACGATTTTATATCGCAAAAGTGCTGATAACAGCGCGCGCCCGCTAGGTGAGCTCTAGAGCAAAACAACTAGTGCCGGCGTAAAATTGTCTGCTAGCACTATCTGGGTCAACTCTTACGAAATTATATTCCCTAGTTCAACTAGGCTAGTTGTGAAGAAAATCTCTCACACTCACCAAAAATGATGAAACAGAAAGCTTTAGTAATAAAGATGAAATTTTAGGTCGACCAATTATTCATTTTTGGGTATTAAAATGATCAAGCCCTTTCAAAAACCTCTTATTCGTAATTGATTACCAAAACTTGGTATTTTTTACCGAAATTGGTAGAGTGACCAGCCGCTTCCCCAATTTTCAACGAAAATCTTTAAAAACAACCCTCATCGATGTACGTACTCTCGGAAGTATGGCCACGTGCGCTCTGTATTTAGCTAACATTGTTCCAATGTTATAGTTCCAAACTCGACGCTTATTTGAATTCCAAGTATCATACTAATTGCACTATCAGCTTGATGTTAGCATCAACTTTGGGCAATCAAGAAAATGCTTACTTCATCCATTAATTCTAATTCGCAGAGCTCTTATTTTTTATAAAATAAATAATTATAGGATTTCAAATAGTAAAATTCAAAAGCAAAAGTAATGGCACTGGGAATTTATTTGCATGAATTAAAATTGCTTTCAATCGGCGAAGTAGTATAAAAGCAGCGAAATAATCGTCGTGAAGTAGATAAGCGTTCTGAATAATGATATTAAGACCAGTTAAGGGTGTGAACAACGATTTAGCCATTTTTGACTGAAGTTTCAGTAGCTTCCCCTATCATATTCCGTTATTTTTATGGATCATATTTTCAATTGAAGCCTAATCTGTTGGGAAACGGTCGGTTACAATACCAATTGGTATTCCAATACCAAAGTCGGCAAAAAAATTTCAATTTCGTGGACAAAATGCTCGGAGGTGCGCTCCGCGCCTGTAAAATAAGACACTTTAGGAGTGTTTTTAATTATTCCAAGGACAAAAAATCAGAATTATTAAGAAAAAATTGGTATTGGAATACCAAATTTTGGTATTGGAATACCAAAAATCTTTGGTATTGTAACCGACCGTTCCCGAATCTGTTTGCTTAATTTTGCGGAATATTGACAATTATTTTTAAAATAAATTTAAAAAATATTTTTAATTAAGTAAAATTTTACCCAAGCGTGAACGTAATCGTGGCATATTTGAAGGCATTCTTGGCTTCCCGGACACAGCTTTCGTAAGAGCCGATGTCGAACATCTTTGTCGCTTCCTTGATTCTGTTTCTCGCGAGAAAGCTAGAATTGTGGAATCCGAAAAGGGGTATTCAAATTCGCCTTACCCAATGAACGGGCAAAAGTAAAAGGCATTGGTCGCGAAGGTCTTCTCGCACTCGAGTTCTAGGAAGACATCGTCGCGAATCTGCTTCTCTAATCTTTTATAATCACTGGTGAACAAAAACTTCAACAAAACCCATCTGCCGTTCTGCATTTGAATCTGCCTTCGACTGCAGCCGACTGCCAGTGATTCGCGTTGTCGCTGATGATGCTCTTCGGCTTCGTCGCTGAAAAACAGTTAGAAAATGGGAGAACTGTCAGAAGCGGTTTTAATTTCGTGCTTCTTTGGGTACAATGGACTGTATTACAAAGCCTGTATTACGCTTGAGTAAATATTTACGGGATTTTCATCGATCGTGTTTTTGCTTCGTTCAGAATTGATTCATTATTAATTCACAATGAAGGGTGCCTTTTATGCTTGATTAATTATTCTGAATTATTGAATGCTAAATGGTTGAAAATACAGTGATTCTAATTTCTAACTGACCAATTTTCGCTAGAAATAAAATAGTTACTTAAGTGAAATTACTGTCAAAAATCGAGAAGCCGCATGCGGCTTCGAGACAAAAAAGACGGAAGCCGCGCGTCGCGCGGCTTTTTCTTCTTGTTTCGCTCAAAGCCGAAAGCGGCTTCTTGATTTTCGACAGTTATATTATTTTTGTAACTATTTTATTTCCAGCGAAAATTAAAAGATGAAATCAAGGAAGATTACCGGGTCCGACATCAAGTTTCCGACGAGATTATGAACCGCGTTTATCTTCTCTTCTGTTCTTTTTTCAAGGTTGACTTTTGATGGTTCATTCCTGAAGGTCGAGGCTGTCACTAGAAAGTCAAACTTTTCCTGTATGGATCAAAGGCTAAAAAGTACTAAAAATCTCTTCTAAAAGAAAGAAAAAATAGAAAATTGTCAATCTGAGTTTTAAATTTCGCACGGTTAGTTTAGCTATCTTGGCGCTTGTTTGCCGCGCTGCTTTAATCTGTCACAAGGGACTTTTGAGCTTGGCCAAATGCTCAAACGCTCTTTGAAAATGCTGCTTGGGTGAAGATTTTTTTCAAGAGAATCTTTTTCGCATACTTATCCGGTCGATCAGTGTTCCTTCTTCTTGAGAAGGAGCTTTTGTTTGCTGAAGACTTTAATTGAGTTTCAAGAAATTTAAACAAAAGGGTGTCGATTTTGATTTTAATCAATAAGCTTTCTTTAGCTAATTAGCTCGGAGAAATTCAAGTTCAAAGGATTAATCAAAAAGGGTTAATTATCGAGAAACCTTCCTGAGCTTGGCTCGGCAACCTGTGTAGAAAACCTGACTCAGGTTTAGCTGAACAGCAAAATTTAAAGCCGCGTGGCTGCTTCGATATTAAGGGTGTCAACATCGATTTTCAGCGTTAGCTATTAGCTATGAGACATACCCTTACTCAATCGATGTTGACACCCTTAAGAAAGCAGCTGGGCGGCTTTTAATTCTAGCTGTTCAGATTCTAAACCTGACTCAGCTTTTCGAGACAGGTTGCCGAGCCCAGTTCCTGAGTCTTCTGTTGATCTTCCCCAACATATCCATCTTGTTGAACAAAGTCTTCGTGAAAAAGGTGTCCTCTCTAAACCGCACGGAGACAAATACGAATTAGCGAAAGTTTTTTTATCGCACAGTTTAAGACACCGTAAAAGAACAATAAATTTAGTGCAGCCTGTGGACGCAGCTATCGAAGCACAAAAGTGACCACTTTCGTAGACTTGTCATTCATTGTGATGCTCCCAGGAGACGTTGAAGCTTAGACCAGGCACGGTTTTAATTAGTTTTTATTGAATTCCTTGTATACAGTAGTTTATTTTTGCAAAAAGAAATTTATATAATTCAATTAAAACAATAGTAAAATTATTGATTATATTCTTAGCAACAGACGAAATCCGGAATCTTCGAAATCGAAAAGACCATAATTGTTGTTTGTATTTTTTTTCTAGATTATATGCCTGGCACAAAAACATCCATCACTTCATATCTTTGTTAGAGAAATTCAAAGCATTTTGGCCAATTTTTAATACTCGAACAACATGTCATCTCGAGAGAACGAAGATAACTCAGGGAATGATTAAGAAAAAATTGATAGAACTGTAATTATTTTTTACTGTAATGGATTTTCACAGTCGTAAATTTGGTTAATTTTGATGATCATGAAAAGACCTGCTCTCTGTCTGCACTGAGATCATCGAGAAAAACTACGAACGAGGCTTTGAGGAAAGTTACAAAAATCATAAATATAATCTCATCTATGTTATCAAATCATCAATGTTCGACCCTTTTTCTAACTTACAAAAGAACCTCCAAGAAGCGATTGGCCAGTTCATCAAAACAACCCAAGAAGATGTCAAAAAACGAAATATGGACAAGCATATCGCCACTGTTTGCGCCCAAAAGGTGATCAGATGATCTTGTTGCTTAGATAATAACGCAGTTTTTTTAGTTCTTGGATCGAGCCAACAAGAGCGACAATTTCAATGGCAAAAGCGAAGAAGCTGGTATGATATAAATATTATTTCTCTTTTCCGCTATTCTATTTGAAATTTTTAGGCGTTTTGGCGGAGGAGTTTGGAAGAGCTGCCGTGGAATCGATCAACGCGCTCCGGGACTTTCAAGCCGCCATGATGAAACTCACCGAGCTCATTGCTGAATAGAAACTCTGTTCGCCATTACTGGTCATTTTCGACAGTGATAATAAACTGGAAAATCAAGAATGCATCTCAGCCCTTTGAATTCGCTTTTTCCTTCAATTTATTGATCAGAATTATAAGTCCACTTGCAGACTTTTGCATTTTTATCACCAGCTGGCGTGAACACTTCGCATCGTTCGTCATTCTTGAGCAGTTCCCAGCAGTAGTCGTATCTTTGGTCGAATGAGATGATATTACCGCCCTAAATAATTCATCCTGATAACGGAAAAAGCTGTAATTGATGCAAGACCTGATTAACTGAGTCTTCATAACGACCGTCGCTTTCACCAGTGTCATCTGGGGACAAACCGGGCACTTTTAATGGTTACATAACTTTTGACGAAAATTAAAGAGCAAGAGACGTGCAATAACCATCCTGTATTCATTCGAATTCTAGCGATAAATCCTTCTTCAAGCGCTTCCACGACGTTCTCACTGCTTCGATCCATGTGAACTAAAGCGAACTGTAACCGGGCCTGTATTCATTCGCACTCTAGTGATAAAGCCCTCTTTCCGAGCATCAATGGTTTCGGATTGCGGCCCATCCATATTCACTTTATTACAAGTTCTTTCATTCTATGAATCGTTCAACTTACGGAATGGAGTGATTCCACCGCCTTCGTATCTGTTCCCAAAATATTGGTACGGGAAAAATGCTCGGCCTTCCAAGCCATTCGTGTTTTCAATGTACAGCTGGATCAATTCGTTGTCAATCTCCTTCCAAATGATAAAGAAAATCTTTCCGTAGAAATTCTCAACACTTGGCCAGCCACTTTCTTGAATCGAAGCGAGAACTGACTCTTTTCCGTTCCGGAGGGCGTCTGAAAACGGCGATGGTCTCTTCCTTGATTTCATTGAATTTGATTAAAACCTGGAGTGACGATCTTGTTTCCAAAGCTCTGAATCGCCAATTGTTCGAAGAGCAGCAGTTTTTCGAGCGTTATTTCTTCCCTCATCGCTTCAGAGTCTTCAAGAAATCCCAATAATTTCGGCTCAAGCATGATGAACAAGGGGAAGTGACCCGCGTTCGCCTCCGACCAATCGTTGATCAATTTAAAGCATGATGCGGCGCATGTGCACTCGTTAGTCAGCTGATCCCACATTTGAATGTGATAAATGAGCGAGGCCTTCTTTCGCATGTGAAAGTCAAGTTCAAGCGTTCGCCAGCCCATCGAAAATTGCTGGGTCAAAGGTGGGTGTTCATAACTCCAGTCTGGGATCGCCCGAGCCCACCAGTTCGCCCAGTACGTTGGGGAACCTGGATACTGTTGTCGGTGGTAGGAATTGTGAGTTCCGATGGCTCTGGTAAACAGGTTCTTGATCGATTCTAATGTGTCAAAGTTGGACTTGAAAGAAACCTGAGTAAAGATCCAAAATAAAAAGCCGCGTAGCGGCTTTTCTTCAAACGAAGCCGCAAAGCGGCTTCGCCGAAAAAGCCACCTTGATCTATTTTCGCAAATTCTAGCGCGGCTTTCTTAGGACCCTGACTCAGGTTTCTACACAGTCTTCCGAGCCCAATCTAAAAGAACCTGGCCTGAACTTATTAAGAGCATTTTCTCCGCCTGAATCTGACCAATCGATCGGTGACGAAATATCAAACGTATTGTCATAAAGATACGGGCCAACTGAGGAGGATGGCTCGACGTAGAATGAGTCGCAGTAATTATCCGAGCCTCCTTGAGTTGGAAGGTCCAGCGTCTGAGAAAGAGGGTTCAAAAGAGGGGCTTAATTACTACTGTATCTAATCTGTCAGTCAAAAGCATTAAAACTACGTCAATAGCGATTCTTTTTTGAACCCGTTTGTAAACGATCAGAATCGTTGAAATATAAGTCGTAAGGAGTCCAAAAGTAACAGCAAAGAAACTGAACGTTTCGAAATTTCAGCACCCTAGAATTCGAGAAAAATTACCGGCAGCAGAATTTTCTACATCGTGATTTCTTCGAAACGCTAACTTTATTTCCCTCCGGATCTACGTGATGATCCCCCTTGTATTTCTCTTCCGGCAATTTCCCCATTTTCTTTCAAATGACAAGAGAATGATTGGATCGATGTACATGAGCTTTTACGTCTACAGATGCTCGTTCCCATATTCCTGAAATTTCAACGACCCTAGCTTGCTTTTTTTAACTAAACAAATTGCTCAAAAAACATATTGAATTCAACTCTTTCTAGTAGAGACCCGGCTAAATTAATCTTTCAAGACGTTGTTTCTCCAATTTTTAACTTTGGCCGAAGATTGTTTCAAAAATAATCAAGGCTTACGGACTAACTGCCCAGAAACGCCATCATGTGGCGTGAGTGCTCGATGAAAGGAGATTATTGCGTCGCGGACAAATGGAGCTGGATTTCACGAATTCAGAGTTTTTCAAACATTTTTGCTTTTGCTTTATTAAAAATATTAAAAGAGGAAACTTTCAAGACATCAATTTTTAATTTTGATTTTGATGAAAAGGCCGGGATCGCAAATTTAATAACAAAAGGAGGACGTATTTATTATGAGGCAAATCGCTTTATTTTCACAGCCGTTTGAATCCATTCAAGTGCAGTTTTCAGCATTGAAAATCCGACAGTATCACTCTCATGAGCCGAGCCCGCGCCGAGTCACTGAGTTAATATGTAACTTACGAAAAATGATGCTCCTCGAGTGTTGAGTAAAGAAAGAAGAAAGGAGAAAGAAAGCACCAAGAAATCGACCACGGAATTCAAGAATTCGGAATTTGACAAAGGAGAGAAACGATTTTTGTTGAAACAATTGAACAAGAGGAGAGAAACGGGACTTTGGCGACGCGTTATTTAAGAGATTATGGTTTGGTGAAGGCGAAAAAAAGAAGCTTATTCATGGTAAGAATTCTTAGTTTAGTTGATCAATTTTTGATGGGACAAACAAACCATCAAAGCGTCTTATTTTTATTAATATTCAGGGAAACTTATTTTCCGAAGAAGTTCAGCCACCACCGACGCCACCGCCAACGCAAGCACCAATCACGGAAGGAGAGGATCATTATTCCTTTTTTTTTGTTCTATTTAAGTCAAAACAGACGGGGCTTAATTCTCAGTATACATTTACTGATCCTCACGGAGCAGCTTCTCTTTATCTGGATTTCAACAAATATGGCTGGGTCTATATTGGTGGTGCCATCTTTTTACTCGTCATTCTCGCTTATTCGATTAACAAATGCTGTTGTAAAGCCAAAAGTGATAAGGAAACGGTTGATTTGAGCTCCAAACAATGATTTTCTGGTAGACGCTTGTTATGTCCCCTATGTCCCCGAGTTTCCCAAATGTCCCTGAATGTCCCCAATATCCCTGAATGTCCCGAATGTCCCCGAATGTCCCGAATGCTCATCTTCTTTCTAAGAACACTTGAAATTCCCAATGAAATTGAATGCCTTGTTAAGGAAGCCCTTGAGAAAATCCAATATTTGTCAACCAGTTGAGCAGCACATAGAAAGCGGAACCCTCTACGATCCAAGCTTACAGCCTCAAATGTCTTATATCCAGCGCGAGCAGTACTTGGGTACGTTTATTGCATATTTTTCCCATGACAGTAATCCGAAGGCTCCCAAGGCCCAGTAAGGAAAAGCTCCAACTACAGTAATGGAACGCTCCCGTCCGTCAAATCCGGCAAGGCGGTTCAAGTCCATCGCGAATTAAGCCTCGACATTCCAAATTCCTCAAAGCTCATGCTCTACAATCCACAGGTAAAAAAAGACTTAAAGCAGCACTCAGGAAAATTAACTGAAACCGGTTTAGTACGCAGGAAAGCCGATAGAAACGCCCCTTTACTACGATAATTCGCCTGCTAGTCCGTAAGTTTTTTGTTTTCAAATCCCAGCACTTTATCAATCAGTTATAAATCTCCACTTCGATACGGGTCACGGTCAAGTCTCCGCTCTTACAGAAGCATGGGGCGGATGAAAAGCTACAGTAACGAAGAAGACTCGCTGATAGAGCCGCCAAGCTTCATTTCAGAGGATAATGCTATTTTAGCGGTAGACAACGAACGCGAGCCTAAAAGGGTTTATTCCACGAGGTAAATGAGCTTCTAGCTGACCTGGACTGACCTCAATTGCTAAATGACTGTTTAATCATCTAGATCGCTGAGCAAATCCAGTCGCTCGATGGAACAAATGGTCAAAGAACACATCGACGAAGAAGTCGAGCGCCGGGTCAAAGAAGAGCTACAACGAATCATCGTTGGCAGCAGCTCAAACTCAACGCCAAAAATCACCGAGTTCAGCTAGTACTAGTACCAAGCCCCGCCAAAAAATAATGAATATTGTGAATAATCAATCAAAACTTCTTCTCACTAGAACGCTTAGAAACATAAAAAACTGTATTGATGAAAATATTAAAAGAAAAAAAAACTTGCAGCCAGCATTTTTCCCAGTTTCAATTTTCTCAATTTTTAGCTTCATATAAATTTTAATATTTTTAATTTATTTGCGAAAAGAACTGTTTTGGAAAATACAGAAATTGTGCAAATTATTATGATTGAATTGATTTTGCCCGGAATTGACAACTGAATATTCTGTCAAAAGAGATTCACAGTGATGGTTTGTCGCCTTGACCATTTGCCATGTCGTAAACTAAATTTGCCACGTCGATGGACAATTTATTACAGTTCTCGGCAGTGTCGGCTTCTGCGTAGACTCGGACGACATCTTCCGTTCCACTTGCTCGCACAAATGATCTTCCGTTCGTCACTGGGGCGACCAGGGCGTCGAGTTTCTCCTGAAGACCAGCTGGAGCCAGGCAAGTTCTTTCAGCGTTAGTCACTTGGATATCCGCTCGGTTGGCGATTTTGACCTTCATGAGTCGATTTGGATAGTCGGAGTACATCGCCGCCCAATCCTCAATGCTCCAGTTGAGTAAATGCAAGACAGCTTCGACAGCGAGCATATCGGAGAAGGCATCACCGACAGTTTGATTGACGAGTTTGGCGAGCGCTAGAATTTCCGTCTGGCCTTCTTTTTCGAGTTTTCCGATCGCGGATTCGTTGAAAAGCACGGTTCCGTGGCCATTTGCCTCGAAGTAAACACCGATGTCGAAGTCCAAAGCGGCGTGGTGGAGGTGTTTCACGCCGGTCTTGGTGCAAACAGTTTTGATTCCAAGAGAGGATAAGTAGTTGGTGCTCGCTCCGTTGGCATAAGCAGTTTGAACGACGCCGAAGTTAACCGATGTCTCCTTTCAAAAAGGACTGCTTTTTTTGATCGAGTTCGAAAACATACCTCTCCGAGACGTTTTTGAAGATAAGTAGCGATCAAGCAAGCGATTCTGTCGCCATCAAGGAGGAAGAACTTTCCATTTCTCAAAAAGTAATAGACCAGTCGATCAGCATCGCCGTCTACTGAGCAGTATCGCACGCCCTCTTCCATTTCGGATCCAACTGGAGCTCTTGGATGATGATGATTATCAGATAAGCGAGTTTTTGAAGCAAGATATACAGTATGTTTTTGATGTTTTCATCCGGTATTTGTGCGATTACCTTTGGCCAGTTTTGACAAAATCGGCTCCGCACTCATGATTGAGCTGCCCATCTCCGACATTAGTCAGCTTGACATTGACCTTTGACTCGAGCCGCTTGGCGAACTGAGCTCCGGCTAAATGACCGACGCCATTGGCGCAGTCGACCACAAGGTTACCGAGATTGGCAGAATTCTACATTAAAATAGGGTGGTTTTTGGACGAAGATTTGTACCTTGGTGATTTCCAAAAAGGCATTGGTGAAATCGGAATAATACAGATCCAAGTCGAGCTTGAAGACGGGCGTTCCCGTGTTGATTTTGTAGGTTAAGTAGTGAAGTTGCGGTGTTGTTACAACGCCTAAATTCAGAGATCTAGACTGAGCCTGGATGATCCCCTCAGCAGCGGCATACGATAATTCGGAGCTATGGAAAATTAACAAAGACTCAGTTACAGTAAATTACCTGCTTGGTCGAGTATCTCGGCCAAGAACGACAAGTCCTTCGGAGGAAGAGCAAATTTCCTCGTCTTTGATGATTTTTTCGACCTCAGCATTGAGGTCATCTGCATTGGTCAGATTTGTGGCGAGACCTTCCCAACTTGGGACGAGCATTTCACCAAGAGGCTCTGTTACCTTTTCCAAAGTTGATTTCAAAAATAAGATCTTTGGCAAACCTTGACGCCGTTGTCTTGAACAGGATTGTGAGAAGCAGTAATCATCAAGCCAGTTGCCTTGCCCAACTTTCTCGATCTCAAAGCCGCGGTAATTCCCGACCTTTTGACAATAAAGCCCATTTGGCCATCGTTAGCTGGTCCGCGAAAACCGGCCGTTCCGTACTTGACCTGCTTCGTTCCAGCCGCGCGTTCAAAACTCATCTTTTCTCTAAAAAGATAACAGTGGAAAAATGTGCCTTTGAAGAAGAATTTTGAATAACTCTGTAGTTATTTGCAGGTGCGGTTAAATATTTGTGCCCTTTTGGGATCAAAGACGAATTACAAAAGTTTTAAATGGCCAGTTACTCTGTCGATTTCTGTAGCGCTCTTGTTTTGGGTCTAATCAATCGTAAAAGATAGGATTTTCTACATTGAAATCAAGGAGGAAAAAAGAGCAAGATTAGACCCTAATAACTCAGGGCCAATTGCGAGTAAAATCATTTCTCCGCTTTTTTGATTCTGAATAGCCACTCGGTTTAGCTCAAACTCCTTGGCTTTAGATTCTAGCGACAATAGACACTCCTCGCCACCTTTGAGCATGACTTTTGTACTGCCACTGGCGAGATAAAGCACTTTTGTTTTTTCATTCGTTTCTTGGAACAACTGGCGGACAAGGATTTTAGCCATCAAACTAGTTGCTCGGCTCGGTAAAAAACCTGAGTCAGGGTCTGAAAGGTCTTTAATGAAAAGCCGCGTAGCAGTTCTTCCAAAAAAGAAAGCCGCAAAGCGGCTTTGCAAAAGTACCATTTCTGAGTCAGAGCTAAAAGTTCTTTCAGACCCTGAGTCAGGTTTCCACACAGGTTGCCGAGCTCAGGCTATTCTCGCGAAATCTTGAGAAAAGACGGAATCTTTTCTAGAAGACTTTTATTAGCATGAGAACTTCAACTTGGCGGCTAAAACCCTTGACAGCAGCATCAGCAGTGGCAACGGCCAGATCACCTTTTGGAGTCTTTTGGAGGTCGAAAAAGGGTTGAGAAAGAAATGAAATGAGGACGAGATCAAAGACAAATGGTAAGTCCCGCGCCTGGGAAAAAGTGCATAACGACTTTAAGTCGTCGACTTATAGAAGATTTAGTACTCGTTATTTTGATAAAGACTTTAATCAAAAATAATGAATAATTTTGACCTTTCTTTAGCTTAGAATTGACGACAAAGACCATTTTGTGATTGAGAAAAAGCCGCCTCTTAGAAAGTAAGCCTCTAATCATTGAAGGTGTTTTCAGTCTTTTCAATTACTTATCAATTCCGATTTTTTTCGTATCACGGGGAGATTTTCCTCCGCCAGTGACGTCATCAAGCGAGCGCGCGAGCCAATCAGCGCGGCGCTCGAAAATTGAATCATTCGAAATAGTGAAAGTGAAAATTTATTGCGACTATTTTTTAAAAAGAAAGTAATTTTTTATAAAAGTGTTTCAGAAAATATGAGAGATCGGGAGCGATGGTCGACGCCGAAAAATCGAGAAACAGACTTACAAGAGCGAAGAAGTCGGACAGTCAAGAGAAGAAGGATCATTCCGGTGAAGAGTGTCACGAGGGATTCGTCTGATGAGAATTCGGATACGATTGGAGAAACGCTGGAGTCGACAAATGATCACAGGACTCAATCAGGAACGGATTTCATGGAAAAAAGGCTATTTAGCGAATCAGAAACTCGTATTTGAAAACAAGATATTTCCAAAAATACGGGTTTTTGATTGGCTGAAACCATCAGGCAGCCTGTGAAGAAACCTGAGTGAGGGTCTGAAAGATTTTCATTGAAAAGCCGCTTCGCGGCTTCGTTTTTACATTCAAGATCTTTCAGACCCTGACTCAGGTTTTCTACACTGGTTGCCGAGCCCAGGCTGAGCTCCCTGTATTCGAGAACTTGGTGAAAATCCAGAAAAGTGAACCAGCAAGTGCACTTATCGGAAGACGAAGACGATGTTTCGTCGATCATGAATTCAAGCGGCGACGACGAGACTCTTCCGAAGCCAGGAGTTGCGAACAACGAGACCTTCGACGTTCCAAGAGAAGAAGAAAATTCCGATGCGCGATCCGACAAAGCTGTGATTATTAAAAAGCCGCGGAATAGAACTGTTCGAGCGAAGAGAAGCGTCCCTGTGTATGATGTGATGCGAGATTCGTCGGCAGACTCGATTCACGATTATTACCAACACTCGGACTCGTCGCAGGAGAACTTGATAAAGAGCAAAGCGAGGAAATTCCACGAAAAGTCAAATAGGTCCTTCGATAGGAAATTCGGATTTGAAAAATCTTCTATTAATTTAATTTCTTTAAATTTTATAGAATTTTTGAAATCCGGCAAAGACGAAACAACTCGTCATCGAAAAATCTCACCTTTGATGACCTTTTCAACGATCCGATCGTTCCAAACTCGACTTTTCCAAGCGCCAAGAAGAAGCCCTTATCAACAAAGAACGGAATGATCGATTTGACCAAATCGAAGAAACCGAGGAAATCGGAACAGTGGTCGCCCGTGCCGCTCGCGCAAATGCGAGGATTGAGGAACGAATCGCAGCATTTCAGATTGAGGAGAAATCGGAAGAATGTTTTTTCTGAAACAGCGCCTGTTGAGGAAAGGGTTGAAAAGTTTTATTGTTTCATGAAATTTTCAAGAAAATGAATCAATTTTTTCATGAAAAAGTTCCCTTTTCAACCTTTAAAAAAGCCAACTCAAAATCGAAAAAGCATCGGCGACTCAACAAGAACAATCGTCCGAGGCTGTGCAGATTCGCAATTCGCGAGTTCGCCAAATTCAAAGACAAGAACCATCGTCAAGGGAAACAAAACGCGCACAATCATGAGAGGAGTGGATCAAACGGAGTCGCAGTCCAAAACGCGGACGATTTACAGGGCTTCGAATGGAGCAGATAGAACGAGTCCGTCCAAGACGGTCACGCTGGTGAGAGCAGGGGAAGGAAATCCGACGATTGTGAAAGGAACTGTTCATCAAAATTAGCGATTTTGCCCCTTCAGGGCCTGACTCAGGTTGCTGAGCTCAGGTCCAAATTTCGCTTGAAGAAATTCTTGATGAACTAAAAACAGAAGCCGCTGCGAATAGAAGCCTCGATTTCGAGGAAGAGAGTTCGTCAAAAACTCGCACCCTTGTCCGCGCGAGCAACAAAACTCACACGATCGTCAGAGGCCGAAAAAGCCAGAGCGCTCCTGACGATTCTGCTCATGAAACCGAAGTCACTCGTGGAAAGCGAAGAATAGCCAGAAAACCTGCGCCAAAGGCACAGCCGAAATTGCCCGAAGTTCAAAATTGGCGAGACTTGGTAATGAAAAACCATTTTTAAAACGCTTTTTCATTCGACTCTTTAGCTGGAAGAAAGCGCCGAATCCTCCTCGTCGAGCTCCGAGTCCGAAACTGAGTCGGACGATGAACTCCTCGAGCAGCTGGTTCAATCCACGAAGAACGCGATGACTCTTCAGTCGTTCATCAAAGATGTCCAAGCGATCATCAACCCTTCAGCGGAAGAACCTGCTCCTCACATTTTCAGCCCTGACACATACACAACTTGAAACTCACGAAAAAATCAATATTCACTACATTTTCTGCCTCACTTCACTCATTCCTGTTTTTCTAAAAACTTAAAAAAATCCACATTTCAAAAACGTAATATATAAATAAAAAAAAAAGTTTCACAATTGTTTTGTTTTCATAGAAGCCGAATTCGGAAAAATGTCAGAAGCGGGGGAGGAAACGCAGGAAATCGCGCAGTGGAATTCCTTCGGACTTGACCCAAGAATTTTGGCTGGGATCGCTGCACTAGGAAATGTTTTGAAATCAAGGACTAGGATCGACAAGTCCCACCCGACACCCGATCGAAAACCGACGTTTTTGTCGGGTTTTTGTTGGATTCTGCCGACCCTACAAAAACCCGATGCTGAAATTCTGGCGACCCTACAAAATCGGGTTTTTATAGGGTCATTTATCGGATTTTTGTAGGGTATTTTCGTCGGGTTTCTCTTCAGATCTACTCATCAATCTGATTAAAGATAGTACCCGAAATTCTGTAAACCAAAAATTCTGTCTAGTTTCGCCGATTTGGATTCATTCTACTTGTATCAACTTTAGTGTTGTGAAAACCCGACAAGAACCCGACAAAGACCCGATAAAAACCCGAAAAATACCCTACAAAAACCCGAAAAATACCCTACAAAAACCCGAAAAATACCCTACAAAAATCCGATAAAAACCCGACAAAAACCCGACGAAAACCCGACAAAAACCCGATCGGAAAAATCAGACTTCAAGGAAATCCGACGAAAACCCGATCCGGATTTCGGGGGCATTTGTCGATCCTAGATCAAGGACGACAAAAACTAGGGCATCTTTTCCTACTAAAGAAGCGATAACGCTTTTTTTGAGAAGCCATTTTCGCTAAATTTCGGATTGAAAAACACTGTAAAGGTTGGAAAGAGCCGACAGAAATCCAAGAAGCCGGGTTGCCAATCGCTCTGAAAGGAAAAGACATTCTGGCCAAGGCCCGAACTGGCTCTGGAAAAACCGGTGCGTACTTGATCCCGATTGTCCAGCGAATCCTCCACATCCCCAGCTCCCGTGCTCTAATAATCGGCCCTACGAGGGAGTTATGTTCGCAAATCGAAGCTGTCGTCCGAGAACTCTGTGTCAAATGCCTCGATTCGATTTCAATTTACGAGCTTGGATCAGAAGTTGAGTCTGAATCAGCTATTTCCGCATCCATCGTGATCGGAACTCCTGGAAGGTAATAATTGAAAAAAGCATTTTTCAAAAGCTTATTTTTTTCTTTCCAGAATCCTAAATGCGCTAAAATCGGAGCGTCTCTCCCTCGAAGAACTCTCAGTCATGGTCCTGGACGAAGCCGATCTTCTCTTCGGATTCGGAAACGACAAAATGGTCGCGGAAATCGTCACATATCTCCCTGGAACGCAGCAATCCTTCCTCATGTCCGCCACCCTCTCAGAACAAGTCGAAAAAATGAAGAAACTAGCGCTTCGGAATCCAGTAACGCTCAAGCTCGACGACTCCTCGTTGCCGAACGCGGAAGTTCTCCAGCAATATCAGATTAATTTGAACGAAGACTTTGAAAAGTACTTGGTGATTTTGAGCTTTCTCAAGTTGAGAATCGTCAGAGGAAAATCGCTTGTCTTTGCTTGTGGAACAAATAGGTAAAAAAGGGGTTGAAAAAAGGGAATATGAGTTACTCAGATCTCTACACAGATTGTGCAGCCCAATCGGCTTCAAAAAAGCGGCCAAAAATATCTGTTTTACGGAAATTTTAGGTGTTACAAGCTGAAACTCTTCCTGAAGCAATTCGGAATACCTTCAGTTGTCCTGAGCTCCGAACTAGCCGCTGCTTCTCGTCACAACGCAGTGCAACAGTTCAATAAAGGAAAGTTCGACATCATGATTGCCAACGATCAGGTCGATCTGGATGAGGAAATTCAAGAAGGAGAACACACGAAAGCTAAAAAAGAGGTGGGCCCGCTTTTCAACTTTGTTTTTTTCTAAACTCTTGGATTTTAGGAAAAAGATTCGAAGAAGAAAAAGTCAAAAACGCAAGAAGAAGATCATCGGGAATTCGGCGTGTCGAGAGGAATCGACTTTCAGAACGTCTCCAACGTCATCAACTTCGATTTCCCTACTTCGGCCAAGCAGTACATTCACCGAGCAGGGCGAACAGCAAGAGGAGACAACAAAGGGCGAGTCATTAATTTGATGATCGGGCAAGAAGAAAGAGACGTACTGGATAAAGTGACGGAAGTGACGGGAATCCCTGTTGATCGATTCAAGTTCAAAATGGAAGAAGTTGAAGGTCTAAGGTAGGAATTTCTTGTTTCATTGAGTTCCTGTTTAAATTAACTTATTTATTCAGAGGAAGAGCATCAGATGCGCTTGACAAGTGCAGCAAAAGAGCAATCCGAGACAGCCGAGTCGCCGAAATCAAACAGGCGATCTTGAATTCAAAGAAACTACAGGTAAATAATGAAATAAAAACCTCGAAGATCTCCTTTCATTTTTTAGGAAGAGTATTTTACTCGACATGAAAACGACCTGCTAGCGCTGCGACACGATGCAAACTTGAAAAAAGTGTCGAAACGATCCGATTTGGCGAATATTCCAACTTACCTGCTCCCCGCACAAATCAAAAACTCACTGAATATCGAAAACGCGCGGCTGAAATCGAAAACCAAGAATTATCACAAAAAGGGACTGTCGACGAAAGAAAAGCAAGCCTTGCTCAAGAAGAGAAAAGCGAACGATCCATTGAAGACGAAGGCGAAACGAGTGAAGTAAAATGAAATCGAATTGTTAACCGAACGACTCTTATTTTGACTATTGACTGTATAAACCATTCAGTGGACAGATAATAAAAGACACGTAATTTTGTAGATGACGGAGTTTTGTGCAATATCGAGAAGACGCGATATTGAAAGCCAAATAGCAAAAGACCAGGAGAAGATCGATGCGATACGAAATTGCATGTTGAGGTAAAAAGATACACGCTGACAAATGTAAAAGAAAAAGGATAGTTTTTACTTTTTTGAAAGGCAGAATGGTCCATGAACATCAGAAAATTTTCACCTTGGTTTTCTGAATGAATAAGAAATCTTGTGAACTGAAAGATTTTTGAACCCTAGATTGGGGTTGAAATTGTAATGCTTAGGCATCGTAGTTTTCTTCCCAAAACATGAGCGACTCGTTGGGGGATGAGGAGATTTCGTTGGCTGAAGAGGACGATGAATCTTTTCGATCCTCGTCGAGAAAGAGGGCTTTTGAGCATTTTCGGGGGAGTCGGAGGACTTTTCGCAGCGTTTTCTTGATTTTTTTCAAGGATGTCAGATTCGTACCCTCTTTTACTGGCGTTGTGTGGAAATCAGTTGATTCGTGCTCGTCGAGAACGAGCGAATGTCTTCGGAATTTCGGGGTCCACTGCTTTCCTTCACCAAAAACGGGAGCTGAGCTTTTTCTTCGTCGGCTTACTGGGGTCATTGTTTGACTCATTTTTGATTTTTTGATTGTGATACATTTGGTTAGATTCTTGGGTATAAATATGAACGAGCAGGTGTTCGGGAAAGAGTGCCTCGTCTAGATCAGATTAGGACACTCTCTTAATTAGTTTGAATTAGCAGAAAAATCTGTCATTGATAAGCAGCTGCGATGTTAATTAGCTAGATGATGTCTGATAACAAATATTTTGGAATTTGGATAAGCTCTTGATAATTTTTCGTATTTAGCTCGAGGGAAATGACAACTCAAATGTCCGGAATTCTCGAGAGCTTCGGATCGCGACTTGAAAAGCTTGAAAAAGCAGTGATTCCTGTTCATCGGCAAACGAAAGATCTCCAGCGCCTTCAAGAAAATCTCGGGAAAGTGATGAATTCGATTGAAAACGTCATTGGCTACCACAATGTCGTCAAGCGAAATCAAGCGATCATCAATACAGATCCTTCCGAACACGTGGTTCGCTACACAACTGCAATGACGGATTTACTCGAAGCCGAGGAGTTTTTCAAAAAATCATCTCCAGACTCGCCGGAGCTCCGAAAGGTCTCATCGCTCGTCGAAACCGGGCGGAAAAAACTGCTCGTGTATTACGAAGCTTTGTTGAAATCGAGCGCGACATGCGAGGATCCGAAATTTCTTCTTACAGCTCTTTCTTCTGGACTCTCCCTGATTGATAACAACGAGGAGTCAGAGAAGACGATGGATGAGCTGAAGAAAATGAGCGAGTGGATTTTTGAGCGATTCGGCTCCATCAGCGGTCAGTTAAAGAAAGTTAGGGTTAGATGATCTAACTTAAATCTGCGAGAAAAAATCTAAAACTTCCTCTAGAATTTTCGGACACTTACGCACGAACAAGAGAACAAATCTTCGCCCAGAACATTTCCGCCGTCAAAGAAGCTGCCCAAAGCTCAGTTTCAAAAGAAACCCCGGCCAAGAAAAACTTCACCATTCGCAGAGCAACAAAAGCGCGCAAGTCCATCGGGAAGTCCAAATTCTCGAGGACTTTATCGATGCGATCGACGCTCAACAAGTCCTTCAGCGTTTCCGAAATGGGATCGTCTCCGAATCCCAAGAAATCAGCGCCCGTGGACCTGAATGTCTACTCGACTTCCATCGCCTTTCAAGCGTTTGTTCGCCTCGCAGATCGGGAAGTAAAAGTTGCACAGGAAGTCCTTCCCGAAAATACAGTCGGAGACGTGCTCGATAAAATCATCTCAAACTCTGTTTTTCAACTGAATCTAACAGCCGACAAGCTTCTCGCAGAGCTAAATCGATGCGACAACGAAGAATTCGGCGCTTTTATCGAACTCTGTCCTTTGCTTCAAGTTCTTCAGAAAATCCAGTCCCAAGCTACAAGTGCTCTTCAATTTGCTTCAGACGAAAATCGCCGATTTATTCCCCAAGTTCTCCGGAACATGGAGTCCGCTGCTGCTGATGTTCTCCAGGAAAGGTGCATCAATACAAATCTGGGCACGAAATCCTGTGCAGAAACCTGAGCCAGGGTCCTGAAAAACCTTTTTCTGGCGAACCTGCTTGAGGATAAGGCCCTGAGTCAGGTTTCTACACAGGTTGCTCAACTCAGATATGAACAATCAAATTATCTGATAAGGGACTAATTTTGCATCAAAAATAAGCGTTATCAAGAAATGGTTCAGCAAGATAAACCGAAAAACAACTTGCCTGACGATGCGACGGTGCATAATCTGATTTCAGATGCATTATATTTTTTGAACTCGCTGGAAGAGTACAGTGAGCTTGTCAATCAAATCTTTACGCATACAGGAATCGGGGATTTAAATAGCAAATGGTAATACTCTTCCTTGATTTGGACAGTTTCAAATGTAATTTATGTACCAAACTCAAAAATCCTCGGGCCAGGAAAACGACAAGGTGGATTTTCGGACTACATGGTTGGAATCATCGGTGCCATTGCCCTAGCCACGCAAACGAAAAGCTTCCAGTACCCGGACGAGACGAGAAAGAAACTATTTTTCTTGAACAATCAGCATTACATTTGCAAAAAGCTCACTTCATCGAAGCTTTCAAAACACATCGAGTCTACTCATGATGATTTCGTCAACAATCAATTGGCAGTTGAAGAGGAAAAACGACGGGACGAGTTTTTAGACCTTTGGGTTGAAATAAAGGTGCGTTTTATTTTATTTAGTGGACAATAGACGGTACTTTTTTAGCGCAAAATCGACCTGTCAGAGATAAAAATGAGCACGAGTAAAGTTTCTGGAGGCGAGAAACAGAAACTAAAGGAGCTTTTCCGGGTTAGTCCCTATTTCGCTAAAAATAAATAATTAATTATTTCCAGGACTTCAATTCGAAATTCACCGAGCTCAGCAGCACCTGTAAGACTCTCACGGTTCCCGATGAAGCTTTACGGAACGATCTAAAGGACGAAATCAGTCGACTACTTACATCGAGTTACACGGAACTCTGGGAAGCTGGGCAGAAGAAAAGCGATTTCACCTCAAAGCCAACTAAATATTTCGTCTTTACGCCTGCCCAAGTTCAAGAGGAAATCAGCGCTCTTTTCGATCCCTCAAATTAGAATTCGTCTTTATCAGTTCTCACGGTTCATTGCTATCTCACCCATCTTCAAGACTTTCTTCATGTTCCAAACGATCCATCTACCATCATTTCATTCACTTCAGCTTTCGTTTACCCCTTTTTCTTTCAGAAAATGAAACCAACTCGACCTCTAGCCCGACCAATTCACAAAATGTCCGAAGCCCTCGTTGGCTGCGGCCGAGAAGCGATCGTCTACGGAAACTGCGTCAACAGCTGGCAAGATATTCAAAAGGGCGACTGTCGACGGGAATTTGAACAGTTTAAAAATTGCTACAGAAAAGTCCTTTCTGACCTAATGAAGAAAAAATAATTAATTCTACCTTTTATTTTCCAAAAATTACGAAACTATCCTTTTTTTTTACTATGTCAGCTTTACACTAGAATGTCACGAAAACCGCTCACCCCGTTGGACTTTCTTACTGACACTATCTCACCTCCAAAATCCGAAAGCTCCACGATCAAAAGCCCCAAGATAGCCTCGGTACAAACGAGTCCTGAATCAATCAAAAAAGAGCAACACAGTACCTATCGAAAAGGGTTTGAAACATTTGTGCTTTCGTTGCCCTATAAATTCTTTAGAGCCTCCCCGACGACGTACGGCCCTAGTCCAACAGAACTACCTCCATTCGAACGATCCGCTTCTGGTGCGATTTTGCTGGACAGATGGGGCAACGATTCACCACTAATTTCACCTCGCCAATCCCATCAGCAGAACCGACACTATCAGCAGAACGTTCCACCAAATCATTTTCAACAAACCGCTCAGCCGCGAATAAAGCCAAAGCAAGAAACAATCGAAGATGTCCAGACCCGAATCAAAGCAGAAGTCGACGCTGCTCGCTACAAAATTGCCGCTGCCGAGGCTCATAACGAAGTCGAGCGATTCAAGAAACTACTATCGTAATTCATTATCCACCAGAATATCTATTAAAATCCATTTCAGAGAGGAAGTATCATGCAAAGAAAAGCTGCAGATGAAGCTCCGAAGCGAGATTTCCAGCCACGCTCAAACAGTTGATCAATCCCGCGCCATATCAACCCTCGCTCAGCAGCAACGAGCGAAAAACGACGAATATCAGCTCAAAATCGAGCATCTGACAGTCGGTAAGTTACAATCACGGTTTGATTCTATCCACTCATCCATTTTTCCAGCGCTGGGCGAGATGCAAAAGCAGAATAAGGAAATCAACGAGAAATTAAACATGCAAAACGCTCGGGTAGACGCATTAGCGCGGATATGCAAAGGCCTAGAGACTCAGTTACGCGAAGTGACAGTTAGACACGAAGGAAACCTGCCACAATTGGACATTGCGGCTCAATGGCGAAATCATGCATACAAGGTAAGCTCTACCATTTTCTTCTATCTTCAATCATCATTTTTCCCAGGCGATGGTCCAAGCAAATCACACAGAAGCCCGTCTCAACGCAAAAATAAACAACCTTCAGTCAGAAAGCGTCAACCCGCGACCGTACCCTCCAATTCAGGGACCGATCAAGCAGCGACAGCTCATGCCTCCTTTCGACAACTAAGCACTCATTGAAATAAAAACATCACCAGAAAAAGAAGACTGATTACAAAAAACAATACTTTGAATTCCCACTCCCACTTCATTTTATATTTAGTTCACATTCTATAAGTTTCCGTTTTCACAATTTATCTGCTAAGCGCACCAGTTTTTGGTTCGTGCTACGATAGCTGCCACGATTTCTTCAGTTGAACAGTTCAATTTACCTCAGTTACTTATTATCCATCTGTAATCAAGCGAAAATATAATAGAATGATAAGGAGATCGGCAAGGATTCAAAGGGTCTCAGAAAACTCTTCTCTTGAGTGCAAAAATTCATCCCAGGATTCGATGAGACTTACTATTGTTGAAAGTCCAGATGAAGAAGAAGAAGCTGTCGATGTGGGTACTTCGGGAGCTCCAACGATTGTCGAAGAAGTCTCCAAGAAAAGATCAGCTTCGATAAGTTCGGTTGATGAAAGTTTTGAAAGCAGGTCGATACCTAAAAAGCATCATTCCGAAAACCCCTTCGAATCGCCTGCAAGAAGAAAGTTCACGGCGAAAAGCAACAGTAAAAATCGGCGAACTTCGGCAAGACAAAGTGGGACACCAAGTAAGAAGCTCAAGTTTCTGGATGACTTTGAATCGGCAGCTGTTGATCGTTTGGGGAACTTGTCTATTGAAAATGAAAAAGTTGGTCAAAAGAATCGAAGGACTCCTCGAAGAGAAAGCCCATCGATTAGAAAATTAAGATTGAGAGTGAAAGACTCGCCAAAAGCTTCTCAAAGGAAAAGACAATCGAGTAAGAAGAATAAAGATGGAATAGAACAAGAAGAAGATAGCATGCCGGCGTTAGAAGCTATTCCTGAGCCTGAGTTACCTGTTGCTTCCTCTAATGATGTGCATCATTTTGATTCGACTGTAGATCGCCTGGGTTCGTTATCCATTGAGAATGAAAAACAGCTATCCGCGCAACAAAATACAACAAGTTCAATTAACAAACTTCCCACAATAGTACCAAGCCCGATTCTCCCTCGAAATGGATCAAGCTTGGACTCTGAGTCAAGTCGAAATGAAGAAGATTCGCCAACTGTTACGCGAAAGCAAAGAAAAACAAGTATTTTAGATACAATTCGTAACAAACGGAAACGAACACCGAAGAAACCTGAGAAGAGTTCAACGAACGATACTGTCGTAAGAGTCGTTCCAAAACTGACTTGGAGCTCGCTGGACTCGACAGACGACGATGACGATGGTGCATCTGTCTCAGGAATTCCCCGTGCAAATAAATGTAAGTCTGTGAAATAAATGAACAAAGGATTTTAACTCTTTTTAGCTGTAAATCTCTTTCCGAGAGGCGTTACCAGCACTTCCGATTCATCTGAAACTTCTGATTTTGACGATGATGTTCCGACAATTAGCTTGTTGAAAAATGTGCTAAGCTCGACGGGTAGACCCTCAAAAGATCCTGAAATAATCACTGATTCAACGAAGAATAAACCAGAAATGATAACAACGAAAAGTCCAGTAGTTCGTGTAGAACTTCCCGAAGAATATCGTCCAAGTTCGTCAGTTGAAAGTAAAGGGACAAAAACATCACCGACGGTAACGGCGGTTGTTGATGAAAATCTACCGGTCGAAAATGCTTCACCAAGTGGTCCTGAAGAACCAACTGTTCCAGACGATGAGACCATCACTTCGGAAACGCCAAGTGTACCCGATTTCGACGACGTGCCGATGATCAGATTGAACGAAAGTATGCAACAAGAAAGAAAGAGCACTCCAAAGAAAACAAAAATTAACAAGACAAAGACAATTGCGGACATTTTTAATGAAACATTTGAACGACTTGAACGATTTCGTCCAAGCTCTCCAGACGAAAGTATCGCATCGAGTCGGGGGAGAAGAAGCTTACCGAAGACAAATTTGAAGGTAGATACTCAGACGGGCGACGAAACTAACACTGACGATTTCTTCGACAGTCCAAGCGACTACCAGCCAACTTCTGATTCTGAAAAGGATGACAAGCGGAAAAACTCAACGGATTCTAGTGCAAGTGAAGAAGAACATCAGTCTATCATCGAGAAACCAAAGAAAAAATCCCCAGAATTGGTTCCAGCAATTGGACAAGAAATACAAAGTCCAAGAAAACCAACTACTGCTCGCAGTGTAGAAAATCGGCGCCCTGTTATCTCGAGACCAAAGAAAAACTCTCCAAAAACCAATGATCGATCAAAATCAACGAGGACTCCTAAAAGACCAAAAACAATCACCAAAAAACAGATAAAGAAGAACAGTCTGCTAGATACAAGCACTCAGAGCACCAAATGGAAATCAAAGGAATATATTTCAAGTAGCTCTTCTGACAGTGACGGAGATCAACTTCCTGTTATTCCAAGGCTAAAGAAAAAATCTCCAAATCACAAGGCAATTGATCAGACGAAATTAGCGAGGACACCCAAGAAAACAGTTCAAAGAAAAGCAAAGAAGAACACTTCATTAGATACAAGCACTCAAAGTACGATACCAAAGTCCAAGGAATATATCTCAACGAGCTCTGAGAGTGAAGAAGATCAACAATCTTTCGCGGAGAAGTTGAAGAAAAAATCGTCAAAACTCGTTCATCCGCCGAAATCAACAACAACCCCCACGAAGGAAAGTTCAAAATCGCCTCAAAAAGCAATATCTGATGAAGATAGTACAACTGAAGTCCCTGACGAAAATTCTGAAACAAGGTCGATGCCGGACTTAGAAAATGTGTCAAATTCAGTTGTTCCCGATCCCGTTTTTTCTTCTGCTTTGGTTCCTGTCAGAAAGAAATCTATACCAGAACTCGATGAGCTCTCGGAAACGATTTCAACTGATGATGAAACTGTTCTTCCTCCAGCAAAGAAATTGAAACGCTCTATCAAAACGAGAGAGAAAAACAAAAGTCATGAGTACGAAAGTGATGATACTGGTGAAGAATTATTTATTGAAACTGAATCGTTGGCTCCTGATGACGACCTTTTTGAAATTGGAAAAGAAAAAAGCGTTTTTGATGAGATCTCAAGCTCGGAAACAGACAGTGACGTTGAAGAGGTTTATGAACCCGAAGGACGTAAAAAAGCCGGAGAACGTCGAAAGTTTTCATCGCTGCAAAAGATGAAAGAAAAGTATCTGGAAGAAATTGTTGGCTGGCTACCATGGAAGCGGAATACGGTGTCGATTTTGATCGAAACAATAAGAGACAAATTGCTGAAGAGAGAGTTTGATGGAATTGACGAGATCCTGAAGGCGCTTGTGATAAGAATAGGCAATGGTATAAGTACAGAACATTTATTATAGAGCGTAACTCTTTGGTAAACATTTCCTAGAGCATTCTTAATACCAGAGAAAGGCTCTCCAAGTAGAGTTGCAATCGGAAATCGCGTTCACGTTTCTTCACTTGCAGTTCTTACCCCGATCATATTCAGTCAGTTGCCTGAACAGCTACCTGAATCGGTCATCCGTCAATTTGAACCTGAAGATCAAAAAGCGTTCCTGTCGTACCTCAACAAAAGTGTCGTGAAACGAACAGAATGTGAAATGGAGCCAATAATCCAAAATCTCATAAAATTGACGTTGGAGAACGAAGAACATATTGAAAATCAAATAAAGGTTTTAGAGAAAAAATACTTATTTTTTACTCTGTTTTAGATTTTATCTGATACAATTCACGACATCAACAAGGTCTTTTCATCACAAACCAAGTCGCGAAGATCAGTTGGAAACAACAAGGAAAACCACCAGCCAAAAGTCGATCATCTCCTTCTTTGCCTGCTTTTTCAATTCGAATACATGCAAGTAAAAGGAAGTAGAGAAGCACAGGTCTTGGCAGAGAAGATTGTGAGCAAAATTGAACGATCAGCATCTCACCAGCGCGTGGGAATCCAAGCTCTTGGTTCTATCATGAAAGGATTGAAAGAAATTGGCATTGAAAACCAGACGATTGACAAGTGGAATGCGATAGTTGTTGAAACCAGCTACAGTGGAGCGGGAGAAGATGAACTGCAACGAATGCAAATGGAAGAGCTCAAGAAGGAATTCGCAAATAACAAGATTTCTGAAGCTGGTTTTCAACTTGCGAAGGTCTTTCTCATTTTTTCATTCGTTTCCAGTCTCAAAGTATTTTTAGATGTTGAAAAGAGGTGGACAGCCGATTGAAGCAACAAAAACTCTTATCGAGTACGTCTCGTATAATCGAGTAAAATGCGATTTATCCGTCCAGATCTGGGAGTTTCTCCGCAGCTTATTGGAAGAAAAAGAAGCTTTAGAGTGGTTCAAGGAAGTTCGAGGACTTGGAAGCCCACAATCATTTCGAAAAATGTTCCTGAAGCTTTCGATCGACAACCCAGTTGAAGTCGCCGAAGTGAAAAGAAACATTCGAGAAATGTGTATCTAACTGTATTTTAAAACTATTTTTATACCTCCTGCCTCACGAGTTCCACTTCCAACCGTTCCACTTCAAAAAAGCTGTCAGTTTGACCCTTTCTGAAACTTGTTTATCATAAGAAATGAGTGAGCAGCTCGTGGTATGGGAAGAGCTAGCCCAAGCATCATCAAATGATACTTCTGCGATTGAGCTGCCAATTTTCATGCGAGATGTTGAAACCTTAGATGGCGAAGAACTTTACCCGGAATATGGAGGAGTCTCGATCAAGAGAAACATCCGCTTTCCAATAAGAGCTCCGTTTTTCGAACGTCTTGGTTTTCATTTACAAACGTATGTTTTTTCGATGGCCATCAGTGGTTTGCTAACTGGTCCAATTCTAGCGCTCGATTTCCAATCCCAAACAGTCATATAAATCTTTCGATGCTATCGAAGAATGCAGAAGTGTTCCTTGGCCTTGAAAATGTCGCCGCTGTAAGAGACATATTGATGATTCCGAAGTTATTTAAAATTTAAGGTTTTAAAACCTAGCGATGATGATATCTATCGACTAACCGACCATCGAATACGCGCCGTTGATGGAGTCAAATGTCACTTTGGTTTGCGATACAGTTACGCTCCCCAATGGAAGTTTCTTTCTCCTTACATTGAAAATATCGACGGAATCTTTCTTGAAGGACTTCAATTACGGAAAAGCCAACGACTTCAGTTCGATGAAAACAGACTCATAATCCGCTCGAAGCCTATCTCGACCCGTTTCGGCTACGCTAGAATCATTTTACCTGTCAATTTCTCTACACCAAGCAGTTTGAGCAGTGTCGATGACTTTTGGATTAATCTGGACCCAAGTTTGGAACTCGTCGGAAAACATGGAGAGATTTTGTTCGAGTTCTCGCAGCTGTTTAGTATTTTATCGGTGGTGATGCAGATGTCGCCGTCTAGATGGTTTCAAAGCTCGTCGTTTTTGTTGTTAAATAGTGTTAGGGAATATAAGTCAACGATTTGTTTATTTTCTCGTTATGCTACGGGCTCAAATTTTATCCAAAATAACGATGATTTGTCTATCAATTTGAACCTCAAAAAGATGAAGAGCGAAATCATAGAAGATCAATCAACTTCAAATTGGAGCGATACTCGACTCATAAGAATCTCGTTACGAAAAAAGCAGTGACGATGAAAAGTCCAAAAGCGCTAGAATTCATCTCCGGGGCACTGGAACTGCAATCCACTCATGGCAGAGCAGCGTCACAAGCTACTGGTGTCAAATTAACATACATGTGGCACCTGGGAACGGCGCAGTGGTATGACGCGGTCAAAGTCTCGTACTACGGTGGATGCGGAAAGCACTCTTTTGAGATTCCCATTTTCTTTGACTACTCGCCTTTGTACCTGCTTTCGCCTGAAAACGCGATCACTGGCATAATCGCGCCCTTTTTGCTGCAAATAGGCTTCAACCAGTTAATGAACTTGAGACGAAGGTATGAAGCTTGGGGCGTCTCTTTGACTTACCCACCTTTTTTTCAGGAAGAAAAAATACACTCGCGCTCAAGAACTGCCTGTTGCTGAAATTATCGACTCAAAGAAAGGCGATTCCGTCCTCCTCGATGATTTCAAATTGACCTCAGCATTTGTAAACGACAAAATCGACGTGCTTCGGCCGCTCTCTGGAATCTTAGAGTACTCAAAGATCCTCAACTGTCACAAGATTTCCGCCTTGCCTGGTTTTCCGCGACTAAATGAAATTGAAGAAAAACATTTTCTGAAAATTTCAATTGTAACTACTAAAGGCCGTTTTTGCTTAAAAATTCCAGACGGTGCTATTGTCGACTTGTCCGAATTCTGTTGAATAAACGCTTCTTCATTCAATAAAAAAAGGAAAAAGACAGAAATGTCTCGCTCTTTTGAATAATACCTTCGCTTCTATTACTTCTTAGGGAAAGGATCAGGATTCAGATCAAACAAAGCCGGATTATAGTGCAAGCAATCTGTAAGACGCCCTTGTTCGAATTGCAACAGAAGAAATTAATTTTCTTCTTTTCTATGTCAGGTTCAAGTTAAAAGCAGCAGCACTTTTCGCCCAAAGCTGCAATTGATCAGTTTGGGTTAATCAGAGCTTTAGCTGTCAGGATCGCGATTTAATATTGAATTGAATGAATGGTGGCAAGTTCGGAAATAACGATTATAAAAAGTTTATTCTCAGTTTTTCTTTGTAGATATAGTAAATTGGAAATAAATAGGAATTGAACTTGAAGAACTTGATAATACAAATTATACTAAAATTCATATAATAAAATGGTCAAAAATAGCGTTACTCTTGAACGCCCAGTTCGTTCTTTTTGATGTCCCAGTAATAACCAAATGTTTCCATGTCTTTATGACGCGAATGCCAGAGTTTGTTTCTATCAGTGTGGCTCAATGTGTCCAGGATTTTTTTGTAGTCGATTTTCGCATCCGTAACTAAATTTGGTTTGAGTGGCGTTACAGGGATAGTGTTTCTTACAGTCATAAGTTGAACTGGCTTTGGCACTATCATTTAGTTCTCCCCAAATGCCTTGGTCTTTCAGGAACCATTGGAACTCGCTTTCGAAGTTTTCCGATCGAAGAATCGCCCTAAAAGAGGGTAGAACAGAGTTCAAGTGACAGTACTTTACGTGTATGGATAAAGACAGGGAAGACAAAGCCGGTGAAGTCCGAGAAATCGCTGATCCCAGTCAACCGCGCTGATTTCTTTCGTTTTCTCCGCGAATACGAATCTTTCGAGGAATTCGGTGAAAGCTATCGTCGTTTCGCCTGCGTTTTCATTCGGGATGATCGGGTTCTAGGGCGGGTCATTTTTATTTATTCGAAAATACGTACCTCGGGATGGAGAGAATTGTATTTTCCGAGCACATAATTGGCATTTGTTTTCTTCTCGCCTTGACACTGTGCGCAGAAAAACTCCTTCCATCCGTGGATGAGCCGCAGAATCGGATGTCGCACTGAGTATTTACTGTAAGATAATAGACAACTAGTAGGGCGATTTGGTTTTGAAGTGTGAGTGAACTCAAGTGGGATGAGCGGGCTTTTATTACACAGTAGTTCGGCAGTAGTTACCTATGATAAACCACTCGCCGAGGCCTTGATTCGTGATCAGCCTGTTCACGCTGTCCAGACTATCTTCGGTGTTGAGCTCGCCTTCGCGCTGCCAGGTCGAAGCAGTTCTGGGCAGATTCTGTTAGTTAAGCTGCTCTTAGTTAAAGGGTCCTGATCATCCTGATGGATTCAATGAACTTTTGCCTTTACCCCTTAGTAAATAAATAATTACTGAAATATTGAAAAAAGCGAAAGTAAACTGACCTCTCTCCTCTTAAATTGCCAAGACTAAAAGAGCCTAATGTAATAATGAAATCATACGGTATTTCAAATACCGTATTTGAATAAATAAACTGTCAACATATTAAATGATCGATGATTTTTGACGGCTAGTCTGCGTAAATACAGGACTGATTATTATGACGATTACTCTTTACCCACAAAGTTCATCCCCTGAACTGCCATTACCTTGAAGGAGCCAGCGAGTTTGTATTTTCGTAGAAGTACTGTATGTTATATTCGCGCGTTTCTGAAGGAATGCAGCCGGCAATCTTCAGGTCTTTGTCGATGAAGTACTCGTTTTGGTACAATTTTCTGACTTCTGTTCTACCAGAATACTTCTTACAATGATCTGGGTAAAGATCTAAATCTGCTCTGTATTGTTACTGTAATTTGTAATTTTGGGATTTAGATCTTTCCTTCGAGCTTTTTCACTCGTTTCACATTTTTTCTGTGAATAATTTGAATCTGCGACTTGGAAAGAATCGGAATAATGACGCTAGAATTTCCGTCTTCAATTTGCAAATGCGTTGATCCTCTTATCTTCGTATAACCTAGCCCGCCATGCTGTTTTACCATGAATAGGACTCTTTAAATCATGTGTTACGAGTGATCTCTTATTTGTGAGTTTTTACCGTAGCAAAGTCAAAATGGCCAAGACCTGAATTATCACGCAAACTGTCCACCTCGCCATGATTAAAATTTTTATGGTACGAAAATGTTTGTAGGACGTTACGAAGCTGCATCGGCATGAAAGGGCCGCGGGCTTTATTTTTGCTTCTAGTATAGTTTACTGCTGAATTTTCGAAAAATCAACGAAGCGACGAACTTTGAAACAGAGCTTTTTACATTTTGAAGTTTATTGTACGGGTATTTCAGTTGCAATATTTTTTCAGAATAAAGTGTTCAAAGTCAAGTGTTCTTGATTCTTTGATTGTTGCTTGTCCAGCTGGCCAAGTTGCATGTCAAGCTGCTGGATAAACTCGTCAATGTTGAAGTCTTGCTTCTTCGGCTCCCTTCTGAAAATTTTTGTCAGCAATATTTTTTTCGAAAACCCTTTTTTACCAAGAAATAAAAAGAGATTCTCAATTTTGGTAAATCCGGGTTTTATGGAAATTCGGGTTTTTATGGAAATCCGGGTTTTTTCCTTGGAAAACCGGGTTCTATGGAAATCCGATTTTCATGGAAATCCGGGTTTTTTTGGAAATCCGGGGTTTTTTTGGAAATCCGGGGTTTTATTTGGAAATCCGGGGTTTTCTTTGGAAATCCGGGGATTTTTCTGAACTCAAGTTTTTGACTTACTTTATCGGCCGTAACCAGTGCGCAGAAACGACGGATAAAGCTAGAAAAGACTGAAAACGAGCTTCTAAAAATACTTTGTTTTTAATTTCTCTCAAATAGAATTTCATAAAAAATGTCTTATTTGATGCTCTTTCTTGAAGATATTCATTTGCGACTGTAAGTGTTTTTTTTTCCGAAAATACTCGATTTCATTCATTTTATGGGCGCTTCTACGTATCTGCTCTCGGCTGCCAACATCTGTATGCACTTTCTTTCTGCTCTGACATCATGGCGAATGCTGCTGGCACTGATTTATATTCGTTTCGTCACATTTCACCAATTCGAATGTACTAGAGGATTATACTAGGCAAAGTAGATTTGATCAGAAAAGACCGTATAATTCCAACGTTATCTGCCAAATGAGAATATAATTCGAATCTGGGGACTTACACTTGAACAGATCAAGTCAAAATGGTATCAAACTAGGCCCAGGAACCTGTGTAGAAAATCTGAGTCAGGGTCTTTCGCGGCTTTTTAAGAACGAAGCCGCCTTGCGGAAGAAACATTATCATTGCAATTAATTTGTAAATACTGGCGAAGCCGCTTTGCGGCTTCGTAAAAAAAAGCCGCTACGCGGCTTTTCATTTGTGTCCTCAGACTCTGACTCAGGTTTTCAACACAGATTCCATACAGATAATACTGTATATATACCGGTATTTAAAATACGTCAATTTGACCGTTTTCAAAATGTTTACTGGATGAAAGACTTTGTCATTAAATTGATTGTAAGCTTTAATCGGGCAAATAATAATGATTTTTTGGGCAAGTTGGAGGAGAAGGCAGATGTTTCATGTGCTAGCAGTTTTTTTGGGTGGTAATGTTTTATAACTGAGCAAGTACGCTGTTCTGATAGGGAAAGGGAAATGGAGTGTCGTGAAAAGATAGGACTGTTTGCCCTTTGTCATTCAAAGAAGGAAGTCTCAGAGGTGCTTTTGCTTTTCAAACAGAAAAAAATCATAAACTCCAAAGTCAAGATGGGAACAGCACTGAGTCGCCAGAGAGAATCCTCAAGCCCTGAAAAGTATAACGAGTCTTTTGACGGCATTGACGCAGTGCCACCTGCTAATCAGGTTCCTATTATTCGAGATGAGAGCTACTGGGTGTCAGAGACGATAAAAGTAGAAGAAAATCGGTTGTACGGTCTTTTCGGAACACTGACTTCAGAAGAAGTTGATAGACTTCGATTGCTTCAGCGGGAAATAGATCAACTAAAAGATTGGATATAAAAAATAAATGCGTTTTTTCTTGAGAAAAATCTCAATATCCAAAAACCAGCGGACAAAGAACACTGGATAAACAAAGCCATGGCATTACAAATTGAACTTGACCAGCAAAATCAAGTAATTGATGCGAATCAACGATTTATGGACGAAGTAACAGCTTCTCGAGCTGTGAGACAGCACAAAATTCAAGAGCTCAATCGACGTAAGCTTTCTTTTTTGACGAAAAAGAGTAACAACATTTCAAAGGCTTAGAGAACCTGGAACAATGTAAAATCTGTTACGAAAATTATGATGATACAGACCATCAACAACTTGCAGTAAATCCCTGTGGGTTGAGTTCAAAAATCAATTGAGAGCGACAAAGTAAGAAATGATCGACTTCTGAACTCATGAAAGCCATTTTATGTGCAAAAAATGCTGCAATATCATGATTACAAAGCCGATTCCAAAGTGCTGGTGCCAGGAGAAAATGTCCCGACTCATGCGGGTCTACGCTTAAATTTTTCATGCCTGGAATAAACTAATTTTTACACAAGAAAAAGACTGTCCAGTTTTGTCTGGAGCTTTTCAAAATGATAATAAAATAAATTTACTAATGCTTATGCCACCAGGTTCTGGTCCTCGGGGCAGGATAATTGCTTTTAATGCTTTTATCTAAAGGCTCTACTGACCCAATTTTATTAAACAACCATCAACACCTACAATTGTTATCATAAAGTACTCAAAATCTACCTAAGATCCCTTGTCAATGCTCAAATAGAACAACCATAAAGTTTAACATTTCTGCCCTGCCTCGTCACGCTCCATTTTGGCTACGTCACCCTCCAGCAGCCCTCCCAGTGTGTACAGTTTGCCATTTGTCCTGTCCCATAAAGTGGATTTTCGGTAAAATATCATCTTGTTTTTTCTTCAAGAGAAAAAGTCGAAAATGAAGTTTGCGAAGAGCCTGGCTTTGGCGCTAATTGGAAATGTCTTTGGAGAGACTGAAGGAGAAACAAACAATAGTAACAATAGTAAATCAGGCGAGAAAAGACTGGCCTACGATTACAAACAAGTTTTCGTCGACAACCCTATCGGAACATTGAAGGATAAAGTCGAAGCGTAAGTTCAAAGGATGATGATGTTCGTTGATCGATTTTTTCAGGGAGAAGCTGGAATCGCAGACGAACAAGAAACTCGTCGAAGCGAACAAGCAGTGGGCTGATCGACATGCTGGCAAAGAACTGACGAAGAAGATGTTGTCCATTCCAAACACGATGCCTTTCACGCCTCATGGGTACGTACAAGACCACGGTTCTCCCTCAACCCCTCTTCTAGGACGATGAGATACGTCGACGACAGTCCCTACTGCTGGGTCATCTTCGCCTACGACTCCGACGAAGACGTCGAGTCCGAAATCTACCCCGTCGCCGTCGACATTTCCGAATATTTCTACGAGCGCTGCGCTGTTGGTCTTCTCGACATGGCCTACCCAAGCAACAAGGCCTCCTTCGGCTATTTGATCGAAGATCTTCCCATGCTCCTCGTCAAGCATGCAGGAAGAGACAAGCACATTTTACAAAAACATCTTGAACGAGGATCTTTTGTTATGGAAGACATCAAGAGCTGGGGGAAACGAGTTCTTACTGACGATCTCGGTAAGAATTACTCATTCTCTGGACCTGAGTCAGGGTTCTGAAAGTGCTTCCATAAAAAGCCGCGTAGCGGCTTTTCTAAAATCGAAGCCGCGAAGCGGCTTTGCAAAAATCACAATCTATCTTTATTCTTCTGATTTGAGACTTTCAGACCCTGACTCAGGGTTCTACACAGGTTGCAAAGCCGAGCAAAATTCTTTTCAAAAGAAATAATAGCCCTTCTTCATTGATTATTTCAGAGGACGACATTCAAGGCGTCCTGGAAAAGATCCTCGACGAATACTACGAAAACGGCCACATGAAAGACTTCACTAAAGTATCATCAATTTACATGCAGTGGTATGCCGCCCAAAGTGAAGGAAAGAAAAAGGGAGCGGAAATTATTCACAAACATGTTGTCGAAATCGCCAAGCAAATGGGTAAGAAACTTCTTGTTGATTTTTGGTAAAATAAATTTTGAAGAGGATGAAGAGGGCAAGCTGAAAAAGCCCGAATTCTACGCCGAAGTTTACAAAACCGACTCGATCATCAAGGAGAAACTCGATGCTGAAGGATTCAGAACAGCTCCGCGAGAAATTGTGAATAACTTTGGCGATGGATTCAAAGCCGAGAAGACCTCTTATTCCGACGAACTTTAAATCCGAATTCTAAAAATCGTCCTGCCATCTTCAATCTTTTCAAATGCCTTTTTGAGATCAACCTTTTTAGTAAAATTATCAATTCAAGCGTTGCAGTATCAAAATAGAATAAAAAAACTTCTCTCGCGAACCTATATTTTCTCTTGAATTTTGGCTCGTTCCCAGGCGAATTCCAAGAAGGCATTCAAGATATTTACCTTTTCTCGCTTGGCTTAACCCCAGCAAATCAATTCGCAGGGCAAGTCGCGAGCAGGGCCAATAGAAAAGCGGCGCCAGATTTGAAAATGCTCGGCACGCTGGGTTGAAAATTTTCAACCGAATTTCCTAGCTCGCGATTCTAGTGAAAGCAGAGATAAATAATGACGGAGTTTAGGCATCCTTCAGTCCTCAAGGTATCATATAAAATAGTATTATATAAATAAATGCTAATGAATAAATTTATAATTGAATTTAATAAAAATATAAGATGCCCCGACGGGATATGCCTCCAATTTATGATGTTCTTTTCCAAACCGTTCCGAAACAAGAAATCCTGCAAATCGACCATTTGCCTGGCTATTCGTCTCAAGAAGATTCCTGCTCCAGCCCCGAAATAGTCCAAAACCAACCGCTCTACTCGCCGACAATGAGTTTCAAATTCATTACTTCTCAATTCGAAAACAACGAAGCAAATCACAAACGAAAGCCCGTCGCACCGCCTGATCCGAAAGAAGAACTGCTTGACGATTACGTCGACGATTTTATGTCTGATTTTGTCGACATTTTCGTCGACAAATTCCTCGATTCCATCGTCGAAGAAAAGGCAAACGACATTTTCAATGAGCACATGTTCGATATGATCATCGATTCAAAGCACAATTCATAACTTTCAAGTTCTTTTTTTCTTCAGAATAAATTCATGAAAAACTACAGAAATCAACTTTCAGGCTCGCTTGTTATCTAGGTCAGCGCGTTATGCAAAAGTAAACCCGGTAGAATCATTTGTTTAGGTAAAAGCTTTTGATTATTTAAGTCAGCGGGAGCGTAAACTTTCTGCCATCTGCATTTGAGCATTTTTATAATCAGCGTCTTCTCATGTAAAAGCAGGCTTGAGATGCAGTATTTTCGATTTTGTAGACATAAATTGTTCTCTAGAATGATTTTTGACCAAAATAAGTAAACTGCCGATTCAGGCTAAATCATTCAGCAACGATGGTCGAGACCAGAAGCCAGAGTAGAGAGCGCGGACAAATGGAGCAGTTTTTCCGCAGCTTGCTTGAGACCAACCGATTGTCAAGCTTGACGCAGAGAATCGTCCAAGACCGCTACAAGGCTGAAATCAACAACGACAAGGAGATGACGGCTAATCAGTCTGATCGATTGATATCTGTCGTTGTCGAAATGACGAAAGCGGAAAGAGAGAAAAAGTTTGAGGTATTCTTTCTTGTCTATTTTCAGTAACTTCTACCCAACCTTTTGGTAATAATTGAAAATAAGGGTATCGATAGAATCAAGCTCGAAGAAGCACGGAAGATCATCGACGAACGAATTGATACACTGACTCGCAAGTTAGACCAAACCGCCGAGATAGATGGCCGTACCAGCAATCGGTTAAAAGGTTTCTGGATAATCAGAGACTTCTTTCTCCTATTCGAGTCCAAGCTTGAGGACGACGAGTATAATGTAAGAAAATATTTAAAGATAATTCTCATTCATTTTTGTTTCTTTCAGAATACAGCCTGGCTACAAAAAGCAGCCCGATTTCTAATTGAAACTGCTAAAGAAATAGAAGGCTTTAGAGAACGCGGAGCTGAGCTCGATCGTGAAGAAGCACGGCTTGATGAAGAAGTCGCCCGGCGTGGTCGGAAAGCAGCCCAGATGAGAATCGTGACCGCGGATATCAGCCGACTTCAAGCTGTGTTTTACCATTATTTCATGCAGATATTTCGTATTCCACTTGATGCTCCAGATCGACAAGAACAGATTGAAAGACTTTTGGAACTGACTGATAAAATCGGTGAGGAAGTAGACAAACGTCTCGACGAGTACGATGCGCAATTCAATGTGCAGTCAACATAGACTTTTCGATTTTATTTCTGTTTTTTATTTTCCTTTTTTTTCGTATCGAATTTCAATAAATGATAAAAGTTACAAAAAAATAATGAATAACTACAAAAAATAGTGAGTTAGTCTTCCTTGATATCATTGATGTGTTGAACGGATTAGAGATTGTTTTCTAGAATTATTTTTCACCAAAAAGACCTGTTTTGGATTTATACTTATAATTAAGGTTTTGATTTATTGAGGTAAGTTCAATATTTTTGCACTATTCTAGTCTGGCGAGTCCGAATTAAGGTCTTTCGCAACGATGCCTTGTCAAACCAGGAAACAGAGTAGAGAGATCCGAGAAATGGTGGTCTTTGTCCGCCACTTGATGACGATAATACCACAGTCAAGCTTGACGCAGACGTTCGTGCACGACCTTTACAAGGCCGTATTGGATAATATGTTCAACAAGCAGCTGACGGATCACCAGGCTAAAAAACTTAGAGCCGTCGTCGTTGCGCTTGCGAAGGCCGAGACGAACAAAGTCTTCAGAGATTCGAGATCCAAGGTATTTTTTCTTGAAAATGAAAATAAACATAATTTTATTTCAGGCGCGCCTTAGAGAAGAATACGCCCAGGTAATTCGCGGCCAAGTCGAAATAGAAAAAGAGAGGGAGAAACAAGCCCGGATGGAAAAAGAATGCGCCCGCCTTGAAAGAAAAAAGGCCCGACTTGAGAAAGTAAACGCCTGGAAGGAACGCCTTCTAAAAATCAGAGCGCAGATTAGCCGTCACAGAAAAGAGTTCATGCGAATTTCAAGAGATAAGGATTCAGATGCTTCAGAGCGGGTCCTACCTCTGACAAGACTCGCTCAGAGAAGAGTTTTCGATGTTATCCACAGGCTGAAGGAAGAGTTTGACAGAACTTATAAACTTTTATAATATAAAGATTTACGCCGTGGGGAGGCAAAGTAATTTTCTTTTCTGTTTCTTTTTTTTATATTTTTGAGTTTCTGTTTTTTTAAATCTTTCACTGTATCTCCAGTAAATTCTGAATAAACATTAGCAGAAGCGCTAACTTTATGATATCTGCATTTGAGGATTTGTACTCTCGGCTTCTCAAATGCAAGCAGGCTTATTTCAAAGGTTTTGAATCAGAACTCTTCATCCGGAAAAAGCAGGCGTACTTTTCTTGAAAAAAATGCCCCTTGGCAAGCTCGAAATTTATTATCGGATCTCCGCCCGAATTCGTATTTATCTGATATCAGATTTGAAACTTTCATTCTTAGAAACCGATTTTGAAAAGAGAAAATTCTGAGAGACTTCACTGTACAGTGTACACTTGACTCTAAACATAAGAAGGGAAAAGGGCTACTATTTTCTTCACATTTTCAGATAGAGATCTCGTCTTCGAATAAATAATTTTGGTAACGGTTTTCTCCTAGAAAAAAGATCTTGCTCGATGGTTTTTTTAACAAGTAAGCTATAAATTTGCTGTTCAAAACTAAAAATATATATCAGTCCTAGCAGCCATTGGCTTCACTAAGGTAGGCATTGCTGCCGGCTCAATCGCTGCATTTCTTCAAACCCCATTCACGGTAGCTGGTGGACTTTTTGCTACGTTTCAATCCGTAGCTGCTACTGGAGTTGTTACTTTTGGTGTTGCTATGAAGATTATTGGTGGAATCGGAGCTGCTATTGGCACTTTCGGAGCGCTTGTTGCCGGACTATTTTCCCTGTTTTGAAATTTATTTTCCTTGAAATAAAATTTCTTATCTTTCCCTTTCGTGTTCAAATGCTTGTTATGCATATCCAGCTAAGTTGTTTAACGGAATGCTATTTGCGTCTAAAAATAGATAGAGCGCTCGTAACTTCGTTTTTTAGGTTAATCCTCATGTCGTACGTGCAGTTGTTCGTTTGTTGAAAAAACAGTTTTGCATTAACATTTCTCGAGTTTCCCGTTCACTTTTCATTTCACATTTTTGATAAGAAATTAGACAAAAATGAAAATTTTTTCTATCCTTTTTTACGCATTTTCGGTTGTTTCAGCAATTTTATCAACAAATAAGAGACACCAAAATGTTCTGAGAAGACAGTCGAGAAAATTAGCGAAAAACAAGAGCAGAATTTTACGACAAATAGACACCAAAAGAGTTGATCTGGCTTACGACGAGAAATGCTGGGTCGATAGAGGCCTCGGAAATCCTATTTTGAGGAAGAAAGCAGATTGTATTCGGCTAACTTGTAATGCTGATAGCTTGGAGCTTTCATTCTCCAAAGATCTTATTCCAAAAAGAAGTGATCAAAACCAGTCGCAGCTGAGTGCGTCTTCGAATCTATACGCAGAGGTAACAATCGTTAATCCTAAAAAAACTCATGACTGTAGTGCCGTCCATATCTTCACCAAGGTCGTTGGCATTTAAAAAGCCACCTTGCCGACTGTGGAATTCGAATTTCAAAAGTCAGCGATCAAAAACAAACTTTCATCCAGTTCATGTTCGATGTCCAGCAGTTTATCAAGGATGCGTTTGATGTTGATGTCAGATCTAGGAACGGACTAAAAGTCGATTTTTTTCTTCAAAAAATGTATCAAAACACTTTTTTTTTCTCCAACAATAGAATCGCTGCAAAATGTCGTTACAATACAGAAGTCGCGCTGGACGATGTTATTGCTTCAAACACGACCAAAGTCAATGGCAATTCCGTGACCAAGTAAGCTATTGATGTCGATTCTAGCGCTTTATTATGACTAGATATGGCTCGATGCGGCCAAACTTCGCGATCAACACTTTCGAGGACTCGAGTTTCAGGAAAGTCATGGACAACAACACTGCAGTCTTCATCGGGCAAGAAATTTTTCTCCAAGTCGAGGTGATTTTCTTCGATAAAGAATATTTCTCATCATCATCCAGTGGGTTCCTGCTCAACGGATAGGACAGCTACATTTCGCCATCGATTCCTGCGGAGTAACTTTTCGCGGTCACGAAATCTTGATGCCTTTGGTCGTCGACAATTGCTACTCAAAACTCTTCGACGCAAGAATTTTGTCAAATCATCTTGAACGAAAGAAAGCTCGATTCTCCTACCGCCTATTTTCGATCGTCAATTCGAGGAGGAATTCGGCGACGATGCACTGCAAGTTGAGATTGTGCAACAAAAAGGATTTCGGCTGTCTTTCCAGGTGATGCACCTAGTAGTTTGCTGGCAGAATGATGGGATAACGTCATTTTTAGCTCAAGAACTGAGGATTGTCCGAAGACAGACGCGTTCGACTTCTCAATCGATGGAAATTGAAGCTGAACATTTGTAAATAATCTTATTGAGTAGATGGCTACTGAAACTCTGGAAATAATAAACCAACAATAAATTAATAGATATAATATTTATTGAACTGGCCAAGAAAAAAGTATATTCACAGCGGTTAAAATCGTAACGGATACGGTAATAACAACTACCCTGTAGCCGAAACAGTTTTAAAAAAATAGTCGAAATAATTTAGTTATTGAACAAAAATAATAACTGCTAGGCCACCTTATTCATTCATTTTCTTTCATTTGACATTATTCAAGGCAACTCGAAGAGTGGTACTAATTTAGTGGTGAAATTTTGGCAGTGGTCGTCGATTGGGTTTATTCTTTTTTGACACACACGATGGCGTACGAGCGCATTTTTAAGTGATTAGTGGTAGGTAATGGTTTTTTAGTGAGTTGAGTTTTTCAATTTGAGAAAGAGGAGGGAAGTATCGATAAATGTGGGTGAAGAAATATTTTTTCGAGAAAAAGGGACAATAAATTAGCGTACTTTTCAACCCTTCGACCAAAGAACAAATGTCAAGCATTCCTCGATTCCCGTTCAAACAACAATAATAAACCAGCAAATTCGTGATGGAGGACCATCGAAATTGGGCATCAAAGTATCAATTGTAGCAGATGAAGCGTATGGCTGGAAGATCATTAATTCTAGTAGTGCTACGGTAGTAACGATATTCGTCGAGTAGGAAAGGGGTTTCTACTAGTCGTCGGTGTCGTCAACGCGCCGGACGGTCCAACCCTTTTCTTCCAGCGCTCGTTGGTACTGCTGCAGTTCTATTCTCAGCTTGTCCGCCTGAGGGAATGAAGTTAGACGGCGTTCAAATTTACTGTCTGTACCTCTCTCTTGTATCTGTTCCTCTCGTCTATCAGCTGCTCGACATCCTCTTTGTCGTATGTATTTTGGCACGAGGTCGAAATCTTTGTCTGCAGCTCCAAAATATACTCGTACGCTTTCGCCAGGATTCCTCCCTTGCTCTATTGAAAAATATTGTTAGAAAAGAAAACAAGAAGGATTTTCCTGTCCTACCTGTCCTTGTTTTGTGTGATCATCTGAGCAGTCAGGCACGACCTTGGAGATTTTGTTTATCCATGTGTTGATCTTGTCTCTTCTCCGCCTTTCCACTTCGTTGTGCTGCTGCCTTCTTGCCATATCCTTCTGAATCTTACACAAACCGTTTAAATTTTGAACACACAACGCTCATTCTTTTTCTCAGTAAGGAATACTTGATAGGGGTACACTTGTTCATCCTTCTTTTTCTGTAGAAAGATGCTCTTGTTCATCCCGATCGAGATGTGTGAATATACCCTTACTGTCACGCTGGGCTGAGTAACCTGAGTCAGGGTCCTATAAGACGAAGAGCCTAAACAATAGGGTTCCTACACAGGTTGCTGAGCTCAGCTTTTAATTTCCCAGGCCACGTAGCCTTGAGAACGAACAACGGTACCTTCACATAAAACAATATGGATGAACAAGACCTCTTTCTGAGGAAAAAAGAGGAGGAACAAGGGAACCCCTTGTTTTTGACTAAAAAGGGTCATTATTCTCATTCGTATCGAATTCGAGTAACAACTCTTCGCTTGCCAAAAAATTGGTAAAAACGGGCAATTGGGTTAAATTTGAATTCCCTAGTTCTTTACTGAGAAAATATGACAATTCACTGCTCTCATTTGAAGCCGTTAGAATTTGGATTCTTTGGTTAATTTTCAATTTGTCACACGCATGTTAAAATTTCTAAAATTCTAACGCCGAGAGAGAAATTCAATAGAGAGAGAAATAGAGACAAATTCCGACCTGAAATGAGTTGGACGTAAACTCTTTCTTGATGCCAATATCGGGTTGATACTGCAAAATAGAGAGAGTTAATTAGTTGCTCGCAATTTTCATAAATCAGTAATCATCATCATGATTTTCCAGAACCGTTAGTTACTGGTAGCTTTCTTACCGCGCGGTTCGAGTTTGATTGCAGCGACATTTGGCTGTTGTAGATGTCCAAATTCGCCCGTGGAATAATCTGCGTCAGATTCCGTTCTCCTTGACCTTGCGAGTTCAACATGACGTACGTAAAGTTGCCTGAAACGAAGATGTTTGAAACTTTCTCTTTGAAAAAATAGCTGTTTACGAAGAAAACGAGTCTTGCTGAAAAATGAAAGATTGAAAAGTGAAATTGCTCTGTTCAAATATTTGCCTGAAAAAAAGTTCCTCCCAATTGGAATTTGAGAAAATGAAGAATATTTGGTGCTGGTCATGTGTTTGTGATTCGATTTACGCTAGAGAGCAGTCGCTTTCAATATCGACTTTTTTCCTATTTAGGAGGGGTAGCATGAGTTCCGGCTTTTTGCCGGCTACATCTGCAAAATGAAAACAACGCCTAAATTGTCGATTTGAGGGAGAGATGGTTATTGAAAATTAAGGGGACTTGGGGGAAGATTTCGCAACAATTTAAGACTCGAAATTTCGAGAAAAATGTTTGATTAAAGTTTTGACCAAAATTGGTCAATTTTGACAGTTCCGAAATCGGTCAAAAATCAGTCCGAAAATTGCTCTTACCGTTTGCGTCGGTATTTCCTTGACTATCGTTCGTTCTGTTGGAGCCGTTGAAATTGTGTGGCGAGTTATTTCCGTTCTGAAAAAAAAATGAAATTTTCAATGTCCACTTTTCTTTTTGAATTTTACCAGGAGCGAGTTGTTGAGTTGCTGCAGCGCGGCGGCACTGCTCGTTATGACGTCTGTATTTGTGTCTGAAGTCGGAATCTGGTGCACCCTGAAATTGTCCATTTTTAAAACTTGATCTTGAAGACTTTCTTTTTGTAGAAAAAAGGGGCGAAGGGGATTTTCTCGAACGAAAAAGAGGAGAAAAAGAAGGAAAGCTCATTTGCCCCTTTCAAGAGGCTACTACTACTGGTGGGGGTATTTAGCACCCGCGGACGATAGCCACGTGTTGCCGTGTCACGTGATCGTATCATGTGAGCAGGGAGAAGCGGAAGATCGGATTTGGGTTTCTATGACAGTAACCGGTCGGCTAAAATTCACGAATAGACTATTCAAACGCGCCGGGATCAATTCTTTCTTACTACACTTTTTTGACGCTTTTCTTTCGCAAATTTTGAAAGTTTCAAAGACTCTTTTTATTCTTCTGAAAATCGAGAAGCCGCTTGTGGCTTAGAGCAAAAAAGACGTAAAAGCCGCGCTCCGCGCGGCTTAATTTTTCTCTTGCTCGAAGCCGCAAGCGGCTTCTCGATTTTTATAAGAATAAATAAGTCTTTGAAACTTTCAAAATTCGAAGAAAAGCCTCAAAAGAGAGTTTTCAGAAAAATTCGTTCTTGAACTTGAAAGTTAATACATTCTTCATGTACGAGAAGAAGAAAAAGGGGGTTGCCCTGGGGTAAAAATTCTAGTGTCTAATATTTATCGTAGTAGCTTTTTTCTATTCTCTTACGTTTTTTCTCTCTCAATTCGGATTTCGAAAAGTGCTTCAGCTGAGCCGGCAAAACTATTATTCCAAATATGACGGGTCACGTGACGCTCCGGAAACTGGTCACGTGAGCACTTTCAAAAAAATGAAGTCTATTCGCTTTTTCCCGCGAAAAAAAAACAGATAAAAAATAAATAAAAAAACATGATTTTTATAAAAATAATTAAATAAAAAAAAAAGACGATTTTTTAAATAAAAAATATTAAAATAATTATTTAAAAAATAATAATTAATTTATAAATAATAAAAAATAAAGGAAAGTACTTTAAAAATAATACAATATAATAGATAAAAAAAATAATAACAATTATTTATTAAAATAATTATTAAAAATTAATAATAACATACCCTGGGGTTTCTATGATTTCTGTGCCGTCCATATGAAGGCTTCTGTGTTTTTTCAGCTAGAATTTCCGACGAAAATTACGAGAAAATTCGTAGAGCCGATTTCAGTACAATTTAACCGATTTGACCCGAGGCGAGTGACGATGAATTTTTCGTTTCGTGGCGGCGCAGCGGGGGATCAGTTCGGAACTTCGAGCGCTTGAACAGAACGGGCCGGGTTATTTCTCACGAGGTGCTGCCAGGTCACGAGGTCTGTTTCTCTAACACGTGAATAGATCGAGCAAGGGTAGAACGAGCCAAGCGGCGGGGCCACGCCGCCTACGCCTACACAGAATTAAAGAAAAAACGCGCCGAGCCACCGCCGCGGATTCCTCCAAATCGGACAAAATTTACCAAAATTTAAAAATGAATTCGTGAGCATCTATGTTATTCTTACCGCGCAGAAGTGGCCCGGCGAAGAAAGATGAATTTATAAACTGTAATTTCTGATTTTTAAATAAATTACTTCAATTTTACTAGAAATTTTGACAAATTGGATTCAAGCCAGGCGGTAAAACGGATCATTTACTTGTTTAAAAATGGAAACATCAGACTGTGGACGTCTCAAATCGTGGGAAAACGATAAAGAATGAGAATGAACCAGTTGGTTGATAACTTGCTGTCTATCGAAAATCCCTCGCCAGGTTTATTCTCAGACTGATTTTCCTCACATGAGAACGAACGGTGATAACGCACAGTCTGCTCGCGGAATCCAAAAAAAGGTTGAAAGGAGCGTTCCTTGACGTAGAAAAGAAAGTTGATCCATCTGACCGGTTATTTTTAACTTCTCCCGTGATTTTCAACCGTTTCGTGACTGACAACCAAGTCTTACTGTATATAACCAAGAATGAGTCCAACTTAAAAATAAAAATGAATAAAAAAACACAGCCTCTGGGCTCAGCAACCTGTGTAGAAAACCTGAGTAAGGCTCTAGAAGACTTTTTATGAAAAGCCGCATAGCGGCTTCGTTCTTAAAAAAGCCGCTACGCGGCTTTTCATTCATGATCTTTTAAGCCCTTACTCAGGTTTTTAATACGGGTCGCCGGCCCAGAATGTGAATTTTTTGACGTTTTTTTGTGATTATGGTCGCTTTACGTAAAATTCAAAAAACTGAATAATAGTTCCGCCTCATTTCTTTTAGACTACTTAAAAACTGAATCCATGTTTTTTTTGCAACATGAAAATGTGGAAAGCATGGATAAATTGTTTAATTTTTACCTTTTTGCTTCTAGCAATCGGGATTCCCACTGAGCTCCATTTTTTCAGGAAAAGAAAGGTCACCCTGGAAAGCTCCAATGACGGAATCATGGCGATGGAATTTTTTGAACGGGAAGAAGAGAACAAGACGATGCCTAGTTATCATGTCAACGTCCAGGTTGCTGGTCTCGGCCAGGCATATAAATTCGCTTGGCGATTTTCGCCGAAAGCGAAAGCGAATCGAAAATTTCGCTTTCGCCCCCCGAAAATGACACTCCTGATGTTCGCTTCGCTTTCGCTTTTTGTCCCCGATTTTCGCCAAAAATTCGCTTTCGCCGAGGCCTCGCTTTCGCCAAATTTTCGCTTCTGGCAAATCTTCGCCAAAATTTCGCTTTCGCCAAGGCCTCGCTTTCGCCAGAAGTTTGCTTTCGCCAAAATTTCGCCAAATTCTCGCTTTCGCCAAGAGTTCTTTTCGCCAATATTTGGCCGAATCTTACTTTTTTCTCTTTCAAAGCGGTATAAATAGGGGAAATCACTTATAATTGAGCTCTTTTTCTAGCTTAGTAGGGTTTAATACAGTTTAAGAACACCTAGAAGCTGGGGATCATCCAGGATGCTTATTAAGCCTAATCATGCTCCTGGGCCCAAGTTGGCGCAAGTCTCGGTATGAACCCTTGAGTAAACAGAAATTATGTGCATGTTGAGCCGGAAATCATGATCAAGCTCAGCCTGGATAATCTTCAAAACTGAAGATATGGAAGACTAAAAATTAGAATTCTCTGAAAACTTCCATGATAGGGTAAAATTTGATTCTGATTCTGATGCCGCTATCGTTAAAGTCTTTTGATGTTATATTTTTGAAATAAATCACTTCCAATTATTATCAGTTGCTTAAATCAAAGTAACTTTCTTAATTGCTTCCGGTTGGAAGATTTGAAAAACAGCTGAAGAAAGAACAGAAGGCATGATTTATAAATTTTTAAGGCATTAAGGTAGTGGTGGTGGGTGAATGGTGGGTGGGTGGTGGATTTTTTTCGTAAGCGTTTTTTGACCCCAAAATTTATAGAATAGGAGTTGATTACACCGATTCTTCGGTCATTTTTAACCAACAGAAGGAAAACGAAGTAGTCTACCTAGGTAGTAGACCTTAAGAGGTAAGTCATTTTAGATAGAGAACTGATCTTTTTGAAAGATTTCGCCAAAAAAGTTTGGCCGAAAAATCTTTCCCACCACTTCCCACCATTTCAGATTTTTGAGACTTGAGGTGGTGGGTGGGTTGCCCACCACCACTCACCCACCATTTCCACCATTTTTTACCAACCCCAGCTCCGAAGTCCCAAAATCTGGCCAACTTCGGAAATGGGAATTTTTGAAGGCTAAGACTTTTAGGGGCTCCCACCTATACTCGATTTTAGCCCAGGCTCTGGCTGTCATTTTGAGCTCTAGAAAAGTATGGAGGGGATGGGGTATCTTGGGAGCTAGGGGCTCTTGAAGTCGGAGAACTCGGCGAAAATTGAGTACTTTTTTCCAAAAAGTCTTTTTGTCGATTTTAATTCATTTAAAAATGTTGAAGTTGTCATTTTGGGTCATGTGAGGTCAGGTCGGGTCACTTATTAGAGTTTTCTGAATTTTCAATTATTCTTGACCTAGAGTGACCTCAGTTGACCCCAAACGACATCTTAAACACTTATGAATGAATAAACGTCGATTAAAAGAATTCAAATCGTCTACTTTTTGGGAAAAAGTACTCAATGTTGGTCGAGTTCCCTAACTTGAAGAGCCTCTAGCTCCCCAGATACCCCACCCCCGCCCTACTTTTCTAGAGCTCAAAATGACTGCCAGAGCCTGGGCCTTCAAAAATTCTCGGTTTTAGAAAGCCCAGAAGCTTTCATTTGGACGGGTATCCCATATCAAGGGGTCAAGGCATTCATAGGACCGGAAGTTCCGAAATCGGAACTAGATCTCTTCAATCGAATTTTTGAGTGGCGGGAAACGGCTCAAATGAAAGCTCAGCTTCTTGGTGTTCCAAAACTGTGTCATAATTATTATATTAAATAAGAAAAATGGGTCGAAGTTTTATTCAAATTTCTTTCAATATCTTTCAATTTCGGCGAAATTTCGCTTTCGGCGAATTTTCGCTTTTGGCGAATTTTCGCTTTCGGCGAATTCTCGCTTTTGGCGAATTTTCACTCTTGGCGAATTTTCAGTCTTGGCGAATTTTCGCTTTTGGCGAATTTTTCGCTTTTGGCAAATTTTTCGCTTTTGGCGAATTTTTCGCTTGGCGAATTCGCTTTCGCTTCGCTGTGCAAGATAAGCGTTCGCTTCGCTTTCGCTTCGCTTTTTGGCTGGAAAAATTTTTCGCTTTCGCTTCGCGTTCGCTTTGGGTTTTCGAACGAAATTTATATGCCTGGTCTCGGCAACCTGTGTAGAAAACCTGAGTCACGCTAGCCGCCCCCGCTTTGCCTAAATGGAATTTGACAAAGCCGCGTTTCGTGAGCCTGACTCAGGCTTTCTACACAGGCTGCCAAAACCAGCAAGGTTGCAATCAGAAATCATCTCTACGATGCGAAATTGTTCATCAACATGGCATCGACTTTTACGAACGCCCGCGAGATTTGCGAAAGCTTGAATATGAGGAAAGCTCGAAAAATCAAGATATGGGTTAGCCTGATCTGATGTTGATTTTTTGAAAAGACTTCCTCCTGAAGGATTTGCCATCATCGAAAATCCAAGTGCTTTTGATGAACGAACGTCGATGATGTTCTGGATCGACGCATTCGTCTCCCCGGACACTGCGATTTTTACGAGAGCAGAAAAACCTGGACGAGTTTTGATCGAACGTTTGCTTGGAGAAAGGGTCAAATCGGACGGTTACTTAGGTGGGACTCCCAGTGTTAAATTGATTATTAGTAATTATGTTTTTTAGCTTATGTCATCAATCACAAAGACAAATGCTTGCTGAATTTCGACGCACGTGATATTTTTCCAAGAGTCTATTTGTGCCAAAATGACATGTACAACGAAACATCTGGCAAACTAAAGCTCTACTTCCAAAAGAACTCGAACTATCCATGCCCGCTAGTCAAAATCAACGCGACGAATTTGACCGCAGACTTTCCTTTCTCAGACCATTTGTTTCGTAGTATGGAAGAATGTTTCGGTAAAAGCGACCGAAATATAAATCACTTTCAAGGGGTCAAATGTGATAAATATTTCGGCAGGCAGCCGAAAGAATTATACATATAAGACTTGCTTTTAGGAAAAATATTTCGGTACGAACCGAAATAAAAATCAGAAACTGATGTCTTTTGAGCAATAAAGTTTCGGCAGGTTTTCCATTCTCATCTTGATTGGCGCTGGTATGTGCATTGAATAAATTTCCCTTATCATTGATAAGTTATCAACTCTTCAGCTCAAAAATCTCGAGTAATTTTTGCTCAAAAAATGGAAAAAAAGTGAAAAAAGTTTCGGCTGTTACCGAAATATTAATCAGAAAATAAGCTCACCATATTTCGGCAGTTTTACCGAAACATTTTTCCATACTACCATTTGTTTCTCTACGATGGATCCGTCGATTTTGTTGATGTGGATGAAAGACCGGTGAATACGATTACGTCTCTTTTAATTTCCGGCTGGACGATGAAGGAGTACACGAAAAACGGGAAAGAGATTGGCGGAAAACTTTGCGATAAAACTCATGAAGTCGCGCTCACTTGGTTCAGGAAAGAGGTTCGAAAATCCGCTACTAGCTGGCAAAACCTATTTTGACAACCACAAAAAGATGCAGCGAGCATATTTCTTCAAGCGCTGTCTGCGATGGAATTTTTCTGCGGAAAAGAGCTTCGGATAAAGACGCCACTGTTGCTGGCGCGTATGATACTCGACATGTCAATGCACAGACTAGCTCTGTTTTATGTATTCAATAATAAACTCACCGGTTTTGTCAATTTATTAATTGCACTAGCAAGGGATACACTCTCCATAGAAAGCCTTGAAATATTCGTTGCAAGAGCACCATCCGTCTGACCAGCCAATGCAAGTTGAACTGGGTGGGCATTGACTTGAATATCTTCTTCCTCGTCTTCTTTCAGAAGGGCGAACTTTTTGGCGCTTGCAAATTTGATTCAAAACTTCTCCAGCTAAAAAACGATGACCTTAGTTCAAGAAAGAGGAGTCAGAGTCTAGTACCGATGGTCGACGAAGCTGATTCGCGTTCATCATCAGTTTTCGTTGTGAAAATTGACAAAGCATCGCCAGTGAACCATTCCAATCGAGACTTAGCTTCCTTGTCGATGTGATGTCCTAACCCAATCGCGAGGATTTGAAGACTAGGTAGACTCTTTTTGAGTTTTCGTGCTGATAAGTAAGCTCGAGTTTTGTCCGAAAAGTGGCCGTCGGAGATGATGATCATCGCTTATTTCAGGATTTTTTAGTCGATGAGGATCAAATAATTCGTAATCATGAAACCCTGATGAAGTTAATCCCGTCCTTGATCATCCGAATCCAATTGAAAGTCTTCTTCAATTATTGGATCAACGGCAGAATGAATATCTGTCACTGAGTTGTCATTTTCAATCGCAATTATGTCTTTAGGTCGCCAGTACTTTCTCGTTGTTCTTGAGAAAGTTCTAACGCTCCAATCAGAGTCATAAACATAATCGCTTAGGGTTTTGAGGAGCATCTTCATTTCGTAAAAATGCTCATTCACGGAGGCGGACGTGTCCAGGAGAAAAAGGATTTTCTTTGGATAGTTGCAGGTTTCATTGCGAATAAATATCGTGTCTAAATCGCGATAGCCAATTTTAGACAAAATTAGATTTTGATGATCCGTTGAGTGGCGGATAGGGAAGCATGAAATCGATTGTAAGAGGAGGTAAAAGCATATCCCACTGTTCGTAGGCTCCCGCAGTTCGTCATAAGTAACGTCTGACCAAGGTCTTCCTATTATTTCGGAAACACCTGACGAATCTAGCGATCATCTTATTACAAAATTCAATTGGTCGTCGGTACCTTTGATTCTTGGATCTTTCGTTCTTAGAAACTGCTCTTTAGTCACAGGCCAGATTTGAGGAGACCACTCGCCGAAGTTCGACTCACTTTGTGCTGCTTCCAGGAAAAAGTGTTGAGAATCTCGAACATCTTCGAAGTGGTAAGCAAGATCGTCAATTACGATCTCGATTTCGCGAAGTGTCGGTTGCTCAGTTCGTCGTCGCCCGCATCTTTGGACTTGCTGCGGTCTTGAAGGGCAAATTGGAAGCTCGATTTCTGAGGAATCCAAGGAGGAGTCTTCTATGTCTTCGATGTGTTTGAAGATCGGTAAAGGAGCTCTGGGACTTCCAGATCGACTTTTTCGTCGGTGCGGACTTTCGGGCTGATTTCAATAGAAAACGGTGACCTAGTTGTTATGCTCACTGTGGTTGTTGTTGTCGTTGTCGTGTTTCTTGATGTTGTTCTCGTGGTTCTCGTGGTTGTCGTGGCTGTCTTGGCCATCCTAGTTGTCGTGGTGGATGTGGTGGTGGTCGTCGTCGTCGTCGTGGATGTCGTCGTCGTAGTAGTTGTCGAGTTCGTAGTCGTGGTCGTCGTGGATGTGGTGGTTGTGGTCGTCGTAGTTGTCGTTGTAGTTGTTCTTGTTGTAGTTGCTGTGCTCTCCGTTGTTGTCGTTGTTGTGGTAGGAATAGAAGTCGTCGTTGGAATCTTTGTTGTTGATGCTTTTATATTCGTAGAAGTTTTTAAAGTTGACGAAGATTTAGGCACTTGACTAAAACCAATCAAATATCTTCACTGAATCAATATCATTACGGTTTAGTAGGAGTCGTTATGTCCCCCCTAGCATCGACAACCAATTCCTTCGTTCTTTTAAATTCTCTATTCCAAGCTCTGTCCCAATAATTATTCGAGTTATCACCCCTTTCGCATGATCAAAAATATCTGTAAACATTTCATAAACAATGTGGGTCTTTTGAATCTCGATCCTAGATGGAACATCCCAGCTTGAATCCCCATCAAGAGTGTAATCGGAGACAAGATCGTATTCGTAGCTATCGACGGAATAGTCGTAATAGTTGTATCCTTGCGCACTTGCTGCTGCGAGAAAGAGTGATATAAGAGGAGGAATCTTCATTTTCTCGTTTATTAAAAAAAAAAATTATGAAAAATGCATTTGATGATTTGATGTTGGTAAAAAACAGGAAAACAGAATGAAGCTCTTCTCTTCGCAAAGAAGTAAACATTGTCGCTCAGGCAGAAGAATTTCACTTGTTCATTTGGTCGAGAGGTACCTTTGAATTGGATCTGCTTGTTTGTTTACTGTATTTGCAGCGAATCTACTGTACTTTACTGCTGCGTCAGAGGGAAAACTCTGCTGACCGAGCAAATGGACGGTCAATTATTATGCAGAAGAATTGCAGCATTTAATTATTTTTGGAATTTAATGACATCGGAATGTACCGATGGTCGACGAAGCTGATTCGCGTTCATCATCAGTTTTCGTTGTGAAAATTGACAAAGCATCGCCAGTGAACCATTCCAATCGAGACTTAGCTTCCTTGTCGATGTGATGTCCTAACCCAATCGCGAGGATTTGAAGACTAGGTAGACTCTTTTGAGTTTTCGTGCTGATAAGTAAGCTCGAGTTTTGTCCGAAAAGTGGCCGTCGGAGATGATGATCATCGCTTATTTCAGGATTTTTTAGTCGATGAGGATCAAATAATTCGTAATCATGAAACCCTGATGAAGTTAATCCCGTCCTTGATCATCCGAATCCAATTGAAAGTCTTCTTCAATTATTGGATCAACGGCAGAATGAATATCTGTCACTGAGTTGTCATTTTCAATCGCAATTATGTCTTTAGGTCGCCAGTACTTTCTCGTTGTTCTTGAGAAAGTTCTAACGCTCCAATCAGAGTCATAAACATAATCGCTTAGGGTTTTGAGGAGCATCTTCATTTCGTAAAAATGCTCATTCACGGAGGCGGACGTGTCCAGGAGAAAAAGGATTTTCTTTGGATAGTTGCAGGTTTCATTGCGAATAAATATCGTGTCTAAATCGCGATAGCCAATTTTAGACAAAATTAGATTTTGATGATCCGTTGAGTGGCGGATAGGGAAGCATGAAATCGATTGTAAGAGGAGGTAAAAGCATATCCCACTGTTCGTAGGCTCCCGCAGTTCGTCATAAGTAACGTCTGACCAAGGTCTTCCTATTATTTCGGAAACACCTGACGAATCTAGCGATCATCTTATTACAAAATTCAATTGGTCGTCGGTACCTTTGATTCTTGGATCTTTCGTTCTTAGAAACTGCTCTTTAGTCACAGGCCAGATTTGAGGAGACCACTCGCCGAAGTTCGACTCACTTTGTGCTGCTTCCAGGAAAAAGTGTTGAGAATCTCGAACATCTTCGAAGTGGTAAGCAAGATCGTCAATTACGATCTCGATTTCGCGAAGTGTCGGTTGCTCAGTTCGTCGTCGCCCGCATCTTTGGACTTGCTGCGGTCTTGAAGGGCAAATTGGAAGCTCGATTTCTGAGGAATCCAAGGAGGAGTCTTCTATGTCTTCGATGTGTTTGAAGATCGGTAAAGGAGCTCTGGGACTTCCAGATCGACTTTTTTCGTCGGTGCGGACTTTCGGGCTGATTTCAATAGAAAACGGTGACCTAGTTGTTATGCTCACTGTGGTTGTTGTTGTCGTTGTCGTGTTTCTTGATGTTGTTCTCGTGGTTCTCGTGGTTGTCGTGGCTGTCTTGGCCATCCTAGTTGTCGTGGTGGATGTGGTGGTGGTCGTCGTCGTCGTCGTGGATGTCGTCGTCGTAGTAGTTGTCGAGTTCGTAGTCGTGGTCGTCGTGGATGTGGTGGTTGTGGTCGTCGTAGTTGTCGTTGTAGTTGTTCTTGTTGTAGTTGCTGTGCTCTCCGTTGTTGTCGTTGTTGTGGTAGGAATAGAAGTCGTCGTTGGAATCTTTGTTGTTGATGCTTTTATATTCGTAGAAGTTTTTAAAGTTGACGAAGATTTAGGCACTTGACTAAAACCAATCAAATATCTTCACTGAATCAATATCATTACGGTTTAGTAGGAGTCGTTATGTCCCCCCTAGCATCGACAACCAATTCCTTCGTTCTTTTAAATTCTCTATTCCAAGCTCTGTCCCAATAATTATTCGAGTTATCACCCCTTTCGCATGATCAAAAATATCTGTAAACATTTCATAAACAATGTGGGTCTTTTGAATCTCGATCCTAGATGGAACATCCCAGCTTGAATCCCCATCAAGAGTGTAATCGGAGACAAGATCGTATTCGTAGCTATCGACGGAATAGTCGTAATAGTTGTATCCTTGCGCACTTGCTGCTGCGAGAAAGAGTGATATAAGAGGAGGAATCTTCATTTTCTCGTTTATTAAAAAAAAAAATTATGAAAAATGCATTTGATGATTTGATGTTGGTAAAAAACAGGAAAACAGAATGAAGCTCTTCTCTTCGCAAAGAAGTAAACATTGTCGCTCAGGCAGAAGAATTTCACTTGTTCATTTGGTCGAGAGGTACCTTTGAATTGGATCTGCTTGTTTGTTTACTGTATTTGCAGCGAATCTACTGTACTTTACTGCTGCGTCAGAGGGAAAACTCTGCTGACCGAGCAAATGGACGGTCAATTATTATGCAGAAGAATTGCAGCATTTAATTATTTTTGGAATTTAATGACATCGGAATGTACCGATGGTCGACGAAGCTGATTCGCGTTCATCATCAGTTTTCGTTGTGAAAATTGACAAAGCATCGCCAGTGAACCATTCCAATCGAGACTTAGCTTCCTTGTCGATGTGATGTCCTAACCCAATCGCGAGGATTTGAAGACTAGGTAGACTCTTTTTGAGTTTTCGTGCTGATAAGTAAGCTCGAGTTTTGTCCGAAAAGTGGCCGTCGGAGATGATGATCATCGCTTATTTCAGGATTTTTTAGTCGATGAGGATCAAATAATTCGTAATCATGAAACCCTGATGAAGTTAATCCCGTCCTTGATCATCCGAATCCAATTGAAAGTCTTCTTCAATTATTGGATCAACGGCAGAATGAATATCTGTCACTGAGTTGTCATTTTCAATCGCAATTATGTCTTTAGGTCGCCAGTACTTTCTCGTTGTTCTTGAGAAAGTTCTAACGCTCCAATCAGAGTCATAAACATAATCGCTTAGGGTTTTGAGGAGCATCTTCATTTCGTAAAAATGCTCATTCACGGAGGCGGACGTGTCCAGGAGAAAAAGGATTTTCTTTGGATAGTTGCAGGTTTCATTGCGAATAAATATCGTGTCTAAATCGCGATAGCCAATTTTAGACAAAATTAGATTTTGATGATCCGTTGAGTGGCGGATAGGGAAGCATGAAATCGATTGTAAGAGGAGGTAAAAGCATATCCCACTGTTCGTAGGCTCCCGCAGTTCGTCATAAGTAACGTCTGACCAAGGTCTTCCTATTATTTCGGAAACACCTGACGAATCTAGCGATCATCTTATTACAAAATTCAATTGGTCGTCGGTACCTTTGATTCTTGGATCTTTCGTTCTTAGAAACTGCTCTTTAGTCACAGGCCAGATTTGAGGAGACCACTCGCCGAAGTTCGACTCACTTTGTGCTGCTTCCAGGAAAAAGTGTTGAGAATCTCGAACATCTTCGAAGTGGTAAGCAAGATCGTCAATTACGATCTCGATTTCGCGAAGTGTCGGTTGCTCAGTTCGTCGTCGCCCGCATCTTTGGACTTGCTGCGGTCTTGAAGGGCAAATTGGAAGCTCGATTTCTGAGGAATCCAAGGAGGAGTCTTCTATGTCTTCGATGTGTTTGAAGATCGGTAAAGGAGCTCTGGGACTTCCAGATCGACTTTTTTCGTCGGTGCGGACTTTCGGGCTGATTTCAATAGAAAACGGTGACCTAGTTGTTATGCTCACTGTGGTTGTTGTTGTCGTTGTCGTGTTTCTTGATGTTGTTCTCGTGGTTCTCGTGGTTGTCGTGGCTGTCTTGGCCATCCTAGTTGTCGTGGTGGATGTGGTGGTGGTCGTCGTCGTCGTCGTGGATGTCGTCGTCGTAGTAGTTGTCGAGTTCGTAGTCGTGGTCGTCGTGGATGTGGTGGTTGTGGTCGTCGTAGTTGTCGTTGTAGTTGTTCTTGTTGTAGTTGCTGTGCTCTCCGTTGTTGTCGTTGTTGTGGTAGGAATAGAAGTCGTCGTTGGAATCTTTGTTGTTGATGCTTTTATATTCGTAGAAGTTTTTAAAGTTGACGAAGATTTAGGCACTTGACTAAAACCAATCAAATATCTTCACTGAATCAATATCATTACGGTTTAGTAGGAGTCGTTATGTCCCCCCTAGCATCGACAACCAATTCCTTCGTTCTTTTAAATTCTCTATTCCAAGCTCTGTCCCAATAATTATTCGAGTTATCACCCCTTTCGCATGATCAAAAATATCTGTAAACATTTCATAAACAATGTGGGTCTTTTGAATCTCGATCCTAGATGGAACATCCCAGCTTGAATCCCCATCAAGAGTGTAATCGGAGACAAGATCGTATTCGTAGCTATCGACGGAATAGTCGTAATAGTTGTATCCTTGCGCACTTGCTGCTGCGAGAAAGAGTGATATAAGAGGAGGAATCTTCATTTTCTCGTTTATTAAAAAAATTATGAAAAATGCATTTGATGATTTGATGTTGGTAAAAAACAGGAAAACAGAATGAAGCTCTTCTCTTCGCAAAGAAGTAAACATTGTCGCTCAGGCAGAAGAATTTCACTTGTTCATTTGGTCGAGAGGTACCTTTGAATTGGATCTGCTTGTTTGTTTACTGTATTTGCAGCGAATCTACTGTACTTTACTGCTGCGTCAGAGGGAAAACTCTGCTGACCGAGCAAATGGACGGTCAATTATTATGCAGAAGAATTGCAGCATTTAATTATTTTTGGAATTTAATGACATCGGAATGTACCGATGGTCGACGAAGCTGATTCGCGTTCATCATCAGTTTTCGTTGTGAAAATTGACAAAGCATCGCCAGTGAACCATTCCAATCGAGACTTAGCTTCCTTGTCGATGTGATGTCCTAACCCAATCGCGAGGATTTGAAGACTAGGTAGACTCTTTTTGAGTTTTCGTGCTGATAAGTAAGCTCGAGTTTTGTCCGAAAAGTGGCCGTCGGAGATGATGATCATCGCTTATTTCAGGATTTTTTAGTCGATGAGGATCAAATAATTCGTAATCATGAAACCCTGATGAAGTTAATCCCGTCCTTGATCATCCGAATCCAATTGAAAGTCTTCTTCAATTATTGGATCAACGGCAGAATGAATATCTGTCACTGAGTTGTCATTTTCAATCGCAATTATGTCTTTAGGTCGCCAGTACTTTCTCGTTGTTCTTGAGAAAGTTCTAACGCTCCAATCAGAGTCATAAACATAATCGCTTAGGGTTTTGAGGAGCATCTTCATTTCGTAAAAATGCTCATTCACGGAGGCGGACGTGTCCAGGAGAAAAAGGATTTTCTTTGGATAGTTGCAGGTTTCATTGCGAATAAATATCGTGTCTAAATCGCGATAGCCAATTTTAGACAAAATTAGATTTTGATGATCCGTTGAGTGGCGGATAGGGAAGCATGAAATCGATTGTAAGAGGAGGTAAAAGCATATCCCACTGTTCGTAGGCTCCCGCAGTTCGTCATAAGTAACGTCTGACCAAGGTCTTCCTATTATTTCGGAAACACCTGACGAATCTAGCGATCATCTTATTACAAAATTCAATTGGTCGTCGGTACCTTTGATTCTTGGATCTTTCGTTCTTAGAAACTGCTCTTTAGTCACAGGCCAGATTTGAGGAGACCACTCGCCGAAGTTCGACTCACTTTGTGCTGCTTCCAGGAAAAAGTGTTGAGAATCTCGAACATCTTCGAAGTGGTAAGCAAGATCGTCAATTACGATCTCGATTTCGCGAAGTGTCGGTTGCTCAGTTCGTCGTCGCCCGCATCTTTGGACTTGCTGCGGTCTTGAAGGGCAAATTGGAAGCTCGATTTCTGAGGAATCCAAGGAGGAGTCTTCTATGTCTTCGATGTGTTTGAAGATCGGTAAAGGAGCTCTGGGACTTCCAGATCGACTTTTTCGTCGGTGCGGACTTTCGGGCTGATTTCAATAGAAAACGGTGACCTAGTTGTTATGCTCACTGTGGTTGTTGTTGTCGTTGTCGTGTTTCTTGATGTTGTTCTCGTGGTTCTCGTGGTTGTCGTGGCTGTCTTGGCCATCCTAGTTGTCGTGGTGGATGTGGTGGTGGTCGTCGTCGTCGTCGTGGATGTCGTCGTCGTAGTAGTTGTCGAGTTCGTAGTCGTGGTCGTCGTGGATGTGGTGGTTGTGGTCGTCGTAGTTGTCGTTGTAGTTGTTCTTGTTGTAGTTGCTGTGCTCTCCGTTGTTGTCGTTGTTGTGGTAGGAATAGAAGTCGTCGTTGGAATCTTTGTTGTTGATGCTTTTATATTCGTAGAAGTTTTTAAAGTTGACGAAGATTTAGGCACTTGACTAAAACCAATCAAATATCTTCACTGAATCAATATCATTACGGTTTAGTAGGAGTCGTTATGTCCCCCCTAGCATCGACAACCAATTCCTTCGTTCTTTTAAATTCTCTATTCCAAGCTCTGTCCCAATAATTATTCGAGTTATCACCCCTTTCGCATGATCAAAAATATCTGTTAACATTTCATAAACAATGTTTGTTTTTTGAATCTCGATCCTAGGTGGAACATCCCAGCTTGAATCCCCAGCAAGAGTGTAATCCGAGACAAGATCGTACTCGTAGCTATCGACGGAATAGTCGTAGTAATTGTATCCTTGTGCACTTGCAGCTGCGAGAAAGAGTGGTATGAGAGGAGGAATCTTCATTTTCTCGTTTATTTAATAAAAATTATGAAAAATGCATTTGATGATATGGTGATTGTAAAAAACAGGAAAACAGAATGAAGCTCTTCTATTCGCAAAGAAGTAAACATTGTCGCTCAGGCAGAAGAATTTCACTTGCTCACTTGGTCGAGAGGTACCTTTGAATTGGATCTGCTTGTTTGTTTTTGCTGTATTTGCTGCGAATCTACTGTTTAAATCTACTGTTGCGTCAGAAGGAAGACTCTGCTGACCGAGCAAATGGACGGTCAATTATTATGCATATAATTAAAATTGCAGCTTTTAATTATTTCTGGAAATTAATGGATTACAACTCATCTATTGATAATCAAGCTGACCCGTTCGTGAACAGTGCCAAGACGAAAAGGATGAGTCCACTGACAGCCATCATCGTATAATCTTCCAACGGGTTAAATTTTAAAGATTCTTCTTTTCAGAAATTATTCAAACAAAGAAACTCATCATTCAGGGCAATAAACACGAAAGATTTGTTTTATGATTCCAGATTCTGGCGAATCTGACGTTTGGAAAGCGCTAAAACTAGTCATCTGATGACAAAAGCGCTGACTTTTAACCCGTGGCAAAGTACATCACGACGGTGGAGGATTTGTCTGAATCGGCTTTGAGAAATTGAGCAAGCAAGTCTACGTCATTGCTTCCTAAATAAAAAAGAGTGAGAAAAATCGAATCGTTAGATTGATGCTTTGATGCTTCACAAAGGGACACTTCCGACTTTCTGCGTTTTTACTATGTGAGTGGGGCTATTTCCAATTATTCAAATTGCCGCTATAAAATTATGTTCCTATTGAGCTTGAAAAGGTTAAAGCTGCCAAATCTACGTCAATTTTGAACTTTCAGCTCTTTTTTTTTCATTTTGTCTGATTTTGATTTATGGACTGACAAGTTTAAAACTTTAAATTGAGCGCCGGCATTAGCGAAAATTGAACCTTTGTGGAGCTCGACATGTTTTTCAAAAGCCTGACCTGTATTCATTGGACAAATAAGGCAACAACCGAGGATAAATGCAGCCAAAGCAAGTCTTTTTTTTTCAGGTCAAAACATCTGTTTTTGATTTCTAAAAAAGAGCCAAAACAACTCTATAAATTTTAGACGATAATTGACTGTCTATATTTTCTATAAATTGTCTATTATTTGACCTGACCCAAAGGGATTGAGCTTTTCATTCTCGTCCTGATTCTGGATGATTTTTGTCAGTCGTCGAAGCGACGTCTTTGGCGCGTCAGATTCGTCTGATGACATCGGCGCTGTCTGGTGACCATCCTGATTTTCCGCGTTCTAGTGGTTTTTCTAGCAATAGTTTTGCAAGATTTTAGTACCTGCATAATCTGTGAGTCTTGATGCTCCTGTTTTCTTGCTTTTTTCAAACTAAACTTGCCCTGGAATTGAAATCAAGTACACAAAGAAGTTCTAGAAACACTTGAATATCTTTTTATTACAGTAAAAGCAGAAGGTAAATAGAAGGGTCGATTCATAGCTTTTTTTCTTCCTCAGTCGTCTTTGATAACTTCTCGCTTTCTTCACTTTCCGAGCTCAAGAAAAAGTCGACAAAGGATGAGTCGTTGTCTTCTAGGAAGGAAATCTTGGGCTCTGAGAAGTCGAAGAACTTTCTGCTGAAAACGGGAGTCGTTACGGAGGCAACGATTTGCTCTGGCATTTTTTTGAAAATCTAAATTTGCGAATTCAAAATTCTGCTCGTTTTTTTTTGTTTGAACTGAGCTTGAAGCTTGAGCTCGGCGGAAATTTAAAAGCAGCTCATCATGATTCACCAGAAACCACCTCCGCTGGGGCGCCCTCGCACTCGTGACGGAGCACCACCAAGTAAATAATAGACCAATTCACTGCGGTTTCTGCACCTCTCGCTAATCATGGAGCCACATTCTCATTAGTAGCTTCTGCACCCACTCATCCCTCGCTTTCGTCACCAGCTTTCTATTTCTTTTGCGAAGTGACCACGCTCCTTCTTCTTTTCCAAAGTCAATTGGTGAATGCAGTAGTTGTAAATAATTCTCTTGTCTCCTAAAGTAGAAATAGAAATTACTTGCTCAACTTTAGCAAATAATTTATGGACATTCAATTGGTTCAAGTTCTTTTTAGAAATCGGGTTCAATCAGAATTTCTTCTCGGAATTTAAAATTAACATTTCCATCTTCAATATTTCCTGAATCCGGGCTCGGCAACCCGTGCAGAAAACCTGAGTCAGGGTCTGAAAGAGCTGAAATGAAAAGCCGCGCAGCGGCTCTTTTTAAAAACGGAGCCGCTAAGCGAATACTTTCATCACAATCTATTAAAAAATTTGTTTTGAAAAAAGCCGCTGCGCGGCTTTTCATTTCAGCTCTTTCAGACCCTGACTCAGGTTTCCCTCACAGGTTTCCGAGCCCAGTTCTGAAATTATATTAAATTAAACATCCTACCTGGCAGACCAAGATTTTACCCCCGGATTATCTCCTTATCCAAGTATAGAAAAATACCGTTTTCCAAGTTGGTAGTCTAATCCTGTCTCTATTTCTTTTATTCATCAATAAATGCAGTATAAAAGCAAATATCGTTATGAAGGCTTCTTTGAGATCTGTTTTTGGGAAAGTGCCAAGGACCCGGTTCTTTGCCGGTATTTTTCAAGAGGTTTATTTTTAGGTAAAATAGGTTAAAACCGCTCAATGCTAGAGTTCATGAGTGAGGTTTTGAACTGGAAATTCTTTGCGGTTTATGATTGAGCGGTAAATTACGGCATCTGCCGCCGTAAAATGACGAGAATTTCAACCGTAACTTGTTTTGAATAAATGTCTCTTTTCACTTCATTTTTGATGAATTCGCGAAACAAAACGATTCTCGACGAAATTTGTGAATAAAAATTTTATTTAGAAAAAAATGTAACTGGCAGAAAAAAAGTCATTTTGGCAAATTCTTGTTTGCTATTTTGTTAAAGAAATCTTCCAAGTTCTGCTTTGAAGTTCGCCGAACAGTGGTGCCGGGCACATTGAGTCCTCCAGTTTGCGAAGCTCCAGAGCTGGGTCCACTTCCGTCTCCCTTCGATTCTTTATTGCTTGAGAGGTTGTCGCGCAGGAATTTCATCCTCTCGGATCTGGACATTTTTCGCGCGAACTCCTTTTTTCGAAAATTCATTCATTCAACGCCACGAATATTTGTCTACCTGTCGTTTCTGCTCGAGCCTTCCTCTTGTCTTCATCAAATCTTCGACCAGTCGACAGGATCGTTCGCTGTCTACCAAGAAGCATGGACTCTGAAAAGCTCTGTTTAATCTTCTAGAGCTAAGAAAAGAACCGTACGTCTTCAGATAAATTCCAAAGAGCTTGTCGAACAGCCGGGTTTCCAATATTCACTGGATCCTTGACCTGTCGATAAGGGTTCGAACTCTTGTACTTAGCGATACAGAAACACGTGACTAAGCCTTCAAAATTAATGTAATTAATGTTTGTTCAGCCCTGTTCCTTCAATACCGCTGGATGACCAATGTGGGCTGGCAATAGAATGTCATCGTGTCCTTTTCGCTCCTATATCGGGAATAAATTTATTTTGAATATTTTAATAAATGTCCTTATTATCGAATGGAAATCGACATTTCCCCGATTCGCCTTACGTTTTCGCCATTGACGCGGAAGAAAATGCTATCTTCGATATTCTGAAAGGGTGTTCGATCGTTACTGCCAAGCTGATGAGAGAAGCCGTATCCAAACTGCCCGTATTTGCAAACAAATTCGACTTCTAGCTCACAACTGGGCTCGAAAACCTGTGTAGAAAGCCTGAGTCAGGGTCTGAAAGAATTTAAAAGAAAAGCCGCAAGCGTCTTTTTTAAAAACAAAGCCACGAAGCGGCTTCGCATATTATACCCAACTAATTTTTTTAAGAGTGTCAACATCGATTTTGGCATTTTGATATTAGTTGTTCGACTTATAAGAGATACCCTTACTCAATCGATGTTGACACCCTTAAATTTTGGCGAAGCTACGCGGCTTTTCATTAAAGATCTTTCGACCCTGACTCAGGCTTTCTACACAGGTTGCCGAGCCCAGGCTCACAAACTGTCTGCTCCTTGATTTTGAAGACGATATTCTTTTCTTTTGAGGCTTCTTCTTGCAACTCGTTTAGACTGATTGATGCTGAATTAAGAAATTATGCTGCCCTCTTTTTTGCCTGTTTTTTACCGCTTCCAACTGCAAAGACGCTTTTGCGCTCTTTCGATCTTTCATTACTTTCTTCGTCATTTTTTTCAATGTAAATCAGGTCGAATTGGATTTCATGGTCTTCAGTGTCGCTTTTTCTGGAGAGCACGAGCGAGAAGGCTTTTGTAGCGTCAATTACCAATTCAGCATCGCCGTCCATTATCGAATCGTAAGTTTTTACTTTTATCTTGCTTTTTTCCTGAATTGATTATGCTCAGTTAGTATGTCAAAGCCTGAGTCAGGGTCTGAAAGATCTTTAATGAAAAGCCGCGAAGCGGCTTTTTTAAAGGCAAAGCCGCTTGGCGGCTTCATCTCTCAAGAAGCCGCTCCGCGGCTTTTCATTAAAGATCTTTCAGACCCTGACTCAGGCTTTCTATGTCGATTGCTGAGGCAACTGGGCTCACCCCTTGAGAGCCTTTTAACAAGAGCACACGTGAGAGTACAAATTTGAGTTGCAAGAACGAATAAATCGATCATTTATCGTCGGTTTTTGTACCTGTGACTTTTTGTTTTCCCGCTGAATAATTCGAGGTTTTGTGCTCTTCAAATGGGTTCAATTCCATTCTAACTTTTTGGTTTTTTAGAAACTGAAAAAAAGTGAACCTGTTCCTTTGATTGCTCCTGGCACGTGACTTTGATAGAAAAAGCCAGCTCTTGAGCCGCGACAAACTGGCTTTGCTTGAAAACCTGACGGTTGAACTTTTTCAGCTTTCGGAGGTGTAATACTAGGCAGCATTTTGGCACGCCGGCCATGAACTCTTGGCGCTTCGCTTTGACTTCTGGGTCGAGGTCTTGGAGGACGAGCTTGGCTGCGGCTTTGAAATTGTTTGCTGCGTCCGTCATTTTTTCTCTCTTTTTGGATGGTTCATTTTTCGACATCAACAAATTCGAAATTCGCCGAAGCTCTAGAAATTTCCTTGATGAGACACTATTCTCATTACTGTAGCTTGAACGACTGTAAGTGACAGGATTAATGACCGACTAATTTGACAAGATACTGTCGCTACTTTTTGGATAACGAGATGAGCCGCCCATAAATCTGACGGGCAAAAACGATCATTCCCATCAAAGTGCTTGGATAAACCAAGACTTTCGATTATGTCGATATTCTTCTATAGCGACACGATCCATCAGCTCTGATGGAATCATATATACACGGAACATGCAACATGCGACATGTCCGGGAATAGAGTTTTCAGACAGTTCATTTCTTCAATCAGCAACGGCCACGGACTTTCCATTATCATTAAGGGTTTGGGCTCCGGATCTGTGCTCGGCAACCTGTGTAGAAGCCCGAGAAACAGAAGAACTGAGGGTCGAGTCAGAAGAGAAGGATCTTCTCCAGTCAGTAAATCCTGTTGTCTTCAATCTTGTACACTTTTTCATCGGGCAAAGAGGAAATTCCTCAATTTGCATATAAATTCGCATAAAACAAGGAATACTCGCTAATCGCCCAGGCTCTTCTCTTGAATAGAATATTCATACTCCTCAAGCGAGGGCGCTAGTAGGAATGGCCAGCGCGTGTGCCCAACAATATTATCTATGTGGATCATATAAATCCCTCATTCAGAAAAAAGGATCATTTAATTTCAGAGCACGAAAAAAGACACAATGAATTTTCTAATGCAGCTTTTGGCCGGTTTGCTTATCAGCACCACCACGGCCAGTAGTCCCGAAAAGGTATCTCAAAGATTTTACAGTTGATATTACAGTCGATTTTCGAAAACTAGGGCTAGTAGAATTTGAGTCTTTTAATTTGAGAATTCTGCTAGATTCTTCTGAAGGGATGATTTTGGTAGTCGATTGTAATGAAAATTTCTGAAAATTGAAACTTTTTCTTATCATTTTTTAGGAAAAAAATATCTGCTCAAGACGCGTTTGTATGATTTGTGCATATGTTTTGGAGAATAACGTCGCAACTGAAGAACACAGGTAAGATTTCTTTGGCTAGGGTTAGGGAATGTTTAATTAGCGTAGTGGATACCCTACGGGGAGTTCAGTGCGCTTAGAGCATTTTTACTCTTCATTAAAATATGTTAGCTTCACTCTGGCATCTTTGCGAAAGATATTCAGTCATTTCGCGGCCGTATATCATCCGCAAAATTGAGTAAAATACAAAATCCGAAGAAAAAATGATAAAAAATTCATGCTTTGGCACGGGCCATATATTCTCGATAGACCGCTAATGCACCGCCTTCTTTTTTCATCATTTACCATTTATCATTAATGCCATAAGGACCATTATTTCATTTTAGGAACATTTGCGATTATATCTTAAACGAAACCGATTGCTGTTTTGCGAGTTCCGCCGCGAAATTCTTCTAAATTATGCTCGTAATTTCTAATTATCATAAATGCTCGATTCTCCAAAGAAAGAAACAATGGACTTCACGAATACTTAAATCTCTTTTTCCTGCATTGAAACCAAAACAGTAATACAAATACAATTTAAATACCTTTTTTTAAAACCAGATTTCCGAGTCTATATTTATTCATCCGCAGCGTGCAGGTGAGGAAGCAGCTAAAAATACGCAGAAAATGGGCGATTTTCGGCGTGGCAGACTTCCTTTAGCATTTTAAAACTTAAATATATTGCCAGAACGTAATTTTACTGCGCGCGTGTCATCTATCAATTATCTTTTAAAGTTTTCCCAGCTTGTTGGCTTTTTGTCACCTTGAGCATTTTTCGAAAAAAGTTCACTTACCCCCTTATTTTGGAAAGATTTGGGGTAAGTAGGGGGCTATTATTATTCGGGCTATCCTTTACCCGTAGGGGACTGGGTCCGGGGGGGGGCGAAGACCCCTGGTTTAGGCCTTAGGTGGGGGGGGGGGGTGTTTCGGAGGGCGTAGTCTCCTGGGTTAGATTTAGGGTTAGGGGCAGCTCGAATGATAACCCCCTATTACCAACCCTATTCCTAATAGGGTCCCCCTGGAGTCCCCCCCCCTCCCCTAAGGCCTAAACTAGGGGGCTCCTTTTCCCCCATTTTGAATGGATTTTTGACCCCTCTCTTTGGATTTGGAGGCATTTTAATGCAACAATCCATGATTGTTTTCAGGTGTCAGAAAAACTTGCGTCAGAGCAACAAACACGCAATAATTATAAATCAACACCATCATTATCTTGCAATTGCCTTTGCATTTGAAATACCGGTATTCTACCGGTAGCCGAAATACTCTTTTTAGAAGATCCAAGTTTTGTGTTCCAGAAAGACATATGAAATAATGATGTATTTCGAGCAATAGGAACGTAATAAATGTCCTGTTCGGAGGTCAATCTGCTTCAGATTTAAAATTAATGGACAGTTTAATATTTCCACTAGCAGGGTAGGTCAAATCGGGTCTAGACTTGGTGGCTCTGGAGCTAATTCATAATTCATAATGTAATTGCTCGAAGGAAGTATTTTGTCGTTTTAAAGCGCTCCTCGATAATTGTTATCTAAATTGAATGTGAAGGTTTGCTTTTGATGAAATCAACAATTTCAAATTTTCGATTGAAATTCCAAAGAATCATTAAAATTATTCATTGAAAAACATTGAAATTGCAATCAAGGAAGAGAATCACCATTTTATTGTCAATTATTCGAATAAATAATCATTCGATTAATGACATATAAAATCATCGCCATAAATACTAATGATTATTGCGTTCGATAAAAATTTAAAGACAAGATGTTCCTCTTCCTCGTCAGAATTAGAGTGATTGCCAAAGCAGGAACCTGGCAAGTCTGGCAAATATGGGCTACTTGAACTTTTCGTTTTTTCTTTGATGTTTTACGCGAAAAGTGCTGAGATGATTAGATCCACGTGTAAGGCGAGCTCGGAGCTCGGCACGAGATGGCGCCTCAAGAAGAAGTTTTATCGTCTTTCCAGCGTAAAAGAAGATAATTCTCTCTCTAGTAAGCATAGTTTTTTTCTTCTCACAAGATAGGAGAACAACAGATTTGATGAGACGGCTGAGCCTTCAACTCTTGACCGTTACTACAGTCACCTTACTCCCGGATCAGATAGAAGCGAGCGAAGATGATTCGCGATTTTCTCAGGTAGAGTTCAAGCTCTTTAGTTGATTCTAAATACAGTTTATCAGGAAGAATTCGCCTTCAAAATCTACAACGCGCAACTAAAAGAGTCCTACAACCAGAATCGAAACTTCCTTGTTTCTCCTCTCTCGACCTACCGACAACTTCACTCACTCTGCTTGTCCTCCACTGGTAAAACAAAGAAAGAGATCAAGGAGATTGTTTCGTGCAGAGGAAAAGTCACAAGACAGCTGAACAAAGCTTTTCGGGATATCAATGACAACAAAATTAAGGTAAATTTTGACCCTGAATTTCAAAAATATCTGTTAGATACCGGTAAATTAAGCGATTCAGCACCTCGAACAATTTCTAAAATACAAAATTTGAGCAATTTCTTCATCGTTATGGTTTTTCATAAAAATTCATTTTCATGTTCAGGCTCTCCCAGATGTCTACTCCGCGAATGGTCGATGGGACCTCCAGCGCGGCTACCGCATCCTGCCAAATTTCGCCGCCAGTCCAAAAATCGTCGACATGAACATCCTGATCATCAATCGGAACTTTGACTTGGACGAAGGATACGCCATCCAGGGAATCAATCATTTTTACAACGCCATCACGGACAAACTTGATCTTCGTCACATCCCGGACATGGTCCCCACCGAGCACGTCGTCAAAAGGTAAATAATGAAATTTCTCGAAATTCTCTTCCTTGATTTCAAAATTTTAATCCTCCAAATTTCAGAACCTCCCGAATGGTCGTCACGGATCAGTCAATCGTGCGCCTGCCAATCTTTTCCAGCTCCATTTCTTACCGTCCTTTTCAAAACGACCGCAGCGGACCTTTTTCATCCCACCTCCCAGTTTCTTCCACAGTCAAGATGGTGACATTGGCGAACGTAATGGTCACCCAGATCATCCACAAAAGATTAGCCGCGCAAGCTATTCATCTCAATATGGCAGTCAAGGCCACGGGCTATTACTATATTAAAATTCGACTCTAATTTCAAGAGACGTTCAAGACCTAATCAAGAGTCATTGACGCAAAAAAAGTATTATCTAAAAATACACAGTAAAAATTCAAAAATAAACAGCCCGGTAATAGAACTACAAAATGGTCTTGATCGTCCCTGACGGCAAATCACTCGACAAGCTTGAAGGAAAAATGACACCAGAAGACTTCAAGAGCTTGATGAGCGCTGACCACGAATCTGATGACGAGAATGTCATGGTGATCCGCGAATGTGTCAACTTGACGATGCCCCTGATCGACTCGACTTACATCAACCATCATTTGGACAAAAGTGTTCTACAGGTACTTCTTCGTCTTTCAGACCAGAATTCAAGAGTTGGTGGGCTTTAGATCAAAGCCGCCAGCTAATTTTATTGTTCCTAAATGGGCGGATTTACGTTAAAGTTGTGAAGCGCAAGTTCGCGCAGCTGCGATCTCACGACCGTAAACATTTTATTTCATAATTGGGTCTTTCCTCAACACCTCTGAGAGAGAGAGGCTGTCAGAAAAACATAATGATACGGGTCATGGGATTGATTTATGGCCTCGAAAAGGGCATTTTTCAGAAGAATGAACTTTAGCATATATTTTTTCTTCAGAGATATGGAGCGACAAGATTGATGCAAATGCGAAACGCCGAATTGTGGAATGTCTCCCCGACGCCAACTGCGCATCTGACTTCCATGCTCCAGCGAGTGCATTTCGAACTCGTCCCGACCACTGATGACGTTCTCACTCAACACAAGAAGGAAGTGAAAGCCCAAAAGAAAGCTGCCCGAAAATCTCGCAGAAAATCACGAAGAAACAGAAAATCCAAGTCAGGCAGAAAAAATCCGGCCAAGTCCAGAAAGTCTCGATCAACCAGCGAAGAAGGTTTCTTTTCCAAGAAAACAGATAGCTTGGGAACTACTGTCACTCTCGATCCTCAGGCTTCGTATGAGCTCATGATCGACAGATCATTCATTTACGCCCTGAAACTCAAAGACAATTACCTCCAAATCGGTAGATATTCAACTCCAACGATTAATTCAAACACCGATAAGAAAAACTTCAATTTCTCTGTATAGCTCTTTATGTAAATATATTTTCTGCCTGTACAATGTACATAGTAAATTCAATAAAAAATTCCCAAACTTCAAACTGTGAGTCCACCAATAGATCTGGTTTTGAGATCGAAAGTGTAGCCAAACGCCAACATGTCCATTTTGAACACTTTGACCAATCCTTCCAAAACCGGCCGCTCCAAGTTTTCATAAAAAGCTCTTGCTTTTTTGGCCATGTCAACTGGCGATTTTCCTCCAAAGCCGCCTTTCATCGACTGTTTTTCAAGAATTCCTAGCAATTCTAGCGATCAGAAGCGCTCAAGAAATAAATCCGTTCATGAAAGGGCGATCCAGACCAGAGCGTATCATTGACGAAGAGTCTTGTGTGATTGTTGAAAACCGCGGCGATATCTTCCGTCATGGTTTCGGCTTTTATAATATACTAGCGCCTTGGGTTCGCAAATTATGAAGAATTCACGATGCTACTTTTTGCGACTAACCCGTTCCTGGAATCGAGTGCCGCAAGGAGGACACATGTAGCTTTGTGGACGAAAGTGTTTGTTCTTCAACTTGGAAGAGGATAGAATACTTGCTTATTACAGCATTTTTCTTCAGTAAGAAGAAAACACCAGCATTTTTCTTAAGAGTGTCGACATCAATTTTGGCATTTTTTCTGTTGTTCGATTCATAGCTGATACCCTTACTCAATCGATGTTGACACCCTTAAAAGGCCTTAAAACACCTTGAATAAAGTTTTCGCTGTCCACCCCCTTATTTTTCTTCTACCCCGATCCTGATAATCATCAAAAGCAATCCACCTTGCAAAATCCGCAAAACTAACCCAGTGCGTTTCATCCTTTTCTTTCGCATACTTCGAAAGATTGTGCTCCCTTCTGAACATCGAGTAGCCATAGCGATAGTCTCGGTGAAACTTCTCATTCCACGCGGAAATGAGGCGAATAAGAGGATGTCGCACGACCAAAATCGAAACAGTCTCGGGCGAGTACAGCAACTTGCGCTTTTCCTCTGGCGATAGATGGGCGTAGACCGGATCTTCACCCCTGACCCGGCTGTCTGACCAGTTTGGCCCGTTGATCTTCTTATGCAGCGCGACTACATATTGCCTCCAAAAACTAGACCCGCACTTCCACGGCGCGCAAAGCAGCAACTTTGCTTCGGGAAACGCAACTCCGATTTTCTGATTGTTGAACTTGTGCGTCACGCGGCCCTCTTTGCTCCAAGCCTCGCAGAATTCAACGAGCCTGGTTTTTCGCCGCTGAAATCGGTTGAAAAGTCCATTTTGTTCGACCAAAGAAATATTGGTGAATTTTGGTGGAGGTGGAGCTTTGTTTTCTGGTCTAAGCTCGGCAACCTGTGTGGAAAAAATGAGTCAGGGTCTGAAAGATCAAAAATGAAAAGCCGCGTAGCGGCTTTTTAAAAACGAAGCCGCGAAGCGGCTTTGCCAGAATTCATAAATATATTGAAATGGTTATTTTGCGAAGCCGCTTCGCGGCTTAGTAATTAAAAAGCCGCTACGCGGCTTTTCATTTTTGATCTTTCAGACCCTGACTCAGGTTTTCCACTCAGGTTGCCGAGCCCAGCTTCTGGCTGTGATTTGTGAAGCTCATATTCTGGAATGAATTGACTCTCGGAATCGGAAGGCTCGGTTGTGCTCAAAGAAAAGGTAGATGAAGCTTGGGTGGTTGTTATTTTATCTTCGATTTTGTGACTTTTGATTTTGTAAATTTTCTGTGGCTGTTTGTTTGTTATTTCCGCCCTCTTAAAAATTCAGGAAGGAGAATTTTTTTTTTAAGTAGAAATTTACCTTCGTCTGAAAATCTTCCAGCTTGTTTGAATATTTCTCTAGCAAATTTATCAGTCTGCTTTCTCGCGTGAACATAAAACCCACAAAAACTGCAAAACTTAGAATAGCTGCAAACGGGAGATATTTGTGCTTCTCCATTTTTGTACTAATAATTGTGGAAAAATCTCTTTCAAAAATAGTGTCTCTTTGAAAAAAATTGTAATGCTGACACTATTTAAACCGTGTTGTTATGTGATAAAGAAACGGATTGACCGTTACTAACTGGTGGTTAATTTTCGATTCGCTTTTTTTATGCCAGCGTCGCTAGAAAGCCGCCAGGTATTCAAAAAGCTGTCAAAACGCGACGCTGGATGTGATTTTCTCACCGCTTTTTATGCAGAACCTAAATGAGCCCATTTATACACTGGAGATAGTGGGGACTTGAAATAATATTCTTCTAAGGATAAAAAATGACGTAAAAAAGGACAGATTTTCAGGTCTTAGATCTTCATTTTCTACGTAATAAAAGAGATTAAATTCAACGAATTTTTTGAAGATTATGAAAGTATATTTTCAGAAGGTACAAAAATAAAGTTACTTTTTACAGAGAGGCATCTTCATACTTGTCAAATAGCTCGGGCACTTTTCCAGGTCAAAGAATCGCTCCAATCGCTTGTCAAGCTCTGGCAATCGCTAAAAAGAGTCAGTTCCATAGCAAAAATGGGCTTTCTCACATGTTCTTTCGGCTTGTATCTTCTGGTCATTTTGCGGCCGAGGAAAGAGATGTTCTCGCAGTCCGATTTGAACAAGTCGAGCGCCGCTTGCCACTTTTGCCGAACATAAAGCGGGTTATTCTTGTTGTTCGCTTTGAGATACAGCGCCACGAAAATCAACGAAGAGTCTGTAACGGAAATAAACGGCAGCTTCGGCTTGAAAGTTCCCACGGCGTCAATTGCGTCTGTCAGAGCTTCGCCAGTGCCGAGTTCCAAATAACCACCGGTTGGCAAATCGACGAGCGGCAGCGGCTTGGGAGGCACTTTGGCAGGAAGCTGTAAGTTGCAGAAATCTTCCGGCCGTCGCATGAACTTGTCCAGAGCCTTGACAGTTAAAAGAACGTACGTTTTTCCTTTGTACGAAGCAGCAAACGATCCGTCCGGGCGTTTCAAACCTTCATAAGTGCAGCCGCTCTCGGAATACGTTACTGGACAGAAATCGGTAAAAGAGGTCTTCCCACTTTCGAGAATTTCTTTTCCGGTTTTTGACGGGAGCTGTGAAGGAAGCGCTGCTGGAAGTTCCAAAGGCGTGTCGAGGAAACGAGCTGGATTTGCAAAAGCAGGTCTAGCTCCCTGAAAAGTTTGAGGAGAAAAAAGAGGGAGGCGCTTACTTTTGTCCCTGGACGCGGAAGTATTTGCCCTTCCACTCTGTCGCGAATTGATTTCTTTCCTTTTTATCTGCTTGTTTTGTACAGTCGACGAGCTCTTTTCGAAGCGTCAGTGAGACAGGACAGTAGTTGTTGAACTTTCCTAATCGTTTGTTGTACTCACTAGTGAACAAAGGTTAAAAAAACATCTGAAAAGGATGAATCTCTTACTTGGGAGTGATACAAATGCCATCGAGCGGCGCCAGGTTGCTCGATTTGATACACTTCATATACTTCTGAAGCTGACAATTCGCCCCGTTCAAGAATTTCTGCGCGTCGCTCCAAAGTTTCCAGCGGTTCACTTTTCCATTCAGAGTTTCCCAGTTTCTGTAGAGCTCGTGGTACGACGTTTTTACGTCTGGAATTGATTCTCTGTACGATTTGATGAAGTCCGTCATCACTTCCTTCGAGTGTGTGATTGCGTAGAGTTCCTCCGGCTTGGGAATTTCCTTGGGCACGTGTTCTTCCTCTTCTTCGTCGTCGAAGTCTTCTTCTTCATCCTCGTCATCTTCGTTTTCATCTTTTTCGGGTGGAATAAGAGATGCCTAGAAATAAGCAGTATTTAAGGGTATCAACATCGATTTTCGTCTAGAAAAAGCGGAGTCTTACCTCAACAGCGGCATGATAAGCCTCTTTGACTGCAATTTCATGTTCGTTTCTTCTGTGACACTCTTGATCTCTAATATTTAATTCGATAACTCTAAGCGGCAGAATTGACCGTCTCTGGAGCGCGTCAAATTGCGCCTTGCTCTGGGGAAATCCGTCGAGGACAACGCCTCTGATCTGACTTTGCGGCTCGAGGAGGATCTTTTCCAGGCCAATCATGAGTAATTCGTCGGGCAAGGTTCCACCGTCGCTCAAAATCGTGTGAACTAAGGAAGATTAGATAAATAATCATTCTTTTGTTTTACCTTGTTCTGCGATAACAGTCTTGCTGAATTTACTCGTCAGCGTTTCAACAACATCTTCAACAGAAACCTTCAACAAACCCAGCTCCGTGGCCATTCGTTTCGCCAAAGTCGTTTTTCCCGACTTTGGTGGGCCGACGACTGCGATTCGTTGATTGTAATGAGGAGAGGGGACAGTGGACGAGATCTGCTGCTGGACATAGGCGAGGGGATTGCGGACGAATTTGGTGCGATTCTCGAGCGAGTTGAGGAAGTAAATGTACGATTTGTAAATGACCGGGAAGCTGACGCCCCCTTCAGTGTGATCCAGCGGTCTAAAGGCGTTGCCATTCGTGAGTTCGACTGGATCCCAGTGGCCAAAGCTGCTGAGCTGGAAGTAATTCGCTTTGAGTAAATTCTCCGCCTGTGCGAGAGAAATGCCCCGGACTCGCTCAAACATCGCAGCTCTATAAGGCGGGAGGAACTTTTCCATCGCCACTTTGATCTTTGCGTATGCTTCTTCTGGCTTTCTGTTGCAGGTGATTTCGAACTTGGGAATCTGCGCCTGCTCGACTAGGTCGAACATGTTGTTTAATCTCTCCCGGTCCAGGGCAGTCTCGTTCATCATTTCTCCTGTAAGTCGTTCTTCCGCTTCTTCGACGCTTTCTGGGAACTCGTCTTCTACTTCCAAGAAGCCCTCGTCGAACTTGCTTGCCACTCGCTCGCGCATTTCCTGCTCCAGCGTGTCGACATCCGTTCCTTCTTCGATCTCCTCCTCGGCCATGGCGATCGCTGTTTCGGCTTCGATCCATCTGTCCCGAACGCCTTCTTTGTGCTCTCGAATGATCTGTCGTCGCTTTTCTTTCAAGTCATGCCACTCTTGCCAAGTCGCCATTCTTCCTGGAAGCAATCGCTTGACTGTAACTTCTTTTTCGCACTTCAGAACGAGAAGAGCGTCGGGAAAGTTGGCCGAGCCGGAGATGTATCGCAAGTCATCAGCTGAGCTTGGGAATCCTTCGAGAATGAATCCTTTTGATTTGTAAGGGTCTTCCCGCCAGAACTGGGCTAGAAGTTTGTCCAGAGTATCGTAAGGAATTGGCTCGCCGCTTTCAAGGAACTCCTTGATGCTCTCTTCTTCTGGATCGTTTTCTTCCTCTTTCGAGCTGTCTTCCGAATTGTCTGGAGATGGAGGATAGACAATTGTGTCTAACATCGTTTTCATCGCTTCTTTTTCATGAAGCTTTTTCTCAGCCAAAAGACGGTTAGATTCAACATGGCTTGGGCCAATTCGCTTTTCGTATTTCTCCAAAAGCTTTTCTTCTAAAAACGCTTTCCAGTCAATGTGGAAGATGCCCTGTTCTTTGGCGAGTTTGCTCATTTGTGTTGACTTTCCAGTTCCAAGTTGACCGACGCAGCAAATTCTGATCGGCGGCGGAGTGGAGGGCTTTTCGTTCGAGACGTATTTTTCAGGAGCGTTTAGGAACTTTTCACGATTATCCTCGTCCATACAGCAGAAGATATCGTCCTTGTACTTGATTTGAAACTCCAGATCGCCAGGGACGAGGACATTTGTGTCTTTTAAGAGTACTGGATCGAAGTTTTTCGTATTTCCCCAGTCTCTGTTTGCGAGGAAAGGATCTTCTTCGGATTCGCCGAGGAACTCGGAGTCGTCTTCTTCGTCCTGCTGGTCGATGCCCGTCCATGGCCAGGGTTGGATTTCGAACCTACTTTCGATGTGCGAATCGACCTCCTTGATCATCTCGCCCATATTGTCATGGGAATACTTCAGCTGCAGCACGCTGGTTTCGGAAGAGTAAATGTTTGTCGTGAGCTGAGCGAGTGCGCTGTCGCAGTTTCGAATAGAACTGCGGAACGGGTCAAATTCTGTCGCCGTCAGCGGTGGCCGTGGTTCGATCACTATATCTTCGCCTTCTTCTTTCTCCGCTTTTCTTCGAGTCTGATAAGCCTCGGTGAGTCGTTCTTGATTTCGTAAGAAGTGAGCTTCGATGAGATCTTCGTACCCATCACTTTGGGATCTAATGACGATCAAGTCATTTGGCACAAAGCCTTCCTCCGACAACGCGTTCCAGTCCGCTTTCGTATTTGGAAAGCCGTCAATAATCCAGCGCCCATTGCAGAGCCCCTCGCCAGCGTTTTTCCTCGACTCGCACAACTCGGCCACGTGCTGCTTTATCTTGGCAACGTAGACAGCTGGTGGAAGTGGCGGACCTTCAGCTTGACTAGCATCGGCCATTTGAGCGTTGATGATTTCTTGAACTCGTGGATCAGTTTCTTCTGCTTTTTCATCGGCTCCAAGGGTCGTTTGGACCATGCTCAAAGCGAGCTCAGTTACTTCTGCTCGTTTTTTCGCAAGAGCTTCTTTATTCGCTTTTTGTTTTTCTTCGACAACGAGTTCTTCTGGTCGAATGATCGAGCAGTTGAAGAGCTTGGCGAGTTCTTCAGAGATCGTTGATTTTCCAGACTCGGGGAAGCCAGTAACAGCGATTCGAAGAGGATTATTCGGTTTCGTTGGAATAAGATATTTTCGCGGGTTGATTTTGAAGTTTTCGTATCGCTCCTGGGTGGATATGAAGAACATTTTTCCCAAAAAAGGCGAGGGCGAAGTTGGGCGATCCAAGAACGAGCTCTCCATCAGCTAGAGCAACTGGGCAATATCGACCCCAGCGAGAACGTCGCCACCTGAAGAGCTGGGAGGGCTTGTTGAAGTTGCGAACGGAACGTAACAGCTCATCGGTCGAAATTTCTTCCGGCAGCTCTTCGATATTCTTGAGCTCGATGGGGATTAGTGCGCGGGGAATATCGAGCACATGAATTTGGCGCATCATGTTTTCCTTCACATCGGGAAGGGAAATGCCGGAGAAATTGAAGACTTCGACCACAGTTCCACGGTAGCTCTGCTGACAAGTTGTAAGCAGATCTTCGTGAACGGGAAGAATCTTTGTTGCGAAGTTTTCCAAATCTTCTGAAATTCCTTCCGGCAAGTCTTCCGATCGTTGGATGAATCTGAAGAGAACTTAGTACGAAGTTGTGACGGGACTCATGCTTACTTTTCATTACTGACGATATCCTTGAAATCAACGCCCAAATCATCTGATTCTCCTGCTTCTTCGCCGGCATCGGATTCCGGAAGAGCACAATCGAGGTTGAAGCCACGGCCGGAAACGGGATCGTAGCGCATTGTTGAGCGAGAACGAGTGGAATCATCGCTGTTCATTTTGATGTTAACAACGACTCGTGTTTTTGCTTTTTCAAGGTCAAGAAATCAGTTATTTACTATTTACTATTACTATTTTTGCGGATAAAAATTTGGACCTTTTCCTTTAATAATTTTAAGCAGCTCCTTATTTTCGACATCTGGAATGCCGTCAACAACGGCGCCATAATGTTCAGCTGCTTCCGATGTCAAAGCATTGAGATAGAGTTTGGCGATTTGCGATTTGTTCACAACGCCACCGTTGTCGAGGGAAGATTTGATCTCGATGCCGAAATCAGAGCCGGAGTTGATTTCGTTCTCGATCAAAGTGATTTCGGAAATGAGTTTGACGCCCCATTCTTGAGCGATATGCGCTGCAAGCTAAAGGGAAAAAATATTTTGTAAAAGACCAAATTTCCACTTACCTCTGATTTACCAGACTTCGCTTTCCCAAGGACCAAAAACGAAACAGGCTCTGACTGTAAGAGCCGAAGCTCAGTCTCGTCGGCAGTATACGGGTCGATAAACTTCATCTTCGAACTTCCTCTACCAAGTCTCACTTTTAACCATCTGACAAATCTCTAAAATTTTTGAGCAAATAAAGCAGTTCTAGAAAATCCAGGGGTAAATAATATTCACGCTTCTGGGCGCGCCAATAACGATTTTTGCTCGTCCATGTTGCCATGGTGACATTCTGAGAGATCGAGCGCAGGGGGATAAAATCAAACTCGATTGACTTTTCCTTTTTATGAGTTTTACTTATTGCCTTGATTTCCTAAATAACTGGTTTTATTCAGTTTTAACTGGCAAACAGCCAGTCAGAATTTCGCCAGACTTTACTTATGCACTGGGAACCATCAGCTGGAAAAAATAATAAGAAGCGCGTGTTGGTGAAAAATTCATTCATTTGTTAATCAACATGAAGCTTACTTGTGCTCTTCTCGTTGCTGGTGCTTACGCCAAGTGCGGCAACTTCGCTTGCGTCAACGAAATCTCCGCTTCCGGCTGCTCCGGAACTTGCAACCAGGTGAGAACTCTTCCTTGATTTCAGATTCAATTTTCGTTCAGGACGGTTACTGCAGCGCTGGCGGCAAGACCTGCTCCGAGCGACTTGCCTCCAACGATTGGACCAACCTCCGAAAGTACCAGTCCCAGACCCGAGCTGCTGGTACCGCCAAGCGAATCGATCACAACATCCTCGGTGGCATCATCTCCCGAGAGTCCCGAGCTGGCGCCGCTCTCCAGACCTGGAACGGCCAATTCGGCTGGGGTGATTGCTACGGTGGCACCTGCTACGGCTTCGGTTTGATGCAGATCGATCGACGATACCACAACCCTCAGGGATCCTGGGACTCCCAGAAACACATTGAGCAGGCCACCCAGATCCTCATCGACACCATCAACTGCGTCGGCCGAAACCACTCTGGCTGGACTCTTGCCCAGAAGACCAAGGGTGGTGTTTCTGGATACAACGCTGGATGCGGTAACGTCCAGACCTACGACGGCATGGACATCGGTACCACCGGAAACGACTACTCCAACGACACCTGCGTCCGAGGACAGTGGTTCCGATCCCGAGGATTCTAATTTGACTGTTTCAGAAAATAAACTAGCCTGATTTATGTTTCCACTTCCCTTATCAGCAGTTCTGATATTTGAGAGGATGTCATAAAAACGATAGGCTAGCTTAAAAGAAGAATTTCTTGCAAGCTTCTTACGTCAGTCAAGAGAAATGCTTCTTTTTTGGCCTTCTTAAGCTTTGTGGAAGGCTCTGCAAGGACTTGTCCGTAAGTCTTCCGGCGTGAGAAATTAAGATTAAATATAGAAAATTAAGTGACCAAGAGCTTGGAGAGCTTTGTGAGAGTCAATGTCGACTTGAGTTCTTGTCTTGTCGGGACAATTGTGCTGACAGTCTCTGTGAAAATCAATGTCTGAATACTTACTCAGGTTAATTAGTGATGATGGTTTTTATTAAAACTTGAATAATTGTAGCTTGTGTTAGTTCTTGCCCGTGTTTTGATGATTGCCCGGATGGATGTTCTGATTGCCCGCATCCATTGTGTTTCTGCAAAGATCCCCAAATCAACAATCCGACTTACAAGCAATGCATCGACGAGGCTGGCTCTCAGTTCAAAGATTGTGTGAACAACTGCGTCGCGAATAATACTTGCTTCAATGCTTGCCATGAGGCCTTTTTATCATTTGCCTCTAAATGCCCATGCATGTCTAGCTGTCCTGGCGGATGCCCATGTGCGGACGGCTATCATTGTCAACCATTCATGACGGTTCTCTGCGAGCAACCTGAAGGCGACAAACTTGGCTACAAGTATATTATTTCTGCTGATGGTCATTTCAAGGAGAACAGATATTATGATACACCAGAAGATAAATATTTATCCAATGTAGGCACTGCAATGTTGAATGGAGATTTTTTTATTTTTGGTGGTGGAAGTGATCAAAGAAAGGTACGCACTGTATTTACTTTTAATATTTGAGTAATACTGTATGACACTTAAGATTGCCAAAATTGCTGATTGTGGGGTTGAAGAACTGTCTGTTAGACTCTTGAATGACTTTAAAGAGGGAGCTATTGTAACCGTGCCATCATCTCCTGATGAAGTTTTGCTCTGTTCTGGATTTGATCCATATATCAAATGTGAAGAGTTCGATGGTCAAATTTCAAGAAATAACCCATTTACTCTTGCAAATCATCATGTTTGGGGTTGCATGGCGCTTGACAATAATTTCCCGACTATAATTGGTGGAGGAACAGTTCGTCAATCTGAGTTACCGAACACTGCAGTGGTAGAATCCTTGGGGATCAGTGGCTGGCGACGAGAAACAGATCATCCGTTAGCGATCCGTTGTATGGGCTGTGTATCGGTTGAAGATGGTGTTGTTACTTTGGGTGGTTCTCAGTGGATCGAAGGTGGCGATAAAATGATCAAAAGCGTTTATCTTTACCGTAACAAAGTATGGACAACAGCTGGGGAACTTCAACGGGTAATTTGAATACAAATGGTTTTTATAAAATTCGCGTTCATTTGATAGATCGGAGGACTTGGAACAACTTGTTTCTACGGAACACATTTGTTTGTATTTATTGGATGGGCAGCGAGTGATGGGTACTTATATAAAAATAGTTAAACCATCATTTTAAAATAAAATAGGGACGGAAAATACGCCGTCGAGAGGCTTGCATGGAATGGGACATACGTAACTGAAGCAGTTGTTATTAATTATGAATATCAAAGATGCTGGAATCCAGTCGTCTTTGAGACAGCTCCTGACGCTTGCACCAATGCTTGCAATGACTATTGCTTTCCTTGATGAATAAAAACTTCATAAATTTCAGCGGTTAAAATCTATTATTCTTCCAGAAGTGTTTTTGAACTTTGTGGCAATCGCATAAATTTCCCTACCGGGAAAGCGTGTACAGAATAATTTCTATTTTGAATTGAGAATCTTATCAAAAAGTATGGAGCAGGGGGCAGGGATCAACCCGGCAAAGAAAATCAGAGATTAAATTTAAAATTTTGCTTTTCTTATAAAAAATAACCAGAAGAATCTGGGTCATTTTTTGCATTTTTATGATTTACACAAATATAAGCTGCTCGAGTATGCAGCGAGTTACGAGTTGAACATTTATTCATCCATAAGACGTTCTACGAAAGTGGCTTATAAGTGGTCGCGTGTTCCGTGTCCACTTTTTTTGCATAAAAATGATTTCGACAAAGTTTTTTCTGTTTTATCAAGTCTCGCTGGGAGCCTTTCATGGTTCTAGAGCTCGTCCCGGGTTAAACGTAGATTTCAAAGAGACTGATGATCAAAAAAGTGTGAATTATGAAGAGAAAAATCTGGATAAAAGCTGCCCGTAAGCTAATTCCTATAATTTCTAGATTTTTTTCGTGTCCAACTGTCTTTTATTCAGCGATGCCGACTTGCAAACTGAATGCAATGCATTGTGCCGAGCCGAATATAATCGATGCCGTCTTCTCTGTGAAACGGAATATTGCCTGTCGATTTGCGATCGAGACTACCAAAGTAAGAATTGTAAAGATATAATATTCCAAACTTTTAAAGATTGCCGCGACAACTGCCCTTGTGGTACTAATTGTGAGGAGGGATGCATCGACTGCGACAATCCCCTTTGCCCAACCACAACAACAATGATAACAACAACGATTGATCAGAATACGCCTGTTAGTCATTTCCAACAGAGTTGCGAATTTTGATTAATTTTTCTGAGCTGAGCTGAGCTGAGCTGCCTATTTCGGAGGTTACTGAGCGGAGCTAAGCTGAGCAGACCTTTTGTTTAAGAGAATTGAGCTGAGCTGAGCGGACCGTAATTAGAGCTGAGCTGAGCTGATTGAGCTGAGCTGAGCCTGTTTTTACTCTTTTTGATAGTAAAATTGTATTCAAATCATTGAGCTGAGCTGAGCTAAGTGATAGTTGTCTGAGCTGAGCTGAGCTGAGCTGAGTGAAAATTGTCTGAGCTGAGCTGAGCTGAGCAGATCAGATCATTTTCCAAAATCACTGAGCTGAGCGACTGCTCAGCTCACTCAGCCAGCTCAGCTCACTCAGCTCAGCAAATTTGCAACTCTGATTTCCAATTTTTTATGATACTAATTTTGGCAAATTTTTAAGAACAACGTGCATATTTTGGTCTTTGGCTTTGTGAATATAGTTGATTCTTATATCTTCTCGGGGGATGGTCAAACAATAGTCTCGCCGAATATTAACGCTCCTGAAACAAAGTATTTGCAAAATAGCGTTCACGCAATAGTCAAGGGAGAATTGTATATTTTTGGCGGAATTTGGGATGGTTACAAGGAAAGTTTTAAACTTTGAATGAAAATTCGAGAATAATTTCAATTAGATAGCAAAATTGAACGGATGCTCATTTAATGAATTATCCATTCGATTGATGCACGAGTTCTATTATGGGGCCGCCGCAATTGATATTAATGACGGAGAAAGAGGTTAATTTTTTAATTAATCTTTTTAACGATTTTAAGCATTGATTTGTTTTCCTGATTGGCCACAAGATCCGGAAAAATGCGAGATCTTCGACACAGTAGGCGTTACAGAGACTCATTCGACGAAATATGGTCACTTGTACGGGGGCCTCGGCTATTATCAAGGACAGCCGACAACTGTTGTAGGCAGTGTAGCTTACAGTGCGATGAAAAAAGTCGAGACATACAATGAATCAATGGGATGGACAAGCTTGCCGGATCATCCAATGTAAAAATTTCTGATTCTTTCTAATTTTATATCATTTAGTTACTTCCTCGAGCATACTCTCATCGGATTAGACAATGGAGCCATGCTGATGTTAGGTGGAAGGCTGATAGAAGCTGGAACGCATGCAGATATTTGGCAGCTCAAAGAGGATATTTGGACGCGGATTGGTTATCTCAAAGAGGTTATCAAAATAAATTATCAAATTTTTTTATTAATAATGAAAAATAATTAGAGTTATGCAAGCGCCTCTGCATTGAAGATCGGCGACTACATCTACCTCGTCTCTGGCGATACAGATGATGAGTCTTACAATTTTTTCCCAGTGGAAAGAATCCACCTTGTCAACGACGACGAAATAAGTACTGAAATCATCGGAGGCCACGAATTTTATAGCTATAATCCAATTGTTCTCGAGGTTACACCAGATTTTTGCGTTTAAATTTTTCATTCCTGTCTCATTTATATAGGTCAAATTTTCATATTAAACATCTGTGATTAAATCTGTCATTTTTCATCACGAATACAGTGATTGTTACTATCACATTGTCTTTGAAACGGAAGCTGGAGCATGCGTTGATTTCTGCAACGATTACTGTTTTCAATGAATCTTCCAATAAAATTTTACTTTGATCTCTTTTATTCCGATATTTGAAGTCTATTACATTGTTTTCAGAAGCATTTTGAACTTTGTGGCAATCGCATAAATTTCCGTACCGGGAAAGCGTGTACAGAAAAGTTTCTATTTTGAACCGAGAATCTGAGCAGGGAGCAGGGATCAACCCGGCCCGATATGATATGCTGATGATGATTTTAATCGAGGAAGGAGAGTTTTTTTGGCGGAACGAACGGTCGCCAGCTGACCAAAACTCATTCGCCGTCCGTTGTTAGAAGTAGTCACTACAGCTAGGTCGCCTTTCCAGCCTTGCTCGGAGAAAAGTAGCCAAGTTCCACCGGTCACTTCTAATCTCGCTTTCACCTAGCGCGTGTTTAGGATAGTTCTGAAATAAATAGAGTACCTTGTAGTCCTGAGGCTGCTCAGTTTGCTCAGGCTTGGGTCTCTTTTGAAAGACAAATTCTGCGGTGGAATCAGTTGTTGTGGTAACGATTTGCCTTGCAAAAGAATTGGAGAGCAATTATCCGCGGTTTTTTATAAAAGCGTATATTAGGCTAGTTTTCAAGTTAAAGAGTGAACAGAAAACGAGGCTTGCGCCGGCGAAGGTTATGAACAGCAGGTGCACGAGGCGAATCTCCAAATAAGGGAATCGGCAGATTCGCGATCACAACATCCCCCCAGATTCGACTGGCGTGAAGGTTGACCGACGCAGAGTCCAAGTTGGTGACGAGAGCGGGTTCGTCGACTTGAAGTATCCTCGTTGTCTTTTCTGATCAAATAGTGATAATAAATGATTTGTTATGATCTTCCTTGGAAAGGTACAGTCTTTTTCCGGACGCGCCGCGGATATCTTTCGGTGAACGATGAGGCCGGTTCAGCGTCGGGTCGGCTCTTAACAACGGGGTTCTCGGGTTGATTTTGGCCGCAATAATCCGGGTCCAGGTGCTGTGGACGGTCCTTGTAGAGAATACAGTGATGTCGGTGTACCCAACTGAGCTTTCCACTAATGTCCAGTCGAACTATAACGCCATTAGTGTCCACCACTTCAAAGGGTCCATTCCAAGCGCCCTTGCTCTCCTTCGTTTCCGCGGACATGGGTCTTTTTAGCAGAACTCTGTCGCCTTTGGTTATCGTTATTGGTTCAATTATAGATTTTCCCTTATTTTTAGCGACGAGGTCTGCTTCCGATTGAGCTAAATCGACGAGCTTGTGGACGCGGCTTAGGGTCGCGGCTATTTCAGTGGCGTACGTTTTTGGAGAATCCGCGGATGGGTTTTCGGCCATTTGTATTCCGTCGAACGAAGGTTTTCTTCCGTAAATAATTTCGAATGGCGAGACGCGCGTTGCCACATTTTTGCATTTATTCATAGTACTCACCACTGATGGTAGAACTAATTCCCAACACAGATTTCGTTCCAAGGCGATTCCATATAACGCATTTTTGAGAACACGGTGTGATCGTTCTAGGCATCCAGTACTTTCCGGGCGATAAGGAACATGTAAATTCTGCTTGACTCCAAGCAAATGACAAAGCTCACTCAGCATTTCATTTCGGAAATGTTTACCTTGGTCGCTGCTGATAATCTTCGGGAAATCGTACAATAGAATGTGACGCATAATTTGGCGAGCAGCGTCACTTGCTCGGCACCTCGCAGTCGGATAAACCGACAAGAAACGACTGTATCCATCCATAATGGTTAATGCGTATGATTTACCGGTTTTCGATCGCTCGAGTTGTATAAAGTCGACATAAATGATTTCCCATGGCCGCTTGGCACGGTAAAGAGTCTGCATATCTGGTTTACCTTTCTGCATGTCCTGGCCTTTTCTTTTCAGGCAAATGTCGCAACTTGAGACAAATCCGCGGATATCGTCCAATTGGTCGGGCCACCACGACCATGATAGCAATTCCCTTGTTCGATCAACTCCGGTGTGCGCTTTGTGATGAGCAGCTTTTAAATAGTGAGGAATAAGGCTTTTGGGAAGCACAAGGCACTTCTTTTCCCCCCCAGTTGATCGTCAAGGCTTTACTCTCCGGATGGATTTCCAATTTTTTCGACCAGCGTTTGTATGATTCTATGCCGTAAAGACTATCTGGGACTTGCCATTTTTCCGCGGATATTTTGTTTTCTACAAAGTTTTTTACTGTACCTATGAGTTTATCTTCTGATTGAGCATTTTCAATTATCCGCAGCTCCAGGATAGGTACATTTTCGCTCAGAACTCCTGTGGCAGCTGATTTTAAAGCATAAATTTCCGCGGCGACTTCTTTGTTTTCGAGGAGCATTTTCTGTGGTAAACTTCCTCCACCGCACCATGACGGGATATAAATTATGAGGTCGCTCTCTCCGGCCGGATTGTAGAATTTTCCTGCCAGTTCGTCGCTTGGTTTTTCGTTTTTCGCACAGACTTTGTGCCACGGTCGTGACAATATATCTGCCAGACAATTGTCTTGTCCTTTAATGTACTGAATTATAAATCGAAACTTACTGAGTCGATCTTGCCATCTTTGGAGCTTGTCGTTTGCCATTATTTTCTTGTCCAAGGCGCATAAAGCTTTGTGATCGGTGAGGCATAAGAATGGCTTTCCCTCCAAATAATATGAAAATTTCTCGATTGTCATCAATAGTGCGAAAGCTTCTCGTTCCGTCGTTGACCATTTCGATTCTGTTGACGACAGTGTTTTCGAATAAACGGCGATCAGTTTTTGTTTGTTGCCGAATTTTTGCATAATGGCTCCTCCAATAGCCACTTTGGATGCATCGCAAACGACCACAAATGGTCGAGAAAAATCAGGGAGACTAAATACCTTATTACTTGCCAAGATCCTTTTTGCGTTATCGAAGCTCGCTTGAGCGTCGTCATTCCACTGAAATGGTTTATTTTGCCTGTTCAGCACAGACATTTCTTTGACGATTGAGCTGAATGAGTTGATGGCCACTCGGTCACCAACGTTGCATGAGATCCAGCTTTTCCACCAACCAAGGGTTCCGAGGACTGACATTAATTCCTTCCTGTTCCGCGGTGGCTGCAATTCCTTTATTGCTTTCATGTTTTCTTCTGGGATGCTTATCCCTTCCGCGGAAATTTGTCGGCCCATGAATTTTGTTGATCGCCGGCCGAAATTGCACTTTTTTCCCCCCAGCTTGACGCCGAATTTTTCACAGGCATCCAAAACCTGCTCCAAGACCTGAAGATGCGTTTCTTCGTCACGGCTATGTAGCAATATATCATCCACATAGCTTTTGAAGTTGTTTTGTAGCTTCACCGTCCCTAGCATTTTTGCGACACATTTGCAAAATGCGTCGCCGCTGTGTTTCATTCCAAACGGCATTCTGATGTACTGATACAACTTGTCCTTATAATAAAAATTCGTTTTATGTCGGTCGTCTGGGTGGATTTCCATGTTCCAATATGCCGCGTTTATATCAATGTCAGAGAAGATGTGGTTTCCAGTCTCAATGTCCGCAAACAAACAATCTATATTTGGCACGTTCCAGATGTCCGTCTCCTCTGTGAGGCACTGGTTAAGCCCGGACTTGAAATCGGAGCATACTCTTATATCGTCGTCTTTTTAGGGACAATGACTAGTGGACTGTGAAAACCCTTTCCGTCGGGGCACTCCTCGATTATCTTCCCATTGAGCATCGTTTCCATCTTACCATCTACTTTCGGTTGCAGATGTTTGGCTATTGGCCGCGGTCGAGCGCTTTTCGTTAATCCAGGGATTGTCGGGATCCTCACTTGCTCCGAAAACAGGCCTACTTTATCGTTTGGCCCTTTGAAAACTTTTTGCTTTCGGAAGAGGATATTGATGAATCGTTCGAAATTTTCACCTTTGAAAATTGTGTTGTCGAGTTTTAGTTCTTTCGTTTTCTCCAGTAGTTCCACCTTTTGCTGCGTCGTTAATTTGCTGGCTTCCATCCTAAACAGCGCGTTGACTTCTGACCAAGGGAATAGGACCCTTCGGCCAGAGTGAATCATTATTTCCATTCCATAACCGGCAATTTTGAAGCTTCCGTGCTCGCTGCTTGAGTGCCCTATGATAAAATCTTTGCCGAGGATTGCCGGCAAACCTTCTCTCACGATGTAAAAGCATACACCGCGGAATTTGTAATTTGATTGGTGAGCTTTCACTATTGCGGATATCCTACCAATTGATTTTATTCTTCCACATCCGCGGAATTCCATTGAAGTTGGCTCGATAAACTTGTGAAGTGACGATGGAAGGAGATGCATTGGCAAAATACATTTGTCAGATCCGCTGTCGACCAATGCAGTGACTTTTAGTGTAAATCCATTCATCATAAGTGTAATTTTTGTGTTGAAGAAAGAATTAGTGATATTTGTGCTGCACGATAAGCATGCTGATAATTCGCACTCATTACCAGCATTTATAGAAAAACCGACGCTTCATTTTCCTCTGGTAGACGTTCTTCTTCATTTGCTTGAGCAACGAAAGTGTTGGTCTTCTTACCGCGGTCTTCTTGTCGTTTAGGTTTCTCGTGACGAAATCTGCAGTTTTTGACTCTGCAGTTCCCAGAGGCAAAATACTTGCATATTGGCATTTTTGACTTTGGTTTCTGGCTCTGGCGTGCGAAAAATACTGATCCGCCCTGATTGGTTGTTTGAGAAATCAGGAATTCGACTTTTGTCGCGATTGTTTGAGCGTCTGAGATTTGAGCCCATTCATTGGCCATGTGTGCGTGCACCGAAGGTTTCGTGACTTTCAATCGCCCCGCGATAATGCTCGCAGAAACGAAGTCGAATATGTCATCCGCGGTTGGAGCATTAGTATCGTCGTTTTCTTGTGTGCCCGGGTTCTTTTTCATTTTGGTTCGGCGGATTTGAGCGCAAATAGCGGCTTTAGCCGGCTCCATACGATCTTCTATGTCCTGCGCGTACTTTTTCCACGGTGAATTTTCGTCGAATTGCGTTTCCATTACTCTTGTTAAGAGTTGCAGCGCTGATAATCCCGAATCGTATGTTAAATTTAACCACTCGCGCAGCTCAATCCAAGTTTTCGTCGATTTTGTTGCGTTTTTAAGCCGCGAGTAAATTGAAGGGCTGAAGCGCAGCTTAACCTTTGACGCGAAGATTTCGTGCAATTTTGGGTCATCGGCGATATAAATTTCGTAAATTTGTGTTACTTTGGAAGTGAACACCGATGTTTCATCGAAATCTCGCCCGCTGTATGTTAATTCGTTCAGGGCATTTTCCGCGGATTTGACCGCACTTGCCTGCTCTCTGGTTAACTCGTTACCTTCCACTTTGATCCCGTCGATGGCGATGTCCAGCTTTGCCTTGAGTTTCTTCTGTAATTCTTTTTTTCTCTTTTGTGGCTGCTGAATTTGGCGAATTGAGCGCCGTTATTTCTTCATCTAGCTCAGCGATCGTTTCTCGGATCCATTTGAGAGTTTCGAGCGACATGGCGAAAAGCAGTTAGGTGACTCTTTTGAATGGCGTTACCTTATTGGTGCACTCAGATTTCAATTTCGATAGGTTTCGAAATTGCTGAGTGACCTCCGTGGAGGGTTTGATTCCCGCTCAGGATTAATCCACGTGATTGGCTGAAACCACAACTTGCGTTTGCTTCTCGGCGAATTGGTCCACCAAGATGATTTTCTTCCCAAATTAGCTTCTCTAGATGGCTGGCTGGGAATGGGTGTTGTAGGACCGTGGGGTCGATTTTTCCTGGTACCAGTATGTTGTGGTAACGATTTGCCTTGCAAAAGAATTGGAGAGCAATTATCCGCGGTTTTTTTATAAAAGCGTATATTAGGCTAGTTTTCAAGTTAAAGAGTGAACAGAAAACGAGGCTTGCGCCGGCGAAGGTTATGAACAGCAGGTGCACGAGGCGAATCTCCAAATAAGGGAATCGGCAGATTCGCGATCACAACACAGTGACGCTCATTTCGGCATCTTCAACGACGATTTCAAGCTTTCCTTGCTTTTCTCGGTCGGTATCTATCAGCTCGCACATCGACTTGACTTTGAAGTTGCAGATCTTGACAGAGGATTAAATTTCATTCGAGGGAATTATTGTTACCGAGGAAATATCAGCATGCTCTCCAGGCTCAATCAAAGCCGCCTTTCCACGGAAATCAAAGTCGGCGCAGAAGACCCAAGGTCTATTGCCATCAATCTGAAAGACAGAATTTAAAAGCTGTTGAAAAGCAAAGCCACTGAAGTATTCTCGTCAATCAATCATCGTCTCATTCTATTTCATCTTTGACGACCGAGAGAATTGCCAACGCTAGCAAGAAAATTAGACTATTCGAAAAATAGAGCATCTAGCTCATTCTATCGTTGATTTCATTCTCACTCGAGTTTCTCACTCGTCAGCTTTTTTGATGAGCTTGACGAGAAACCGGAAGCGACAGGGAATTCTTGATTTTGATCTTGAAAGTGGATCCTTCTGATCCTATCTTGGAACTTCCTGGATTATGAATAAAGAAGGTATCTTACACGGCGATCAATATGGACCCATGTCTAACACAATCTAAGGAACAATAAACGCGAATATTTATGGTTCTTCTGAATCCAGCGCGTCAAAAGCATGAGAGGTCGACGACCTCACAGCCGCTCCCCATCAGCAGATATTAACACCCACCTACTACGATTTTACTGTACACCCGATCTTCAAATATAGAATCCAAACATCTAAAAAGCAACTTCTTCTTGAAATATTACCATAACAGATTTGACTTGTCCATAGAATTGCCTCTTCGCGAGATTGTCGACAGCCCCACTGAACTTTTTCTTGTCGCCTTTGAAGCCGACTTCGGTGCAGAGCTAGAATTATCGGTCAAACAACACTCGGGGTTATGAGCGAACCTTCACAGGCATTTGAAGATTCTAGCTTCGAAAAAAACGGATTTGAAAATTGATTTTTTTGTTGCTTCGAGGAGAGTTTTCGCCCTTTTTTGTCTGTTTTATCTCTTAAATTTTATTGTCGATTTTGTTCTTTCCCTTCTTCGTTTTTGTATTTTTATGCAGACTGCAATTGCGATGCACTGGGGGGCTCTTGCACAGGGTGCGCGGCTACCTCCCCCTTAGAATCTATGGTCCAGTTGGCTTGTGTAATACACACTATGTCTCAGAATAATAAATAATTGATGGCCTGTCCTGTCACGGCCGAATATTTTTACAAAAGTTGCTATTTTTGGAATCAAGAACGAAAAAAGTCGAAAGTTTCAAAAATGAAAAATATCCTTTATTGAACAAAATACAGTGTAAAAAAGACAGCAAGATAAAACAAAGCTTGCGATAAGACACGTCGGATCGAGCGGGCGAAAAGTCTTGTGCAACCAAATTCCAGCTCTCTTTTTTGCTTCCGGCGCTCACGAGCTATCATGACATGAATCTCATGATCCTTTGGATTAAAATCTCAAACGTTCTATTTCAGAATTTTGATCGAACATGACACGCCAATGGGCCCTGGAAAGTCTCGAAATTGAAATGACTCAAACGAAAAGACGAAGCTTCTTCTTTCTTTTCTTCAGCTCAATTACAGTCTTAGTTTGTAAATTTCAAAACACGACAGAAAAGAATGCTGTTTCAAAATACCAAAAATGAGATATGAAGAGCTGTTCCTGATGGGTACTTTTGAACGGATTCGTCAACGAAATTGGCGTCAATCAATGTCCAGTGGATTTTCTCAGGGTCTTCATTTTCCGGAAATGCCAAGCATTTTTCAACGGCGAAGTTTTCATAAGTCGTTTTGACAGCTACGAAGACACGATCTGGTATTACGAATTCGAATCCAGGACTGAATTGATGATGAAAGACAAAATTTTTCTATTAATTCTTGCCTGGGAAGCCCGTCAATTTTATCTAGAGAAAAAACGGCCGTTTTCAAGTGATAACGAGAAGGAAAGCATTTTTTATTCTAGATACAGTTGTGCTTCCCAGGCATGTTTATATAAACAGCGAAAAATGCTGCCAGAGTCACTCTTGGCAGAAAATGCTTCGAGGCTAGCACGCATCGGGGTAGTACCTGCTGCGTGGTATCAGAATGCAAGAAATACATGCATGAAAAAAACAAGAAGACCCGGATCAATCCTACAAAGGATCACAAACCTACAATTCGATCGACCTTCTCAATCTACATCTAGCCCTTTTCAGGGCTAAATTTATCCGAAATCACTTACTGAACTCGACTTGTTAGTCCTTCATCTGTGAAAAGAGCAAGTGAAGAGTCCGCATAGTCTCCAACTTTCCCATCTCGCCAACTTCTGAAAGAGCTCTTCACTACCGAGAAACTTTCAGCTTCCAATTCGACTTTCACCCATTTCGGCCTTGTCATTTCTTCGATCTCTTTCTTTTTCTTCTTTATTTTTCGCCTGTTGATGAGGAAGGTTGAAAAGGAACTCGGCAAATTTCGAGCGATTGCGTTTTGAACAAGAATTTCTCTCAGCGGAATTCCAAGTTCTTTCATTTCCTTCATCTGTTTCACTTTCATAAATCTCTGAAAACTTTTCATGTCAAATTTTTGGTTCCCGAAAACGGCTGTTACGAGTATTAAAAAGAGCTTCATCTTTTCTTTTTTGTGTTTTGGACAAATGTAGGGACACGTTCCACCAAAAACTTGAATGACGTAACCTTTTTTTAAGCTCACTAGCGCCACCTGCGATTTCATGCTTCCTTCTTAAACAGGCATCACTTTAGTAACCTCTCAAATTTATTCAAGAGCTTGAGATAAATATTTTAGACAGTATAATAATTGACAATCGTTTCGTTGTCTGGAAATTTTTCCGTCTCAGTTTGGCCTGTTGCAATGTCGTTTATAAGCTTTTCCAGCCTCAGTCGATTTCTAGGATATTTTTCGTGCGAAAAATGGGGAGAAACTTACATGAGTGAAATTTGAAAGTACGGATTTGTCCTCATATTATCGTCTTGCAAACTGAACTGGGTCGTCAATTCCTTTTGCTTGTGAATTTCTCTGATCATAAGTTCTTTTCTCCACAGAGCATCGCCTTTGCCGGATTTTTTAAATGAAAAAAAAAATCGCCTTAGGTTTTGAAATTTCTAGTAATCCGTCTTTGAATCGACGAAGAAAACGGTTTTGTAGAAATTAAAAGATGTCAAGGTGTCCTTCATTCGCGAAAGCTTCGATTTCGAGTATGATTCTTTTTCATGGTTAATCTTTCATGCTCCGAATGGATCATTTTTAAAGGGATGAGACCATAACTCCTGTAGAAGAGGCCCTCTCAAGCCTGTATCTGTTGGATTCTTTCAGCGACTCAATGTACTCGTTCCGTATTGATTCTCTAAATTCCGCCGAGTTTCGAATAAGCTAAAAAAAAACACAGTCTTTTCCTCCATTTTCTACACCACACCTGACAGGCGGAGAGAATCGTCATGCCAAGACCAAGCCCAAAAAGCGACCAGCCGACGTATGAAAGCACTGGAATTGAGTTTGAATAAACAATGAAAGGCGGCTTGGAAATTCCAAGTACCTTTGACACCAAGACGGAGTTTTTGAGAGACATATTCGCATTCTTCGTCGACAAATTCGCTCTCTGGCTCTGGGCAGTAGCTTCTGATCGACTTGTTCAAAAGAGTTGAGACGGCAGGGGTCAGAATAAAGACCGAAATTCCTGGGAGAAAGTAAGGAAAGAAGGGTTGTTTCTCTCTTACCTAATATGATCGTGCACAGACCAGGCCTTATATAAGGATGTATCTCCTTTTCCCCACCGATCGTCAGGAGCCTGGCAATAGCCATTTCATCTAAAAAGCAATTGAAGAAAAATTTAACTTGAAGCAATGATCCCTTTTTCTCTTTTGTAAAAATAATGATGCTCCTCTCTCTTTTTCATCTTCATTTTCAATCGAAGGTCAAGTTGTTTGCACTTTCATTTGAACTTCGATGAAAAAAAAAAGTAATTTAGTTCTGGATACTCGTCTTTATGACTAAATAATCGCCTTCTGTGAACGCGGTCCGAACTGTAGTACGCCGCATTGTTGAATATTCAAAGAGATCAAGAGAGTCTGTTAACATTTATGATCATTATGCAGATTGATCTACAGTGTATTGAAACAAGCTGCTTGAGACAAGAGAGTACCTATATTTCCGTCTCCAGAGAACTGCGCCTGGGAAGCGAGACGATCATGATCTTGGGGTCCGCGGCGGATGGAAGAGCGAGTGTTATCAGAGGTTGTTGATTCTACTGTTGTTTGCTCCTTTTTCAGAAATTTCAATGACTGGATAAACCCATCAAGAATTGCTAAAATAGGCCTCCCAAGAGCAAGTTTTTCTCCGAAACTATCTTAGATACACCCTTAATTTTAATTGGAACTTTTAGATCCTGCCCTTGACTGCATCCTTTTCCTTTATGATGAACAAATTAAGGATATACAGGCCGGTAAAGGTCAGGTTGCTCGGAGCAAGCTATTTTTGGGTTTTTAGTCGAGGGAAACCCTTATTTTTTTCCAGGAGAAAGCTTAGGCTTTGAGCTAAAACTGTTCTCCATTCGAGAGTTTTTTGTCAAGGCACTTAAGGAGGACACCCCTACTATCCCCACTAGTCTACTATAAAATCTCTTTCCTTCAGAAATTTCTTCGCAGCGAGTAAAAGCTTTACCCTATCTTCGAGCTCTTTTCTCTTTCGTTGTTTGAATAACTTTGCAGAACAAAGTTTGTACCCTTTGAATTTCCTCGTTGATGAAAAATTAATCAGCAACAGAATAAATTTGAGAAAGAAAAATAAATGCACGGAACTAAGTGTCGTTTGAAAACTTTGAGCTCTCACTGGAAACCGTTTCTTTTTCTGAATAAATAATTTATTTACTAGGGTGCGATTTGAGATTGTCGAGATTAGAGCATAATTGAGCGAGAGCTGTCACTTACTGGTAATCGAGGCCTCTTGCGGCGTGCCGAAAGCTGGCCAAACTCGGGTGCTGCTGCTCTCTTTGTGGATTTATCAACTTGGATAAGGCGGATTTGCCCTAAATATTAATTGAGCCTGTTTATCGAAAAGGCAATTTAACATGAAGGATCCAGTGTAGAAAAATGCTAATTGGACAAAGTCGCTACTACAGTAACAACGAAAATATTGACGGCTAAGTCTTCCTTTCTGAAAAACGGGACTAAACCAAAAAATGGAAGTGAATTTTTGGATGACCAATAAGATTGCTTTATTTGGCCTGCTGGCCAATCAAAACCCTGATCCATACAATCAGATCCATTAGGTTTTCTGGATTGGGTTTTGATTGGCCGGGAGGCCAAATACAGCAATCTTATTGGCCCTTTTTTGTGTAGGCTATTTTTGTCCGCCTTGAAAAAAGACATCGCTATATTAAGGATATAAGCTATGAATTTGAACTTTCGTAGCGCCTAAATGCGAAGTAGGATCATTTTCATTTCAAAAGCAATCCTACCTAAAAATGCACGAAAAACTCAAATCCGGTACTTTTAAAAAATTTTTTATAGAAAATTTTCTTTTTAGAGCGTTTTCAAATCTTACGATCGCGATTCCTCGAAATTTTTCCACTAAATCGGTCCAGTTTTTTCGATAAATAATTTCTCTTAACCCTTATCTACAATATTGACGGATCAATTTTTCCTAATTCCGACAGAAACCGATTTTAGAGCCATTTCCATGAGGCTTACCAAGCGCGCGAATAGTGTAAAAAGCGGCGCGCTGGGCGCTCGCTCTCTCGACTCCTCTTTTCCGTGAGAGTGGCGCGGTTGAGCGGAGCGCTTTGATTGGTTGCACGCGAAAAAGCACAAAAGAAGAAAAACACGAGCAAGGAAGAGGAAAGCGCTAGAATGAAAATTTGAGGAAGTTTCGTAATAAAAGCCCGTCAATTATCTAGCTTAACATCATTGAAATAATAAACACGGTTTAGTTTTAGCGATTCAATGGAAAAATTTCGAGAAATCGAGATCGTAAGATTTGAAAACGCTCTAAAAAGAAAATTTTCTATAAAAAATTTTTTAAAAGTACCAGATTTGAGTTTTTCGTGCATTTTTGGGTAGGATTGCTTTTGAAATGAAAATGATCCTACTTCGCATTTAGGCGCTACGAAAGTTCAAATTCATAGCTTATATCCTTAATTCATAAATCCAAATTTTCTTCTATGATAATTCAAGCTATAATGTTTATGGCTTTGGGACTTCTCTAACTCCCTCAAATTCCTTCGCCAACTGGTCAAGGAATGTTCTCTTTCAAGTCCAGTTATTGTAGCCCTGCGCGAAGGAGTTTTCTCGATCATCGCGAGGTGGGCTTGAAAAATAACCGGTGGCAGATCAGCAAAAATAAAGGGGCGAAAGTATTCGACTCCTCGAAACTTGGGATTTATTATTCAACAAAGTAAGATAGATACGCGCTTTTCGAGCTTTTTCTTTATCAATAATGCGTGCTGGCAATGTTCACATAACAACTTACTCTGAATACTTGATCTGCTGCAACTGTAGTTCTAAAAATAACTGATCAGAATGGAAACTCGATGAAAAAAAATGGAGAATTGAAGAAAAACTCGTATATAATTTTGACCAAATTTTTAATTTGATTTGGGCCAGACACAGCCGTGATGTCTAAGATAGACTAAGCCACATGTGGTAGACAGAGCCATTCGTCGACTGCCCTTGATTTCCTGAAACTGGGAAGAAGCACAGATGACATCTTAGATGTCACATCTGCCTAGAATGTCATGGAATGTCCTGATTCCGGATTAAAGTTCAGCTACGAACTGCTCGAATCGAAATTCCGGCAAGGAATTCTTTATGAAAGTGATTGAAATCAAGGAAGAGTACTCAAAAATCATGAATAATTCTTGGCCTTTAGAAATGTGTCGAAAGTAATCCCTTGGAAGAAGAAGAAGTGAGTAACGATGTTTACGGTTGATCGCGGCGTACCAAGTAGTTCGAGCCAAAAATGATCCTCACGTTCTATGATATATAATATTCATGTAGGAGAGAAGCACTAAGCGAATCAGAAAGAGATATCGATTCTCCGCCGAGAACTCGCCGATTACTCGCTTTTTGAACTTCGAATTTCTGAAACAAGAAAATGAGAATTCTTTTTCTCTTTGTTTTCGCCGTAAATGGAAACGATCAGAGTAAAGCTAAAGAGCCGCTGCACGACGAGAATGATCCAACTAAGGTAATTCTGAAGCAATCTTTTTCCGTCTCAAGATGTTGGAAACATCTTCATGCTGGACATCCTCTTCAGGGTTTCCAAGTTGAGTTCCACCAACATCTGTAGCTTAAATTAAAGACTGGAAACAGAATTCCAGCCGAACATTCGCCATAGAACTCAGAAATCTGCGCCTGGCATCTGTATCTTTGGGAAAAAATAGACCCTGGCTTTCCGACATTGTCCAGCAGACCCACCAACAATACTTTAGGCCAGACTGTTTTCTATCAGTTTATTGGCTATAAATGACAGCAACATCTTTCGCCCCCTTGTCTAGGAATAAGAGTAGGATACCCCTACTAGGAGCGGTAGTAGAGGGTTATCATTCGAGCTGCCCCTAACTCTAAACCTAACCCAGGGGGCTTCGCCCCAGGACCCCCCACCTAAGGCCTTAACCGGGTTGCTTCGCCCTCCGGACCCCCAGTCCCTAACCCTAACCACTAGACCAGATTCTAGAGATATTGGATGGCTCGAATCATAGGCTCGAATTATAACCCTTCTCTGCGCTAGGGCAGCCTGTAGCGAGTGAGGACGGGCACCTAGTGGTTGACTGAAAGAAAAGTACCCCAGGACTTTAGCAGAGCGATAAAATTTAGCAATCTTTGAGGACATGACCGAGGAGCAAAAGTTCGCCCACGAGTTGTTGAGTCTCTTCAATTTCCCAATGTACACCGTCATTGTTCCAGCTGGCAAGACTGAGTGCTACTATCACGCGACAAACGAAACCTTCCACTTTGAATATACTGTCGAAGGAGGAGGATCACTTGACATAAGATTTGAGGTAAACTTTTGTGGTCGAAGAAAGTCTTCTTTAGGAATATTAAATTTAGGCATTTGACCACAAAGAAGAGAGCTTGGTGAAAATTGACAAGAACACGACTGGATACCATTTGTTCAAGATGACGGAAATGGCGCCGACTAAGTTCTGTTTTGATAACAGTTTCAGTATTATGACTGACAAGAAGGTTCACTTTGAACTTTTCCCAGGTATAACCGGTCGTTTTACTCGCCTGCTAATCAATTCCAGAAATCGACATGGACGAGTGGGACATGTACATGAAAGAGTACACAAGCTTCAGGAAAGAAATTGAAGAAGATAAAGCCAACGGCGATATTGACAGTCTCTACCATACAGGCCATCCGGAATGGGATAATATTCATGTTCAATCGAATGACATGAGAAAGAAGCTTCGAAAATGTCTAAGGTAAAATAAGTAAATACTGTATAAATTATACAGAATATATCCTGTATCCGTCTAATCTCCTGTTTCCAGAATTCTCGACCATATGCGCTCTTTCTCCCATATCGACGAAGCACTGATGGAAAATAAAGGTAAGTTAAACACTAATGCTTCCGATGTCTATGGTCCATGGAAACGACTTACGAGCTAATTTCAGAAAAACGTCTAAACTTCTGGTCTTTCCTGCTTTCCGCTCTGATTCCTGCTGTTTCAATCGGACAAGTTGTTTTCGTCCGAATGCTTTTCAACCCGAAGACGAAGATTTCTAGCTTCTGATCAATAAATTTCCCCATCTCAATTTCTTGTGTTTATTTTACAGAAATGTACAGTAAGAAGTATGTGAAGCTTCATTCGAGAGCCAGTGTATAAATAACATAGAGAGGGCGAAAAATAAATTTGTACTATGAAGTCAAGTTACAGTCGGACAGCTACTGTCAGTATTCTTTTTTTGTTTTGATGAGTGAGAAAAATTCTCAGTGAGAATGAATGTTTTTTTTTGATAATGTTGAATGTTGGGCAATTTTTACGCGATTATAGCAAGTTTTCTTTTGAACAGTTTATGTTTTTACAAATTTTTCTTTTAAAATTACAAAAATCAACTATGGCAGCTGATAGTTAAACTAGCGTCTGCCACTGGAATCTCGGGCAAGACTATCGGCGTCGTCGACAAGGCCTTGGCATCTGCGTATTGGGACATTTTCGACATGTCGGTGGCGGTAATTTCGGATCCGACGTTCAGCAAGATGCGGTCGAGCGTCGGAGTCGGACTGATAAGTCCCTCCCGTTTGAAATAGCCGAGACGGAGAGCACCAGGAAGGGCGGCGTTCTGAATGTCTGGAAGCTGCTGGAGAATCTTTTGGAAATAATTCGGTCGGTCGGCTGCCACGGAAGATGTGGCGCAGTGGCTGTGCAGAGCGGCGAGTGTTTTTAATCGCATTTCTTCCACTTTCTGCGGCTCTTTCAATTCCAGACCTGGAAACGAAAAGTTAGATGGAAATTCGAAATTCTCTTCCTTGATATCAAAAATGCTCAAAAACTCGGCCAAATTACCTTGCGTCCTGAAAAGCAGCAAGCCACAAAGACAGGCAAACGCGGAGATGTCAATATTCACCCCATGGACTTGCGAGCTAAACTGGTGGATCGTATCAATCCAGTTGTCGAAAGAAGGAAGTAGCTGGTTGCGATGGAGAGCGACCCCGTGGCAGAGGATGAATTTGCCTTCGTTAGGTTCGGAACTAAAATTCCACTTTTATTGAATTTTCTCTTTGTTTTTCCATTACCGGTAGGCCAGCTTGGCGACGAATAATTGAAGGAAAGCAGTCTCGAGGATTTGGTTTCCGTCGTCCTTATTCAAGTCCGAATAGCCGGGAATCTTCTCCGCCCACTGACGGATCACTTCCAGGGATAATAGAAGAGCGTGATGAATGCTGCGCGCCTGCTCGAGCCCCGACCCGCTGTGAGGCAGATCTACGTCAAGCATAGCGTTATACTAAAAAGCCAAATGTCAAGATCCATAGATTCTCGAAATAAAACCCAATTACCTGTGAGAAATCAGTACTGGAGAGCACTGGCGACGTGTCGACTAGCGCTCTGACTAAGTGAGTGATCCAGTTTACTGGCGGCGATGGAGGAGCCACTGGGTCTTGTGGTCCTTTTGGCTTTGAAGGAAGCCGACCTCGCCGTCCTCGCAAGTTGTCTGTCCGCACCACTAAACCACAAGGTTAACAAAGCAGCGAAAAAACAAAAAGCCCAAAATGTCAATTGGAATTTGGCAAATTTGCTGAGGTAGAGCGCCTTCTACGGGGCTTCAAATATGCGGCTTTTGATTTGCTCAGCCATAGAATACTTGTTTCTGATTGGCTGGAAGCTCCCCATATCATTCAGAATCTCTTATTCTCTTTCTCTTACCTTCTTTCACCATTCCAACAGCGAGGCACTTCTGATATCTACAGTATTGGCATCTATTTCTCCTCCTCTTATCGATCGGGCAATTTTTATTCGCCAGACAGACATATTTCGCGTTCTTCTGCACCGTTCTCTGAAAAAGCCCGAGTTGAACGAAAATGTAAATGATGCGGTTGTTTTTACCTTGAAGAAGCCTTTGCATCCCTCGCAGGTGCGAACGCCATAATGCTGACAGGCGGCTGAGTCGCCACAAACTGCGCAGAGTCCTTCGTTGTTGGGTCTTGGGATGGCGCCGCCGTTGATCATTGGGACCATTCCCATTGACTGGAGTCCCATGGCCTGGGCGTGCATGATCATTCGGTGGGAGGCGTGATTGTTCGTTCTGTAGTTGTAGTTGAGATACTGGAGGTTTGAAAGATCGTAGCCAGCGGCAGTGGCGTAGTAGGAGTTGTCGATCGCCGTTTGGCCATATGCGAGGCCAGCTTCGTCAGTGAACTGCTGGCTATACGCTGCTGTCTGGCCGGATGCAGCCTGAGCGCTCGGGTAAGAGTAGTAACCTTGCTGGTCGATGTAAGGTGTGCTTGAGGTTAAGCCGTTGTGGCTTACAGAAGAGCTGACATCGGATTTTGTCGGCGTGGGGATTTGAGACACGGAGGAGACTGGAATTACCGAGGAACTGACCATCGTGCTCGTCGGTGTGGGAGGCGTATGAGTGGTGGTCGAGTAGACTCCATAGTCGGGGGTGAGGAACTGTTCCTGTTTGATTGCCACTGATTGGGCGGATAAGTGCTGAAAGAGGAATAAGAAAAAGATAGTTACTGACGATTTCTTACCGTATTGACACCGGGAGAGATGGATTTGGAGTCGTCGTGGGGCGAACTGTATTGAGTTGGAGTACTGTGAAGTTGATCTGCTCGTCTGTAATCCTGAAATTTCGATTGTTTGAGGCGCTCGAAGACATTTTGATTAATTGGATTTTTTGGAATTAATTTGTGAACTTATCAATACCTGGCTATAAATATGATCAACAAAGAAGCCATTGTCATCTTCTCGACTAAACTCTAGGCCGCCGAAATTCTCATACTGCGAAGATAATGGGCCGGGAATGCCCGTCGCTTCTGCTGCCTGGATGGGCATTGTGCTCTGCTCTACTGTGACTACTGTTTGAGCGCTGGTGGGGCTCAATAGGTGGCTCGTCTGGTTCGGACCTTCGGAGTTGGAAGAATTCTCTCTGTGGATTCGCGTGAGGTCTTCGTGCTCTAAACATACGGGCGTAAATTGAAAGAAACGGGAGGCGCCGTTAGGAGGACGCAGAACTTTTCCACCGCAGAAGGTGGAAGAGTCAATAGAGCGCTGTGACAAATTAGCTACGTCTCCCCATCTATCTTACGACGTAGTCTTACGTCCAGTACTTTATCGATACAGTGCCTTTCCGGTTTTAAAAAAATTCTGATTAACCTCTTCTGATTAAAGCTCTGATAACGGAAGATTCTGTAGCCATTCTTTTTTTTCCTTGTTTTTAAAATTTCAATTTTGAAAAGCAGTTTTTCTCAGCTGCTTTTTTTTTTTCTAATTCTTGTCGAGTTTGTATTCCACCAGAGAATTGGCCACAGTCATCCCCCTCCCGAGGCGCGTTTATTAAAAATGCAGTGAACACCACCCTAATTGGTGTTTTATAGCTCTGATTAGCGAAGAGGATAGCTGCTTCGGACCTTGACAAGCGCCATCAACACGGAATATGCATTTTTGTGCAAATTCGTTATCGTTTCCCAGAGACCAGCGTTTATTTATTTCGCGAAAATTGGGGAATGGAGGAGCAGCGAAATTCAAAATTGCTAATCATGAAATCACATATCGCACGCTCTCTGCACCATAAACGCGCAACATGCTCATTATGCAGTCTTATTCTCGTCGAAAGGGGAATTTAAAATTTATTGCTTCGAGGAGTTACGAGCTCCAAATAAAACACGGACCTACTTATTATCAATAAAAGAAACATAATTTTCATATTCAAAGCCTCCAAATAATCATTTTTAATAGAGATAGAACTCTTTGATCCCGAGTTTTCTGGAGTCTATTCGACATATAGTTCGAAAAATTAAGGGTGTCAGTACGTAAACTTTCGTAATTCTTTTTGACCTAAGTTTACGTACTGAAACCCTTAATCTTTCGAGCTTCAAATTTCCAATAGAAGTAGAATCAATGAAGAATCCTTGAAAAAGAAAAGCTGTAAAAAGAAAGAGCGCTTCAGAGAAGGCGTTATCGATAGTGATGATATGCGCCGCGCTTGTCAACGGGAGCATCCTTTCCAGGTGCACTTCCTGTTTTCCCGTTCACTCGTGGCACGGTGGCACCTCCACCAAAGCTGGCCCGCGCTCCTTCTTCCGAAACCCTTATTTGACCAAAGCTCCTTCCGACATTCAATTTGCATTATCATTATTTTCATTCGTCCCTTTTTTTCTGAAATGAGCCTGGTGGCGCTATGGTGCTGCACCGCGATTGGTGCACCCACTGTGCTCGGGCAATTTACATACAGTGATCAAACAGCGTTTGTGTTAAACAAAATAAATCACCATCTCGGCGTCGCCATGCTGATTTAGCCGCCTAAGCTTTGATCACTGCTCGGATTGCCTAATCGAGCGGCAACGGATACATGCATAATATTTACATGGGAAGCCCAAGGTACAAATACGGCGCCCAGCACATGGCCGCCTTTGAGGTGATAAATAGACTTTATGAGGCACTAACTTTAATTTTAAAATTTTACCATGACGATAGTCCAACACCAGCCGCAACTGTGGTCGAACCGTGGTCGAAAATCAACTACAGACAAATCGAGAGTTAATGATTTATCGAAGCATTCGTGTATTTTTCGGATCGTTTTTGAAACTTGAAAAATGAGATTTTTGAAAAAAGAAACAATTTTTCCTTCAAAAAACCGAAAAAAGTTATGGGGATTTTGAAAAAGAAGCTTTCTGATTGGCTTAAAAGCCCTATATTGCCATTTTATGGCTGAAAGCCTTGGTTAGGGTTCGATCTAAAGATTTGACTGTATGAGCATTATAAATTAGGAAAAATAGAAATTAAAAAACTATAAAAACGGAACGCAGACTTTCGGCTGTATGAAGAGTGCTCGAAGAAGAAACAACTCTAAAGAGTTGTTACTCTGAATCAAGCCAAGCAAAACCTCCAAATCGAAGAGGAGGACCCTTTGCCCCTTGAACTTGAGATCACCCACGAGATCCTCAAAATTGAGGATTTCAAGTTCCCGAAAGTCTCCCAAAAATATGTTTTCTTTAGTTCGAGCAATAACAATCGTCATTAGCAAGTTGTCCATTTATGATGGGAGATTCGTTTGTGATTGCGGAAAATTTATGAGCCTCCGTTTGATGCTCTCTTGTAACTCAGTCAATTATAAGTCGTAAGGTGCCAAATCATGAGACTCGGTGTCTTCTACTTATTTATATTCGGCGGATTAATTTTTCCAAGCAGCGAAAATATGTGCCAGAAAAATAGATAATTACAATTATCTACCGGTATTATCGCCGCCAAAGGTGTTTTTGACGAAAAGTTACAACCGGAAGAAAAGCTGGCCTAAACGACTCTTGATGAGTCGAGTTAACTCAACTTTACGAAGTGCCTTTCTTTCTTTTTGGACGAAAAACTGGCAAACATAGAGGCAAACTAATGATTTGACAATCTCCGCATGCGGCATTGTTCGAAGCCTCCTGCATTAATTGTCAGCATCGGCGAGTAGTAAAATCGGTTGTAAACGAAACCCGTCGTGTGCCAAAGTATTTTGGTGAAAAAATCGGTGAATCCTGGAGAAAAAGACGGTCAAAAAGATGATTCACGAATATTAGTACGCTTCTTTTTCCAAAAACCAAGGCTTTCTGACCTTTTTCTCCAAGAATTACACACGTGACACCCTTAATTCTTCCGCCAGAAAATCATCTCTTATTATCTTTTAACCCTTCCCCGGCTCTGACCTTCCGTAGTATCTTGCCATTTTCTCGGCTTTAATCTTTATCTCCACTTTTTATACTGTTGTTCTGGCGAAAGGAAACGTTCTGGCGTGACATTTTCAAATGACTACTAACCTTTGTGCGTCTTGTCAAGTTTACGTCTCGTAGCTCTTTTGGCTCTTTCGTATCTCTTTCTTTATTTCCGTTGTTAATAAAAAAGACTGGTAGTTTTTGGTAGTAGCGTCGGTCAAATGAATCTGGGTAACATTTGCAGCGCACTAACTACTGATGCGGTCAGAAAGATGATTATATTCGATGAAGCACCCTGCCCCAATCACACACGCACAAAAACGGAGCGCACACTTGGTGGCGCGAGGCTGGAGCAGAGCAGCGCGCCCTACTGCGCCACCAAAGAAAAACAGTGGCCGCAGGAACTGAGAAAATTTGCATGTCAAACTTCGCGCAAGTTACTTCTCTATAAGTACTGGAAAAATGAGGCTTTTTTCTTTCTATAAATTTTTCAATTTCAACAAAGTTGAAAGCCAAAAACTCATAAAACACCGAAAATCAGAAGCTATTTCGGGAAATTAACCCATTAGCGCTCCAAAACGATATTTTTGGTAAATAATTTTTGATTTTTTCAAGCTAATAAGCTAACCTATCATTTTCATATTGACCATTTTATTGGTTAACCAGCCGTTTGTGGGTTAAAACCTCCTCTTTCCACCCCTAGCAACATCACCAAAAATGAGCGTTTAGCGATTTGACATTTTCTCCTCTCGTAAATTCTTGAATAAGCACACATGTACTGGCGGAACCTCGTATCAGACAGTAAAAAAGCTGCCTCGCGCTGCCTGCCTCAGTCATAATTACGGAATGAACACACTCTAACCACCTGTCGCATTAAAATTTCCTATCGGCTCCGGGCGAGAGTTGTTAACTCAACAAGCAATCTTTTTTTTCGATTTGGGAATTTTTTTCGGATTTGGAGAATCTAATCTAAAACTGTTCCAATTTGTACCCTACTTTACTGTATATTTTTAATATAGATGCTAAGTAGAAAACCTGAGTCAGGTTCTGATGAGCGAAAATGAAAAGCCGCGTAGCGGCTTTTAAACGAAGCCGCAAAGCGGCTTCGCCAATATTTTAATATAGATATGAGTCATTGTATCGCGAAGCCGCTTTGCTGCTTCGTTTTTAAAAGCCGCGAGCGGCTTTTCATTTTCGCTCATCAAAACCTGAGTCAGGTTTTCTACTCAGATTGCCGAGCCCAGGTTTATCATTTATTAAAATTTATAAATTATTAATGAAAAATCAAGCTTATAGGCTTGTATTTTTTAAATAAGAATATCAGTATGAATCAGACTGTATGATAAAAAGGAAGTATGAAGGTTCGTATTCTTTTTCCTCTACTTTGCTTTGTGGAAACCTTTTTCCTGTCCGACTCGGCATATGCAAAGTATTAGGGCTAAAGTATGGAGAGAGAGACTTTCCAGCCGATTTTTGACGTCAATCTCTTGGGACTGGAAAATAGTCATCTTCAAGGAACTTGGTAATAATGTCGATGGAAATCCTCTCCCAGCTCTTTTGCCCTACAGGATCAATGCCGGCTGGATCAGCCGCGACGCCTCCCGTTCTATGTGAAACTAGTAAAAACGCCTAATCCCCCGGAAGTCATTTTTCGCCACTATCTTTAATCCCGGTCGATCACGGCCGGGCGTTATTTATGTTCCCTAAAGTGTTGTGACCTTTTGAAGGAACTGTTATGGACGCGTAAGCTGCGATGAACGGATCACCCTTATTATTTTCTTGCTTGGCTTGACCTTACTTGGATTCGCTTATTGCTTCCGCTAAATTATCACTTTCGACTCTTGATCGTATTTTTTAATGCTTATTATGAACAGCATCTTATTGGCATTTTCACATATTTGGATTTAATTTCCATTATAAAAATTATTCATGAAATTTTACCCTCAAAATCGACTCAAAAAGAGTCCTTCTTGCTTTTATAGAGTCATCAGGGCTTCAGAACCTGTATAGAAAACCTGAGTCAGGATTCTGAAAGAGCTTTAAGGGTATCCCCAACGATCGGGTCCGACTGTTCTTAGTCGAGTGAAATCGTTGGGGACACCCTTAATTTAATCTATGAAAGGCTCTAACGAAGGATCCTGACTCAGGTTTTCTACACAGGTTTTTGAGTTCAGCTTATAAAAAGACCGCTTTTTAGAAAATAAGAGGTATTTTTTGCTAGGAAAACCAACTGCCAGTGGCGTGGTATTGACGCAGACGCGACA